TTAAAAATAATGACACATAATTATAAACAACATTCAGGCAAGATCACTTTAAACCCATTCCATATTTTTGATAAGTATGTTTAAGGATTTCTCCCTTTTTTTGTAATAATGATTTATTACATAGGTACAATAAATAGACATACGCAATAAATTAATATTATTTATTGAATTTTTTTTTATTACAAGATGAGTATGCTCTTGATTTTACCTCACCTGATAGTAAGTGACAATAAGATGTAGGATAGAGCGCGCTTACCCAGAAGATACTTATTCACTGTCGACTTGAAGAGTCCCAGATTGTATGAGTATTTCCTTGGAAACACAGAAACAGGAAGAGATCTTTGAGTTTTGTTGTACTTACTATATCTGAGTAGTAATTGAAAGTGAGAAATCTTTGGGCATATACTTTAGCCTAATGTATCTTATTCTCATGGTCAGTTCCTCAATTGCAGCATGGCAAACTTAAATACAAATACATATATAAAGAATATAATCAGTACGTATGTACTCTATGGACGAAATGCGCACTGAACGTAGACCAACAGATCAACGTTTAAAAATGATGAAGAAATATGGCTTTAGAGAAATCGAACACCTAAATGTCAATAAGTATCTACGATATATAAAAACTGTCTTAAAATTATATTTTAGGAAATTTTAATTTCAAATCCGTGTCAAAAGAAACATGCCAAATGCATTAAATATAGTGAAATATTAACAGTCTTTGTGCATTTTATAGAGTACAGTCAGCTAGAGACTGGTAACATGTAACTATAGATAGAAATAATGAAAATCGATATGCAAACTATGCGACCCGTCTTACAATTAGTTACAAATAATAAGTATAAGCATTAGTACTATAAATAAATAAACTATATATAACTAAACAAAAGGTTCCCAGTACTTTAAAGTAATATTTATATAAATTAAATATAATGTTAATATTTTTAATATTATTATTTAATGATATAATTAAAGACCTACTACTATGTAAAAATCTCTTCTCACAAGACAAAAATAAAACAAGAATTTTAGCCTACGACCTACCACCTCGCTTGTAGATCTTAGACCGTCTGGAGTGTCACGTATACACGCGTTCTCTGTTTGAACAATCTTTCACAGGACTCTATAAAATAGTGCTAGTTGATTGCGACTTTCTGCACCTCTAGGGATCTTCCTCCAGATAGCTCCAGTTATTCAATAAAATATTTTATTACACTTGCTTATCTTATAACTATTTACTGTATATTATATAACTAATTATTTTAAAATGATTAGTAATTTTATTAATAATATTACTAATTGTTTTCGCGGCTTTCGTCATCTTCCGTTTTTGTTTTTCGAAAAAATACTGTTATGTTAGTATTTTCCTTACAAAGTATCGCCCTTCCCTGTTCTTATTCTTCGACGTGTATGAAATGTTCTTTGGTTAAAATGTTTTGTTTAACTGATGGAGTACCTACTTCCTTCTATGTTTATTTTTACAATTTCATTTCATTATCCAATTATCACGTAGTCGAAGCCGTAACGTCTAGAATAAAACAATACGTTTTGATTTTTAATAACAAGCAGGTAAGTATAATTTTCTATACGAATAATCTTAATTCTTTTGTTGCAGCACTATCTACTTAGTAAATGATAGAACAAAATGTTGTTAAAGAAATCGACGAAAAGGTGCTGATATACAATGAGTTTGTTCGTTGACTTGCGTCAAATCAAGTCTTCTGTTACAAACCTTTCAGATATGGTTGATAAAATATCCTCTTCTACTCGACCAAAAGATACAACACCCGAACAACTTCCAAAAAAAGAATCTTCCATGCTGTACAGTAGCTCAATGTATAAACCGAGTACTTTAGGGTTTGGGGTTCGGTTCTCCAGTCAAGAGGACATTTATAAAGATATGCCATCTTCGAGGTTACGAAGTCACATGTCTCTACCAAACTTAGGAAAAACAGATACAAGCTACGACAGGCCTGGTACTTCCAGATACAGTGATCGTCCAAAAATTGTAGAGATAGACGAAAAAAGTGATAAAAATAGCAAGTCTACAGTACATTTGTCTTCAGAAAGCCTCAGCGATTTAATAGTAGCCTCAATAAACAGACGTCCTCACTTCGACGATAAGGGGGATACTCATCCGATGGATTTCTTAGAGAACATAAAGTACTTTATTTCTGAATTAAAAATGACCCCAGAGAAACAGTTGCCTTTTATAATATCTTGTTTAGACGGAGTACCGCTTATGTGGGCTCGCTGCTTCAGAAGTGAATTTAAGGATGTCGACAGTTTTTACGATATATTTGAACAAGAATTTTGGGGTGCCGACAGGCAAAAATCAGTTTTGTATGACATGAAACTTGGAAAATACGACGAGACGAGCTCCCGTATGAGCATGTCAGAATACTTTTTGCACAAAGTTTCCAATTATAGACATTTGAACCCTCCACCTTCAGATTTAGAAATAGTATACTCTTTGGCAGCCCATTTCCCGTCTGCCGTGGAATTGGAACTGCGGTTGGCACCAAAACCTTCTTTACGGGAGGCGTATCGAATGCTTCGTCGGAGAGAGGGCGAGAACGCTGACTTCCTTCCCAACTATTTGTACGAAATGTGTGAAGCGTTTCAACGTGGCTCGAGGCCAGAATCAGCACGACGTCCTGACTCCTCGCCCTCGGTATCAAAAAACGAACACAGAAGCAAAACTAAATAACGAATTATAACAATAAACAGAAATCCTTTATTTTATATGCACTAGTGTTATATTGAGTATTATATAAATACGTAATTTTAAACAACACTGCCATTTTAAGTAGGTGATTTTAAATATTCTTAATTTAGAATTTATATATACATATAGCGTAAATGTATATAATATTTAGAAAATATATGATAAAATAAACGTTTCAAAGAATTGTTCAGTTGTTAACTTTCTTATTCCTTTATCTCTAAAGAGCGTAAGGACGACAATGGTTGTATCACATAGCGTAAATGCTACGGCGATGCTACGATTGTGTCGTATCGTATCTTTAGTTTTGTTAAAATATTCCATATTGTCAAAATTAAAATGTAGTATCATATCAAATTATTTTGGACTGTTATTTTCCTAGTAGCATAATGCATATATTACCATTCCTAAGGACAAGCTATTTCAATGCATAATCTAGGAATAATATCTCAATGATCTCAATCGGGAGTATTTGTCGTAACCTGAAGCAATTAGAAATCGAAATCTAATATTTTCTAATTTTGAGCCGACTTAAAAAAGTAGGTTCTTAATTCGGTGGTGTTTTTTTTATATTTCTTGCCTCACAACTCCGTCTATTTAGTAAATTCATTGTTATCTGGAAGGATATATTTGCAGATTGGTCTCATAGAAATTTTATTAAAATCGGTACGGTAGTTTAGTTTTTAATTTAACATTACTCTTTTATTAAATCAAAATAACTGATTTTGCCACGATTGAAGTCAGTTTCTTTTTGAGTACCACGATCTTCAATTATAAATCTATACATACAAAATCGTCTGTTTTGTCCTATCAAAGCACAGCTAGGTTTATTTTATATCTACTATGAAATAATTTTTAAAAACATGTAAACTGACTAATGTCAGTTTACTATTTCATTACTTGCTGCCACAATTTTTAAAACCAACCATTTCATGGTTTAAAAATATGTAGTCTTAGATCACAAGCTGCTTTTGGAAACGTAAATACTTCTCATCATCATCATATATATCATCTTGAGGGGCTGAAATTAAGTGAAAAATATTTAAAAAAAAATATTCACTTATCATCATTAAGTACAAATGTACTCACACAAAATATTAAATAATAATATATAATAAGAATATTAGGATTTATAAAATCGGTTCAGAAACACTTAGTTTTTTTTTTAATATTCATGCAAAAATTTCATAGTGGTTAGTATAAAAATCTAAAATGGCATAGCATCTTCGTTATAAATAGTTGACACTAACCTCAATCATGAAAATATTTTAATGAAATTAATACGGGAGTAAACTCTATTGATAGAAAAAAGATTGACTAAAATTGAGATTAACGTAACAAATACGCAAAAAAAAAGGTAAATGAAAATTTACACCTTTTAAAAAAACTTGCGTTGCGTTAAATCTCAAATATGAATTTAAATATGTGTAAAGAACGCATTAGTTTAAAATTAACTAAATATATTAAGACTTTCATACTGATACGGTGCGTCCAGTTATCAAGAGAATAATTCTAAATATTTGTTCTTTTCCGTTCCATCTTTCTTTCGGAAAACACTCAGTTTCACTGATAAAACTGTTCCATTAAAAGATGATCCTTGAATCTCTAATGATTTTGAGTTCAGTCTGTAAGCATTTATAAGCTTTCGTAGTAACAGAATCTACGTGCGCCGCATACCTAATATTATATTTCCATTATTTTCCCCTTTTATGTAATAGATAGTCCCATAACCGTTTACGACAACGATCTCTGATAAGATTTCATTAATTATTTTTGTTTATTTATTGTGTTTTAAAAATACAACCGTGTCAGTTGCATAGAATTGTAAGTCGATAGTTTGTAGATATAGATAGTTATTTAATTTACGAATACTTATTGGATATATCTTACTAATATAATAAAATTGTAATTTAACGATATCTGTACATGGAAGATATTTAGAATAGACTGATATCAAAGTCTTAATAAGAGCAATAGAAGCCGTAACAACAATTTTTATAAATTTTGTCTGCTAGTCCGTCTGTATCATGCAAAAGCTACTGCACCAAATTGAATGCAGTTTTCACAGTTGTGTTCATGAAGGTTTCACTTTAAATCTGGTACGTTCTATCTTGATACACTATCTAGAAGTGGTCTATTTCTTTAATTTTCTTACATCTGAAGTCCACGCATATGACGTAGCGAGTAAAAAGTTAGTTTGAAAATATTTTGCTTCCTGCATTTAGGAATACTAAATTTAGATATTGAATAAAAACTAAATTGAAAATTTCAGAGCTTTGCACGAAAAGGAAGGCAACTGGACGGAAAGTGATTGTGGCGAGGCGCGTCGTAGCGGTGCGTTATGGGGTGGGCAGAGCCGTGTGTGTCGCCGCCAAGTGTCCGCGATGCCGCACGTCGCGGCAGCAGCGCGACTCGCCCGTGCCGCCTGCCTCAACGCACATGCTGGCGACAGGTGGAACTGTTCCTCTATTGAACTTGCACCCAAGTTCACGCCCGACTTGCTTACAGGTATATTTTTTTACTTACAGTATACAGGCTTATAGTTTTATTTTATACCACAAAAATGGCAAGCAAGCATACAGTCCAATTAATGGTAAACGATTACAGTAGTCGAAGGATACCTACAACCAGCGATGACACATGCGCGGTACCTAAAAAGCTTTTTTAAAAATTTTATACTGTAGTTCCTAAAAAAATAGATAAGAAGCATTTGCGGAAGGAAACTCCCCTGGAACCGTACTATACATGACCAAAAAGTTCTAAAGTTTGAGATTTAATTCCCTAAAGATTGGACAGATTTCATGGAATTTTGGTGCCCTTCACTATGTATATCACGCAAGAATTTATTTTGTAACTATGCTATCACAAGTATACAGATTAGCCATGGAAAATAGACTGACTAATATCTATTGACGGATATATACATGAATTCTGTAAAGAACTACCTTATGGAATTCATATCACGTAAAGAGTATATATTTGCCCGTACATACCTAGTTGTCCTAATGGGTTCCGTTTTGCCTAGAACGACTAGGACTTCCGACAGTAATGAAAGATAAGGGAAGGCAAGTTTGTCGACTCTTTTAAATCAGAGTGAAGGCATTATGCGGACGCGGGCGGCGTGACGACAGCGCCCTTTCTTTAGCGTCAGCGGGCGAAGCGGACGGGGCGCTCTTTTTATTTACACGTCGCATACATGGTATATTTATCGCTTCACGGACAATTAATTTTTAAATTACACCATTGTTTTGGATATTTAATTCATGAGTTCATTAATTTACGTCGTCACGCTTTTACTGTTGTCTCGATTGAATCAGTTATATGGGCATAGCAAGCACATATAACAGGTACTCGTAGCTATTATAATATTATCACGTGCGGTATAATTTTCAATTATTATCTATTATCGAATAGTTATACTGTAATCGGTACAGTAATCTCCAGTAAAATACATAAGTGATGCTGATATAAATAATTATAATCAAATTATATACTTTATTGATATAATCGTACTTCATAAATGAGATCTATCCACATATATGATATATATGTGGAATGCCCTAAGGATTTCTCATCTCCTTACTAAAAAGAGTTTTAGTGAAATCCCACAGGAGTAGGATAACTAATGGGTCCAGGCGGGCGAAGCTTTCTTTCTAAATTGAAAAATATTATTTCTCTATACATATATAACGTTACATTGTGTAGTTAGGACCTTTTTTACTTGTATGTGAAGTAGATATAGATTCAATGTAATGTCAGAAACTTAGTTGATGTGATTTTAGTATGAGTAAGATGGCGGACTAGTAGTAGCCAAAGATTTCTGTAACTCCTTATTTTTAGATAGTACCTACCTACTTATACTTGTTGAGAACATATGTATTCCTACATGAAAATATATTTCTACCAAACGTGGACATGTGACCTTTTTCCCAGAGAAAAGAAACGTGGGTCGAAAAATAACAAAAAATATTTAGCCTCTACTTTAATCAGGTCAACGCATGCTTTTAAATTTCTCTTTCACCCTTTAAAAGAAATCCAATTGAGTTTATAATATTTTAAATTATTGGAACATATTCGTATTATCGTCACAAGTAACTTCCGAGTTCTAACCAAAAACTATACATATTGTAACCGATTATACAAAAATAAAGCAAAAACTACGTTTCATAATGACAACGTTACATTATCGATGCGTAAGGAAGAAAACGTTTAAATAACAAAAGTGATCACGCGATCCTCGGAGCTGGTACGGAGACGGAGCCCGACCGACATGTCGTGAGCAGTCACACCGTGACATGACCACCTGTGCGCCGACTATTGATTCTTTCGAAAAATTAACAACTGAAAGTCCTACTTATAGCGAAAGAAATGGCATGCAAATTATTGATTTAAAATTCGTAAACCTATACTCATACTGAGTAGTCGGTTGGTGTACCAACAATACATTGATTGATACCAATAATATAGCTCAACTATTGGTATAGTAAATACATATTTATTTTATATGTTTTTGCAAATTTTAATACTGAAGTCTTGATCAAGTTATCAAACTAATGTATACTAGGGTTAAGAAATTGAATAAAAAAATCTCGTTTATTATATTTTTTTATAACTAGTTTAACATAGTAGACATCTGTTGATGATATCTATTGGTTCTCCATTGGTGACGAAGTATTAAAAGCGTTCATTTTTTCACCCCCAGGTTATTATAAGAGGCAGCTCGGGAAACAAAAATAAAATGCATGAGAATAAAATCTCGAAATAGAACTCCATGCCAAGTAGTGTCATAATAGAAAGCCAATATCTTGTTTTTATGGGAAGGCATGCCCTACGGTAAAATAGTTATTATGGACTATAGTATTTATTTTTGTTAAATGGTAAATGCAACAAAGCGCTTATTATTTCATGTTATTATACCACCGTTGTACCTATCTTCCTTCCCGCATTATTGTACCTATTTAAATCAAAACAGTAAAGAGGTAGCAGTATGCCTAATTTCTTGGACAAAAGGTATAATAGGAGACAGGTGTGACAGATATGTATGTAAGGTATAATGAATCCGGCTCAAAGGACCACAACAAAAAGACAACGATTATTGTTATAAAGTTTATTTAAATTAACCAGTTTTGATATAAGTATAGTTAAAATGAATGTATAGTTAACATGGTGAATATTTAAGGAATTTAGGAATCGAAATATTAGTTTGTTTAACGTGAACTGAACTGTAATATTTGTCATAAATAATAATTGTGGATTCGACAAAATGTGTTGAACCATACCATAATATACGAAGATAATACGTACTAAAACTGATGTCCATCACAAAGACGATCTCGTTAGTGATCGCAACGGTCCTTTGTACCTTTGTACCTAACAAAGAATATAAAAATCCTATAAGTGAAAAATTCCTTTTCACATCCAGACGTTCACAATGAACTCTAAGGGAGCGAATGTAAAAAACAACTACGTGTCTAAAAGTTAGAAATAGAAAAGAAGACAAACAATAGTGAAGATTTTTTATCGGACTTTTAGCATGGTTCGCGACATTCTGTAACAGTAGGTACTATTTGGCAGCGAGAGCTGGAAGTCGTCGGCTGACGGCCGGAAACGCAGTACGAAATACGTACCTACCTACGGTGCATTGTTTTTGGTCACCACGTCCGTCGGCGAGCGTCTACCCACTTTAGGAAATTAATTGACACGGAATGTTGTCGACTACAAACAAAACCGTTAGGAATCTTCGAAACGCTCCCGGCTTGATACAGTCATTTTAATTAAAAGTTTACGAAGCGGCGAATAACGTCTGTGGTTGTTGCGGTAATGAACGGAGAATAACTTTTCATTAAGATTCTAAAGTAGTCTAATTTTTACAAAACACCGCTACTAGTTGTCCAAATAAGCAACATATACTTAGTCTCAGTGTAGGAAAGAGTTCTTTACACTGTGATAAATTATTATAGACGATCGTTTTGTAACGTATGTATAGTAAAGCAGCGAGTCGTTAATTATTATAAATTCGATATACGTTTTTCATTTTGTGCTTGGGAAATGAAACTGAATGAACTACTATTTGTTAGCGGATTTCGCCCTCTGGTGAAGAGTTCCTAGGCCATCTTCATTGTACATGAATGATGTATATTTAACTAAAAATTTACATAATTATTTTAATATGCATATGTATAGGTACCTATACATTTATTACATTTATAATAATTTTTACTTTTCCATAAAACAATCTACGTATATTCTTAATCAGACTGTTGACATCAACGAAAGCATAAATCATTCAGCAAATCCATCTTGATGGAAGGACTTTTTTTCTATAAAAGTTATCTTTGGCCTGTTAAATTAGGAAAGCTTTCGAAGGACCGCCTTACAATGCGATCAACGGCAAGGGTCGAGCTACAGCGAAACGGACAAAAGATTTAATTACACGCATGAATCAAGCACGAGGGTGCGGGACGGTGAAGGCGACGGCCAGGGGAGGGCACGAGAGCGATAACCGCGAGTGGTGCACTCACGCGCGATTCTCGCAGCCGATGTGCTATGTGATAAGCTAGCTCGACGGCATTGTTTAGCCCGGCTAAGGACGCGTGTGCGGGCGTTATCGCGATCTTTCCAATGGATACTGTAGAATCTACAAAAGTGATGAATTTGATTTTGGTAATTAGGCACTCGAGAGCAAGCGTACGTGTACGCGATGTCGGCGGCGGCGCTGGCGTGGTCCGTGGCGAGGGCGTGCGCTGCGGGCGCGCTGCCGGCCTGCTCGTGTGCGGCACCGCCCCGGGCGCCGCCCCGCCCGCCGCGCCAGGCTCAGGTTACACCAGCCGAACCACATGCACGATTCAAGTGGGGAGGATGCGGTGATAATTTCCAGTGGGCTCAAAGGTAAGATACCAATAAAAATATTATAACAACATTGCTGATCTTATAAATAAATAAAATAAAATATGTGAAATTATCAATCAAAAGTGTGAAAATATTCTAATTACAATTAACTCCTAAGTATGTCGTGTTTAAACCACCTATTATTTCAGGTTTGCTAAACAATTCTTAGACGCACACGAGATAGACGTACGAGATGGAAGGATAGAAGACTTTTTTGAAGAGGAGACCACGACTACAGAACTCAGTACAACAGTTACTATGGAACCGACAACGGTGCCACCGGTGGTGATATTGGTGGATGATCAACCAGCGCCAACCAACACCACATCACGTCCAAAGACAGGGAAGAAGGGACGCCGTGGTCGCAAACGGTTGCCGAGGTCACCTCGACGTGGCAGACCTACAAGGAAACGATTTAGATCAAGGTTCAATCTTTACTATCACTGAATACTTAATATGCTTACAACAACTATTTAAACACTGACGTCCGGACTTTTATTAATTCTGATTAGCAACAACTTTTTTCACAATTTCTTCTGATCATATTATTACATCAAAATTATGATGAGTAGGTATGGTATGAATAAATAGTCCGCAATCGTACCTGTATCCTGTTATAGATCCGTCTAGAAATCAAGCCACTCAGTAATGACGAATGGTTAAATGTCAAACCCACAATACTTAACCACTTTTTAATATAAAAAGGTATTTTGTGCTAGCAGCTCTGAATAGGTTTGAAATATGATTGATTGGTACTTGCTAAACTTTCTATTAACGTGAAGTATGCGTTTGTGTATGGACAGATAATGGCTGAGATAAAGATGATGTGTTTATGTGTATATGTGTGTGTGTTTTTATAATTTAAGATAGCACGCACACTTGATCAAAATAAACTCTATAAGGTTCAAGTTATTTAGGTTTTATAATTTTCACAACTCTCTAAATAATTTATTAATCGCTTAATGCAGATACGAATATGAAGACAGAGGATCTCGATACCGCAACATTGAATACCGCATGGCTGCGGACGATCCACGTTTCGATCCTCAAGTGGATCTACGCACACGTCTCGAACGCTTGCGTCCATTGATAGCTTCCGCCAATCTTCTCAACTACCGTTTCGGACGAAACGTGAGGAAACAAACATTTTTTTCTAAATTTAATCAGATTTTAGACGTAAAATTTCGTATTCATAACACATGATATTATGTCTGTAACTATGTAATATTTATTTATTTAATGCTTTATTGTACACACTAATAATAGTTAACAGAGGTAAGCAAATGTACAAGGACGAGCTTAAATCAAAGAGTTCTCTTCCAGCAACCCCAAAGTGGAAATGAACTGAAGTAAACTGGATTAATTTTGACTACCATACAGACAAAATCATGAGTACAACTAGTGAGAAATCTGATGGTAAATTTACCTGTGTATTTGTGGTAGTATTGTATTTTTATCCCATATAAAAAAGAAATTTACATACTGTAAATCTAAATAAGGTGGTGGCAATTTTGGGCAAGTCGTCTCTCGTATCTACGTAACACTCAATTACCAATATTGAAATGGTATGCAAGAGATCTCTTTTCTCTCAAAAGGTAGAAAATTCTCTAACTGGTGACTCCAGTATTACGAATCCGGTAAATGAACCACTATGAAACATTTTCCAATTGGGAAATTAGCTACCCACAATCGATGTTGCATATGATATCCAACCATGACTAAATATAGAGAAACATGACGCAAAATTTCAAGCGGTTAAATTGTATAATAAATTACCCACTACATTAAAAACTATTAAAGACTGGAGAATTTTGAAAATAAAACTTTACACTCTTTTGTTGGAAATGTGCATCTACTCAATTGATGACTTTTAAAATATTCTTTAAATATTTTATGCCTTACTAATGCCATTTGTAAATCGATTGTAATGTTATTTTTGACAATTATTATTGGTTACTTTATTGCTTCATATTTTTTTGTTTTGTTATATTTTATGATATCTTCTTGTCACTTGTAAAAATATTCAACACAATGCAGTATTGTAGCGAATAAAAATAAATTGAAAAAAATGACACAGGTGGTGTCGAGCGGTATGCGCACCAAGTGCACGTGCCACGGCGTGTCCGGCTCGTGCTCGGTGCGCACGTGCTGGCGCGCGCTGCCGCCGCTGGCGCGGGCGGCGGCCGCGCTGGCGGCCGAGGCGGCGCGCGCCGGCCCGCTGCGCCCGCGCCGCCGCGCCGCGCGACGCGCTCGCCCGCGTCTACGCTACGTCACGCCCAGCCCCGACTACTGCGAGCCCGACCCGGCAGCCGGCTCGCTCGGCACTCACGGCAGGTAACGTTCTTTATTTTTAATTTTTTTTTTTATACAACTTAGAATGGCAAACAAGCTGACGGCCCACCTGATGGAAAGTGGTAACCGTCGCCTATAGACATGAGCAGTACCGTGGACATAACAGAGATACTGTTTCGCCCATGATACCCTCCATGCGTTGCCGTTCCTGAAGACTCAGGTGTTATTCCTCTGTACCTAGTAAATTCACGGCATCGACCTACCCTTTATTTCTACCAAAATACGTGATACGAAACATGCTTTTTTTATACAACTTAAAATAGCAAATAAGCTGACGGATTGACTGATGAAAATTTGTAACCTACAGTCGTGAAAAGCACAAAAGACATCACAAAATACACGGTGAGGCCCGTGGTGCCCTTCATTTGGTATAATTGCTGTGAACATATATATCAAAGAATTATAATCTAAGCATAGAACATAATAATATAATTATTATGTTCTATACTTAGATTTCTAATAATAGCTATGCAATTACAACTTCTTCATGACAAAAACAGAATGGGACAAACCACTCAAATAGCAAATGACTTTTATATAGTTTCGCTCGAGTGAGATGGTAAAGTAACAATGAAGTGATCTTAAATTTCCATGATGCTAAGGTCAGTTATTCGTATCATCGTGCCCTGCACGATCACGGAAACCCTAGTTACCCTAACAAAACGCTTGTTTGTTGCAGAAAATGTAACGCATCTGTGGGGAGCGGACGAGGTGGGTGCGGGCGGCTGTGCTGCGGGCGCGGGAGGCGCGCAGTACGCTCGAGCCGCCTCGAGCGCTGCCACTGCCGCTACCACTGGTGCTGCCGCGTCGACTGCCAACTGTGCCGGCTCACCACTGAAGAGCACTACTGCAACTGAGTCGCAAGTGTGACTTGCACAAAGATTCATGTTACGACTGCGTTCACGTTTATGTAAACAAGTTTTTGCAGAAATCTAAATTTGTAAAAGTATCCGCTAGACGCGCTGCAAGTTTTCAAATTATTAATGTAAACAGTAACGCACTACTATAAATCTGTGTTCAAATTCACACTAAGGACTCCGATGCCCAGCACTCAACGGACGCCGTTACGACCGAAAACTACGTAGTTATTTTCGATCTCTGAATTTTGTATAAAATATTTAGATGGAAATTAAAAATGGGCAACTAGAAAAAATATGATTCCTGTGACGCGTTCTTCATAACATTACTAGTAAATTAGATCTTGTAATTAATATTTCTATAACTTACTTATACAAGCATAGACATGCACAGCCGGAACAACCCTGGATATACTTTTTGTCAATATACCATAAAAACCTAGTATACTTATATAGGGCTGGAGATATCAATTATCCTATTATTGAAAAGTCGTTCAAATTTAATGAATTTTATGGTTTTGACTTGGCATATCCACTGTATAAGTATTATTATACCGTTTTTTTATTTCATATATCTTTGTTGTTTTACGATGAAACTGTTAATATACCAACAATAAACACCATCAATATAATCAACTATATAACATAAAATTTATTTGCAAATCGCCTTTGAACATCTGAAATCAAAGGGCTGTGTCCTTAACCTCAATGGATCGTTCATAACAAAAGTCATTCGTCTGTGCGTATCCTAAGCCTACTATGCATGCAGAGCAAATTATTGTACTATAACTGTGAATATGATGAGCCTGCGAGTGTTGATTACTTCTCTTTGATAGAGGCTACTTAGGTATTCACATAAAAACCAAAGAACTACTTAAATATACCACTATTCCAATAAATACTATATTAATACTCTAATACCTAGTCATTCTAATGTTTAACGCTTTACTATGTAAAAATCAATTGTTGTTCTAAAATATTAGCGTTAGTTTAGTATATAGTTATATAAATAGATTAGTAAGGCTGGCACTCAGTAACGACGTGCCGTCAGAACAAATTGCAGTACTTAGAATGCTGATTACCTATATATTTGTAGATTCATTTTGACACATATCGAAATTTTAATATATATGTTTATAATGTATAGTGTATCTCGACAATAATGTGTTGTAATAGAAATACCGTCTCAGCATGGCGCTATAAATATAGCTCCGCACAAACTTTACAAATAATAATCGATGTCATTAAGATTTTGTATATAGTTTTAATAAATATAGTGATAGACTAATGTTGCTAATATCTCTGTCGTAGAGCGTAATTTACACTAGAATTCCTTAATCTAGAAATAAAAGTGTCCGTTTTGTCTAGTTTTTTATGATTAAGCCACTTATTCTAGGGTTTCCGGTCTCGTTTCGATTTTTTGGACTTCGATTTTGAAATTTCTTAGAGCAATCTAGCACTTAATAAATCAAACTAAATCAATAACAATGAATAATAATTAGAAATTTGTCATTTCTTGTATCTTTTTTCTTCATGAATCGATTTGAACTTTCCGATTAAAATTGATTCAACCAAATATCGGTCATTTTGTTCGAGATTATGACCCATGAGACCCACTAAGCCCATCCTTTTAAGTCAGTTTTAAAATGGATAATAAAGAACAATTGACAGAGCCTGATAATCATACGTGTACTGTTTCTAAATTTAAAATATATTATTATAAAATAAATTTTAACATAGTAATTGTGGTAGATCATTTTTCAAAGAAATAGTTTGTAAACATGATTGTAAATAAACTTACTCGTACTTAGAGAAATGAAGTTTTAGTGTTATTACGTCGAAGCTATCCGCAATCACTGATACTTATAGGCACTAAATAACTATATAAATAAAAGGTATTTATTATGCCAATTCAATACATAATCACACATGCTCGTTAGTGACACTATATAAATTCTTCAATATTGAAACTAGTGGAAGGAACAATATTATTTTTAACTTATCAAAAATTTATAATTTGTAAGCTTTTTGTTTCTGCCCCTTGGATAAATGGCAAATTAACGTCGTGAATTTAGGTTCACGGCACTAGTTTCATAGTGTAATTAGAGTTGGATTAAAATAATCACAAGCTATTAGCAATCATTAAAAATCATAAAATACCAAACAAAATAGGTTTATTTCCAATAATAACAATAACTTTATTTCACGTATTTTATTTACAGGACAGTTTCATGTGTATGACAGTAATATAAAATTCGCATGTTGCTAATTATTATAATGGAAATAAAAAGAAGTAGAAAACCTAAACTGAAAGACAATTGTGTTCTTTCTTTACAACATATGGAGAAATATTGAGATCTTGTTTAATTTTACCTACCATAACACAGGTTAAATTATACAAATATCTTGATTGACTATTGACAAAAAAGTGAATGAAAAATAGAAAAATAATATCTCATTGATAATTAACAATCATAGAAAAAAAAAGTACTTATTATCTAACATCACATCACTTTCTCTTATCATTATTGATGCATTGGAATAACATTGGAAAAATACTAAATAGAATAAAGTCTATAGTAAAATCATATTTCACACGGTATCTACATTACATTACATAATACTATTTTGTGAGAATGAATGGCCACAATAATTAATACGCAGTTCGTCTTCAATGAGTACACAAATAAGTAGAACCAAGACTAACAATAATAGTCTGCGACAAAGTACAAAATATACGGTAAGTTGGTAAGTATATTGATATATTGTTTACAGGACACTTATTACTTACTATCATATTACAAATTTTGTAAATAAGTAAAACTATCAGAGGCAAATACATATTTTTAATGCATCTACTCAAAAAGTGAAATCAGGTCGTTAACCTAATTGACTGGTTCTTTAAACTATAATACCCTATTATGAGCAATCAAAAATGAACGCAAAAAGGATAAAACAATTATTTGAGCCAATTCAGAACAATTCCTAAATTGACTTTACTAAGACTCGAAACAGAGACATCAAATATGCTAAGCAGAGTGCCTCCTATCGTGTCACGACAGATATTGTCTTAAACGAAAATGTATAACCATAAGTTTTAATTAATCCCTATTTTCACCACATCTATTATTTTTCTTGTAGATGTAATAAAAACACTATTTACTACATTTACATATACTAAAAAAAAGTACAGAATCCTATGGTTTAATTTATACGGTCGTCAGTATAGTATCTATCCTTTTATACAATGCACCAATATTATTTTATCATAATCATAAATTCACTAACAATATGAAGTCAAACTGTAAAAAAGCTAGCTGTGCAACATCTTAATATTTTGGGATACAAAGGCTTTCATTTAATTAGAATATATTTTTAAAAGTTCGGCAACTCTTCTGATAATATTCATGGGATCATTTATGCCCAAACTCATTTATCTCCAGCTCCCATAAAAAAAAGTAATTCTTTAGCGGTTATCTTTTTTTTTTAGATTATTTTTGTTTATTATTATATGTTTTTGTAATTAACCATTTAAAAGTGCTAGGAATATTTTTCATTCACCGAAATACTATTTAAGAAACTAAAAAATATCAGTCCCGTATCGTTAAGACACATGATCCTACTATATTTAGGTAAGTATTTAGAAACCTGTAGAGAGATTATTGACATTCTGGCATTTACTGTTATTTTGCCATCATATAGCAATTCCTATTGAGCGAACACAACTAACTACAAACTGATTGGTCTCGATTGGAGACGATTGTATTCAAATCAACCAAAACAAATAATGGAATAACTAACTATTAATATTACTGCCTCATTTCATCATAACTCGGTGTGTTGCCCATGTTCTTTTTCTGTAAGAAAAAACGGAAAAAATGTTTAAAGAATTTAAAAATAAATATAGTTATCAAATTCATAAATACTAATTTTTTTCTCGATATTATATAAAATGTACTTGTTCGAAATTTTAAATATTTATTACAAAGAGCAAAGTTAACGTGTACGTGTAGTCTTAATTTTATTTATGGAAATCATATCTCGAACATTAACTGGAAATTTGAATTCACCGTTTTAGACAGAAAAATAAAACTATAGGTTCTTTAAGCAGTTAACTTTATCCTAACTCCGTTTAGCATAAAGATCTTCTTTTGATCATTTTAAAAATGTTTAATTCATATGCTAATATTCAGTTATATATACTTACTTATATGGTTTCCAGTTGGAAGGTTCTCATCATGGGGAACATTTTCTATTTCCTGGAATGGAAAAACAAATTATAAAAATGAGCTAATGAGCACATGAGCTGCACAAAATAATTTGTTAGCGGTCAGCCGACCACAAATTCAATTAAGCAATCAGTATAATAAAAAAAAATAATATATTAACGCATCTGTAACGAATATTGTTAATCTTTTTCTATATATTCTATAATAGAATATAGACCTATAGAATATAGAATTTTTACTTTAATACCATCACACTTATTATATTGATGCGCCTTTCCCAACCAAACACAGGCCTCTACGAGTAAACATACAAAACAATATTATATACAAAAAACGTAACTTCAATCAAATTAGAAAATTGTCTCAACAAAACCGTGTAAATAAAATTTGTCTCTACTGATTAAACATACATCTACTCATGGTAAGATTGAAGGTTAACATGGTATTAATTGTGGTAAAATATTTAAAATTGTAAATTTTGATGTATAAACATAATACAAATATAAAAGAAGGTCGGACAAGATTCATAGTAATGACTTTAGCTGCTCTATCTAGAATAATTATACTCAATATTTAATTATATACAAAATATCTAGTGACCTGTTCGTGGTCGGCGGCCTGGTACAGTCCGCGGCGCACGCGCGCCTGCAGCGCTTTGATTTCCTCGTCGTACTCGCGCCACTCCGGCACTATGCGCATTGCGGCCGACAGCTTAGCCTCCTTTGTCATTGGGTTGTTGCACTGCACAGAACACATTATATATAATACCAGCTTTTGCCCCCAGCTCTGTACCCATCGATTTTGGAAGTAGGAAAACAAATAAAATAGATCAACTTCTTTATAGCGTAATAAAACAATTTTAAATTGACTTTTAGGAACTCTGCTGAGAAAACTGTTTTTACATGATGTCGTAAAAACAGACAAACACATAGACACATTCTAAATTCCAAAAATTACTACTTTGGCTATTATTGCTCTTATTAACAATACCCTTATATTTTTTCTTAAATACATCCTATGTATAGACATTATCTATTTACAATTTTATTATATGTAATTTATTACTTAACCAGACATTTTTTTTGCAATAAGTATTATTAGAAAAAAAATTAAGCTTTTAATCATTAATAATTAAAAAACTTACAAAATATAATACATAATACTTGCAGAAGTATTGTATCGAATTCATACTTACCAAATCAATAGTTTTGGCGTACTTCTTCGACTTGTCGTCGCACCACGTTTCGCACCACAGCCATTCCTGCGGCAGCGACTTTATAGCCACTTGGTGTATCATGTTGTTCGGCAAATCTTGATCTATAAACCGTTAGAACAATTTTAAATATATTTTAATACCCTCAAAAAAATCCTTACAAAATTTTAATACAATAAAATTATTTCAGAGTAATTAATAATAGTAATTAGCAATGTTGATAATTTACCTACTATTAGAAACAATGTTCATATTTCATTAGATAAACATGGATAGGCGCAAAACTACTTTTTCGGGGGGGGGGATATTGTTAGAAATGATGATTGCTAGCAATATACCTCCATGTGGTCCTGGAAATCATCGTGTTGAATTTCAGGTGTATTCTACATGATAGGTGAAAGGCAGGTCAGTTAGACCTGCCTTTTCATTCTCACTTATCATGCATCACTGATGTCCCGCCAACGTATACCGTTAGCGCAGACAGGGCTACCATTCCATTATCATCCATTAAAAAAACTATTTACTCGAGTATTTTAGACTATTAGTACTAATTAGAATTAAAAGCAAGATTGCTAGTCTCCCAAATTGCATAGTTTCTTAAATCCAATAACAAGAATAATATTAAAACAAATAAGTTATAACCTAAATTAGAAAGACTGTTGGGGTCCTGGCTCAGAGCTTGGTACTGTCCGCGTAAGCGGTCGCCGGCGGCGATGCGGCGGAACCGTTTCAAGTCCACTACATATAATGCGCTGATGTGATAGCTGCGGCCCTGCAAATGGTTGCGCCAGTAACCCTGCTTCCAGAACCTGTGTCAACGATTACAACATTTTATATGAAAACTTACAAAAAAATTCAATGGGTAATAAGTATTACTAATCCCTTTCTCAGGGGGGAGAGGGATTCTTAGTAATGGGGGCATTAATCCCCATTGCTAGCAATATACCCTGTCAAGTCGACCTCCATACGGTGATTGATTTTTGTCAGATTTGTCACAATGGGCTAACTGACCTAGATACGCGAGGATAAACCTATCACCACTCACTAGTTCCCCGCCAGCGTATACCTGTAGCGCAGACGAAGTCATCATTCCATTCTCACCTATATAAAAAAAAACTCTTTCTCATTTTTTTCATCATTATAAGCAAGAAAATTTTCTACAGGTTTTATTTTAAATATAAAATGTGTGACCACCCGGTTGAAGTGTACTAGTGTTTCTCATTATATAGGTAAATTCAAATTCCAGACATCCAAACCTTATATACGCTATACTTAAAAATATCTACCTAAATCCTTCCATCTCCTTTCTGCTGTCACAGAACGGCGTATAGCCGTAGGGTGCGCCACCCAAATCCAAATCAACTAATTCTTTCAAATCCGCTCGCACAATCTGTAACAATAGTTAAACTATTACATTACACATTTGAAAATTACATCTAATTATAAATGCATATGATCAAGATTAACCTGATCAGCGTCAACGAAGATGATTTTCTTGACATGTAGCGGGAACAACACATCGAGGAATAGAATCTTGTAGCCCCAAATAGTGCGCTGGCGGTCGCGTTGTCGTTGCAACCAGCGCGGCCATTGGTATTGCACCAGCTCATATTCAAACCCGTACTCTTGTGCCATATACGGGAGACTATCCTGTAATTAAATAGTTCAATGTTAATATAATAATATGTCACACTAATGTGATAGATATATAGACTTTGTAGAGCTGAAATCAACTTTTTCAGATGTCTTTGTGCTGGATACAAAATCTCTCCCATTTGAGAGGATATGATCTACTATTACCATTATGACCAGACGGCTGGGTACAATGTCTTATATATGTATCTTTTTCTTGCATTGATGCACTGCATTTTGTTCTACTAGTTGTCTCTGTCAATCACCTTTTTATACCGGAAATAAAAAGGAGTAGGATACACATTTTTATTATTATTTATTATTAAATATAATATAAGTCTAGCCTGTCAAATTAAAAAATAAACGATTCAATTTACCTTGAGTGAAGGACTAAGATAGTTTTTAAGAAACCAGAACTTGACTGGTGATTTGGTATTTTTGAGGACTGACAACATCATAATGCGCAGGAATCGTTCGTAAAGATGCCCTGACGCCACCGAAAATACGTTTATAGTTTCATCTTGCACTTCTTGCTCCTCGCCGCCTCCGAACGAACTATTAACAAAATTTGCACCATTAAGAGATAATCGACATTTCCCAATATGTGTGTACTTTGACATACGAGAGTATCAAAAAAATTAATATTTGGCAGACTGTATCTAAAATATACATGTATGCATATAGACATATAGTGGGCTTTAAACCATAGGGCAGTGCATACAAATCTCCTTAAAAGAGAAAATATAATAAATTTTTTTGAAATAGGCGAATTTGAATGTGGGTTCTTTCTTCTTTATGCAAAATGCATAATTTTAAGTTGGAATATTAACAGAGACTAGTAATTGAATATTTATACAGATTGAAGACTACTATATTACTAATTCAAACAGATAACAAAGAACTGCAATTGCGGGGAAATAGGGTATATAAAATTTGTTATTTATTCATCATTAGGAGATTAAACAACGCTGCGCATTAAAGAATGTTTTCAAAACATTGTAATATACAAAATTTGTCTATTTTTCAATGAATTAGAACATAATTCTACCATAGACATAATTCTTTCTTTCAAATCACAGACACAAATCATTCTTTTATTCATTAATTTATAGATTGTTTATTTACCTCGCGATAGAGTTCCATATGCCGCCAGAGTTGTTGTCATCGTTTTCGACAAGCAAATCTAAGTGCTGTCGATCAGGTTTCTTGTTAACACGCAGTTTGATCACGTGGCTGCGGAACGAGCTCATCAGCACTTGGATATCGGCACTGCCGGCCGGTGTATCCGTATTTTCGTGACTATAACAACATAAATTATATGATGTAATTATTATAAAAACAGTGACAAAGCAACCATTTAATACTGATTTCATTATTACATTATAAACTCTGAAATAAATATAAAAATGGAGATGTTTCAGAAATGCACGACGCCTGCATCATGTTAATATAGACAACATAAAAAAATAAGAATCCAAAATCTACACAAATTTGATATTATTTTTATTTATTTATTATTTTTTAAGAAAGCTTACAGCTGTAATATAATGGTTAACTATACATGACAATAATAAGCTAATTAGAAGTTACCACATTTAATTAACGAAAATTTAATTATTTACAATCTAGTCTAGATAATTAATAAATGTGAAAACAGGCTAAACGTCGTTAAAATCAATCAGTATTATTTTTTTCTTAGCATAGTGTTTTTTTTTTTTAACAAATTCAGTATTTTACACAATAGACAATTTACAGTGAGAAATTATGTAATCTTACTTACCCGACTATCTCATAAATATCATCGGACCGGCCGGGTCGCAAACGTAGCATCCAAGCACCAGGATTCGCTTTAAGTTGGAAGTATCCCAAGTTGGCCATCACGATGGTATCGACCATGTCGGGCCGGTCACGCGTTCCCAGTACTAGTTGCAGGCCTCGCGGTGGCGTACCCACACCCACGTCCCACGCGTGACCTTCCAGTAGTAAGTACTCTAGCTCGAATTCGCTACAAACATATTAATGTGGTTAGTATGTTTATGCTATGGATAAACACGAAAATTCTTAATAAATTTCTACGGCAAGCGCCACGATGCTCAATATATCGCGTCGCGATTAACTTAATTCAATGTCAATTAGTAATAATTTATTTGACTTTATTTTAAAAACCAAATAAAATTAGCAATATAATTATAAAATGAGTGTGTATCAAAGTTAATGCATGTATTATCTTTTTGATAGCCATAAACAAATTGTTTTCGACTGCATATACCACCCAACATACCCAAAAACATTTTTTGTGATATACAGTATGTTAATAAAATCAATTTTTTAAACTAGTGTTAGTACTACACACCTAGTACTATGTAGTGCTATTGGTACAAATGCATGTTATTTTTTTTATTTTATTTTATTTTGGAAATTTATCTACGAAAAAAAATTTTTTTTGAGCCTATATTAATACAGCTCATAACTTATTAGAATACTAATACAACTAGTATTAGTAGTTAAGGAATGAATTTTACTAATTAAGTCACTGTATACTAGAGAAATAAGGAATAATGACCTGTGCACGAGCGTGTCCACGTCAGCGAGTCTTATGTTGTCAAGATCGTACACGGATTTCACGCACTCGACGAGCCAGTTGGGCGGCGTGCGTAGTTCAAGCGACAGCAGCGGTGCGTGCGGCAACCGGCCGAAACGTGCGCCCGCGCCGCCGGTGGCTGCCCCGGTGCTCGTGAACTGCAACTCCGGCTCCAGCACGTAGCGGTAAAAACTGTAAGTATAGCGGTAATATTAAAAGTTTGCTAAGTGATATGTAATTAAATTAAGATTTTAGCAAATAGTGGAGCCGAAACTCATCGGTCAAATAGCTTTTCACACGTTTTCGTTGTCAAGAAGTTGACGCCAGAAATACAACCATCTCTGATGAGATGCTCTTATGTTCAGCCACCGGATACACAGAAGACGGAATTCAAATGGCTGGTTCCTAGTTCGCTGTGGCAATTGATACTATTGTGTGATATTTTATTATTAATGACAGTATTAGAGAATTACATAGTATTACCTTTTGAGCGGCATATCCGAGTTCTTGTCCTGCGGGTTGAGGAACAATTTGATCCGACAGTTGACGACGCGCCGCAGTACGAGCAATAACGGCGCCACGTGCTGCGCGGCCACCGATGCAGGGTCCAGCACTGCCACAATCTACACAATGCAACGTTTTTATTCCGAGATAGCCTTTACTACATCTACATGGTTTCCTGTTTAAGAGCTTTTAAAGTAATTGAAACCCAACTAAACTTCCTAGACAGGTCGAGTACATTATTAGTAACGGAGTCTTATGGAAAGACGAGGTAAACAAAGGAATTTTTATACTCAGACATAATTTCCCTTGTGGGCACAGGCTAGGAAAGTGAAAAGGCGTACCTCAATAGCAGCTTCGTCTGGTATGAGCGGCGGCAGGTCAACGAGCGAGTGTTCGGTGCGCAGGCCGGACGGCAGCGGTGTGCGGGCGCGGGGGCTCCGGGCCGCCAACACGGCTGTCGCACGCACGCGCTCGTCCGCACTCAGCGGCGCACGCTCCTCTGTAGAGCCCAAGAAAGGCATATATCGTCATAGTCGTAGAATACTGACGGATCTGACAAAGATTACATATAAAGATCCGTTGGTATTCTACGACTATGACGATATATGAGAGTTTAAACCAAAAGTGCTCTGATAGCAAATTAGAATACTTTTTAAATTATAATCAATTAGCAATATTAGAAATTGCTGTGTGGTCCCGGCATAGAAAAAGCCACGCCTTCCTATCCCGTGAGTGTCGTAAGAGCCGACTAAAGGAGGGCGAGGGATGGGCAGCAGCGTCCCTCTTAAAATATCTATAAAGCCTGACTATGATTCCCATTCCGCGTGCCAAGCGCGGCAACTACTGGCAAAACCCCCCTAGGGGGGGGGGGGGGAAGAGGAGAGGCTTATGTTTAGCGGTGGACAGTTAAAGGCTGATATGATGATGATGATGAATATTAGAAATAGCTCGATCGTTTTTTAACAATAACTGTTAAATTTAACATCACCATGGTAAGAGTGCTTTCAATTTCAAAATCAAAAATTTCAATTTATCGATACTAAACTAGATAACGTTACAACCTTAAACAAATTATAAAACGCATCAAGAATTAATCATTGAATTGTCTAAAGACTATCACTGAGATGTCACATTGATATTTTTTTGCATACATATTTGACTCATCTTCTCATCACTCCTCATCTACACATTTATATTAGTGAGCATTTACTATCTTAGTACCTGAATCGTCATCATCCAAGACATCATTCTTTGAAGTCTTCTTCTTGTCTAACACCTCTGAAATCTTGTCAGCGTAAACTCTATTGCTAAACCTGTACACAGAAAAGGTAATTTTTAATAATATATTTATTTTGATACAGGAATAAATGAAAGCTTTAGAGTAAGTATGATTGTCACTCGAGAACCTTAGCTCACTATAGACTATATCGGTCACTTAAATTTTTTAGCTTTAATCTTCGTTATATTAAATAAACGAGATGCATATTAGTGTGTTAGTTAGCATACCTTTCGAGTAATAAGAAATCGTCAAGCGTAAACTGTTCATCATCAGCGAAGGGTCCAATGAGCCGCGCGTTGTGTACTAGTGCGCGCGCGCCAGACCGCAGCCGCAACGCACGAGCACACAGCACGCGCGCCGCCCGCAGCGTCCACGCGTGCTGCTGCAAGGCTGCCACCAGCTCCGGCTAGCAAACGTATTATTAAACTACTTACTATCAGACCACTTACATCACACTTGAAACAAAAACTGTTTGTATAAAATACAATCAATTCATATAATTTGGAAATTTTACACCATAAAGGAGTTTAATCTTTTACGATACCTATCAATGGCGATATGTTGGACCGAAATATAATTATAAATATGTACCTTTGCAACATTGCAAATATTCAGTTATTATATTGTGTTTATTTTTCTAGATGGTTGCATAAACTCATTTTCCGATTTCATTACTATAAGGACAATGCCGAATCTTAAATAATATAATGATTATTTGCTCTGTGCTTAAACGTACATGGTAGTAACCCTAACGATTGCAAAAGAATTGTGAAATGTTTCAGAATCGTAATTATGAAACATTTCACAGTTGTGATACACACAAAAAAGAATTAGACAAATTATGAACCTCTTTTATTTGGAGATCGCTAAAGAATTTTCAAATACATAATATAACCTGTATATATATTTTTATATAAAATTAAAAGTTAAGTTTATGCGAAATAAGTATTATAATTATAATGAATATTATTAGAATGTATTTGATTTATTAGACTATTTACTATGAGAGACACTATTATGAGGCAATATATTTGTTCACTCACCAATATATCGCAATTTTGTTTTTCATGACACCCTTCGTCCTCTAACAGCTGCATCACATACTTAGTGGCTTTTGCGGGTTCTAAAGTGGCTAGCGCCGCTATCACCACCTTATTGAGCGACTGGTCTACACTCGGCGACCCATCCACGTTCGGTATGAACGCTACCCGGACGCCCCCGCTTTCTGTCTGTTCCATAAAACATAATCTCATTATGTCTGTTTTTTTTTGACACACATGAAACTCAAGACAAGAATGTGTTAAACCAAATTATATATCAATACAATACTAAGTACTATGTATAGCAGTGGACACTTAATGCCTGATACAATACAATATAATAATATTGTATTATATAATACCAGCCAGGTTTTGTCAATTAAATGTTGGTTGGTTAGAAATTTTTATTACTTTTTGAACTGAGCTATTTTAGAAGTTAACATCAAAATCGTTTAGATTATAAACTAATAGTAAACATCCATGATGACAGCAACAACACTATCTATTGTAACTCGACTATAAATTCAAAATAAATTAAAAAAGTTATACAGAGGCTATATATGATAAATAAAAAACAGGAGAATTAATCATTTGACTTTATGACAAAGACAATCTTTACTTTGTAATCTACAGCAATATTAATGGAAAGACATGTTCTAGTGTGACATTGAATAGACCGTTTTCGAGTAAATTAGACAGTATATTACAATTATTCTTACCATGAACATCAAAGCATTCTTCAGTAATTCTCTACAAAGCTTATCATTCAAGTCACCAGCAACCCAAATAGTTTGTGTTATCTTATCATTTTTGCCCGTTTTTGTAAAATATTTCAATAATGGCAGTGCAGTAGCTAGCGCATCGCGACCTGAAAAAAAAAAACAGAATTAGCAAGGTTTTTTTGTTTGTTAACTGTTTGTTGTTTGTTTTTTGTTGATTAACTGAGAAAATAAAAAAGAATTGCATGTTTATTCTTACCAGTCAAATGCATAAGACGATGTACTTTGTCCTCTGTAAATAGTTCACTAGAGGATGGTACGCCCGATAAGTCCAAGTACTGGCTCGAGTCAGCACCAAGAACTCGCCGATTAAGTCTGCAAGTAGTCAGGAATTATAGTCGAAATTGCGAAAAAAAAAAACGTATAATTATAGAAATAAAATTATTTTTTCATCGTAGACATTAAAATGTATGACGCTCACATTGCGATGTCTCCCATCTACCATAGGATTTTCTATCGAAATCTAAGACAACAAGGACAGTTAGTTCTAGTATTAATATAAGTACTAGAAACGACGCTGATAAGTAGTAAATCCTAACTTACCTACCTACACCAAAAGGGAGACTTTGTACAAAGTCGATTGCTTGGGTACCTCTGTCCCATTCATGTTTTAACCATGAAACAGTTGTGTTTGCATAGCTGTGTTTCGGTTTGAAGGGTGGGATATGGCGTGAATTTACTGGGTACAGAGGAATAACACCTGAGTCCTCAGGAATGGCAACGCATGGGGGGTATCATGGGCGAAACAGTATACTCTGTTATGTCCATGGTACTGCTCATGTCTATAGGCGACGGTTTACGGTTTACACTTTCTATCAGGTGAGCCGTCAGCTTGTTTGCCATTCTAAGTTGTATAAAAAAATACCTATTATAAAATTACTTTTAACGGCAAATTTGCAGTCAAACCAATAATTTTCAGTCAAAACCACTTTTGACCAACCTGTTCAGTCAATACTACTTTTGACTGGTTAAGAGTTTTGACTGCAACATATAGATATAGAAGATAGAAAATTAATTATTATTACCTGGGCATCACATGTGGCTGCTTCATGAGGTAGTCGAGCGCGTCGTCGGTGTCGGCGAGGTCGCCGCGGAACACGGCACGCTGCAGCCGCGCAGTGTGCCGCGATAGTGACGTCACCAGTGTCTCCTCCAGCACCTCCACGGACGAGCTGCCCGCGCCGCCCTCTTCAGACAGCGGCACGCCGTTAATCAACACCTGTCCATACAAAATTGTATATCAGGATTCACACTCATTAAGGAATATATTCATTTGTACTACTCTTAGATCTCCAATTAATTAAATTTAATATACCATTGTAATTTATAGTACTAATGTTTTATTAATATTTAATAAAAATCTTATATTTATTACAAGCAACAATATAATAGTGTTCTAAAATATGTACCTGAGGATATTTATTGCTCCCAAGTTTCGACACAAATTCTTCCGCCAACTGTCTGCCAAAGTTGTAATCGTCTTCAGAAATTATTGCGTCAATATTTGTACCAGAACTAACATACTTTTTAAGTTGTTTTTTCACTTGCTCTATATTTAAACTTTCCTCTTGGTTATTTAGTAGCTGTGAATAATACAAAAATAGTTAGAGAAGAAAATTAATAATTATTGACTTTTCCTGTAGACTATTCATTAATTTTAGTAATATTTATCCAAAAATTAATTATTGTTCTATATTTTTACACAACAGGTTGTAATTACTAATCATTCCTTACATAAGAACTTCATTTATTTCAATGTTTTCATTTTTTATATGATATTACACTGATATTATTGAGAACAGTCTAAAGAAACTATATACAAATATAATGTAATAGCTCAGAAATGAGCAATACCTCAAGAAGGTCGTCTGTTATATTATCCATTACAATACTAGGTTCGCAATCAATGCTGTAAAAAGGATTTTCGTTTAAGTACTGACCTGAGAAAGAAAGAAAAAGGCTTCCTTGTTAGAGTTTTTCTCCTGCGCGATGTAGTTGAACGCAGAGCGGACGGCGGTTTCTAGTGGTCCGCTGGATGGTGCCAGTACTAGTCCCACCCGTACAGGAGTCGCGTGTCTCAGTAATGTTTCCCCTAGCTTTAGCGGTGGACCAGAGGCATAACTCGTTGGGTCTATAACGATTACCTGGTGGTAAGAGTATCTATTGAAGAGGGGTGTCCAATATATTATTACATAGCACTTCCACTTGAAAAGTGGCCATTCTCTTCCTCAAAATGGGAGAAAACAGTAGTAGGTAAACTAAAAAAAATACTATTATTTTTTGTGTAATCTCTTTATAGATAGAATGACAACTAGAAAAGTGTCACAAGATATTGTAGAGGAAGCTCAGAATCGCCGCTTATGGACAATGAATGATTATGAAATATTATATTCTTATTGCCGCGAGGTCCCGGCATAGAATAGCCATCCCCTTCCTTTCCCGTAGGTGTCGTAAGAGGCGACTAAGGGAACTTAATGATCGAGGCATGGGCAGCAGCAACCCTTTTAATACATCTCCAAAACCTAACTGCGGTTGTCACTCGCTTACCAAGCATGGCAACAGCTGATATGGAATAATATTATTCTCTTACAGACTATGTACATTTATAATACACTTACATAATTATATATATTCCTCCTAAGATTCCTAAGCATGCCAGGATATGTTGGCCTGAGTAACTCCATGTACGAAGAGGGCCAACGGCGGTAACGTTCGTCAGTTTCTAAATCGTTGAGCCACGTGATCGCGGTGTCGCGAATATCTAGCCCATACTCTTCCCAAGTATATGACTCGCCCAGCTCCAAGGACATTAGCGTGTTGATTGTTTTCTTGGACAGTCCTGCCAATAAATATATCACATATAAATATACGCATCATAAAAATGGTATGAGGATGCATATGTTTAGGACTAGATAATAATTAATGGTTGAAATAATAGTGATATTTACATTACTATTAAAATTACATGGCCTACAAACCTAAGAAATATAAATTGCCAGTAAGCATATAGCCCCCCTAGACAAAATATAAACGAATCTATTGAAACGTTACCACAAGCGAGTCTATGACATAGAATGAGATGGTAACGTAAACACGTCACAGGAGCACACAACAGAGCTGTCTTGTTCTTTGCAATATGAGCGCTGACCGAAAGAATTTATTATTATTATCGATAGATTCGTTGGCATCTTGTTTCGGAGATAAAATTCTGAAAACTGAAATGACTTCAATACCGTCAAAATACAAATTTTCTGTAGCAAGACACTTTCCGAAAAACGTTACCAATAAATAAACGTAAAGATTTATTCATTTGTTTTTTTTTTTTTTTTTTACAACACAGGGGGCAAACGAGCATGCGGCTCACCTGATGGTAAGTGACTACCGCCGCCCATGATCACCCACAACACCAGCGGCATTGCAGGTGTGCTGCCGGCCTTTTAAAAAGGAATATACTCTTTTCTTGAAGGTTATGTTGTCGTATCGGTTCGGAAATACTGCTGCTGGAAGTTGATTCCAAAGAATGGTTGTGCGTTGAAGAAAGTGCCTTGAAAAACGCACGGTGGAAGACCGCCACTCGTCCAGATGATTGGGATGAAACTTTAGTTTGTGGCGGGTTGTACGGTGGTGAAAATCAGCAGCAGGTATCAATCCGAACAATTCCTCAGAACACTCCCCATGATAAATTCGGTAGAAGATGCACAGAGACGCAACATCTCTGCGCAGTTTCAATGGGTCAAGTCGGACAGTAAGGCGTTGACTATCGATAATTCGAGCCGCCCGATTTTGAATGCGGTCTAACGGAAGGAGTTGGTACTGTGGCGCTCCTGCCCACAGGTGAGAACAGTATTCCATATGCGGCCTGACTTGGGCTTTATATAATTTCAGGCGGTGTTCTGGCATGAAATATCGTCTCACCCTATTGAGCACTCCTAACTTTTTGGAAGCTATCTTAGCCTTCTCCTCCAGATGACCGCAAAACTGGACGTCGCAAGATATATCAACGCCCAGAATTCCTAGACTTGACTTTTTATCAAGGGAAGTGCCCTGAAAGTGAGGAGATACGACAAACGGCGTCTTTTTTGCGGTAAACGCGCAGACTTGTGTCTTTTTGGGGTTAAATTGGACAAGATTTTGTTCACCCCAGATCGAAACTTGATGGAGTGAAGTTTCGATTTCAGACACAAGTCTATTCCGGCACTCATCGGTATGTGCCCGCGAGATCTTTGCATGACCGGTATATAATGTATCTCCTGTACTGTCGTCCGCATAGCAATGAATATTACTTATCTGTAACATATCATTGATATGCAGAAGAAACAGAGTCGGAGATAGTACACAGCCTTGCGGGACACCAGCATTCAAAGGTTTTAAATCAGAGCATGCACCGTCGACTACGACCTTAATGCTACGTTCCTTGAGAAAACTGGCGACCCAAATGCACAGTCTCGCAGGCAACCCAAATGAAGGTAGCTTTGAAAGCAGCGCTCTATGCCACACCCGATCAAAGGCCTTCGCAATATCCAGACTAACTGCTAAGGCCTCTCCCTTACTCTCGATTGCCACTGCCCATCGGTGTGTTAAGTAAGCTAAAAGATCACCGGCCGAACGTCCCTGTCGAAAGCCATACTGGCGATCACAGATCAGCCGGTGCTCTTCTAGGTACCGGAGCAGTTGACGGTTAATGATGGATTCCATAACCTTCGAGAATAAGGAAGTGATAGCTATGGGCCTATAGTTAGCTGGATCTGAGCGATCTCCCTTTTTAGGGATCGGATGCACCAGAGCAGTCTTCCAAAACTTTGGGACTATGCCCGATGAGTAGCTAAGCCGAAAAAGACGCGTAAGAACCGGAGCCAACTCTGGTGCGCACGTCCTAAGCACAATTGGAGGAATACCATCAGGCCCACTCGACTTATGGATTTCGAGAGAGAAAAGTGCTCTACGCACTGAGCTATGCGTGAATTTAATGTCAGGCATAGAGCTCCTACAACACGTGATGGTCGGTGGTGATTTCTCCCCGTCATCCAATGTCGAGTTTGACGCAAAGATGGATCCAAGAAGATCGGCCTTTTCTTTAGCGTTCTGGGCCAACGAGTCATCCTCCCTGCGCAAAGGTGGAAAAGATGACTTACAGAAATTCCCTTGTGCAGCTTTGGCAAGAGACCAGAAAGCTCGAGTCCCAGAGGGCAAACTAGCCAGTCTCTTGCCAATTCTACTAATATGCTCTGACTTCGCTGTGGCTATAACTCTTTTGAAAGACCTAGAGGCAGAGTTATACTTCTTTTTAAGAGCACTGGTGTTAGGATCTCGCGACGCCACACCTTTAGCCCAGGTTAGGAAGCACTCCTGTTTCAGACGAGATGCTGTTCTACAGGAGGCTCCATACCAGGGCTGGGATTTCCCGCCGACGGGCACCACAGAGTTAGGAATAAATAATTCCATTCCCTGAAGCACCACATCAGCAATGGAATCGGCAATGGCGTCGGGATCATCCAGTGTGAAGCAAACCTGCCTCCATGGGTAAGATGCGAAAAAAAATCCGCATCTCATCCCAATCTGCCGACCTGTAGTGCCAAATGCGACGTCTACCCGTAGAACGAGGTGGAGTCGGACTCGTAAGAGGCACTTCGCTCCGCACCAAACAGTGATCCGACGATCCAAGCGGGGCTTCGACGGAGATCACATAGTTGTCTGGGTGGGTGGTCAGCAGAAGGTCCAGCAGGGAAGGTGAATGGTCCAACACATCAGGGATTCGCGTAGGCGAGGAAACAAGCTGTGTCAGACCATAAGCCAAAGCAAAGTCATGAACAGATCTTCCCGCATAGTCGGTTGTACGCGAACCAAGCCATTCGGCATGGTGGGCATTAAAGTCGCCAACAATCACGACTTCAGCGGAAGGAATCTGCTCAAGCAGGGAATCTGTAGCCATTTGGACGTGCTCAATTAGTTGGTCGGTTTCAGTGTTACCGCTGTGGGACCTGTATAGGCACGCATAGATGCGGGGATGGTCATTGCAATCTACGCGCAGCCATAGAATGGACAGGTCCGTACCTTCAAGAGTCCCAAGGCGTCGACAGCAGATATCCTCTCTGACATACGCACATACACCGGCACGCGAAACAAAACAATGTTCAAGCTTATACCCCGGGTAGGTCAGGTATGATGTTTCGTTAGGAGGGGATATCTGTGTCTCCGTGAGGAAGAGCAATGCCGGCCGCGCCGTTTCTAGGTGGTGGTGGACAGCGTTCAGGTTTGAATGAATTCCCCTAATATTACAGAGGCTCACATTGAGCAAAGGGGATGCCGCAGAAGTCTTGCTCTGTTTGCCCTTGGTCCCATAGAGCGGAATTTTGCCCCCCCCCCCCCAGAATACGCAGGGCAGCCCGAGCGTGGTTGCTCGAGGGAGGATTCTCCAGCAACATGGCTGCTGGTACCTCCCTGGGGTACGTTATTTTTTTTAAATTCCACTGCCATGGTATTGAAGGATGGGGGGACGGAGTTGGGGGAGGATTTTAGGATAAGGAAGGGGATGGGTATAGGATGGGCCTCCGGACTCCCTCACTCACCATACGGAATGTGGTCGCACTAAAAGTGCGGCCACTTAGCGTCGGTATTCTGTGAGGGTGTGGTACTTCCCCGGTCGAGCCGGCCCATTCATGCTGCAATACCATATGGTATTACAGCGTGGCTCTACCACCTACAATTTGTTTTCTTAATGGTGCAGAATCTTACGTACGTACTTACTTATAATTAAAATTTTATCAAACAAAAAATTCTTTATCAATCTTATAAAAATATTACAAACATACCCAAAGCGTGCAACGTATTCATAGGCCCTATATCCTCTCGGAGTGCGGCCAGAAGCCCTAGAAGATCGATATCCTCGGCGTCGTATTGCGCGCCAGACACAAGCAACAGCGGCTCGGCGGCACGAAGACCAAGTGATGACGCCCATATATCTTGATTGTACAATACCTCGTCGCGAAATGATCGCGGAACGTTTACGTGTATTAGCGATTTAGTCTGAAAAAGAGAAAATAATAATATACCACATCTAGTGTCAGACTAAGCAAACCTTTATCAATATTTATAAACGTGATAAGTATGCAAAAATTTGCGCGAATCGCAATGCGGAACGTTACGCATATTATCCTTATTTACGCATGAAGCGCACGCGAAAGCAGCACCAGAATAAGCGGTGTTTTTTACCCATTTCATAACTTAAGTATCACATAGAATAAATCGGCTTAAAATAACCATTTTTCAATTATCTTAAAATTATGTCTTAAACGCTAAAGAAATCTGCTCTTCAAGTCTTCCTTTTCAAGACGATCTGTGTAAACAGACACTAAAGCAGAATCCACATTATTATTATTAATTATTAAATTCGACAGGATTTGTGACAGAACACAAAAAAAATTACAGTTTTATTTAATTGCCGTACCATCACAGTTATACAATATACCATAAAAACAGATTACTTATTTAGGATTATATATCTACTAGTGTATAACGGTAGTTAGGTAACAACTAAAAGATGGATTATTATTAAGTACAACATTAAAAGCATAACTGCGGTTGCCAACCGGCCTGGCAAGCGTGTCCCCAATAGGGGGAAGCCCATATCATCATTCATCATTATCATAGCAAACGACTGATATGATGATGATGATGATGAAGATGATACTTTTTCAGTGCATAGTTATTTTCTTTTCTCTTTTAGAATTATACCTGGGATTTCTTATACACACCTGCATGGGAAAGTTTTGCGCAATAGAGGATAATACTTTGAGTGCTTCGTCTCCACCAGCGTCGTGAGCATCAACTACAGCAGCCGCCGCTTGCATGCTCAAAGCTTGCATCTGCCACACCTTAAGGGGTTCAAGTTCCTCACTCGACTCCGACAAATGCCGCCGAAACCTCTCCAATGGTGAACGTAAAGCAGGGAATAAGTTCCTGATCGCAAATAGATTTATCAATAAATAAAAAAATAATAATAAATAAGTATAATACAATAAATATACAATTTTTTTTAAGTTAAGGGGCAAAGGATTGGACATATCAAGTTGACACAAACAATGCACACAGGTCCCCCTAAAACTATAATGGTTAATACTTGTGGATTTCATCAGGATGAGTCAACTGACCAGCTTTCATGATCACTTATATTTCATTGGTACCCCACCTATGTATAAGTGCAGGGACATACCATTCTATTCTTACCCATTAAAAAGAGATTGATTAAATTTAGCATATAAAATTTCTTAACCCATTCAATACGGCGGCCATATTGAGATCCCTATGCAGTATACGGCTTAGTTTTTCATAAACGGCCGTCACTGACGGCACAACTTTTTCTACGTATATGGCTTAGTTAATTGTTAGGAGTGACTGCCAGTAAATAACGGGCTTCCACAAGTGACTGGAACGGTCTAAAGCACGTTTGAAACTAAAGGAAACCGAGCGCCTCGGAACGCTCGCCGTCATTGGGTAAGGGTGGGGAGAGCGCCTCGAGGCGCTTGCCGTCACAAGGTATAACATTGGAGAGCGCCCTGGCGCGCTCTCCGTATTGAATGGGTTAATTGGCTCCAGTCTGAAAGTTCTAGGTTGTATTAGTAAATATAACTTGATACCAATAAAGAAAAATATAACTTGATACCAATAAAGTAAATATAACTTGATACCAATAAAATAAATATAACTTGATACCAATAAAATAAATATAAGGAAAATGAGGTAAATTATAAAATAAACTTACTTAAGTCTACCAAAATTAAATCCATCAATTTGATTTTGTGGATCATTTTCATCTTCTTCCTCAGAAGGTGTAGGTGCTTCTCCATCTTCAGATTCTTTGGGTGTGGTGTCATCCTGACTTTTATACTCTGTGCTCTTTAACTGTAACTCCACTCCATAACCTGATAGCCTCACTTTAGGTTTTCCTCGGGGCTATTAAAAATAAAGTATGTATTTACTACAAAAATAAACAAGTCGAAATATAGTTCTTGCAAAATGAAAACAATGTGTATGAAGCGTACCTATGGTTACATGTCTACATACACATAGAAAGCCAGATATGCACATTGCAATAATGTGATATAAAGATTCTATCTATTTGACAATGTGTTATCTCAAGTCTGTCCCATCCACGTTAAATACCTATACCTATTGGGTAATCCCACAATACTCTATACTAGTCTAAGTAACCAGCGGCCGATGGCCTATTTTGGAAAACTTTTTTTTATTTTAATGATTACAATTTCTTAAACAATAAATATTATTTAAATAAGTATAATTGTCTTCTTTGAAATTCTTCTGTAAGCTTATAATTATTTTTCCCCATTTTTGTTACCACCGATATAGGATGGATTATTGAAATTGTAAACAAGTGCCGCCCACCTTCATTTTTGTTGCTGACCCCTGCTTTATATAATAAAAAATATAAAATTTAACACCAACCTTAACATTCCACCTAACAACATAATTGATAACACCTTTGTCAGCATATGTAGACAATATTTTATGTTTAGTGGCAAATTCAATCATACCAAGCTCACCATAGAGTATGGCTGTGAGACTTTTATTATCACTGCTTGGATATGTGTGGTCTAAAAGATATGTTTCCAATTTATGTTCTTCCTGTAATAAATAAATACATTAGGTACATACATAATAGATATTGTTTCACAAAAAAACACCTACTCCAATTATCAAAACCAGCTATTTTCATTTAAAAATTTAACTATTGAACCAATTTTCATAAAATGTCTATGGGACCAATCTGAAAAATAAAAAAAAATCTAAATCAGTTTGCAAATGATGAAGTTCTGAGATAACATAAATAATACAACTAAATTGAGAATCTCCATCATTTTTTAAGCCTGTTAAAAATAATAATAATAATGTTTTTAAATAATATTTATTTAAAAAATATGATCACACAATAGATTAATTAGCCTTGCCAATCTGGCTACAATAATGAGGTTATAATTGTTATTAGCCAACTAACAGGTTTAGTACTAAATAATGTAATACAGTAATACAATATTCAATATGAAATCTGTATAGAATTAATTATATTCTTTAACCTTACAATATATCATGAATACCCATTAATTAATAAAATGTACAGATAATTTTTACATAAATGATACTTACAGCATTGTATTGATCATATGATTTGAGAATATCACGTAGCACATCATTATCACAAACTTTTCTTGAAGCTATATGAACAAATGTATCACATGCTACATCCTTGACTCCATTCTGTGTTGCTATTTGGTCAAACATACGGACAGTTGGTGAAGTCAAGTGCATTGATAATGCCAGCTTAGCCATGCGCAATTGAGCAGGCACTAGCAAGGTACTGGCTACTCCCACACATGCATCATAAACTTGCTTATCAGTATCTGAAATTTATTAAATGTATTGTAAAATATTTAATTAAGAACTTCAAACAATTAGACTATGAGAGCTGCCTTTTAAGTTGTGTTGTTTGAAATAAGTACAGACAATCTAATCGATTATTACTATTTATTGTTTTTCAAAGAATTCTCTGCAATATTTAATACACTTTTGCATGCATTCAAACCAGTTTTTAAAACATTTATTCCACTCAGAAGTGATCTCCTCAAAGCACTGAAGTCGCGACAATCTCCTTTGTAAGTTGTAGAAAATTATCACATGCAAATTTTCCTTAGATATTTCCATTTTTACAACTGACTTGTCACCTTTGAATAGACAATACAATAAAACTATTTGACCAATCTGAAAACATTCTTTTGTTTTCAAGTTCTAAATAAAAAATAAATAAAAATACCATATTTTTTTTATAATTGCCCGAGGTTAGCAAACAACACGACTTAAAAGGTAGCTCTACATATAAAACAAGTGTTTAACTAGTCCTATTTATAGTGAGTATTACATATTGCTAGCAATAAGTTGAACTTCACATGGTTCCCCTTAGAAGCCATCATGGTTAATTCTTGATGAATTCATCACAATAGGGCTGACCTGCTTTCATTTTCACCTCCATATCACACTGATACCCCACCAGCATAAACCAACAGCACAGAAAAGTTACCATTCTATTATCAATTAATAAAAAAACCAACCAACTGTAAAAAGGTAGAGGTCCATACACATATTTGTAGATCTAGATATTAATTAACTATATTTATAACTTTTTTTTATGCAACTTAGAATGGCAAACAAGCTGACGGCCCACCTGATGGTAAGTGGTAACCATCATCTATAGACATGAGCAATAGCCATATCCTACCCTTCAAACTAAAACACAGCCATGCAAACACAACTGCTTTATGGTAGAAACACAAATGGGACAGAGGTGCCCAAGCTAACAATTTTTGTACAAAGTCTCCCTCTACTCTACAAATATATATTTTTAACAGTCTGGCACATCAGTATAATGGGTATACATGTTTCATCAGAATGAAAGTTTACATCAGTGTTATTTTACTTTTACCACTTACATAAAGCATTAATATAATCAGGTATATTTTTGATTAAGCACAGTTATTTGATTTGTAAATTTTTCTAAAATTATTCAATCTTTTCAACTAAATAACTTTAACATTAAATCAAGAAAGATAGACGCTAATATATAAATATATGTCTTCTGAGCTTTTCCTAGCAACATAAGAAGTGAATATGTTGAGATATTATAGCATTACAGTGCAGAAATATGTTCATGTAATGAACATTATTTCTAACATTGCAGGAGTGGGGGGAAAGATATTGTTAGAAATGGGGTCAAATAGCTCCATTACTAGCAAAACATCCTATCAGGTCGACCTCCACGCGGTTCCCCCTGGAAACCATCGTGTTTAATTCTTGTTGAATTCTTCACGATGGGCCGACTGGCCCCGCCTGCATATACCAATAGCGCAGGTGGGACTACCATTCCATTTTCACCCATCAAAAAAAAAAAAGCATTGCAGGAGTTAATTAAACACATTTTCACCGGGGGGAAAGGGATTGTTAGTAATGGAGACTGAGAATCCCATTGCTAGCAATATACCCAACCAGGTCGACCTCCTCGCGGTTCCCCCTGGAAACTATCATGGTTAATTCCTGATGAATTCATCATGATGGGCTAACTGGCCTGTTTTCATTCTCATCGATCACCCTTCACTGGTGCTCCGCCAGCGTATCCCGTTAGCGCAGGCGGGGCTACCATACCATTTTCACCCATCAAGAAAAAAAAAACACATTTTCACCCATCAATGTTTCGTGAAATTCAATTTTATTCTCAGTATTTTTTTTTTTTTTAGTTAAAAATAACTGTGTCGTCAACGCCCACCTCCTCAAGGCAGAGGAGCTAGCGTTCCAGTAGAATAAATAAAACTGTTAATTAAACAAGACAACAACAACAACAACAATTCAATTTATATATTACATAATTGTAACAAAAACCAAAATTTACAATAAAAAATTAATAAATACAGGTAATTGTAAAGCTATTAAGCTTAATAAGGGAATATTCAGATTGATCTTACTCGGAGAGCCAACAAAGTACTGCAGTTAAAAAGTTATAAAAACTTACATTAAAATGTCACTTACCCAATACTTCCAGACTAGATTTTAAAGAATTTATCCCATCTACAAATGACCAAAACAAGTCTGTGTTCTCACTAGATAGATATTCAGCCAACTCTAGAACAATAGGAGTTACCTCCCATTTTGCACTGACAAACGTAGTCACTGATTTGGCTTTCTTCTCATCACGATTTGGCTGGCCGGTGCCATTGGTTAAAGCAACAAATACTATGGCCCATATAAAGAAAAGTATTCTAAAGCCGGTGACTTGCATGGTAAATATAACTAAAATTATGTTAGTCACGAATAATTTAATTTAAGCTATCTATAGTAACCACATTTTCAAAACTCGTTTATTGTTTCATTTTCATTGTTTTCGTTAAGTATAAATAGTTACAACGTTCAGACGATTCAGTCAAAATTAATTATTTGCATTAATTGCAATCATTCGTATAAAGAATACAGACAAGTCAAACGAAAACTACCAATGACAACTAAACACGACAAAGCAGTGTTGCCGTTGTCGCTGTAAACTTAGTAACTAATACATAATAAATAATATAAGAAATTGGTAGTACCACTCACCAGTATTAAGCAACGCCAGGATCAGGATCAGTATTAAGGAAAACCAGGACTAGGATTTTGGTTACCTACACTAGTTAATATTAGTCAGTTGGCAAGTTCAGTCATATATTCATAGTATTTAAGACAAATGGGTAATCAGTCATTTTTTATTCTATTATTTTTTTATTTTACATTGACTAGCGCTACTGGAATGCATATAGCCTGCTATTGAACCAAGAAGGTTCTTAATAATAAATACAATTACGATGCAGAAAAACATTCGCATATTTTACTGTATTACAGTATATTTCACTTTGAAACTTCATAAAATAGTAATGTGAAAAAATAATCTAACTCCTTAAATCGGTTGTGAATTCAGCAGATTGGTTAATAAATTAGTTTCACAAAACGATGGTTCAGTTTTGCCGGGTAGTTCATGGTAATTACATAAAATTAGCTATTGGTCACTTGAGAAACATATCTCAGAGTACATATGAGTCTTATTAAGAGACTAGGCTTACACTGAAAATTCACTTAAATATACCACTGGAAACATGAATATCCAGACAGACGATTTTTATACATAGTCTCTGGTAATGTGATAACATTCCTTTGTAAAATGACTTGACTGTTATTTTATAATAATTGAATTAATATTGGGATGGTTATAGGCCACGCCTTTCTTTTTCTTTAATAATAACCATTATCAACATTCCCATCAGCATTTATTTTAACCCTAAAAACATACTTGTAGAGTACGACTTTCCAACCTTTCGGATGATCTACTAGCATCCCACCTTTTAATTAGCTCCCTCTCCCCATTTTAAAGTATGTTCTAGTGTATTACTTCTTGCATTATCAAATACTTCTTCGTTAATAATAAAAATATCTTCTCTAGCAAAGAACTCATCATTATGGTTTACAAGACCATCAACTCCTTTATTATCAATTGTAATATTTTGAGCATCAAAAGATTCTACAGAAGGTAATTTTTCATCATTGCTCTGTCGAGTTATCTCTTGTAATATCAAAGTTTACAACAAAATTACATTGTTAAAGGATTCTAATTGCACGGGTTCAGATATCCTCAGTGATTCACATCTAAGTAGAGACATATCAATGCAAAACTAATATCTATCGCTGAGGTAAATGCTATAGGAAATATTAAAATAAATCATTTATATGTTAATAATGGCATAACTAGTCATATCAAAAACCAATTAAATCTTTTTTAGGTTTTCGAACTATTCGGTACCAACTTACATAACTGTGACACAATAAGCGGGTAAACAACTGCTGTTACTGGCAAAAGATCAGTAATAATTGAAGCGGATGTTTATGGTCATAACATTAAATAACGTATGTACATTTATAACTAAAACAAATTGCCGCCAATTGATTACAGATGGAGAACATGTTTTTCTTGGAAATAAAGAAAAATATGTAGGTCTCTGTAAGCTGAAACTGCGTAACAAACCATTAAATCCAATAAAATGGATGTAACAAACATGCAACGTCTCCACCATGAAAGGTATTTACATGAAAACAAATTTCGTATAAGAAAAGTCGTTGAACCAGACAAACTAAGTATACCGATTGTTCCAAATAATAACTATGAACATTTTGATACTACCAAACATAAAGTTGAGGGTACTTCCTCACATAGATATTTTCTCACAAATTGAAACAAATCAACAAAACATATCAAACAACAATTTATTAAGAAAACATACTTTATTTCAAGAAAATGTTCTTAATGCAGAACCTTAAGAACACGATGTAGATAAAATCATTTTAAGGAGTCGCCTCAAATTAATACCTTCTCATAGATTTGATAAATTTGTCTTATACTGTGTTGCAAATATCTATAACTATGAAGAAGAACCAAACACATTCAAAAACGCGATGAAGTCTGTTGATAAAGAAAAATGGTATAAGGCTTTAGATGATAAAAACAACTCCCTCAAAGAATATTAAACATGAGACTTAGTGCAATTACCCAATGGACACAAATCCATATCCAGTAAATAGATATTATTGATTGAGTATTAAGATTAAGAGGAATTCTGATGGGTCTACTATCAAGTATAAAGCCAGACTTGTCGCTGTTCTTTAAAAAGAAAAGCGTTGATAACAAGAAGACGTTTACTCTCGTAACAAAAATGAGCACAATTAGATTACTATTAAACATATCTGCTTATGACAATATGACCCTGATTCAGATTGACGTCTCTACCGCATTTTATATGGAAATTTTAAAGAAGAGATATATGTTAAGTAACCTGAAGAATATGATTATCGAACTAACAATGCATGCAAATTAAAACGTGTACAGACTGAAACAAGCGCCAGTGAACTGAAACAATCGTATTAAAGACTTTCTTAAGAACAAGGATTTGTAGCTGAAGAAATTCTTGTTTCTTTTCTATAACGAGAGGAGCAGGTAAATTACTACTAACCCTTTATGTCAACGATGGCATGATAGTTAGTTCATCACATATACTTATTAATGAGTTTCATAAAAATGTTGTAAAAATGATTCTAGGTTAAAGTCCAAACAATAAAAATCCTTTTACTTTTTGGGACTTGAAATAAAAAAAAAACACGAAAAATATAAAAATAAAACAAAGTTATCATATCAAGAAAGTACTTACAAGATTTTGTATACAGAATAAAAATGCTGCCACTATACTAATACATAAAGACTGAATTGAGAGATGATGCTGGAAATAATGCGTTTCATTACAGATAAGCAGTCGGAACTCTTATACCTTATGGTAAAAACAAGAACTGATATTGCGTACATAGTGTTTCCTTTAGATACTTAGAAGCTTCCGTGTAAACAGATATCACTAAATTAAAACGGATATTTCGCTATTTGAACGGTACCAGAGATTACTACATTACTTACAGAAAAGGTACAAAGAAACCATTGATGTAACTGACCCTTTACAGCAATGGTGATCCTGATGCTGGAAGGCCGATTTCAGGCCTAATATCTATTTATGGAGGTTCAATATTATGGCGAAGTCAATCAGCTATCAAACTTATATTAAATCTACCGTATAAATTCCACAACAGAACCAAACATATTAACCTAAGACATTTCTTCATTTAAGAAGGTATAGTTGATGTGAACATTAAATTAGGAAGAGAGATACTGAATTTCAACTTGTGGATATATTCACCAAGGCTCTATACAAACTAAGACTGATAATGTTATGCCACCAGATTTATGTACATACATAATTGGAAGATACTAGATTCTGGGAAAAGAATCATGAGCTTCAAGTGAAGATGTTATTCAGTAAACCGACCTACATAGATGAAACTGTTACCTTTTTGTTACTGGCTAGTTATACTTACGATAGATGTTATTCTATATCTAAATAAAATCTTGCCTATTTTTATCTTTGGACAGTTTGTAGTCCTATTTTTAATAATAGTAATATTTTTCCAAAATATTTTTATAATAAATAACACAGTAGAAATTTTAACTTCTCAAATACTCCCAATTTATTCTAAAGAAAATACACAAAGCGTGTATATTCGTCCCTGAAAAGAACAAAGTATCGAATCAATCGTATAATGTACCGTGTCTTTACACTTGCTAGGTATCTTCTTGACTTTTGTTATATTCTCTATATTGCTATCCTTTTTAAACATTAATAGCTAACTTAAATGGAAAATATATTTCAGAAAAATATTAAAAATTTTACAAATTAATAGAATTTCTTTTTCTTTCATAAATTCTTGCTTGAGCTTATATCAGTGATTTTTCAACTCCGGGATATGTGAAGCTATGTCATTTGCAGGATTTTTCTTATATCTCAGATTTTCTAGTCCTAAATCATATAAACGATCCTCACACACCTTCACCTTCGTATAGGCGATGCAATTCATTCCATATTTGCTTTGCGGTTGTTAACCTTAAAATTTTATCGAGGATATTATTAGAAATACTATTTACAAGTACAGCTATAACAACAAACTTTTTAGCTATAGCTGCTGAATCCCCAGCATAATTAGATGGCCTTTCTGGTTTTTTTAGTTGATCCATCCATTACATCCGTTATACCGTCTATTCTCTATAAGGGTAGATATGCGATACCTCCAATATGCTTTATTTTCACCTGAAAATTATTCATTTGAAATATCAACATGTTCATTTTGAAATTTGGTGTTAGGCCATAACCTAGTATAGGAAATTGATTACATAATGGAAGAAAAATGTTACAAATTTGTTCAAAAGATAAATAAAGAAGCAATAACAGATACTGTCTAATAGAAGTAGTTTTCGGAGTGAAAGTGACAACTGACAATTTTAATAACATAAGTACATAGGTACAGAAAATATTTTTAGCATAGATTGAGAATAGTACACGCCATTCTAAAGAAACATTAGTTTTTTGAGGATTAATTTTTGAAACTTATCACTTAACGTAATATTTTAATTTTATAATATTGCAAAATTATTGTTTTATAAACCACCATTAAACTAAAACTTTAATACTTTTGACTTCTTGAATCTATCAGAAATGATTTCATGCTGAATTATTCAGAAAATATTTACAATAAAAATTTCACTTTAATATTAAATTTGGCGCGTTACACACAATCGTCTCCATTGTAACCACAGACATGTAAAAATTAGCATGATCCAAAATCACTTTACAATCGCTAATATTCAAAAAAATTTATTACATAACATGATTACTTCCTAATGACAATAATTCTAGATGGTTAATGCACTCCTTGTTATTAGCAACATCAGTGTTAAAGTGGTAAAAGGCAAAATTAATAATTCGTAATATTAATTTAATATCTAAATCATTTTACAAAATAGAAACGACAGTGGAAATATATTTTGAATGACTGTGTAATATATCCTTTATGTGGATTGTCAAATATCAATGTCAAACTGTCTACTGTCAATATCAAAATACATTAGTTATGTTCATTATGTAGGTATCTATTTGAGTTAGGCAAGGGTGACTTGAGTTCATTTAATCGAATTTGAATCAAATACTACTTTCCTACATGCAAATGGAGTAAATTTATATTGCACGGACTTAATTTGTAAGTATATTATAACAATTGAATATAAAATAAAAACAAGATATTAAATATTGTAGGTAATCGTGACATGAATTATTCAATCTGTATTATTTTATCACTTCCCTCTCGCTTTATCCAAATCATTAATATTGCCTTAACATAATCTGTCTAGTAATAGAAATTGTAATTTAACTGATTTATATAATGTTTATTATTCTACTTGTGATACACATAATATAGGTATATAAACTCGAGACTATGCAGTATACATCGGACGAAGCTTATGCTCGCCTCATCAGTCACAAAATGACTGTGCCACAAAGAATTAAGGTAAATACTTAATGAATTAATATAAATGAACAACATTCTTTGTTAAAGTTAGGTTATTGACCTACCTAAATATCTAGATGTGATAAGAGGATCTTACTAGGACCCCCCCCCCCCCCCCCCGTCCAGAGGATTCCCTGTTAGGTTGATCCGAGAAGATGCTAATGGATAGGGAGGGTTGGAAGGGGTTATTTTTTTAGCTTTAGTTTTTTTTTATTTATTATTTTTTATTTTATTTATAAAATAAAAAAAAGTTAATGCTAACATTAACATTTCACCATTCAGTTTTAATCAATAAAAGTTAATTACCTTCAAACTAAGTATTATTTAATTTAATATATATGTATAATTTACTTTTTTTGATTAAATTGAAAATCTAATTTGATACAATTATTTTACAGGCTACAGGTGACATAGTTGATGATGAAAGTGCACCCAACGGACTTGTAACAGGGTGGGATTACTCTAAAGAAAAATTTGACATGAAAGTACCAGAAAGGATACTTGTTGTTGGACAAGATCAGCATATTGGTAAAAATATAATTGAATATCATTGTTTTATATGTAACAGTTTATCTCTTTGAACAAAAAATAGCTAATGATATAATAAAAGACAATTTTGAGCCATCTTATTACCCACTCCCTGCAACATATGAATTTACAAAGTACAAAGGCATACCTTAGTCTTCAGGAATGGCCATGCATGGGAGGGGGGAGGGTATAGCCGTGGTCATGGCCTAAAACAGTACACTCTTTTATGTCCATGGTACTGCTCATGTCTGTAGGAAACGGTTACCACTTTTCATCAGGTGGGCTGTCAGCTTGCTTACCATTCTAAATTGCATACAAAATACATATTTTTTGAACAGTTGTAATATTTGGAACTAAATTTATTTTTACCCCACTATTTTCTTATCAGTTCCTCAAGCTATGTAACCATAGTCTGGTTAACTAACACTTCTACATTTCCCAGGATAGATTTTATACATTAAATAGATTCATTTTTTATTCTACCATACAGCAATAGTCCAATCCTAGTACTCTTCATACTTTGCCAGCAACTTAATATGTATAACCCACAATAAGGCAAAAAGATTCTGTTAGTTTATATATATGGTCTGAACAAGACCAAGTTCATAGTCTATTGAGATAAAGCCACTCCCAAATAGCCTTTCCAATCCAACAGTTTCAAAGTAATGCCAGTATTTCAGAAAAAATTGATCTCAATTCTATCTACATATGGTATCAGATTCCCAATTTACCCTATCATACTTTATATTCTCATAAACTTTATATATGGCCTAATGTTATACTATTATGGTGTCCCCCAATTTGGGATAACTAATCTTCTGATAAGATTGTCAAGAGACTCATATGCATATTTGCCAGTGAATCAGAGTTGCATGAAAGGAATTCCATTGATTCAGATTCCTCACTGCAACCTCTATGTAGAGTATTCAAAGCTCCATTCATTTTATGTAGTGTGTATTGGTAGGCTCTCTTTATGAATTGTGCCTGCTGTGTCCCTCTGGTTAATTTGTCATAGACCTTTATTTAAATTTTGAAATGTAAGACCACTTTATAATTTTAGGAATAGGTTTATTGTGATTTGATTTCAGAATTACCCTCGGTCTCCCTTTTGTATATTTCTGGACTTAATTAGATCACCCATCCAGTATTTTTTTTATGGATGATAATGGAATGGTAACCCAGCCTACGTTAACGGTATACCCTAGCGAGGCACCAGTGAGGGATGATAGGCGAGAATGAAAAAGCAGGTCAGTCAGCCTACTGTGATGAATACACCTGGACTTCAGCACAATGGTTTCCAAGGGGTATGATGTGGAGATCAACCTGACAGGATATATTGCTACTAATGAAACATAGTCTGCCTTACTAACAACCCTTCCCCTTGCCGATCTAGTATTACTATTGGTCTAAATAATTTATAAGAGATGAGAATTGATGCAAGCATGCATGTAAAATAAGAATGTGATGAAAATGTTTGGGATAACCTTAGTGAAATATTATTATTTTACCCACATCATCTTAATAATTCTGACCAAATAAGTGATAAATAATGCTAAATATTTATTTATGATTAGATAATTAGCAATTTGCCAATTACAAATTGTTATAGAAATATGAAAATATGAAAATTGACACTATTTTTTTATGTTATAGGTACAAAAGCTCCTCCTAGAGAAATCCAGCTGGACAATGCAGTTTTACCCACTGACCCGGGCATGATTCGTGTGAGCACACCACCCCGTGTGATCACTCTTGACCAGCATTACTTCCCTTCAGCTGATGATTTCCCACAGGGTATTCCAAGCTCTCCACCCAGGAATGTTAGGCCATTCAGGTCCCAAGGAGATGGAGCTCGCTCTACTACTCCCAGACCTGATAATTTTAATGAATCCACTATGACTGAGTCACGTCTCATATTGAGGTAAGTATTAAAAATTATTATGTTAAAAGTTAGGAGTTTTTATTTTGAGCATTTTTTTCTTTTATTAATTTATCAGATTGACCACAATAAATGTTACACTAATATTATAAACTTGAAAATTTGGATATTTACTCTAACATACTTAAACTGCTGAATGGTTTTAATTTTAATTTATTACACATATAGACTTCCAAATGTTCTACAACAAAAGATGTCAAACTAATGTACAACCCGTCTGTGATGGTAAAGCGTTAATGTTGCCTATCCTAGAGAATCCTATATTACTGTATATTGTTATAGATGTTCATCTATTCTATATGTTCACATAGAGTACAAAACATTAAGGATTACATCTACTGCTTTTCATAAATGTCTCCTGGCATAGAGAAATTTTAAAGGTATTTTCTTTTTAGAGATCCTACACCTCCTATAGGCCATGGTGAAGGTTTGTCTACTGCTGAAGAATTGGTGCATCTACGAAGACAAATTGTTAAATTGAACAGACGGGTAATGTCAATAGAAGCTGAACAGTTACAACGTCAGCAGAAAGAGAAGATAGCGTATGCTATTGGAATTGCTTATCTGTTGTTCAAAGTTATGGCATGGCTAAATAGATCTTAATTTTTATTAAACAATGTCATTAAAATGTAAGATGAACTATATTAATATATTTTTGACTTCATGAAATAAACTGTTATGTTCACATTGTAAATTACGTAGAGAGAATATGGTCACAGTTTATCAAAAGGTTGAAGTATAAAATGTTAATGCATTATCATCATATAGCTTAATTTAGACAACTTTTTTTATACCGTTATGTATATTTCTGTAATATCTTGTACAGTGTATGTACTAGCATACAAGTTTTTATGATATACAGAATTCTGTCTTTCATCTACTTTTAATGAGTTGTTAAAGTGATGTGACCTCTCTTTTAGAATAGATGTAAAGGGTCATTTTTATTTAAATAAATAGAGTCCACCTTATTTACGTCTTTTTTTTTAAAGTATTTTTATGGAAATCTGTGCTTTGAAACTTCTAATAATGATAAAAAATTAACAGCATATTCCACTGAAAAGCCACAAAGCATTATAATAGAGAAATGTGTACCAACCAAAATATTGCCACTAAAAAATTTCAGTAATTTGGTCAAGTGAACTAATAACAGAGTTATAGCTAAAGTAATATTTTAATTACACTAACCTCAATATAAATCACATACAGTGCTCAAAATAAAAAATAAAAGTTGTTGATCAAGGTAACACTCAATATAATTCAGAAATCACTAAAAAACAAATTGGCATTCAAAAATATGAACACCTTGGAGATATATATACAACATATATGGATGTTCACAAATGATGGCTTATTCTATATGAATACTGAGATAATCATATTTTGTTTATTAAAAATATATAACATTTAAATGTGAGTCTGTTATGTTTCGGTAGGTTTATCTTCATAAATAAAAATAACAGAGAATAATGGACCACCAAGACGCTGAGCTAACCACGCATTCTTCACTACTGCCAATTTCAGTGAATCTACTGCTAGACGGGCATTCAAGTTTGTATGTAATGCTCTCCCCATGCCTTCTAAAATTATTAGATCCACACCACGCACCTTCATTTCAGTACAGAGACCTGAAAATAAAAAAAATCAGACAATAAGGAATGCTTAAGTAGAAAAGTTATGTGTTGAATAGTGAAAACCAGAGGGATTAATATATTTGCTTTTCAGAATCGAAATGTAATATGATTAATTTCATTTAACTGTGTGCATCTCATAAAAAAGAATCGGCACTATGATACAGAATACATTGCGATAATGATGGACTCTTGAAGTTGTCCATACCCTATAATTTGGCTTCCATCTCCCATCTTTTAAACCAAAAACTAGTGAAGCATGGCTTATGACAAAGTTTCAGTCAATCTCACACAATACATAAAAAATGACAAAACATCAATTGGTTATTACTCCATGCTTACTACATCCAACACACAGAGTATAAATGGACAGGAATGGCAAGTATCAAACAATCATGTTTAAAGTTTTTAAGGAATTGTAAACATTTGTACTTACCAACACCAATAGTCCGAAGGTCCAGGCATGGTCCTCTTTGTCCACTGGATCTAACAACTAAGTCTCCGGTGGCCAATGCAGCAGACAAAACAGGGCATAATAAGGAAGCACGTTGTAAAATTTCTTCCAACTCCATATATGTGACATCATTTAATGCTGGCCACTCATTAGCACATAACATTACAGATGTTCCTCTAAGTAATAAAGCTCTCACAAATGGCAAAATGCCCAATACTATATCAACACCACTATTATCCACAAACACGGCTGCACAATGATGCACAGTTTTCTGTAAAAACAATTTATTTTTATACTTACTACTTAATACCTATGAATGTATAATGTGTACTTAAGTATTACCTCTAATTTATCAAGCCATTTATCTAAACCATCATATAGCCATGGTCGTTTTTGAATTTTCTGTAGTGCTTCATAGAGTCCACAATCCAATATATCAGTTACTGCTTGGGCACCCCAATCAAACATATTGCCTGTTAAAAAATATTTTTATTAGAATTATACTAAGATAAAATTAAGCAAGATGTGAATGTTATTTTAGAGAATATCTATCATCATCCGTCTGTCAATCATCTGCAATCTATTATAGATGAAGTGCACATATTTCATCATCAGTTATTGGCGTTGCATAATTCCCCATTGCCATCAGTGCAAACATGGCAGATGTGGTGAGAGGCTGCTAGCTAGCATACTTGGATAATGGTTGAGTGCTCTAGCAAGTGTGCTAATGAGTTACAGTTGCCTTATCTTTTGTAATACTAGCTGTTTCTCAAGCAATGTTGGTAGCAGTAATACTCTAATGAGCTTGATAGCTTCAAAAGCTTTGTGATAAAACTAATTTAAATAAGAACAAGTTGACACAAGTCAACAATTTAAAGTCAAATATAACTCAAAGAGATAACAGTATTAAGTACATGCGAATACACCTCATCTGAGGTTGACATTTAATCAAATTATCAGAGTTTTATCAGTTAATTAGCGTGCAAACATTTAAACATGTTTTGCTTGATAAAATAAATAGACAATTAAGTATATATTGTATTTAGTATTTTTATAGAACAAGACAGTCTTTTTGGCTTATATGAAGGTACCATCAATTACTGATATTGATGTATTTCACACTTCACTGTGGGGTAATTAAATCTGCTCCAGATATAAAGCTGATCAATAAATTTCGAAAGTGTTTTTTTTATACAACTTAAAATGGCAAATAATCTGATGGTCCACCTGATGGCTTTAATCTTCAAAGTATTTTTCTTTTCAAGTATTATATAACTATTACCAATCAGTTAGATGAACTTATTTTACTGTGAAATGTAAACAGCTGTTTTAATTGCTACTTTAGGTATATACTAAATCTATGCAGTGAGAATTCAAGTGTCTACTAGAGATGTAATAAATATCTGGCAAATTAAAAAACTTATAATTTCATAAACTTTAAAAATTCTTTACAAAATATACAATAATAGCTTATAATTATGTTTACTTTTATTTAAAAGTGACAAGCAAAAATATTGAATACTTTCCTAAAATGAAAATTATTTTGCTTTATTGAAACATTAATATAATGCAACAAGTAAATAACTATTCTGAACCAATTTCCACAATTATTTTTGTAATTAATATCCATATTTTATAGTAATAATCTAGTATCATGTATTCAGCCAAACAACTATTTCACATCTGGTCTCTATAATTATAAATCAATGGCCTCTATACACTCCATTAAAAGATTTAACATGAAGGCCATTATAATGGAACAAAATTTACATTAGTAGAAAAAATATATAATTACCTTTTCTAAAAAGGATGGCATAGCTACTTAAATTGACCATCAGAAAATAAGAAGATATAAATAATAGATTGTAATAGTAAGTAAAAAGGAAGTAGAAATAATCCAAAAATAATTTGAATAATATATTATTATGTTACAAACATAAATTAAAAGAAAGGGCATATCAGTGCATCTTGAAGAGAAGGTACCTTAATTTAAATATTAAAATAAACAGTAGCATTATAAATAAGAAAACAAAAGAAATAGATGCACTCTTCTATAAATTAAGATTAAAATAGCAATAGGCTGAAAATACAATGAGGCATAAGGTAAACCAAAGTACACAAGAAACTAATACAATAATACAAAGAGAACTAAGCATAAATAGATAGACAATATTAAAGGGATATCATGAGGAAACTAGATCAAAATAAATATATATAAATTAAAAGTCTATATTATTAATATGTTATTACCTGCTAAAACACCCTTGCCAAGCTCAATCCATCTTTGTCTATTGTCAGGTAATGCATCAATTTCAGCCAAACGGGAGCTGAGTGCAGCAAGGGCTCCTTCATTTTCATATTTCTTCTGTTGTTTCCACAAATCAAAGAATCCCTGAGAACGAAGGCATGTTTCGTTGATGTCAAGAAGTAATCGTATTGTCAGCTGTCCATGAGCACTAAAATTATAAATAAAATACTCAATAATTTTGATTAAAATAAGAGTAATCATTTGATATACTACTTTAATAAACTATAATTAGTTTTTGTTTTATGCATTGTTTTTATATAATATTTTCTATAATAAATATATAAATACAAGTTAAAACACCACTAAAATCTTAATAATAAATACTAGGTGCCATTTAGAATTAACTGACTTTTGGTAAAATAATACAGTTAAGAGTAATTAAAAAAGACTTACAGAGGATTTATTTTAAGCTCTTTAAGGGCTTCTACGTAGCACGTTTTAAATTTCAGGGCTCTTATTTCTACGGTGGGATCTTCATTGTTGGTAAGCGCAAAATTCACATATTTTTCTACGAGTTTTTCACAGGTATTTAACCAATATTCCCTCGCTTCTTCATCAGCGACCAAATTCAAAGTATCAGGAGTATATTTGTCTGGCTGATATAAAATATGGGAGAGACCAAAATGTTCCATTTTGACAAAAAACAAAACTAACAATAAAATAACTTGTTTAAATTGCTCTTACGCCATTGTAATGTTTTATCATTACACAAATTTTCTTAACAACTTTATCTTATCTACAATTTTATTTACACTGTGCAATACAATAAACAGAAAAGAAGAATCTTCCAAGAGCGAAACGAACATTAATAGAATACCTAAGAAATTACGAATGAAAATCAACGAATTCGACGAAATGAAAACAAAAATTGTCACTTTGACTGATTTTGACTGACTGTGACTGAAATAATTGACTGATTAACTTTTTGTCAAGTACTTCTCTCAATCGATGGTCTGTCAGCATTTTAACTATAGAACAATAACTGTCCCTCAAAACTTGCCTATAATTAATGTAGATGTACACTAGATTATTAATAGATTGGCAATGTAAAAAAGTGAAATATAATATAATAACATAAAAGTTAAAACGAGACAGACAAGTAGGACATTCATCTACATAATATAAACTCGAAGCTGGTTTAGCAGGAGCATGAATAAAGCTAGTTCGAATTATTTTTCTTTGGATATAACTTAATATAATTATTCCTTATTCTTAGTAAATGGATAATGTCTAAAGTTAACGATAATACGAGGTTTGAAAAATAACAAAATGGAAAAGCACCATCTTTATACTCCAAGCGTGTAAGAATCTGGTTATCGCGGCTCTTTGAAAGCATGATTAAAACTTATGCTACTGATTGGAGTATAAAGTTCTGTTTTCTATTTTTTTTTACAACTGTTGTTCTTGTTCTTTAAGAGAAACGGGTAAATAATTAATATACTTGATACTGTAGTTCTCTTTTACTTCTTCATCGGTAGGAAAACATACTCTCAATGACAGAAATGTAAAACAAAAGGCAATAGATAAAATTAGTCAGGTGTATTATGATGGCCACGCCACATTTTTTAAATTTTCATATCTACGAAGGCCTTATGAATGTCTATATTCTTTATGATTAGACGTAGACAACATCTCTATACATCTGTACAGTTTATGGATAGACTTCATTTCGTTCAATTTTGTTCTTGTTTTGTTATCTACCAATTTCCAGAAATGTTTTTGAGATGGATAAAACTAATTATATTCGAAAAAGACTGATTTATAAATGAAGTGACTGAAACGTAGATGTGTTGTAAGTTTTAGTGTAGTTTGTGATACGAGTTTTAATGATTGATGTAACGAACCAGTGTACGGCAAGATGGACGAATTGTCTAAGGGCATGACACAAACAGGAAGCATCGCCGCAACTGACAAAATTCAAGAAAATGATGGTAAATATTTTGTATTGCATTACACTTTATAAATTTACGATTTCACCCTTTTTCTGTACCTTAAATGTTATTAAAGATCTATTTGATATTCCAAGCACCATTTAAAATTGTCAAATTGTGTTATAGATTAGTGTCGTCGCAAAAGAATTTAACGATAATTTTGTAATTTATTATGTCGAAGAAAGTATTACAAGGCCCTCTATTTAATTACAAACCATTTTTGTAATAAAATAACGTACTATTATTTTAACCTTCATTATAGATAACCGAACTTCTGTCTTCATTACATTTATTATATTGTACCTTAATGAAAGGTATAATTAATAAGTATTTTATAATATATGTAATCTGGATTTTAATTGAAGATCAAAAATGTAAACAAAGACTTCATTCTTCCAGAAATTTATATATACTTAATCAAAAAGTGCCAATAAATCAGAAATATATGCATATATTAAACACATAAAACTATACTTTGCTTACATCTTAAATATTAATAATTTGCCTTAAATAGTCATAATAGTTTATTTTCATTCAACACTCATAAATATGGCATATATTCTGAACATTATTATTAACTAAATATTTCCATCTATGCTTGCAAGATTCCAATGTTATTGAGACTTACCTATATTAATCCTATTATTGATATGGTCATTAAGTTCTTAAAATCTATGTTTTACTAAATGAATTTCAATTCAATTTAATTATTTTCATTGATGGTCCATGAATGTGAAATTTTGATATGAATTAATACTTAAAATGTCTATAGAGTTGTTTATTAGTTATGAGATATCACATTGGCAATGACATTTGTGTTTACATTTCTGATCTTGATTATATTTCAGATTAGCGATTTACTCTAACTTTGCATAGCTAGATAAAGATAAATTAGTACTGTATTTTAGCTATAACAATAATTTTTGACACTTTAGGTTATATTATAATTGTATGTAATTTATGTAGTGATCTCTGTTTTTTTAAATAATATATAGTCTATGTTACTCTCTGATAATGTAGCATTAAGTATATATGTAAAATAATTTTTGAAATTGGTTAACTGGTTTTTAAATTTGTCTATTACAAACTAACAAATCTTTTCTCTTTATAATATTAAGCATAAATTGTCAAATCTAAGTAACTTAATTTCATTGATTTGTTTACTTAGTTACTTAGTCAATAGTTTCAATATTTGTTTTAATTATTTTAGGACCTACTTTTTACCTTGCTTTTTTAAATATGACTTGTATATATTTCAATGATTATTTTGGGAAGAATTCCTAGTTTAAATAAGAGTTTATATTTACAAAAAGGACATTAAAAAAAAAAGAAATTTGGTAGTATAATTATAACTTATAGACATATGAATATTTCTTCAGGTTATTTTTATGTACTGTTGTCATATTTATTATTATTATATTATAATCAAAATAGTAAAATAAAGAAGGGTTGAGATAGGTTTCTAATATAAACATAGTAATTAGGTATTGTTAAATATTTATTTCCATCCTAGCTTTTACCTGCAATTTTATCTATATTATAGGGATGATAGTTGATTGTCTAAAATAAATAGATGCCAATATTCTTCTCCAACTCAAATAAGATTTGTGTATGAAATTTCATTACAATTGGTTGATTTGTTAAAGTGACAAGCGATAACAATCACTTTCACTTCTTACTACTTAATATAATTATATTAAATAGTAAGATGTGAAATGTGGAGGGTAATCAGTGTGAGGAAACCAGTGTTGTTGTAGTAAATATGCAAGTAACCAGTCTTAATTATCATCTCTCCCTAATATATCTGTAAATTTAAATCACTCTCTTGAAAGGCATATAACTTTATATTTAAATACAAGTATTAATAAAACAGTGTTTCTATTGAATTATTTTTTAAGAAATAATCAGGGTTATCAAGTATTTAATTTAGTGTGGAATTTCAGAGTAATCTAGCAAATACATGAAAATTGTAGTAGGCAGTAGTTGTTTTGACATTATATACTTATTCATAAAAATGTCAAACCTCTCATAAACTTATTTTAACTATTGAACTGTTTTGTCTCTTTTTTTTTTTTGTCTTAAATAGAAGATTTGAATGAAAGTGATAAAACAATTTAATAGATAAGTTTGTAGAAGGTTTTAGTTTTTATGAATAAGGGTGTAAGTATGTAATAATTATATACTAATATTAAATGATCATAATACTGTCTTAAGGAGAATCAAATTTCCAGAACTGGCCTGTTTGTATGAAATAAATTATGAAAATAGATAAAGCCAAATATAATGTAAAGATAAACATCATTGCCATTCTATACTTGCTTCATAATAACTTTGCAAAGTCTTATCTAAAATGCAGTTTATTTAATTAAAAATGTGTCAATGTTAAGTTGGCATGATAATACTAGTATTGTTTTCAATGTAAATGTAACCCTTATGTTGTTGATAAATATTTATAAATATATAGCCAGTAAAATTAAATGAAAATTACAATGAAAAGCCTTAATCTGTTATATAATTAGTTATTATTTATATATTTATTAATTTAGTATATACTAAATATGGTTATTTATATATGTATTGTATGTGATTTATGTGTTATATTTTTTGTAAGTATATTATTCTATGTTTGTATGTTTATTTATCCTAAATTGTTATCTTTTAAAATATTTATTTAATTTGCTATTTTTTTAAATCTGTGCACCACTATTTGCTCTCTGTGTTTGGCATGGCGGTTGACTGGTAGAGAATGCCATCAGGCATTAACTCCACCCTGTAGACATTTTTATTGTGTGCAAAAGTATAAATAAATAAATAAATCATACTTTCTGAAATAGTTCTGTTGTAGGTGTATTTCATGTGACTACTACTTCATTATCAAATAACTTTCATAAGAACTAAATATAAAATATTACAATTAGTAAAGTGTATGTGCTAATTAAAATGATGATTAGAATAGAGGTTAAAATAATTTTTTCTGTTAATTCATTCCTTATTATACTTGTGATTGTTTTCTGATTATGTATTATTTAAATTCCCTGTTTACAGGCACTTAATTGATTTATGTTGAATGATAAATATTTCAACCATTACTTGAAAGCAACACATAGCTATATAAAAATATAAAGCTGGTTGTTGATAGTCACTGCGTTTGCAGATGGCGTAGAGTGTGGTTTGCGGCACATACGCCAACTATGCTAGCGTTGGTTGAGCAACTGCGGTCGTACCTCGGTGGAGGATGTGAGTGCGCGTGATGGCATTCAAGTGTGCTCTGCTCCACTGCTATCATTTTATCATTATCAAAATGTGTGAATGAATGAACAACAAAACACATCCCTTATTCATTTGATTATTTTAAAATTCATTAAAACATTACAGCTGTTACAATTGTTAAATAACAAATGCTAATTTGTTTGACAGTTAATTATTAATGGAATGATATAATAATATGTGTCCCTATGCCTCAAAGCATATTACCGCAAACTAAGAATGTTAACTAAAATTAGATTAAGTAGGTACTTTTAGGTACAAATAGTAATCTATGTACCTAACATAGTTAAAAACATTATTTTAATTTGTGTTTCCCTTTGCAAGCACAACCACATTTGTACATGGTTTTTATAAAAACAAATATCAGAGATCGAATTGAGATTTTTTAAGTATCGATGCGCCAACTAATGTCCGACCATTTGGCCATGTTTATAGTCAGCAAAAATTACTGATTAGTCTGGCTGCTTAATTTATTTATTCATATTGCTATTTTTAGAATAGGATGATTGAAATGAAATTCCTTCATTATCATTTTTATAATTGTATCAGTTTTACAATCAATTGGCAAAATAATACGGGGATGGGAACAAAGTAAGGAATAAATAGTATTTAAGTAGCTATGTGGCTGAATAAAAAACATGAATATGTAATCTCATGTTTATTATTTACTATTTCACGTGACCGGGTTATGATTACTGACGGGGATAAAAGTAGCCAATTTCCTTCTGCATCCCCATATACTACGTACCAAATTTAATAGTGATTTATTCAGCCTGTGTATAACACTAAGTGGCTAACAAATAAACAAACTTACTTTTATAATATTAGTAATGATTTTATAATCACAATCTCAACTGATTCTAGCTGAACATCTCCAACAGCAATAATCGGGTTAGCCTACTAGTCAACCTTTTTTCAACCGACCAGTCGCCTAATCGTCCAAACTCATAGTCAACCCATCTTTATTTATAAAATTTGCTCCACAAATAAATTCAGCTATTTCAATTTTGAAAAACAATAATTATAGGACCAATACGGGAGTAAACTCTATCAATTGCAGAAAGAATTATCGAAATTTATTGACATTTGGTGTTGTTATTTCTTTTAAGTCAATCAAAAATATGAATATATTTTAATTTCGTCATATTTCACCGCATTACACATTACAAAATGCAACATATGAAAAATGAGAGACTACTTACTATATAGACTACAGCCATTTGTTGGATGGGTTATTTTGATTTTAAACTCCTTCAATTCCACGTTTTGAAATAAGACACCATTAGCTGCATTTGCTAATGTTCTCGTGCCGTAGTGTTACATGCCAAAAATGCCGGGTGTCCCCTATGTCGCAAACGTGACTCAATAGCCTTGAATAAATAAATATAGGTGTATGTCCTTTAAGGTCAAGATTCTCCTTTGATTCTTATGAACATCTTTTTCTGTTTTTGTTAAATTTTAATTGTTTTCTTTAATTAATTTCTTCTAGTTAACCAATAATTTCTTAGCACTTATGAATAATCCCAATTTAGATATTGCGCACAAGATATTATTAATTAATATATATTTTATCTCAATTCGTTACATAGATACCGTTGTACAATCTTCTAAAGATAGATATTATGGTACTGACTGTATATACATACACAAGGATCAAGTGGCAAACTGACAAGTTAATTATTATCGATGAACTTCATATGTTTGCTATTAGAGCATAATTCCGATAAACAAGTAGATATAGTATAAAAAAATCTAATGTCCGATACGGCTCGAAGCTCTCAATTTTCACTTGCAAAAATTGTAATGAATTTCGCATTGGTTTGCTTATTTAACCGAAGTTTCAAGAGGATTCCATCTCTGCGTATATTTTTTTTTTTGTTTTACTCTATTTCCTTGCGTGTTTTTTTAAAGCTTTGCGTAAGCTACTAATTATTTCTTGATTTTGTAATATTTAATATACATTAAAAATATAAAATCGCGACAGCTCGATTAGCAGAATACAAGTCACGTCTCTTAGTTATCCGAACCGAGTTCACACTCAGTAGAAGAAATTTTGTTAGCTGAAACTGTGTTTGAGTAGCTAAGAGATGCGTATGAGATAAAATGTTTCAATTTACAATATATGTAGTAGTCTCAAATGTAGATTATGCACTTAAAAATAAAATTCAAATGTAAATATATTAACATTTTAACAGAATATACATATAATTCCTATCATTTTATGCATTTATGTCAAGGATGTGAATAGGATTAAATTATTCAGAAGTATATTGCAATACATCATCCCTTTTAATATGGAATTTTCTGATCATATCATCTTTCTATCCCATGCATACATGTTCTATGAAAATGCATGCATGATATAGAATGAAAAGATGGAAATCGAAATTCTAAATAGTCTGACAATTTTGTTAAATATAGCCCTTTATATAAAATTGTAGTCGGAATGTTTCAGGTATTAATATAATATTGGTCTAACTGTGATCATAGTCAATCAGAATATATTGAATGATCTTGTGACAGCTCTATCTTTACTCAATTCTCCAAGTGACCAATTCACACCACATATAGTTTACTAGTGTATATGAGATGTTGTGAGTGAAATATATGTTCATATTTCATTCTTAATAATCTCCGTCCTCAGAAATGACCACGCATGATATCCATGGTGCTGTTTATGTCCATAGGCAGCGGTTACGATTACGTTTCAAACTAATTATCAGCTTGTTTGCAATTCTTACTTAAAACAATTCACCTGTAAACTGACATCCGTGCTATGAGTTTTGCGTTGCGCATATAAGTATACTAGCGGCCCGTCCCGATTTCGCACGGGTGGATATTTTTACAACATTTTTCATTTTTTATCTGATCCGACCTAGCTACCTATTTCATAGATGTGCCCACCCCTACCTGCCCCTCTCTCGCACCGCTAAAATAGGTATTATGAATAACATTTACAACGCGACAGTGTTATTTTTTCTATTTCTATGACTTATTAAATCCGTAATATCTATTGAATGGAATAGCATATAATAACAAGGATCCCTAATCTTTTCTAGTAATAAATAAAAAAATAGCCTATGTATGGATGAATGTAGCTTTCTAATGATAAAAAAATTTTTGAAATCGGCAAAGTAGTTTTTGAGTTTATTCATTACAAACATACACAAAAATACAAATCTTTCCTCTTTGTAATATTAGTGTAGATTAACGCTATGTACCACTGCAATTAAAATGCTATCAACACAGAACTAAATATTTTTCTAAAGCTCTAAATTTTTACAATATATAAATTGAAAATACAGTAGCTAGTATGTAATGTGTAATATTATTGTTTAATAGGTGATATAACAGACATGCTGACCAAATTCCATTTTTTTTTATTTCCCTTAGAACATTTGCTCTCTGTGTTAAAAAAAAAAGATCATTATTCGAAAGGACTATTTTTTTTTTTTAAATTTTGGCTGTGGATTAGAAACCTTAATCCATTACGAACATGAAAAAGATTCAGCCAAATAGGTCCAGCTATGTCCAATTCAACTGATACGCTTTATCGACAAACAAAATTTCATTTTTATATAGGTATGAACAGATATATTAAGTGATCTTTTATCCTGGATTGGACCTTTTAGGCTATTTGAAATAACTTCCGTTTAAGTTGAAATCTGTGTTTATAATGACAACTTGAAGAAAATGTCTATGTTTACAAATTATGACTACATGATATTTAATATTAGGAGACTGATATACAGGTTTCTATTTTATTGTTTAACAATACTGGTGACGAGTCATAATTTTTTAAAATCATTAAAATGGTTTCTTATTAAGAGAATGTGATGTGTGCACCCTTAATAATATAGTTATAGACAATATTAGATCTTGTTTTCTTGTAAATATATGTTTTGTTCATATATACTTTAATGTTAACTCTTCATTTAATTTTTAATTTTCAATATTGTTTACATATGAAATGTAATGTTTGGTTATCAGGTACATCGACTCCGGTAGTATATTTAAATGAGTCGTGTATGGAGTGGGAGAGGGTACGAGCGGCGAGCGAACGGCTGGGCCCGGTGGCGGCGGCGCCGAGCCCGGACACGCTGCCGCCGCCACAACCACCACCGGCGCCGCCCTCTTATCTCATTACTTCAGTCTTTGACGGTGAATTGTTCGATGCAGCACACAGAGCAAAATACAGGTTTGTGTCTATGTAAAATGCAATTATGCACTTAGCAGACTTACACTCTACTTACAAGAAGGAGACTTCTTACAAAAGTTGTCTGTATTGGTACCGATGGACTTCTGTCCCACTCGTATAGAAATACCTTCAAATGGTTCTACATATATGGCAGTGAAATTATAGTTTATGGAGCTTTAATTCTTTAGTCCTTAACAATGACAGCGCATTTTTTTTTTTTTTTTTTTTTGAGAATGAAAATGGAATGGTATCCCCGCCTGCGCTAATGGGATACGCTAGCGAAGCACCAGTGAAGGGTGACAGATGAGAATGAAAACAGGCCAGTTAGCCCATCATGATGAATTCATTAGGAATTAACCATGATAGTTTCCAGGGGGAACCACGAGGAGGTCGACCTGGTTGAGTATATTGCTAGTAATGGGATTTTTAGTCTCCATTACTAACAATCCCTTTCCCCCCAATGACAGCGCATTAGAAATGCTGTTTACGTCTACAGGCGACGTTTACCGCTTTTCTATGATGTGTGCTGTGAGCTTGTTGATATTTCCAGTTGGATAAAACAGTCATGTTATCATTGAACACTTTAGCTTGTCTCTTCGTGACTACTTGTATTCTTCTAATTTAGCACATTGTCACACGAAATTAGAACACAAATGTATAAATTTTCTCGGATTTTATAAACCTTTACATAACATAAAAACTATGATATTAGTACAGGGTGCCCGATCTATATTCTAATTTGAGGATATTTGATTATCTAACAGTTGTTTTTTTATATTTATATTATTTTAATATTGTCTTGACAATACTTGTTTGAAGAACAAATATTAAACTATAAATATACGGTAATGAAAAAATAACTATACAAAAATGCTTAAATCTAAGTTTACTTGAATAAAAATATTTCTTTCTTTCTATTACTAAAACATTTATCGATATCCAAACGACTTATAGTTACTAAACATCTTATAAACGTTTGTAGTTTCTATTAATTGTCTGCCAATTTTCATGCAAATCTCTTTTTTTTTTCACAGCTAAAATACAATTTTAGCTGTGTGTGTGAATGTGTGCAATAAAAATATACATATAGTCAGTTTGGCATTTTACAATAAGCCAAAATTATTTTTTAGTGGCGTTAATTTTTTCTGGGATAGAGGGTCTTACATGGAGTAGGTGTATTGTATTCGCGGAATTAATGTCGGAGCATATAGTTGAAATAATTAAAATAGTAAAGTATCAATTGTACATAGTATACTGGTAACGAGACGGATTGTTATTGACATTTATTTTGGCTCAGTATGCGAGCATTTGCGAGAGTGCTAACGAGCGTGACGGATGCTTTGTTACGCGTTTACATTGACGCCTTTTTGTCTTGCCTTCACCTACGCCGATGTACACAAGTAGTAACTATAGCGCACATTTGTGACGTCCAGCTAATCTAAATATAGTACTCATTAAGATTAAACATTTTGATAAATCTCGTTTTAAGTTTAGCAAAAGAATCCTTATGGCCTCGTCTGTTCTAATCGAAACATGAAGACGAAGCAGTTTAACGTGGTAATCGTTTTGTCTTTTTCTTTTTATATTATTAACTGTCTTAATTCATATTAATGTCAATAAGGTTGTATATCTAACAGCATGTCAGTTGTAATATTTGAAAAATATTAATTTTACAAACATGTAAATTATATTCTCTTGAGTTGGGTGAAAATCATTTGAAATGCGTTCACGAAGCGTGACTCAGTTGAGTAGTAGTAGTCGCAGTATGACACTGACTGGGCGAAGCATGAGCGCGACGGTAAATTGCGGAATGCCAAAAACAGAGACTCAGTGCTGGTGATGGCCGGCTTATTGCAGATTTACGAGCTCTATAAACAACACCGCCCCCATCCTCACTACACTACAATTTTCACTTTTTCTACTCTCAGTACTGACTCGTTTATCCTTAATTGACTCATCATCAACATTATGAATAAACGATTGTTAATTTCTTAATTTTCATTGCCTCTATTAATATTTCTGTAAAGTTCAACAACCGTCCGATGTCGAGTTTCGTTTATAATAATATGGTTAATTTCTAAACTACCTACTATCGTGTTCGTATGTGATTTACGAGTGCCAATTTGGCGATTTGGCCGCACCTTATCGTTGACTTTGTTCATTTGAGTTTATTTTATGTGGGTTCCGATATAGAACAGGTAGGTATAATTCATCAAACTCTGGTGTATCATTTGAATATACCAGTGTACGTCTAGAAACTGTAATGCTCTGCATTTTGTTTGAAGTGGTGGGTTCGTGTCAATAATCGATATTAAAGTTTAATTGTTTATTGTTCCATGCAACCCTTTCTTGTTCGTTTACTGTGCAAATTAAAATTATACGAGCATTTACTTAGGCCTGTTAGGATAAATTTAGGTTTGAATTATGTTTTCCTTGGATTTGAGGATATAAGATATAAGGATATCCTACAATGGATATAAATTACTCAAGACTAACAAACTCGTATTTTTATGTTTGTAGTTTACCTTTTGCTTGACCGAGAGTTAATAAAACCTTAGGTATTTTTATATTGCCATTTAATGTTTAACGCCTGAAATGAAGATGATGACCTACCTTTTACTAGGTAGCATTAACAACCTGTCATAGCTTTGTTATAACCTGTCTTTGCGTCACAGCTCACGCTTATTTTGATCGGTTTCGGTGATATTGCTTGTTCACATTAGGGCTACTAATTTCGCAATAAATATATATATATATATATATATATATATATATATATATATAGACGTATTTTGACTCATTCGTAAATATATAATCGGTTTAAATCTTTTTGTTATTCTGTGACTAAAATGCCATTTATACACAAACACATCAATTTTTTTGGCAAGATTTAAATGTATAATATTAGGTTATATTGTATAACGCAGCTTTGCTTGCGTCAAAGAGGATGCAAATGTTAATCTGGGTTAGTCCATCTATATTCCAAATCAGTTTCAAATCCATTCAGCTGTTTAGACATGATCGAGAATCGTATATTTAAATGTCTTTTATAAACTTTTACATTTTACAATATTAGTGCTAGCTGAATCCGCGTAACTTGAATAATTAAAAAGTAGCCAATATAAATGGGTAGACTGTAACCTATGTAAGTATATAAAGGAATGATCAGTATCAATAGGCTCTTGTTTAACTTAGTTTAGTCTAGATCCAAGATAAAATCTAATATATATGCACTTTATTTCTTTTTTTAACAGGATGCTGTACTAATTACTGTTTCAATTCATTCTTTACATTTTATGACACTTGAACCGTTAATGCCCCAACTGGTAACAAACAAACTCAATTTGAGCGTTTACATTGCGATCTATTTACTCTAGCAGCACCAATATTCCTATATAATGAGTTTGCCCTCAATCCAACCCCGACTGTCCTTAATAAATATATTTAGACAAGTGTATAAATTTTTTACCTGTTCTCGTATCACAAGGAGTCATTATAAAAATTTGGAATAAGTACAAAATAACTATCGTGATTCTACGTTAAGGATATTTTTAACCAAGAAAATAAAGGCGATTCCTCTTAAGAGTAAATCGAAAAAATTGATATACAAATCGTATTACCAAGACGTTCTCTCATTTTTGACGATTGGACAATAAATATATTATTAAAAATTAAATGTTTCTATTGAAATATTATTTTATGGGATATAAGAGCAACACACTGGTTACCTCACCCTGAACACTAACGGTTGTTTATACACGCGAGACCTTCCACTCGTAAAACGATTGCATGATGGGTGACTGTATTTCATGGAAGGATGTAAATAAAGGTGTGCGTATGTACGGCGAGGGAGCGCTCGGACGTTAGGCGTGCGACGCTCGACGTAGAGGTCGCCCTTGTGGCCGCGCGACGCTCCTTGCTATTTTCGGCCTCACATTCCTCACGAATGTTTTTCAATCTAACGTGAAACGCATAACGCGCATGCCGCTTGCCTTTGTTTGTGCAGCAACCGCGATTAACGATCAACTTTTACTCGAAATATTTAACGCGTTTTTTTTTATATTTCCCTGTCAAATCGAACGAAAATGTAGCCGGCCAGAGAGTTGGTGTCGTGTGTTGAAAACCTAAAGAGCAAAGTGTTCTACAATGTTCCGAAGTGGCAGTGAGTAGCACCGGTGTATAGTGAATGTATATAGTGCACGTCTGACTAGTTCCTGATCATCAGTGGATTTGTTTACGATGGGACCTACACGGTTACCGCCTACACCAGAGGAAGAAGAACCTCCTCAAAACTTCGTGGCTACTTTAGAGCCAAAAACACCAGAAGCATTGTCTTTAAAATGCGACTTGTAAGATTTTACTAAATTAACGCTTAGAAATTAAACACACTTCTTTTTTTATGATCTTTAGAATAACAATTTTCACTTTTTATAAGGTTCACGATCCACCTAATGAAAAGTGGAAATCGTCGCCAATTGACAAAAGCACCATGGACACCACAGAATATACTGTGATGCTCATTGCATCCCTCATGCATTTCCATTTCTAAGGACTATGTTGTTATAACTCCGTAACCTGTACTTTCATTGCCTTATCTTACCCTTCAAATCGAAACAAGTTCCTTATATATTATAAATGTTAAAAACATTTCTTGAGTTTTTGATTTGATTTGATTTGTAATACATACCATTACACCGATAGACAACATTACGATTTTGGTAATTTGCAAACCATGCCTAAGAAAAAAAAGTAGCGCGTACTTAAAAATTTATTACCAAACTTATTTTAACTTACGTCACTGAGTCGATCCTTGAAATAAGTTAATTGTTATTATGATTTGGTGATTGTTTAATTATTTAAATAATTTTCAATCCAAGTCTAGATTCGACTGCAAGGATATTCAAAATATAGATCAATAAAGCATAGATTGAGTTATGTTCCATAGTAATTGAAGTCACTTATTAGGTAAAAATAGCAATTTTTAAAAAGTGCAGTAAACAGTATTGATTCCATTACGTTTCCGTTGAAAGATATCGTGAAATTATTAAAATTCATTAGTTATATCGAAAATATTACAATAATAGATTTTTTTATGACACGTGGTGGGGGAGGGGGGGGGAGGCAAAGAGAATGCGGCACCTGATGGTAATTACCACCTCTAATTATAATGTAGTTAAAATTCTATTTATAATTTCAATAAGTGCGTACTTGTAAAAAAAACCTCTTGGTTGTAATAAATGGAAATTAATTTCCATTCACTTCTACCAGTGGAAACAAGTGGATATTAACTGTTTTAGGTTATTGTTAGTGGAATACAATAACAAACATTCGAATGGATTCGCCCTGTAGTCCCGCATAGAATAGGTCATCTATCCCTATCTCGTAGGTTTCGTAAGAAGCGACAAAAGAAAGGAAGTGAAGATTCAGCAGTTGACAGTAAACGGCTGATATGATGATATAAGGGATCTTAACAACAGAAGAATAATAAGAATTTAATTTAAAACTATAACAATAAAAACCAAAACAATAATTATTAAAAATTATGTTTGTAGTATCTGTTACGGCATCGTGCAAAAATACTGTACCAAATTGAATGCGGATTTCATAGTTGTTTTTTAAAAGTCTAATTTAAAATTCACTGGGTATGTTTTATTTTGATACGCCATCTAAGTGTGACTGCTTACTTAACTACAAAATCCACACGTTCGAAGTTACTAGTAAAAGCTAGTCACAGAATAATTATTATTATACTGTCCCGGTCATAGTAACTTTTATGTATTAAAAGTCATGAACTATTATCTTCTCAAAGATATGGTAACTATAAAAATAAACAATATGAAAGTAAAAATAGAACCCTGAATAGTAAAAATTATGCAATTGTATTTGAAAATTGACATAATTCTGACGTATTCGATAAGCTTCGATATGAACGCTCTTAATAGAGATGATTAAATTATACAATTGTAAGACTGTACTCGCAATAGAAATTGGCTAAGATTAACCAAATTAGAATAAAATGACGGCTATTTTAATCATAACGATTGTTTACCCATTTGCATAGAATTAAAGTAACTCATCAACTATTTCTACAGCGACACGTAAACCGGCGGTGTATGTGGTATCCTGTGACGTCACGCACATAGTGCCGCGGCGCCGGGACCGCTACTGACGCCCACCACATTCATGGACACTTTAATTCATGTCTCTGGGGACAAATTATGTGTCCTATAAATACAATTCTACCATGTATATTTATCTTAGCGACTGCTCAGAAAACTAGAAAAATCTGGTATAAATATATGTATAATCAAATAACCGCTTTCTTTTTTTCGCTTATATTTTTGATATTGTCTATTTGGCTGTTATTTTTATTTGCTTATATATCATCATAGTTTTACTATTCAACTAGCATCATATAATAATGATCTAAGTTTTTCGAATTTGGCGAAAATGGCAGAAGTTTTTCTTAGTCACCTCCGTTTGAGAAAAATATATTAATCAGGGTATTATGATTCAATACAAATTACAATGCTTTTTTTTTTTCAGGATGTGTAACTTGATTGGTAACTTAAAAAAAATACGAGCAATCAGTTTCCTTTTTTTTTTTTAATAAATGCTTAACTTAGTTCTCAGGAATGACAACGCGTGAACGATATCTTGAGCGTCTCAGAATATTCTTTCATGTGTATAGACGACGGTCATTACTGTTGATTAGGTGGGCAGTCACCTTGTTTGCCATTTTAACCAAAAACTTAGTTTATCAAGTTTTCTTCTATTCAGTACTAAATAGTTGAATATTAAATCGTTCATCGTTTAACGTACTACTTAGTGTACTTAGTTTGTCAGGGATATCTTTTAATTATAATCTTCGTGACCGTCTAGAATTAAAATTCTATAAAATGCATAATATTAGACAAAATCAGCCAAATTGAAAACTTTCTTTTGGAGATAGTTTAAAAAGAAATTTCATAGTATTTGTATTGTTATATTTCTATGTGCGTATTATAGTTGATTTTAAAAAAACGTTCCTTTTACCTATCTATTATGCCACGTGATGTCACGGACAATAGCTAGTTGCAGAATACTAATGAACGTTATATATAAATACCTACAAGTGTCTTCCAATTTCCATGTCAATCATGTGAAGAGAAAATGTAAATGACTCTGTACCTATTTGGAACGATTGTAGTTCTACCATGGGTGAGTAATTATTATGCCTCTATTGTGGAACAATACAAAGTACGGATCGAATATACACCTTAAGTCGCAGATTGTCGTTAATAGGTTTGCCTGACTAGGTTTAATTCTGAATTCTATTAAATGTTATCAAGTTTATACTATAGTATTAGGGACGATAGCAGCAGGATTGCTGAAATACCGTTGCAAATATAGTAACCATTGTGTTTAAATATAACTACTCCGTATGCAATAAACAATAAATACGATGGTTTAGTTTCATTTACACGTATAAACAAAGTTTCGTTTTAGATATAGGAAGCGCACATTATAGGCGTGCCTTCCTTTTTTTAATAGCGTACATAATTTATTGAACATTTTTACCGCTAGCCACGTCAAAATATGTAATGTGTTGGTCGTTCATTGTACTGCCAATTATATATTTATTCTTTACATTAAATCTACGTTATTCTGTATGTAAAGTCTATATTTTACATAGACAATAACGCAACAGGTGACGGTGGAGAATTTGAATGAATTAGTAACTAGCATTTATAAAAGGAAACTAGTCTGGTTTGGAATAGAAATATAATATTAAGTACCTCTATGTAATTTCATACCTACTATGTACATCATATACGCAAAAACATCGAAATTTTCCTATCCATCACAAGATGTACGGATTTTAATTATCTATATGTTTAAAAATAATAAGATTTAGAACTATTTACTTAAAATTATGTAAAACTTGTAAATATATATGAATCAGGGTTACTTACCTCCAAAGAAAAAACGGAACCCTTATAAGATCACTTAGTTGTCCGTCAAGACCCTTTTTCGTAAGAATGCGTGGAGGTATCAAGTTAAAATTATTATCATATTCTTAGGTCTGCAATCTCTTAAAGCAGTAAAAATCAAGCTTCTAAATCGACGCAATCAAAAATTACGGCCGTTTATGTTCCATTTACATCGCATATTTTGACATTCGCAAAGGGAATCAAAACATATAGGCTACGTCCCGTTGGGACCTGGAATCATGAAATTTAGCAGGAAGGAATGTCAGGTAGCACATGTAAAGGAAAAAATCCAAAAACCGTAAATTTGTAGTTATTTTACAGAAAAATAAACTTGATGATTTTGTACGGAATACTCGTTACTGCGAGTCCGACCCGCACTTGACTGGCTTTTTTTTGTAAACCATACAATTTTCAATGACCTGCTGGAATGTATTTGTTAATATGTATTCGTCATAGATTCATACATGAATATGTAAAAAAGTAGATTAAGTAAACACGTTTATAAAAGCAAACATATACATGCTGTATTGACATTTTTTTTCTCAAACTTACATGTATAAATTAGAGCTCGTTAATTATATGATCATGTTGACCTTCGTCTTTAAGGTTTTGTACCGAATACTTAAAGAAGGAACATCTCTGATTTCATAATTGTTATTGTAGGTTAGTTTGTTGATATTTAACAAATATAGTAGACATTTATACATTATGTGACATGCTATTTGTACTCGTATACAAAATTTTAATAATTTTTATTAATAATGATTAAGAGCGACTGGACTTGAAATTGAATGGTATGATTTATTTATTTTATTTATTTATTGTTTATTGTACACAAAAAAATTACAAACAAATAATATATATAAAATAAAAATGTACAACAGGCGAGCTTAACTCTGTAAGAGTTCTCTTCCAGCAAACCTTGAGTGGAAAGAAGCATTAATTACCTGCGGGCAGTATGCGTACAATAATAGAAGGATACATTATAGATGTTTCTATTAAATAATAATAAATATGTTGACCATATATACAAAGTAACTCATATAATTAAAAACAAAATACATACATATCTGTATACAATAATACATAAACATAAAATATCTTTTCACATACAAAATACGTACATATACATACATAGACATAATAAGTTTATGAGGACAGAAGATGCTCTTTTAATCTGCTCTTGAATATATTCAGCGATTGACTTTCACGAATATGCAGTGGAAGAGCGTTCCATAGTCTATCCGCATGAACCGTAAATGATCCACTATAGCATGAGGAGGTATGAGGAGGGATTTTAAGAATAAGGGACTTACTCGACCTACTATACATGCCAGTGGGGTCAAGGAAAGTAAAACGTTCACAAAGATAAGATGGGGACGAGAAATTAAACAGTACAGAATACAGGAAAGATAAAAGATAAAAATCACGACGTTGACGAATTGGGAGCCATTTTATTATTTTCATATTATTTATAAAGTGTCGAATATAGTGGTAGTCGAACTTTCGTGTTCGCAACACAGTATAATTGTTAACTTTTATTTGTACACAGGGTGTTGGGTCCAACAGCGGTATTGCAAATGGCGGAGCGCGACGAGCCACAACCAACGAACACCCGCCCGCTTTATTCGCTGTCGATGCGTGGTGCCGTCATATGCTTTTCTGGATTTCGGAAAAAAGATGAACTTGTTAGTATAATTCTCTCCTCTATTTATTGTCTATAACTTGTAAGGGAATATCATCAATTTTAATGCTACATGATGAATATTTTCTTTGTGGATCACATATTCATCTAATATTGTCGCATGATTATGCTTTATAGTATAGGGAGATATTGTTCTTTAAAAAGCTACTTTTTTTTATTAAGATAAGCAAAGATCACGTTGCTTATTAAATCTCAAATAAACTTTTTAATTTATGGACGATTATTTAAATACAATTATGAATATAGTCATTAGTAAATTTTTTTTAATGGGTGAAAATGGAATGGTAACCCGCGCTATCAGTATACGCTGGCGGGGCAAGAGTGAACGATGATAGGCGAAGATGAAAGCAGCTCAGTTGGACGAATTTCACTAAAATTAACCACGATGGTCTCGAGGGGAAACCGCGTGGAGGTCGACCTGATTGGAGGGTACATTGCTAGTAATGAGTCTGTTAAACTCAAATACTAACAAACCTTCCCCCTCCCCCTCCCCTATTAAAAAAATGTTGTACACCATTCACACCACCCTAATCCATTATTGTCCCACCACTGGACATGGAACTCATCCATAAAAAAGGATATACCTGGCCAGACAGCTTGATTGTCAAGACTCTTAGAAAGCATAGTAATAATTTTGGTATTTATGTTTTGTCGAGTTTCATTTGTAATTGCATCATTGGTATATTATTTTCTTTATTTTTTGTCACGATATGGGGATGAAAAACGAATCGTGACATATTTTATTCCCCATATGGATAACCTTGTACAAAGGGGGCAGAAATATGAGCCTTATGCCAATCTTAATAATAAATTCTAGTATCAAATAGTAGAAAATAAATTATGAACATTGTATGCAGACGTACCTGATAACACTGATACACTACATGGGAGGGTCAATCCGTAAAGATACATGCGTTAAGATGACGCACCTAATCGCAACGGCAGCTACTGGCCGCAAGTACCACTACGCGTCGGGCTTCGGATTGCCTATACTATCCAAATCATGGGTGGACGCCTGCTGGGAACGCCGCGATGACCCCACCTTCTCCGCCATGGATGATGCTATAATTGTAAGAAATATGATTTTTAGTATATATAATATGTAATTAATGTTAAACCCAGATTTTTTAAAAGAATGTACCCTAAGCGGACTAGTTGTGTCCATAGCTTTTCAGATGGATATTAAAACCTATGGATATTTAAACGCTTTTGTTTACAGACATAGTTTCAACATAACAAGTTACATGCTGTTGTTTTGCGGCATGGCCTTTTTTTTGTAATATAGAACTATTAACATTGTCTCGTGCATGCAAATTAAATATTCATGTAAAGTTTGCTCTCACAGAGTTGACGGATCTTTAACAGCCGTAGTCATAATAACAGTTCAAACTCTTATCAAAAGTCTCAACTTTTATCTCGTTTAATGTTAAATTAGTAAATGGATTGTGTTTATTATTTTGTGATTTAGCTTTAAAGAACAGAATTAACACTTACGTTGTAAATATTATTATTTCCAAATAGTAATTAAATTGTAAATATTAATAAAAATGCATGTAACAATTGCAGAAAGAGCACAAACTGAAGGTGTTCGCGGGAGCCCGAATATGTTTCGTGGGCTTCCCTGAGGATGAAACGGAACACATGGCGGAGGTGCTCGCCAGCAACGGCGGCTCTACTTGCGCCATCGACGACCCCGACTGCACGCATGTCGTGAGTACTCCTCATTTATCTTATTATCATAGTTTTATGGTACTTAATCATATTGCCATCATTTAAAAGTACAAGATTTAATGAGAATTTTCTCTTTATTATAGAATCTCCTTTTTAATAAAAATATAGAGGAAAAATATTTTATACACATCCCTTCTTCTATACTGTATTGTAACATTAGCTACTAATTTGAGCTATGGTATATGAAGTCAGCATGCACGTAGTTACTTCTGGGAACACAAATCATTTTTAGTTTAGCTACAAGTAGATTCTATATATGGTATCTTAATTTGGTTTTATTATATCACACAATCCCCTCTTATTTCTTCAACGGATTGCGTATTTCAATGTTAACCACTGTTTGGTTAACAATTTGCGTGCAAATCGTTGTTACCGATCATGCGGCAATGTCACTAATATGGGCGTTATTTCTTACAAGAGTTCGTCTATATCTCGTTTATTTCCATTTTTTTTTTCTTATTATTTGAGAACGTATTGTAATACTATTTGCGTCACTATTTGTTTTCACTTTCCACGTTTCGGCTAATTTGATTTACACAGTAATATTTTGTTACGAAGGGTTACATTGCATTTTCCTATATCCATTCCACACGGCGTGAAGTCGACCCATTGATTTTCTCATTGTTTTTTCAATATCATTTTTAATTACGTCACTGTTTGATTCCGCTATTATATCATTTGTTTGCATATCTCATCGTAATTTTTTTTAATACTCATTATGTATATAGTCATTAATTTGTTTGTTTGTGTTTATTATGTCACTGTCTAAAAATCACAATATACGTACATTTGTATGCTTACTGTCAATTTGCACTTGTGCACTTACTAGTCGAAGGTCAAACTACTTGGAGATACCTACACCATTTTTATAACAACACTTTTTCAATAATTCTCTACTGTCTGTTTATATTCATCAACGAATAACTAAAAAGGCTGACTATGTTCCTCATACTTATATACTTGTTACATAAAAAAGATTTATTGACAGCTTATCTGTGTCTAACTGCCTTTAACGATAACTATTGTCGTGCATGTTTATATTGGAATGGCTTCATTACATCATTGCGTGGTGTGTTTCACACATGTTTCAGGTAATGGCCAATGGGGAGACTTTCGGTCGTTCGCTTATCCTCTCGCCTCGCCCAAATACTCCATCCTCGATGAAACCATCCCGTGCCACTCCCAGTCGCTCCCAGTCTACTCCCAAAAGTTCTTTGTACCGTAGACTTTCAGCCAGGCTCTCAGGCCGCCGCGGTAGCCCTAAACAAGTAGATGATCCTAAAGAATTTCCTGGAAGCCAGAGCGAAGCTCGCATCCAACTTGCAAGAAACAGTATTAGTGAAAAACAAACCATATCCAAAGATCAAACAGATAATGTCAGTATTACTAGTTTAGTAGGAAGATCGTTTACGGATAACGTACACGCATGTAATGACAATAATAAAAGTACATCGAATTCAGATCGTATAGAGTTTCGGAAATGTGAAACATACGACAAAGAAAATATGTATATATGTAATCTTCTACGTAGTCCCGTAGAATACAATGCGAAAGATAAGAGAGAAGTTTTTAGAAATAAGTCCATGAATGTTTTTAATTTAGTTGATTGTTTAACGGAGGCTGGATCTCTGCACTCTTCATTTACAAAGAGTTTATGTGATTTAGATTCCAAGGATGAAACCGGTTTTTTACTACCGAGTTCAAATGGTGGGAAGGAGTTACAACATTCAAATACTACTATTTCTTCTGGTAAAAAGAGAAGTCGCAATTCCACAGATTCCAATTTTCAAGTTAGCTGTATAGATGCTAATGTATCACCAGATAAAGGCGAGGATAGTAACTGGAAATCGATAAAGAGATTAAAAATCAAAGATTCGTTTAAATTCAAGAATAGACCAACCATATTTAAGAGAAGCAAAAAAGATTCAGTCTCTAAAGTAACGGGAGATATTACAGTGGAACCAGTGAGTCCGGACAGTGTGAAACCTACCGATCCCGCAGGAGAGTACGTGGCCTCCACGTCTTCCCCCATCAGAGAAGACGATAATACATCTATTTGCTCGATAAACACAAGCAAACAGTCTGGTTTCTTTGACATCTCATTTGCATCAATACGCAGTTCTAAAACGGTCAAATCTGCTTCGAAGTTACGCAGAAGTGTTAAGTCGTTCACGGCCTCTTTTCGCAGCGAACGTAAAAAGAAATATGAGAAAAGGCTCGAACGCAATACCGTCGAAGTCGACGTACGTCACCTCCCTGCCGACTTGAGGAACGTTTCCACGCCAAAGAGGGACCTCGACGCGATGAATTTAGATATTTCTCCTGTGCAAGTGGACACTATTGATAGCACTGAACCGCAGACACCGACGACAGAGTCCTGCGTGGATGAGTTGGATGATTCGACAATATTTAAAACACCCCAAAGCGTTTGGCCCCGCGGCGGGCCGTCCCTCCCCGTCCCGCCCCTCCCCGCCGGCGCGCGCCCCCCGCCGCCGCCCGTCGCCGCTCTCCCGCCCCGCGACGCCCGCGCCATATCGCAATGCCATGGAATATTGCTGCCGGTACTAACACAATTTAATTCAATACCAAATAGTAGCTTGTTGCGCGAATCATTGGCGACCGTCGCCGTAGTTTAGTCAAGAGATAAACGCTCAATTATATTCGAGTCAATAGGAGGTATGCATGCATACTAGAATGAAGTGCCGCTACTCTTATGTTTTTCGGTGCTTTGTAGGGCTTGAACTAAGTCTGCTATTTATTATGTATATCAAATGTGATGAGGACTAGTTGTTGAATTTTGTTTATAATTTTGGTGGTGGATGATAGCTAATCGAGTCCCCGTGATAACCCTAAATTTATGTACAGGTAGTGGACGAGCACAACACGGTTGTGTTACCGGAGTGTGCGGAGCAAGTGCACATCGTCAAGGCGGAGTGGTTCTGGGCCTCCGTTCAAAATGAGGAAGCACAGGACGAAAAGGATTATCTCTTCAAAGATGTAAGATTTTTTTTTAACTATAAATTTAACTTTAAATAACTAGCTCTCAAGTTCAGAACAGCTTAATGAAGTATCAACAAAATTTAGTCTTTATAAGTCGATATCATGGCGGTTCAACATATGACTTGGCCCAGACCCGCGTCTCCGCGTAACTCCCAGCGTAGCCGCACTATTCTAACCGCTGTCGACATTTGTCGTCTATTTTGTTATACCAATTACAGAGTGGCCGATGTCAACTTTTAAATTAATGAATTTTATGATCACATTTTAGTCTTTTCACCGTCACTCGTTCAGTCAGCGCTGAGGCACTTTTGCCATATTTTGACCATATTCTTTTTATAAGGTATAATTATAGCAATACAGAAAAAAGTAAACAATTACACATGTGATAACATTTATTCAATCATATACAAGTTTATATAATGTTTTTACTTTACAGTACCTGGAGGAAGTGTCGAGGCGGTCGTCAGTGGGCGGCGTGGCGATGGCCGCGGCGGCAGGCGGCGAGGAGGGCAGTGCGTCGGGCACAGGCTCGGGGGCGGGCGCCCCGGCAGGCAGCAGCGCCTCGAGCGGCACGCCCTCGCAGCTGCAGCGGCTGCGCAAGCGCAAGCTGCGGGGCTGTGAATCGGCGCTGCATAAGCGACGCTCGTCCGTCGGCGACACCGTGCTGCTTAACCTCTCCGAAAACCTACTCGATATCAGCACACCCTCACCTGTCGGAAAACAGCTGCTCGAAGGTAATTCTAGCATTGTAAAATGCGCCTGATTACAATTGATGAAATCAACTGGAAGTTAGCTTTTACTTCAGAAACAAACAAATCTTCTAAATACAATTTATATAATATCGAGTACACTGGATGTAGCTCTGCAGTAAGGGAAAACCTTACTATATGATTTAGAATTTAAATCTAAACATTTTGTAGTACCTGAAAGGCTTCTTCTTTCGAGTTATAATTTTGCTTTTATTTTAAAATGTTATAGAAATTACATACATATTTTTTGTTGTTAGTTGGAGAATCCGAAGTACCCGATAATGTAGTGCGTAAGTTGATGTCTCCCCGGCAGCAAGTATTTATGGAGTTATTACAAACGGAATCGAATTACGTAGGGATACTGCACACTATAGTCACGGTAAGTTATCTTACTTTTACATGTTACAGGTAATAGCACTTTGTTGAAATAACTGTTTAGCCTTACTGTTGTTTTTGGATGTTTTTGTCTATAAGTAATGGATACCACTTTCTATCAACTGGGCTATCAGCTTGTTTGTCAATTTGTCTGAATTGTTAGTACTACAATTGGCACAAATTAAAACTATATATTCAAGATTACTTGTATAATGTACTAAAATATATGATTATATTGTACAGTAGCAAGTAATACTTTATTTTTTGTTTATTACCTTTGTAGATGTTCAAACAACCATTAGAGGAAATGGTCGAGGAGGACAACAGTAACGGAAAATACCAAGCATTGCTCAATAATACAGAACTAAGAAATATATTTGGAAACTTACCGCCTATATATGAATTGCATCAGTAAGTATGATGAAAACCACAATATTGTAAATATAAAATTCTAGAATTTAACTGTTTATGAGTTCCTTGTAAGCCATTTGAATATTTTTAAAGATTTTAACATGGGAAAAATTATAGATCTTATAATATTTCTTAAATATCTATTATAATAATATAAGAACTCACACCTTTATGGCTTACAAATAAATATAAAAAAGAAATAACTATCCTTAAACATGATGTTTGTAATACAGGCGCATGTTAGAAGAATTACGCTACACGCAGACGCATTGGAGCGAGGAGGCGAACATTGGCCGCATCGTACTCAAATATACTACCGACATGCTCAAAGCGTACCCGCCCTTTATTAATTTTTTTGAGAACACCAAGGAGATGCTACAACAATGTGATCGTGAGAATCCAAGGTATGTAGCATGTTTGTCAGTTAATTGAATATAAATATTAGTGATTTTTTTTTAACTTCTTCGACTAACAAGTGATAATTAGACAATAGTGAAAATACTATAATTCAAGTAGACAGTAACAAATATTATTTACAGATTTCATGCATTCCTGAAGATCTGTCAGACTAAACCAGAGTGCGGCAGACAAAGCTTACAGGAGCTTTTAATAAGACCAGTGCAACGGTTACCTAGTATAAGTTTATTACTGGATGGTGAGTATTTGCCACATCTATATTATAATATAGTTTATCTTTAATTGTACGGTTATTACCCTTATACATTCTACAGTTTTCTTTCAGCTTCTCAAAGGTTGACTGTAAGAGATCCCTTTATGGGATAAGTCCGCCATTGTATACTAAATCATTTACTAGTATTTAATCTGAGTTATGTACAATAAAGATTTTTACAATACAATACAATAAAATATATAGGCAAGGTGTTGATGGTGATTTTGATGGTAGTTTTATAGATAAAACTTACTATAGTTTTTTATTGTTTTTTGCAGATATTCTTAAGCATACGCACAAAAACAACCCAGACCATTCAGCATTGGTGTCGGCTCTGGCAGGCCTTCGTGAAGTCATGTCGCATATTAATGAAGATAAACGAAAAACCGAAGGGCAATTACAAATGTTCGATATTTATCATGACATAGAGCAATGTCCGGTAAATACTACACATTTATTGTTATCCCTTGATAACTCATATATTAAAATCAATTAAGTACTAAATCTCTTTTTTGGAAATAATATTCTACATATTGCATAAATTATTTCAATTATTCAATATTTTTTTATATTAGATCATATTAGTACACATATTCGTCATAAAAAAAAACACATTTTTATATTTAAAATATGAGTATATGTGAGATTTTTATAATTTATCTTTATTTAACTTAATTTTTTTATTCAACAGCCACATTTAGTATCTTCACATCGATCGTTTGTTGCACGCTGTGAAGTAGTAGAGCTATCCAAAGAGTTATCGGGACGAGGGGACCATCTTGTATTATTTCTCTTCACAGACACTATGGAAGTATGCAAGAAACGATCCAAAGTATGTAATAGTTTATCATTTCAATCAATTTTTCGTTTTAATAATAACCAGTTACGTTACTAACTAGACATGTGGATTATATTTTTGCAGGCATTCAACAGCAAAAGTCCAACTAATGGAACAAGTACGATGCGGTCGAGTAAACCTTATAGACACATATCGCTAATGCCTTTGAGTACTGTCAAGCGAGTCGTCGATATAAGAGAAGCGGAAGGTATATATTTTAATTTAAAAGCAATGGGATAATAATTTCTATTTTCTATACTAAATGACTACAAGAAACAGCAATTTCGCATGTTACTATCAATCGACTTTAAAAAGAAGGAAATTACCTTATAACTCCATCAGTTCTAAACATATTTGGATTTTTTTTTATCTGAAAGGACTTATTTACAGATGTGTCCTATAGAAATTTTATTAAAATCAGTTTAGTAGTTTAATTTTTAAATCAAAATAATTAGTTTTGTCACCAATAAAGTCTGTTTTTTATTGTCTCTATCTTTAATTATAAGAACTTATTTAACATAATTAAATTTCTAATATTCTGTTCATTTTTTAAATAATTCTACACTGAATTATTTTTATTCAAACCAAATTTTATATATATTGAGGTTAGTTATTTTCCTACATTGTCCCACTGCAGGGTAAATCCTCCTTTTCTATGAAGAAAAAGCTTTTAATTTTAAATTAATGTTCGACTTTCAGATTGTCACAATGTGTTCGCGCTAATGTGCCGCAGTAACCAAGAGCTGAAGGAAAAATTATACTCGTTCATGATCACTGACGAGACGGTCGACAAGTCGCACTTTCTCCGGCAGCTGTGTCGACAAATGGCCAATACTGTCTGCAAAGCCGATGCTGTAAGTTTTTATATCTATTGTTAATGAGAATCTGTACTTTAGCTGGAACGGAAAGTGAATATTTTTTTAATTTACATAATCTGTATCTTAAGTTTCTAGTTTTTGTAGACTTAATAGTTTGTTATGTATTGCTAAACTAGTTAGTTTGAACATTTAGTTAATTACCAATTATTTATGACCTATTTTATCCTGATATGTTTAATTTTAATTTCCAGGACAAATTCCTTGCGTGCCTAGAGTCACATCAACTAGACATCGACACGAGCGATCTCGCACTCAGCACACTATCCAAAGTTTCGAAATTCGCCGCGCGTACAAGGATCAAGGTACATTATCGACACATTAATTTATCCATTTGAATAGTATCAATTCGGTTTCGGTTGTAATTAAAGGTAGTGGATTAGTAAACATTACAGTTCAGCATATCCAACGTATCCTTGAGTGTCGTAGAGACCGTTTAGTACACTTTCAAACTAAAAACAAATTAAATCAAAATATGATTTAAAAATAATTAAGCATGAATTCTAAAATGTATGTAGCTTAGCTTGCATTTAGAAATAACAAATGAATAACAATAATCAGTGGGTAAGTGATGTACAAAATAAAAAAATATATCATTGTGAATATTCGCAAACATCCAATCAGTATTGTCTATGTAACTAAGGCATGAAAGTGTACTTCTCCAAATTTTTCTATCATCGATGACATACTACTAGACATATAATAAGAAGTGAACAGATTCTATCAACGTTTAATTAGAATTAAAGTTGAAACACATTAGTTACTAAATAGCTCCTTGCACAAAAAAAAATCGTGTAATAAAAAAGTCAAACTTGATGCAAAAAAGTGACGAAACCATCCTTGTCGCCCATTTGGATCTTGGGTCAATCAATCACGTTGCTATATCACTTTTATTTTATTTGCTCTAGTTTACAAAACTATTCACTGCAAGTGCTAGTAGTGTCTTGTCGACAATTCTGTTTGTATCAATAGTCACACACTTTTCAGTTTATCATATTAATGGTCAAACTTGATTAAAATTCTATTATGTAAATAACGGCCATAGATCATAATATTTATAGTATCCACTACAAATATGACCAACTGTCCAATCGCTGTACGTAAGAGCAAAGGCAGCAAAAGGTACGGCGGTTATAATTTAGTAAGAGAGCGTAGAAGTAGAGTAGAGGAGTAGCGGCGAGCGATGAAGCGAAGCGGTGTTGTGTTGTAGCTGGAGGCGCTGGCGGGGCTGAGCGGCTGGCTGCGTCCCGAGCCGGCCAGCGGGCTGCTCGATACATGGGTATTGCGCGCTCACTTACTCGCACAGGTCTGACGCGCCTCTGCCACACTCCTCTCGCCAACTTCCGTCCCCGAACGCACTAATTGTACATCTCGCGCTGCTTCCTGTGCTCGAAATGTTCGCCTCATCCATGCCATTCGTAGCCTATCATCTAATGGGAAGGGAAATAAACTATTATCGTTGACCACCGACACAGGAATCAGTGTATACGCAATTATGAAATTGGTCATTGCCTTTTCAGTGCCTCATTATTGGCTTAACATAATATTTAACCGACGCGTCTTTGTGGCCAATTTTGTCTGGGATGGATGTCGTGTGTCCGAGTAAACTTTAGAACTCGAATCTCGTCTATTTTTATACGAAACTAGAACGAGTTAGAGGAGTGAATGATGAATGTAATGCTTCGCTTTTTACACTTGACTTGTTAACCATTTCGTGAGCGTGCCATACCGTTCGGTTGTTGGGATCGTTTAACATTATCTTAGTTCCGCACCATATTTATCACTATCCGAACTTTCACCATGTAATCTATTTTCTGCACTCTAATAACATCGTATTACTAACCTATCACAAAATAAATGATACATGAATTAACGGTATACCCATTAAATAATAATTGTAAATTATAATATTTGTAATATTATTTATGATACCAATTATAATGGCATGGATAATAGAATCTTCTTGTACATATTTTACTACCAATTGTGCGATGGCATGTCGATTGTAGACATGGTTAGAAAAATAAATTGTATTTTAGCCCTTATCGTATCTGTAATATAATAAACCAATGAATTAGTACGTTAAAATTGCAAGCGTAAGTGCAGTATATTAATAGAATATAACGCATGCAGGTGGGGCGCGCTCTCTCCTTCAATAAGACCCCGTCGAAACTCAAACGCGCCATGTCCTCGATGATCTCACCCTTCGGCTCCCAAGCGAACCTGACACCCGCCTCGCAACTTGCCCAGATGAAGCTAGCCAGTTGCAATAATATCAATGTAAGTATCTTTGATTGCATATCATATAGTAACTATCATGAATACAATAATTTATTTAAATAAAACTATCAGAATAAATAATCAATAGATTTTTTTTATTTCTCTAGATATAATAAATAATAATAAATCTCTTTATTTTATATATTATATACCCATAGTTTACATTATTAATTAAACAAACTATTATTATTATTCTTAAAATATACATTAATTATAAAATACTAATATAAATTATTTCATTATAAAATCCTTTGTCGTCAGGTATGCAGTGAGGAATACAGTCTTTACAATATGATTACATATTGTCATTAATCTGTCATGAAATTTTGCTTTATAATTACGTAAAATAGCAAAAAATACATTAACCCTGTTCTCTGCAAACATGCCAGATGCACTACACGTCTATGTATATATATATGGACCGTTTATTTTGAAAGTGTGTAAGTCCATTTTCTTTTATTTCGAGAAAATTAAAGGTTACTATATTTGTTGATTTAAAAATACAGGCAAATCATATGACGTCTGGCATTGTTTCTATTGTTTTATCAACATTTAATTTGTTTATATAAATTTGTTTTTGGCTAGTTAGACTACGATAACACATATTTATGTGCTGTAAATGGACTTACATCACATTCAAAATTAGACAATTGTAAAAATCGTTTAATTTCAATTTTGAAAAATCAAATATCGCTTAAAATATACTTCATTTTAATATAATTTTGTTTACAAATACAACACATAAAATTTTATTTTAGACGGCAATTGCATTGTCATTACAAGATACTGATTACAAGAATTTACTTATTTTCTACATGTGGTACTGTTTCAAAATATGCATGATGCACCGTAGATATATATATATAGGGTAGTAGCTGCTTCATGTCTTTATATTTTTCGTACGTAATAGGTCTGGCATTTTGGTACAAAGGCTCCAGGGCGATTTTTTCAAATTTTAACGGTCATACAGCCTTGTCGTATTTATTTTCTTCTCACAGGTTATGCGCTGTACATTTTTTAATACATTTCTCTAATTTTTTAATATCTATCTTTTAATTTACGAGTACCTAGTGGAAACACGGAGGGGAAACAATGCAAATCGTCCGCGGGTGAAACCGCGGGACACAGCTAGTATAAAATAAATGAAAAATAACAAAACACTGATCGGCATCCATCTGCTATGCCACCTACCTCTGTCAATTGGACTTACACCACTTTCATAATCGATAATTATGCAATTTCATTTACCGACCGATTTTAAGTTGTACAAAACATGGGATTTTTTTGAGAAATTAAACACGGACTAGTTATATATAAAAAATTTACATTAAATTAAGCATGAATTACGTGATAGCTCATTTTTCTCAAAAATGGACTTACACCACTTTCAAAATAAACGGTCCATATGTCTAAAAAGTACAAATCATAAATTAATACGGTTCTCTAAAGGGTATCATGCACTATCACTTATAATCTGTTACACATTGGTGGCAAAGTTATTAACGTACTTTAATCAATACCAGTTATAACTATTTATTAATAGTAGAAACCAATTTTCAAGGTAGGTAATACCTACTCATTACACCTTTCTTCTCTAATTACGTCCAAGATGAAAGCAATGATCAATTTGCATATGATTTATAGGAGATGGGCACCAGCGGTGGTGGGTGCGGCGAAGGCGCGGAGGTGCTGGTGGCGCCACTGTCGGTGCAGCCAACGCGAAAAGCGGCGGGTGCAGCGGCAGCGCTGCGCCGTTTCTGACGGCGTCGATCACGCCGCGCCTGATGCCACCCCTAGTCACGTCCGTCACAGGCACGGGCCCGACTCGAATCAGCCAAAGTTTTTACTCTTCCACGGAATTCCGAAGCTAATTAGTTTATGTGCCGCGGAATATTCTCGTGTGAAGAACGGAGTGAACCAATGAACTAATTACGCGGGGCTCGTACGCTGAACTTTTATGTGTCCCGTTTCGGTAGGTTATGCCATAAGCGATTATATTCTATAACGTTCAGTGATCCAGTGCTAATTAAATATTATGCTTACAGGAACAGGGATGTGGCAATTCAATGTAATTTATTTGTTTATAAAATAAATATAGTGGGTGAAGATGATGAGTATTGTATGCGTGCTAGGAGTGCCTTTGTGTGAGCCAGATTGGAATTAAAAGGTAGAATATTAGTAAATTATTTGATAGTATTATTACATTAAACGGCCTATAAAAACGAATATTACGTGTTGTATACATAAAAGATTATATTATTGAATATAAAATGTTAAAGTGTATATTTTATGAGAATGTATGACTCAGGATCTAAATCCATTAAAATAAAGGATTTTCAATCGGCGTAAAATTATGATATTTTCTCGTCTCAAGTTATTGTGATTGTAAAATATAATCTTATTGATTTTGATAATTATCTCGAATTTCAGTGTTTAGTCGGATATGGACATTTTGGGATCAGTCAAAGTAGGGTTTAAATGTAAATAGAATGTTTCACACAAGCTTGTGTCACACAGTAATTGTTATTGATATTACGAGATACTCCTTAATAATATGTACATATTGTGATATTTTAATTTAAACGTGAAATAGGCGTCGTAGGTTAAAGTAGTGTTATATTCTATACCTACCTTAATTGTTTTGCTATTGATTGAAAGCGTTCCTAAATACTTGCCCTTCGGAGGCATAGTTACCCGAGTATTGAATATCTTCTAAGTGAAGCAGTCCATAGTGGCTGCACTTTACATATCGTACGGTGCGCAAGCGATACACATCTAGTTTTTAATAAATATACATCATGTTGTCTCCTCGGACAGCTCGAGTCTCACAATGTCTATTATTTGTATTGGCAATCATGTGTACGTATGTTCAAACATTGTACAAAGATCTATATTTATAAACATTTTAAATGATTGATACAATAAACATTTATTGTCAACCACGCGTGTTTTTTTTTTTTATCGAATTACCTGTAATTTAATTTAGCATAAACGCACAAAATATATGTATGTATTGCAATGGTACTCCAAATGCAAATGAAGAATAAGTTAATAAGAAGCTATGTCATTAAAAGTTACTTCTTTTTCTACATTGGTAATGGTATTATAAAAAATATTAGATTTCGACCTCTATCAAGATTTTATTGAACTTTAAGTATGATTCAAATTTTGTTCCATTTGAAATTTACAGTACTAAAATACTGGGTGTCTCAAAAGAAAGGTGACATTTGTTTTGGTTATTGCATGAACTATTCTGAGGGACGCGGGGGGTATGTCATTCGGTAGCCTAGCTTCTGGGAATTTAGTTGCTATGGAGCGTTTCTCGGGAGCGGACCTCGCGTTGTGCGTACGCGAGTTTTACAAAAACTGTAATTCATGAAGCTAATTTCCATCTTAATGGACATGTAAACAAACAAAATTGCCGATACTGGAGTGCAACTAATCCAAAACACAAACATCAGAAACCCCTACCTCTACCCCTAAAGTGACCGTATAGGCTGCAGTGTCGGCGCGAGGGATTATCGGCCCTTACTTTTTTGAAGATGAAAGGGGACACACAGTTACAGTGAATTTGGACTGTTATGTGGAGATGTTATACAACTTGTTCGTGCCTGAACTGCAAAACTTTCCTGGTTATAACCAAAGAACATGGTTCCAGCAGGACGGAGCAACTTCACACACGTCCAACAGATCTTTACCACGAGTTCGTGAAATTTTTCCTGGCAAATTGATATTTAGGAGAGGTGACATAAATTGGCCTCCACGAAGTCCCGATTTAACCCTTATGGACTTTTTCCTGTGGGGTTACAACTAATCTAAAGTTTATGCCGACAAACCGACTTCCTTGGCACAATTAAAAGGAAATATCCGTCACGAAATGGTAGCCATCACGGACAATACATGCCGAGTCGTCATAGAAAATTTTAGAGCTCGATTAAATGAATGCCATGAACGCAACGGTTTACACTTGAACTATATCATTTTCAAGAAATAAATTACCAAAAAGTGTATTTTAATATGTAATAAACATGTTTTTAATAAACTCTTTGTTTAATTTTTTATCGATTTTTTAAATGTGAACTTTCTTTTGAGTCACCTTGTATAACGGTTTTAGTGCCACATTTCATAATTAATAGTTACTGCTAGATTGTGTTGCATAAGGAAAAATAAAACGTGATGTATCTATCTTCCGGAAAATGAAAATAATGTTTGTACCATATAACCCTCGCAGCAGTGATTTTTATATTCAAACATATGTACTACGCAATCTTCATTGTATGCAATTTTGTTCAAATTCAACTGCGTATTATACTAATAGAGAACATTATAATCTTAATAAAAAGCGTTTTATAAAAAACAATTCCTTATTTTATATTTCAATTTTACATTACATTTATCAATATCGAGAAACAAATAATGTTAAATATAGCTAATATTCATGTACTTCTATGAGGCGTTGAACCGAGGAAGAAATATGCATTGTGGCAGGCACGCAATGGTATTGCTACCACTAAAACAGCTAACGGCACTAGCGCGTAGTATATGAATTTTACCGGCAATTCGGAGTTCACCAATACAGATATTTTTATCACAAACGTAATCTGAAACCTCTAACCAATTACTATCGAATTATTTCTGTAGAAGCATTTGTATAAACTGCAACTGATGTTCATACCACAGTAGTCCGATTAAGATATTAAGAAAGAATTTCGACGGGATGTCTGTCGAAAGAGCTATTACATTTTTTGTACTTAATAATACAGAGTTTATTCAGTAACTTAGTACTTAGTATTCAATAGTAGTAATACCTACTAATTCATATACTAGTAATACAGTGAACGCTCTATATAAGCAACCTCTCTATAAGCAACATTCTTTATATTTTTTCTACTCAGCAAAAGAAATAAGTAAATATATTTTCCAAACGGTAAGTATTTTTATACTCCTTTTTCCCCTATAAGCAACTTTTCCCAATAAGAAACTTTTCTATTAAAATTGGTTCAAATGAGTCGCTTATATAGAGCGTTCACTGTAATAGTATATATTCTGTAGCTGTAATATTACAATTTACTCTATATTTCCACGACTATATTAATAAGTTACATAGATACTTACTACAGTAATAAATGGTATTATTCTCCATTGACTGCCAATACGAGAAGAACATACGTTTTCTTCTGTGGCGGTGTTCATATCAGAAATAAAATCATGACTGCCGTATACGTAGAGTAATGCCACCAATTCCAGCAAGCAAACAAACGGCATCGCCACCCCTGTCATTATAGCATCTACGCTCTCCAACAAAATTATTCCACCCTAAAAATATTCATAATCAATCATCTCACATCGTACAACAATATTTATATCATTGATGATGAAAAATAACATACATTAGTTGCAAATGGTAAACTCAGTCCCATGCAAATCAATATCAAACCACCAACAACAAATTGTTCTATAAAACTAAAACAAAGAAGCAATTATTAATTAAAAAATAAGATTAATTTTCAAAAACGATGAAGTCCTTAATTAGACTGCATATATTTTTAGTGAACGCCACAAGCGTAAGAAAACTACCTACGAAGAAGCGCCATTGAGCGTGCGTTGTAGGTATCACGCGTCGTGTGTATTGTAAAATTTCAAATACACTGCGCGGCGTCAAAACTAAGACTCGTTAGTTATATGGTGCTGCATTTCCGGTGAGAAAATAACCGCCTGGCAATTGATTGTAATTTTTTTTTAAACCAAATAGAGTCGGCCTCCTAACGTGGACTTTTTTTTGATGCGTGAAAATGGTATGGTAACCTCGCCTGCGCTAACGGGATACGCTAGCGAAGCACCAGTGAAGGGTGATAGATGAGAATGAAAACAGGCTAGTTAGACCGTCATGATGAATTCATCAGGAATTAACCATGATAGTTTCCAGGGGGAACCGCGAGGAGGTTGACCTGGTTGGGTATATTGCTAGCAATGGGATTCTCAGTCTCCATTACTAACAATCCCTTTCCCCCTTACCTAACGTGGATTTAGAAGTAGGTAACTCACTGAAATAGACCAGTGAAATAAATATCTCCTATGTAGAGACGTCGTTTAGATAAGTTTTATTATATTAGTAAGATTAATGTACACCCGTGCTGGTCTAGTGGTTTAACACAGCGCTTTACTTTCCGACGGTCATGTTTTCGATCTCCGCATAATAGAAACGTTTGTATTCATGAGTGTGTCTATTTATATTGGTTTGACTGTTTTCTATTTGTATTAAAATGATAAAGGAAAAAATTGTCTTTTTATATATTTATTTGTAATGGATACATTCAAAAACTACTTAACCGATTGTAACAATGCTTATACCTGTAGTAAGCTATATTATCAGCTATCTACTTGTGCGAAGCCGAAGTGGATCGCTAGTGTAAATTTATACATTTAAAAAAAGTATGTCTGTCAGTTTGTCTAGCACCGGTAATAGAAACTCTAGAACTAGATGGCACTATGTAATATGCCTTATAGTATTTATTTATGTACATAATATGACCAAGTATTAGGTCCTTACATATGAAACTGGCGTTTCGTACGGGAGGAATTCTTAACCAAAGAGGAGATATTTCAGATCAAAGTGGTCAGTACGACAAAACGTTAATTTCATAAGTAAGGACCTTATATTAAAAAGTATATTAATTATATAAATACCATAAAATATTCTTGTGTATAAATTAGAACTTACATTAATTTCACTCTAATCTCAAAAATAGTGTGCAGTGCTGTTTTCAACAATATAAAAGCAGTTGTCATATAAGAAAATGTTAGACCTCCAAATACGAGAGTCGATCTAGAAAAAAAATAACCTATGTGTTTACTAAAGGCTAATCGTTAACTAGAAAACAAGTTCTTAAAAGTTAAAACTTACAAAAAATGCGAATAATTACCAAATGAAGTACATTTAGAATACATGGGTATTACCCACATCGTACCTGAAATATATAAGCTTTTCAATTTTTTTATATTTTGTTTCCTTTATATATAAACTTTGAGTATTCAATTAAATCCATAAAGGTGACACAAAGATTGCGAATTGTATTATCTTCGTAACATTATATAATTTGGTCTGAAGTTAAATGACTGTAGAACAGTGGCGTAACTATACCATTTGGGGCCTGTGGCAAATTCTTTTGATGGGGCCCTATCATTTATTTTCATTTATATCATTTATTTTCATAAAATACTCAGGTACAAGGTAAAAAAAAAATTTCACGGCAAATTTCAGAGTTCACGGCCTCTTGAGCCGGGGCCCTTTTGGGTCGGGGGCTCGTGGCATTTTGCCAGCCCTGCCACCCTATTGTTACGCCATTGCTAGAACTTAATAAAATTCTGGTATGAAAATGTATTATTTACATTTATTATACATATTATGATACATAAAATTTAAAGAAGTACCTACAACCATAACAGACCTTATTCTTATGCTATAACTAAAGCAACTCAATCTTATAACTAATGACAACTATTCTAACTAATCGTGTTTCAACTGTGAAGCAGTTGTGTTTGCATGGCTATGTTTCGGTTGAACGGTGGCTTATGGCAGTGAATTTACAGTGTACAGAGGAATAACACCTGAGTCCTCAGGAATGACAACGCATGGGGGGTATCATGGGCGAAACAGTATATTCTGTTATGTCCATGGTATTGCCCATGTCGACGGTTACCGCTTTCCATCAGATGGGCCGTCAGCTTGTTTGCTATTCTAAAATGCATAAAAAAAAACTATATACGCATTTCTATGTGGTCCTGGCTTAAAATGAGCCGTTCCTTCCTTTCCTAAAGGTCTGGTAAGAAGCGACTGAGGGAATTAAATGATCGAAGGATGGGCAGCAACATCCCTCTAAAATCCCCACCAACGTCTAACTGCGGTTGTCAACCCGTCTGCAAAGCGTGGCAACTACTGGTAATACCCTTTAAGGAGGAGCCCTATGTTTAGCAGTAATCTAACGGCTGATATGATGATGATAATGCTGATGATATGTGCATGTACGACTGGCTGAAAATTGACATGATAGGCATTCAATAAATAATCATTAATCTAACTTTCATGCATGTCATAGGTAGCTTGCGTGTCAGGCTGTATATAATCAACGAGCGCACAACCGGCGACTCCGCCCGACTGCAGTGTTATCAACAGCAAAAGAAGACCAGAGTGCCATACATTTTCTTTGTTCAGTTGTGGATCGATATGGCCCGATGCTATACAAAAATTATAGAAGAAAAAATAAATTAAAATTCTGAGAATAGAAATTTGGGAAAATTGTAAATTCAGATTTACCGTAATGATTTAAGCCTTTCCCAAGGATAATTTCAGTGCCAACACTTGCTGAATGTATATATAGAGCTACCTGTAAGGCATCAGATACACCCTGTGGATTTTAAACAATTTGAATATAAAATGATAAATTAGAAACATTTATATTCTTTTAAAAAATGGTCTTATACCTACAGCCCACACTTCCTTAGCACCAATGTGAAAGGCTTCATGTATTGTAGATCCCATCGTAAGGAAACTTGTGACAGCTGCAATTATTAGGAATACTATCCAACACCATGGCACCACCACCAACCACTGATATATATTGTTCCAGATTAACTATAAATACAAGTACGATACTGAGTCTAGTTTAAAAATGAAGCTATCTATGTATAAGTATTTCACTTTACTCACTTTTCCATGGGATATGTGTTCACTTATCATTAACACCCAAATTACGATCCATGTTAAGATAATGCTCAAAACAAGTGGGATGTTAAATTGTCCCAGGTTATAATCTTTGCGCAATTGTACTACTTCCACGCTGCAGTAAAAAAAAATAACAACGCTAAGTGCTAATGGTGTTAATATTATCATTCGTATGATGTACCATTGTTTTATTTTTCAGGGACCATAATATTCTACTATGTTTAAAAGAAACATTAAATTGGTAGGATAAATGACTTACTAGAAAAAATTATATGCAGGAGTGCTGTACAAAGGAGGATAACTGCCAGAATATGTCTCGTTACACATTTCTATTGGACGTAGACTCCCATGTTCTCTTGTTCTCTTCCTTGGACTGAAATAATGATAACGATGCAGTAAAACGTACATTCTCTAAACTTGTGTTATAGAAAAAAGCAAACCTTTTATAAGACACATTCCTCCAAGCATGATAGTAGAGCCCTACGGTGGAGGAGCGTGTACCGACAAGTTCTGTATCATCATCATCAAATACACCAGTCTTCAGTGAGAATCTCGACTGTAAATATGTTTTAACTTTATGTAATTCAACAAGCGAACAGGTACAATATTATTGGTATCTAACTAGTTAAGTAAGCATAATATTAACATGCCTCTTTCGACCTCAAACTTTTAATATTCTTTAAAATTGGCTCATATGGTTTTAATTCGAAATTTCTGAAAAACAAACGAAAAATTAATTTATATACTTTTTTTGTTACTAATAAAAAGTATTAAATATTTATGTAAACTTAGTTGTATTTTACCTGCAATACGTGAAAGGTAATTTATCGTCGGATACAGAATGGATAACATATATTGCTGATATAGCAGCAATAGTGCAACAGGTTATGGCCCGTATCACTGCATTTATACATATTGCAATGCCGATTCCTGAAATGTTTTTAGACTGATGCTATTCAAAAAGGGTCAAAAAAAGAATATTGATTGTAATTCTCATATTATATCACATTGGTATTATACAGATATAATAAAAAACACGTAATAATAAAGAACATGAAAAGAAGATTAAGTACCATCGAGCACAGGAATTATCCGAAAGGCACGTCCTGGGCCGCTAATACTCCATTGTCCGAGATATATTTCAAAGTGGCGCAATGGATTCGCCAGCATTATTACCGACAAAATCAGAAACATCATAAACACAACTGAAACAGGTACCATATATTAAAACGCCTGATTATGTATAATATATATACAGCATATAACGTTTCTTTAAGCAACTTGATATTGAAAATAAATAACGCTGGTCATCATAATATAAAACGTGATACCAATGACATCACCCTAATCATAAAATACTCTTGACAAAGTAAGGTAAGGCTGTCTCCTTTCTTCAAAACATCGCGGTAATTATAAGTAAATTGGTGGTATGATCCCCAGTATTCTGATAAATATTCCAGTTGCTAACAAACGAAGCACAGAAAATTACACCTACTTATATAATTCATATTAGAATTATGACGGTAACTATTGACATAACTTTTAAAACCTAGCAGGTGTTTTTGTTCACAGAGAAGTGTCAGTCAAGCAAGGATCCACGCCCATTGGTGTTCTATTTTGACGAACAAAAATAACTGAATCAAAAATCTGTCCCTTATAATAAAAAAAAATATTATACATACAAAAACCTCCAGTGAGTGCAGAAGCAGTAACACGACAGTGCATGGTAAGAAATGCGCCAAGCGCTAGTGTGCCTGTGCGTAGTCTGCGACGACCGGTCACCCGCCGGCTTGGGCCACTACCAGCGGCGTTATCCATGCCCGGAACGTTATTTGTGGACCATACCGTGGACCATTGACTCTTAATAAAGATAAGATTGATGTCATTACTATGAATATGTGAATGTGAGAAAGACTCTATTTTCCGCGCTTAGCCTCTCATTTGGGTCGTTGTGCGTATGAGTCGTGGCTAGTACAGCCAACCGAGCCAGCCACCCAGAAGCGCAGAAGCTTCCTGGGTTCTTCACAGGCCTCACGGAGCAACCTCACCGTTTCGAGGATTTCTGAACGTTGATGAGCCACAGCCTCACATTCCAGGATTACGTGAGCAGCCGTTTCTTCAACGTCGAAACAGCCTCGACATAGAGGGCTGTCTGCGGCTCCTATTGTGTATAAATGTTTGTTTAATGGACAATGGCCCGTTATTGTCCGTATCATTATTTTGAGGTTTTTTCTATCTAGATGTAATAAACGTTTTGATAGTCGTTGATTCAACGTAGGTACGGCCAATTTTGATTGTCTGCAATCAGTAGCCTGTATCCATCATTTGTATGTCAGCGGATCTTTGACGAATCCATATTCGAAATTGCGAGAACGGAAAAGGAAGAAGTGGATGTCATTACTATATAAACTGATGTTTTTATACATACATGAATGAATCACACGGAGTGCAGTGTATGCGAACGCTTGTAACTGAATTATAGTAAGGAATAATATTACTGTTTTAGTCGTAATTAATTACATTGAAATAGCTATGCTTATATACAGGGTACCGAGGCATGACAACATAGTTCTCAGGAATGGCAATGAATTATGAGCATGGACATGACAGTGTATTCTGTAATGTTCATAGTGGTATTTGACTGTTACCTTTTTCATCAGATGAACAGTTAGCTTGTTTGCCATTCTAAGTATAATAAAATAAGAAATACAACTTTTTAATTTCTTGATTGATGATTTAGTTTATTGATATGAGGGTTGCCGCATCAGCATCCCTCTTAAAACATCATCAAAGGCCTGCCAAGCGTAGCAACTAGTGGCAAAATCGCTCCATTGGTAAACTATTATAAGGTTCGCTCCCATTTCTTATGACAGTCTATGGAGGAGGCCTATGTTCAGCAATGGACAGATAACAGTGAAATAATGATCACCGGGAAAGATAAACTTACTGTCCCATTTTCTATAGAAATAAATAACATTATAGTCTTCACAATATCTATTTAGGTACAATGTTATGCTCCTTTCAACATTCTTCAGGTCTTTGTACTCCCGAGTCTGTCTCTTGTATGAAATTGCACTATCTATAACTAGCCTATAACTATTACATACACCATGTAAATTTGTCATTATATCAGCTATTTCTTCCAAATCACAACGGAATAATTATTAATAAAACGAGGAATAACATGTCAGTACAGATACATGATACACTATCAAATAAACCTATTCTACTTACAATATCTCTATTTTCGAATGTAAGAATTGTTTCCACAGAATTTCGATTGCTATTTCGCTCACGGTTAGTGTTTGCCATATTGAATTATAATGGTTATTTAAAATTAAAAACGACCATATCTACTTGTAATTTTTTTTTTTATATCACACTGTCATAACACTTAAAGTTCATTCAAAGAAGTCAGTGGCAAATAGCTAAGAAAATATTCTATTGCAGGTACTATCCTTAATCTATGAGTTTACTATAATATCTGAAGGTGTATTGTGTTAATAAAATATGGGTTAATTTCAAAGATATTGAATAAACTCAAATAAAAAATTAATAACAATTATTAATTTAATTAGTATTAAAAATATCCTAAAACTATAAATGAAACTGTAAAGTACCAAAAGCTTTCCTTTTTTACCTTTGTGGTGTTGTTTTTTATTGTTTTCTAACGATACACACATGTATCAATATTGTATGTATAATATTTAATAGTCACACAATTTCAGCAGTCTCTTAACAGTCTTACAGACACTCATTCAAAGACATGGCTAACTTTATTTGCCACTAAATTTGTAGGTGTCTAAATTTGGCATGAAACAAATATTTGTTTTCTATCCACCTACTTATACTTTCTGCTAACATACAATAAAATCACCTATGTAGTTTAGCATGTATTTAAAAATAAACTTAAGTTTCAAATAAGAGTGTTAAAAAGATTATGGGACATTTATAACACGGTTGTAAATAAAAAAAAATAGATAGAAAAACTTTTTATTAAATATAGATTAACTCATAATTATACATGCAAGATACTTTTAGATTCAATACGTATACACAAGATATTGAATTACGCTTACAATACTTATTTACAATATTATAACAAAGTCAGTCGCACTTCAATGTCTTTTGCTATTAACCCACGATACGCAGTGACATTATTTGTCAAATGCGAAGATCGCAGTCACCGCCCGGCAAAAAATATAGTAACGACGTACGAAGCAAACTACAGGTCGTCGCGCTCAGCTTCAAGGTCAGCTCATCGCCGCCGCGCTACATCCCGTACCGCGCTCAAAGGCTAGCCTCATATATTGCGGGTTTTGTTAAAGTTCTTCCACGGCGAAACATTTAAATTTATTTTGTTGGGCACTTAAACTTTTATTACGTATACGACGGTATTGGATTTCTAATACAATCCGCCATATTTAGTGGACAGTCAACGTCGACTGGTACAGGATGTTTGACATCGTGGAAGATCTACTACCAGAAATTGCTGTAAGCGTTGCTGGCCAAAATTGTTGCCGAGCAGTTAGTGTGCAAACCGGTGTGGCGGATGCGGCTAGTGTGTGAGACGCGCGAGCTAGGGCGGCGGCGGCGCGGATGGCTGCGGCGGCTCCTGCGGCAGCGTAAAGTTGGTGAGCAGGTCGCGCACCGCCGGCCACAGCGTACATTCCGAGTGGGACTGGTTGAATTCGCTGAAACTAAATTGTCAAACAAAATATAGTGAATACCTGGCCCTTAGACAAGTAGCAAATTAATGCATCGATATAATAGTTTCGCTTTGCGCTCGTATGGGATAGAACAAGATGCTGGATGGTGTTATCTAATGGACTACTTACTAGCGCGATAACGAGTCTACTGATAAATTATATTACCACGTGTCTAGATTGGGTTGATAGAGGGTTGGCCCTTTCGACCAGCGGCAAATTTGTCTATTGATATTATCGCTTACGTGTGCATCAGACCGAACTAGATAACATCTATATTCTTGTTTTTTTTTTTTTTGTAAAAATAAATGAATAACACACAGTTGTTCTTATCAAAGATCGAATAACAATAATTATTGTTATTCGATTATAATCGAAAAAAAATTATAAGACAATAATAAAATGGTTAGATTAATGAAAAACAGGCAACTAAATAACACTTTTTTAAGACGGTTTCTACTTTATTACTACTTTAAAAATATGTACCCATATAAATAATAGTATACCATAGACTTCCAACGGGATATCCGTCGGGTGGCAGTGGTCACAGAAGTATGTCATGCACTTACCGCTTGAGATGCAGACTGACAGCTATGAGATGCGGTTGCGAATCGCGCTTGTCAGCGAGCTGCGTTACGTTCAGCTGCATGTCGTACACGAGCGGCAGCACCAGCTGTGTGTCACCCCGTGTCAGGCATATCTACACAAGAAAACTTTCAATGATTGCTATGCTATACAGTTTATATTAATAAAATATATGTTTGTTGCTTAATATGCATGTTTTTTTTTTATTTTCATAAAAGACTAAGGTAAATGAAAATAACATCATGAAATGATTAAAATAGTATAAACTTTAGAATAAGATATGTAATCATCTAATCCGTTTAATATTAATTATCCAATAAAAAAAAATGTTACATTATTTCATTCTTTTATTTCTTTTCTTTTTTTGCAAATTTGAAGAGGAGTCTGGATATGATACATTTTTTTACAGAATATTCTTCTTTAGGCTTAAAGAGCGAAAAAAGAGTAATTGCTAAGTAAGGAGACATAATACCCGTAGTGTACAATGTATGTGGTGTATGATACTTGTGTGCAGTAGTGGTTATCACTTTTCATTTTAGGTTAGGTAAGTCTTTTATTCATTTTAGTTTTTTAGATTTCATCACCAGACTCTAGGTGGCTAATATAGATTGCAATGTTTGAATTGTGAAGGCGTATATACAAATGAATACGTGGCGACTGACAAAGAAGAGTATCTTGTGCTTGGCGAGGAGCACGGCGGGCTGTCCGGCGGGCACGATCTGCGGCGCGGCGGGCGGGATGCGCAGCGCCCACTGCAGCTGCCAGAGCGCGGGCGCGGCGGGCGCCAGCTCTGCGCGCATGAGCGCCACCAGCGACGGCAGCGCCGCGCCCGGCGCGCCCCACGCCCGCCCCCAGCCCTGCAGCGCGCTCGCGCGGTACGGCGCTATCGCCACGCGCTGCTCGAAGAACTTCTCTATCACCTGTGCAACGATACGCCCCCGTTTTTTCACCTACTTAATAACCACTATTAATTCAAATTACAAATGTAATTTGTACAGAAGTCGATTGCTTGGGTACCTCTGTCGCATTCGTGTTTCAACCGTAAAGCTCTTGTTTTTTTTTTCAATTGGCGTAAATGGTATGGTAACCCCGCCTGCGCTAACGGGATACGCTGGCGGAGCACCAATGAAGGGTGATCGATGAGAATGAAAACAGGCCAGTTAGCCCATCATGATGAATTCATCAGGAATTAACCATGATAGTATCCAGGGAGAACCGCGAGGAGGTCGACCTGGTTGAGTATATTGCTAGCAATGGGATTCTCAGTCTCTATTACTAACAATCCCTTCCCCCCGAAGCAGTTGTGTTGCGGTTTGAAGGGTGAGATATAGCGTGAATTTACTGGGTACAGAGGAATAACACCTGAGTCCTCAGGAATGACATGAATGGCATGGGGGGTATCATGGACGAAACAGTATACTCTGTTATGTCCATTGTACTGCTCATATCTATAGGCGATGTGGGCCGTCAGCTTGTTTGCCATTCTAAGTTGTATAAAAAAAAAGCCTCTACACTACGCCTCCTTTTTTTGAATTTTTTACCACCCCCCTTTAGGCCTGCAGCGCCCACAAGGGGGCGTTATCGCTCACTTTGGTAAAGATTGGCGTATATGATAGCTACTAAGTACTTATTCTCAAAATGGAGGTAACGTTTTAAACTGTCTAGTCTGTACATTATTTATGACTAGCTTCTAAAAGCTGGACATTCTCAATGTTTTTCACCTAAACTTTTTTTTGTAATAAAAACCATTTCGTTTCTAATTTTGAACAGATTTTAACATCTTTTTGCAATCGATATAGTTGGCTCCCATGTACAGTCGCCAACAAAATTTATAAGGTACCAAATCAATCAAAGAATAAAATGTACATACTCATTTTTTGTAACTATATAACAACAACCCTTTATAAATAAAAAAAAAATCTATACAAAAGAACCAGTGTTTTGATACCTTTAAAATCTGGTTCCAAAAAGATAATTTTTAATTTGACTGAATTTTTTCATAATTTCGATATATTTTTTTTTCCTAATTTTACGTGTAAAAATTTTTCATTTACGCAATATGAGTATTGTTTTTAGTAAGTTCAATATGACAAGGAACAAATCTATTAATTTTGATTTAATGTACATTACATGCACAATATTTACCTGGAGATCATCTGCAGTCCACTGTTCTTTAAGATCAGGCAACGGCGTGAGTTGCAAGTGCAGGGATTGCATGTGCTGTGGGTTGAGAAACACGCGGGCTGTCAGTGCCGCGCTATCGCAGCGAAACACAAGGCTCGTTGCGTCCGCTGATACCATTGTTAGCTGACAAATAATAGAATATTGTTAGCAGATATGCTAATCGTAATTGGAAAAATAACAAACGACCATAAATTAAAATAAGGACAGGAAGATGATAAAAAAAATTGTATGATATTTACTATGATCTATATGATAATAATATAATAAGGGTAAAAATATGCAAAGAAATGCTAATCAGTATTTTTAAGATCGATATCTGTCTATACGTTACATTATCATGAAAAAAGGCAACTGACAACTTCGTTCAATAAAAACTTTGATAATATTTCAATAGAACAACTTCAAAATTTCAATTATTTTTTCTACAATTGTCCAGCCAAGCCAAGCCAAGGGCCATTTTTTATTTATCATACAAAATTGAACTTCAGTATATATAAGATATCATGCATGAAACTAATTGTACAAAGTAAAGCCGTGTTTATACGTAGAGTTGGTGCGTACATAGTCCTCCTGCTGGACGAAGCGCTGCAGCGTGCGCTTCATGTAGACGCAGGCGAGGAAGCGCTGCAGCGGCGCGAGCGGCGGGCCGGGCGGCGCGGCGGGAGGCGGCTCGCACGGCGTGCACAGCGCCTCCAGCTTGCACACGGCCAGCGGCGTCGCGCTCGCGCCCGCCCACGCACGCGCCGCCCGTGCGCCCGCGCCGCCCGCCGCCTGGCTCGACCCGCTCGCCTGGGGGCCTGCACAATGGAAATATCCAGTCATTGAACACAACACACCATATACCTACAATTGTATTAACCGTCACTAGTACAATATTTCATCTACAAAAACTTTTTTAGTAAATATTTCTATATCGGTAACATAATATTTATAAGAAATACAAATCGGGTTCACTAGTTCAAATTCAATCTTAATCACCCGCTTGATGATCGACAGATCAAGCAAAAATAATTCTGAACCTTAAACGTTACATAAATAATGTCTCAAAAAAAATGACAGCAGAAGAAAAACCTATTGTGAGTATAGCCTTTACATTCATAGAACATCACAATTTCTAACTAAAAACAATAATTAGATATATTTTTTACATTCGTCCAGATATTTACCCATTTTGAACTTGCTTTAAGAGTATTTTTTATTGATCAATTGTATTTTATGTTGTTGTTTGAGTCATACCTTAACTGCTTCTAGAATGTGTGACAATTTATATGATTCTTATTTAATGCACTTTGATTAATTTAATACTAGGAATTGTAGTTTATCTCGATTAGTATGTTACATTAAAATAATCACCTTTATGGTCTAGATGGTGCCTGGGCGAGGGATGATGTCCAGGGGAGGGGCGCGGCAACGAAGGTGATGCTGGCCACGTGGTGAAGGGCGAGGTCGGCGGGGGGTGCGGTGAGGCAGCGGGTGCCGCAAGTGGCGAAGGCGCCATGGGCGAGGCGGGCGACGCCGACACGCCCGCGCCCGCGCCGCCCGCGCCGCCCACGCCCACACCCGCACCGCCGCTCGCACCCGGAGGTGACGTTAGGTTGAAGGAGCCAGCGCCCATCTACAACCATCCATACTAATTGACGTTTGCTGCTTGCTTAGATTATATAGATAGAGCATCGAGTCTCAAAAACGGGACAATTTTTTGTAAGCTGTCAAATTAGCTTACACGTTTTTTTTTATAAAATTTCTATATACTTACGCTTACAAACACAAAAATTAATTTTATTTATTAAATAATTAAATATAGATACATCAAGATACATTATCATAATGTATCTATATTTAATTATTTAATAAATAAAATTAATTTTTGTACATTAAAAAGGTAAAATTAATAAGACAAAATAAATACAGAAGTTATAAAGGAATCACTCATAACTATTTATGGCACAAAATTGTATGAAAAAGTTGGCCTGCCTTTCTCGAAGCATTTGTATGGAGACACTCTATCTATATAATCTAGGGCTGTGATAACATAATTAAATAGAAAGAGGACTGCTTCCCTTTACAAAGTACAAACGAGCCTATCGATAGAATCGTTTCATGAGCACGTTCACAAGTTTAAGAGAACACAATAGCGCACGTCGCAATCTCGTTCTATTTCAAAGACTCGCTAGCGATGATAATTCCATCAATAGATTTCTTTCTACTTTGTTTAGGGGAGGTAGGTTTCTTAGTAATAATTATTATTGACTGATCGACAGTCATCAATCTGTCAAAAGTTATTGTTTGAATTGGCATCTAGAATTAATTTGTATGGGAAAAAGAAAATAAATGTTTTCACGAATTTTTCTCTTCATGGACCTTTCTCGGATGATAAAGTGCCGAATGTGTCAAAAGCTATTTTGGAGTTTTAAATATACGACAACATAAACACTAAAAGTCAATAAATATAGTAAAGCCCCGTTTATTCGAAATCCATTTTATCCGAACAAATCTTTTTTATTTTTTACACCTCTTCATAAATGTGCTCTATTAAGCACGTAAATACGCGGTCAACAGTAGGCAATAAAATTAAAACTCTTGTCTTCTCCACTGTCAAATAAAGAGGATTTCTTCTGTAAGTTTTTTTCTTCAATCACAATTTAACGCCTTTTTAACACGTCAACACAATTTTTTCAGTCAAAAATATACAGCCATAATTATATAAATAGTATTCTACATACGTTTTACGATCATATTTCGAGATATTGACGCTATTCAGGGTGTTCCAGGGGACACTGGTTTCCCGGTATTCGGTTTATCCGAACAAGCCACCGTCTCGATCGTTTCGGGTAAACGGGACTTTACTGAAGTAAGTAATGACCTGGTGCTGCGCGGGCGAGGCCGGGTGTGGCGTGAGCGGCGCTGAGTGCGGCGTGTGCGGAGTGTGCGGCTGCGGCGGCGTCAGCGGCGCCGGAAACCGCAGTCCACCTGTATGGGTATATACCAGGCCTTTATATACTATACATGTACTAAATGGTTGTCACCTATATAGTCTATTAGATGTATCGCACTGCTTTATCTGTGTTAATTGCCATAGAAAGTATACTATTTTTTTTTACAATTCACTGATTTAATAAATATGCAATTATAAAAAAAAAAAAAAACAAATATTATGTTATATTTAACAGATTATAAAAAAAGAAGACATTACCTGGTGGCATTGGAGACATCGGCGAGGGAGGATTATCATCTTCGGCTAGTAGTCGTGTACTTAGATTCTCCTCCACATATCTTGACAAAAATGTCTGGAAGACAAAAATGAAGGCAATAAATTATCGAAAGGTTTAATGATTCAATGATTTAACTGTAAAATAATACTGAATATTTTACCTTGAGCCCTTGCGCGGGAGCAAACTCGTCGACGACGGCATTACGATCGAACTTGGAATAGGAGCCATCTCTTATAGTGACCACACCGCCGCCGCGTATACCAACTTCTAGGGAGTATGCGCCGGCATAGATTATACGAATCTGAAATATATACGCTGGTTATAAATATAACTAACTACTTTTTGTATCATAATAAAAAAAAAATTGTATGTTTTTTTTTACTTTACATCATAAGTTTTAAGAAATACTAAACAAACTTTTGTACGAAGAAAGCACGGTGCTCATACTTTTTAGTGAATTGTCGCGTACGTTAATGCTGGCACGAAATAAAGCACAGGTATATTTTTGGTCGCAATGACATGTCTATTAAAAGTACAATGTGAGCGAAATACTAGTGATTGATAGTGACTTGATACTAAAATAGTGTTTAAGGAGTTGGTCTGTAGATGATGAGGTAAAATAAAACATTGAATGTCACTACCTCATTTTATCACATGGACTCGTTGCAGCTAGCGACTTGTCTAGGGAGCTAGTTACCTTTCGCCAAGAATGCGCAAGAAGCGTGAACGTGGGCGTGGGCATGAGCGTGCGCACGTGGTGCAAGCCGAGCTGCGGCAGCGTCGGCAGCCGGCTCAGCGCCAACAGCGGTGCGTACGTCTCGCGCAGCACCACGCCCAGCGACATCAGATCCTTTTGCCTGTGCGAATAAGCGACGAGTTAGAAGGGAAAGACATTGTTAACAATGGAGTCTGCTATTTTATTGCTAGCAATATTCCCTATCAGGTTGACCTCCACACAGTTCTCCTTGGAAACCATTGTGATTAATAATTATTGAATTAGTTGTGATGGGCAAACTGACTTGCTTCATCCTCACCTATCATCCCTCGCTAGTACCCCGTCAATGTATAACGATAGCGCAGGCGGGGTCATTATTACATTTTTTACATTAAAAAAAAAAAATAAGGACAGCTTGAGAACTCACCAGGTAGGCTAGGATCAACTCTAAATATAGTTGAATATAGTTAAATGTATTGGCAGAAGAATATGTTCAAAGTGATCAAATTTTCAAAAACAATTTCAGGTTTAGTTGTAGTTTAATGAAAATCCCTTTATACAACTAACATTTTGTTTATCTTTTTAGACTAATATTCAGAAATTTTAACGACTGTTTATGCACATATATATTTTGTCAGTTTATTAACTGTCAAAATATATATGTTGTTGTTAGTCTTGCTAAAAAAAATACATCACTAATTTGATTTGACACGGCCACACTTCTCTACCAATGTAGACATCAATATGTTGGTGCGCCTGAGACTGAGTACAGTACAAACCAGTTGATGTAGTGGTCGAGGTGGTGATGCAGCAGGTGGTGCGCGTTGGCGGCGGGTTGGTGCGCGGGCGTGGCCACCGTGTACCGCTGCGTGGCCGCGCTCCACTGCAGCACGGCGGTCGCGCGCTGCGACGGCCCGAAGCCCAGCACCAGCGACCGGTACGTGTACGAGCGGATGCACACGCCCTGCCATAGCGTCTCGCGCTCTGTGCCCACAACATTCGTACGTCATATAACGTCAATACATATTAATGTCAATATTTTTTAAATTTTAAAATTTGTGAGATGTAGTTGAATATCTGTGTTCCTCAAATCACTCCAGTAGAGCAATTTTGAATTAAAGTATAATGATTACTCCATAAGATAACGACACTCCTATCCAAATTGGGTACTCTCTTTTTTGGTTACAATTTTTTCTACAGAAGAGTTTTATGAAACTTGACAATGTTTGCTTTATATGATTGATTATAGGCGATTTTCATTATAGAGTCATCCTAGTTTAAACAATGGTTTGTATTTATTATATATATTATATTGATTATTGTATATATTATACTAAAGTATATATCAAATAATTTACCTTGTGCGGGTCGGAGCATAAAATCATGCAGCAGCGTGTGCAGGTGCACAATGGCGGCCCAGTCCGCCAGGAACGCATCCGCGGTGCGGCCCGCGTCCGTGCCCAGCTCGTACTGGAGATACACGCACCGTCGCTCTCCTGCACAGTATAGAACACATATTATCATTGTGGAATATTCTAATTTCTTTTATACAAGAACAGTGGAAAAAGCGCAGTGTTATCGTTTACGACATCGTAAGAGGTGATTAGGGAATTTTTACGTGTACTATTACTATGAAATTTCTGTTCTTATATTTTATAACATACATATTTAATTAAAAAGAAAGACCAGACCAGAGGGAGACTTTGTACAAAAGTCGATTGTTTGGGTACCTCTGTCCCATTCGTGTTTCAACCGTGAAGCAGTTGTATTTGCATGGCTGTGTTTCGGTTTGAAAGGTGGGATATGGCATGAATTTACAGGGTACAGAGAAATAACACCTGAGTCCTCAGGAATGGCAAGGCATGGGGGTATCATGGGCGAAACAGTATGTGTGTGTACTGTTATGTCTATGGTACTGCTCATGTCTATAGGCGACGGTTACCACTTTCCATCAAGTGGGCCGTCAGCTTGTTTGCCATTCTAAGTCGTATAAAAAAAAGACCCTACCCCCTTTTCCCTGCCCCGCTAAACTCTAAATAATGTTTTATAACGAGTTACAAATAATACTTTATAACAATGAATACGGGCACGCGCCTTGCTCCTTGGGGTTGGGCGTGCGCACCGGCGAGCCGTGGAAGACGATCTCGGCGGTCCAGACGCGCGCCTGGTTCTTGGTGGTGAGGCGCACGGTGGCCGCGAGCAGGCGCGCGCGCAGCGCGGCGTGCGCGGCCGCCGCGGCGCCCGCCGGCCGCGGCAGCGCCACCACGCGCATCGCCAGCGCAGACCCGCTCCACTCGGGCTGCACGCCGCCGTGCGTCACGCCGCGGCCAGCCAGCTACGTGGGCGGGGGAGACAGGGATTGTTAGCGGTCACACCTAACAGGCCCATTACTAGCGATATATTCTACAGGTCGACCTCCACGTGGTTCTCCCTGAAGGCCATCATGGTTAATTTTTGATGAATTTATCATCATAGACCAACAGATCTGCTTTATCCTCACTTGCCATCCCTCACTGGTGTCCCACCAGTGTATACCAATAGCATAGGCAAAGTTAACAATTTATCCATTAAAAAAAAAACATACATGTAAGGCATAACCAGTAATTTAAAATCTTTGGCATATCCTAAACTATTATATAATAATTCGAAAAACATTTCACTGTTAACACATTACTGTTAGACAACTACTACAAGAGTTCTATATAATATAGTATAAACCATACATATGTATTCATTTGAACAAAAGTGAATATTTTTATTGAAGTATGCACGAGCCTTGCATTACTCGAGTAGCGTATTTGTGGTTAATTTTTGCATATTTCATCTATATTTATTTAACAAACTAACACATTCACGACATTTTTTCCAATGAAGAAGGATATTCAATAATATATTTGTTATAGTTGTAACTTTTTTACCACAGTACTTTAAAGGACTTTTATGATAGAAAAGTAATAGTTATTAAAAGTACTTCCAATTGTTAATAATGCTGGATCCTTGTTCTAAATGTCCATTCATATTTATTTATTACATTTACAGTAATAATATATTGAATTAAACACTTGGGATGATATATATATAAATAATAAACTAAATATCCAGTAGGAGGGGAGGAGACGCGTACGTACCTCTTGCGCGAGGTTGACGAAAGGCACGCGCTCGTCAGCGGCGGCGACCACGTGCGCCAGCTCGGGCAGAAAGTATGCCGGCTGGCGCACGCGCACCGAGCGTGAGCTCGTGCTGCTCGCGCTTAGCTTCCGCTTACCCGGCTGCATACCTGCACCGGGACGTCAACATTACAATACATCAAATGTTTTATGCAGAGTTAGTCAAATGTAACAAGTACTGCTGCTGTATACATTCATTATCAGACAAATTTTATTAATCGTATTCCTAAAAAATTATATAATTAAAAAATAGTGGAACTACTAAGTAAGATTTATGCATTTTCTACTGGCAATATTGCTAAAGTAAAAGAAAAAGTTACCAACTTTTCAATCTTAGAATGTTGTAATGAAAGGCATAGAGAACATTTCATTCAAATTTAGTATACTAATGCAACTAAATTTATAATAAATTAATATATCAACCAATATATATATATATATATAAACATGAGGATCGGATACTACGCTGATATCAGTTAAGAAGTGATATTATGAATTTCCCACGTAAATAGGACATAATGGTAAATTCCCTTTTGCAAAACTTTGAAAAATAGCTTGTGTGTTAAATAAAACACGTACCAGGCGTATCTAGCGGAGTGAATGGTCCATGCGTGAGAGTGAACGTGTCCAGTTCAACAAGAGAATGTAGTTTGAGGAAAGCCCGCGCGGTGCTCGGCGCACCCGCAGCAGCCGCAGCCGCCGCCGCCGCAGCCGAGGACTGGAACATTTTATTCATATAGTTATTAAATGTTTTGTATTATACATTGAAAATATGTAATACTATGTGTATGTGTATTTAATTTATTATCAAAATATACATTTTATAATTATGTAAACTTTAAAAAAAAATAGTTATACAGTACTCACGATAATAAAAAATCATAATGACAAAGGAGATCAAGTAATTGTATAATATCTCAAAACTGAGAAATATATAATAAAATTTATATAGAATAAATCACTATATGCAGATGCAGAAGAATGTTATTCATACGTTTCATAATTTTAATTCCATATTTTTCATGATTGTAAAACTATCGAGTTGCATAATATGAAACACTATTAGTATGGTTGGTTGACTAAAGCACTTCCTTCAGATATGTTAACGCCCATTTCTCCCGTATTCAAGGATATAGAGACACGATACAACGTCATACCTCGTCCTCGCACTCGTCGGGCGTACAGCGGCGCGCGCCCGCCAGGTGGAACGAGAGCGACACGGAGCACGCGCTGCCGCTGTTGGCGCTATTACTGGTAGTCGCCGTGCCGCCTGCAGCCACCTCCTTCATCTCCACTATCTAAAATATATCATAATTAGCTTTTACCTGCGATTCAATTCGCGTAAATGGAATAAATACTTGCATATGTCCTTTTTCATCCATGTGCATACCAAATTTCATAATGCTTGGTTAAGTCGTAAAGGCACTAAGAGACAACAAACAAACTGTCTTTTACATTTATAATTTTAGTTTGAATTACTTTTACCACTTACATATCATTGCGTAGCAAAATCAGCATTATTATATAGTAGTAATAACTTTTTTATTCTCAGAGTGGTAAACAGGCTAACACTGGTCCTGATGTGATAACTAGAAAGTTGTAAACGGTGTCTATAAAAATGAATTGCGCCATGGACAAACTGATAAAGTAAATTAATCACACTCCCCACCACTAGTATAGTGACATTTTGTGATGTAGTAGGTAGCCTAGCTTTAGGATCAGGCGATTGGTGTGATTGTGTAGCACTTACTATTATATTACATAAAGTTATATTTACATAACTTACATAATGACATATAGATATAAATTCCCGTGTGATCCTGCGATGCATAGGATAGGCCAACTTTTCCTTTCCTGTAGGTGTCGTAAGAGACGACTAAGGGAGGGTAAGACATGGATAGCAGCATCCCTCTTAAAACATCTCTAAAGCCTAACTGCAGTTTCCAATCTGCCCGCCAAGTATGGTAACTACTAGCAAACCCCTCTAGAGGGAGGCTTATGTTCAACAGAAAACAGTTTAAAGATGATATGATGATGATGATATAAATATCATAGATATGTAGATTCATTAATAACTATATACTTATTTTCTACATTTCCTAAAAATCACACATCATTATTGAAATAAGCCAATTCTAGAGTTATTAGTTCTCGATAAGTCACTGTAACATATGATTCTTACAAAATAAAAATAAAATAAAATAAGGAAAACAATATTTTATAGTGCAAAGGACCAAGCGCCATGTCTAGTAAGTACTAACTTACCAGTATATGATCAGTGTGTCGGTGCAACGTTACATAGAGACGGTCAGGTGACAGTTTGTTCAGTGGATGCTCGGGTCCATGCAGGAATGGAAGGTGCTCGCACGCACTGGCAGGAAGGTGCTGTAGCGTCTTCTCGCATCGACGCGCCACCAACCAAAATCTGTTCATTGCATTATATATTAATTAAATACACGACAGAAATGTTCCAGCAATACCACCATTGTTCAGAATCAAATTTAGAAAAACAAATATCTATCTCATTTTATCGAAATTAGAATTACATACAAAGTTCCTTAAGTTTGGTAAATCTATCGGTTTGAGGATGTTTGGTGAATCAATAATGATTATAAAATCTTTATAATTCTTACTGCTACATTATCGATAATGTAATGCCATAAACCATTCTTCAAATTAGTATAGAAAAGCAAAAATAAATGAGAATGGATGTATGAGTAAGTTCAGAGTGATGACGATATAATGTGTCACTGCTACTATTTTACAAGCTTTTATTTAATTTGTAATGTATTATTGCAGGCTGAATTAGAACTAGTTTCTCCTAATCGATTTTCCATATACCTTCAGTTTTGGTGAGAATATAATATCCAATACTAAATATCGCAACAATTTCAAAATAGCCGTCACCACAAGATGGCGGATGGTGTATATTTTGTTAATCCTGTTAATATGGCTGTTTAATTAAACATCTTTTAAAATCGCCGCAGTCACAAGATGGGGAATTACATTTTAAAGGCATGCTTTTAAAAAAATTAACAAACTTGTGTCAATTTACCTACAAAATGAAGTGACGCGCGGACTGGCGATTCAAATCTGAGTAGAATTCAATGGGGTGATTAGTCGTAGTGCATGCGACCGACCTGAGCTGCGTGAGGAGCGCCTTGATCTGCGCGAGGTTGGAGGCGGCGAGCGCGGCGGCCAGCTCGGGCATGCGCGGCGCGTGCGGGTAGGCGGGCACGCGCGCGCGCAGCCGGCCCGCGTGCGCGCCCGCCGACACCAGCAGCTGCTCGGCGCGCAGGCACGGCCACAGCGCCGAGCACGCCAGCACGCACGGCCACCCGCCCACGCTGCACTCCACCTGCGCGGGGGAAAAGGGATTGTTAGCAATGGAGTTTGACAGCCCCATTGCTGGCCACGTGGTTCCCCTTGGAAACCATCGTAAACAATTCTTGTTGAATTCGTCCCGATGAACTAACTGACCTGCTTCATCTTCACCTATCATCCATTATTGGTGTCCCGCCGTTGTTTACCGATAGTGCGGGTGGGGTTACTATTTCATTATCACCTATTAAAAAAGCTCCGCCTGCGCACGCGCACCGCTCACTACGCACGCCCAATATCGGTACCGTATCGACATCTATATGTTGAGTTCCTCAGCGGATATTTATAGCGGAGAAAAGGTCGTCGTCCATTTCGATATAACCCATACCAGTCAGACGTTTTGATATTCATTTCGATCGGGTTCTTATTTCCATTTTGCATATTGGATAACCGTTATTTTATATAACCGATATTGGGACCAATATATTGCTATATATTACTCAGACCCACCAGCTAACTCATACTACTGTGCAATTGGACATTGCCGCTGGCTATCGTTACACTACACAGTAGTATGTTAATTAACGTAATCTATTGCTTAAAACTAGTGTCACTATTCGTTAATAGGGTCTCAAAAAAATTTTTTCTTAAAAAAATTATAATACCAAAAAGTAAAAAATATAAATTTTCTTTTTTAAAAAGAACCTTCTATATTTATCAGTACTACATAATAATTGGTATGGATGTATCTTGTAGGGTAGTGTTGTGGGTACAGATACAGGTTATTCTATATTGGACAACAGCAGATTGCCTATGGTCGGGTCATTTTTATGAAGTCGTGTTGAAAAAGACTATATATGTAGAGTTTATACCAAATATGACACATATACAAAACATAACATTTCACTTGTGTAGTAGTTACAACTCTGTCTACCAAAATATATGTTGCAAATACATATTTTGCAGCTAAAATTTTGGTAAAAACAAAGAGTTATTATAATCTTATTTATTATTGATATAAAATTTTAGATTAATATAACTTAAGATTTCGTTTCAAAGTAAAACTATCATAAATATTGTCTAAATTAATTTGAGACCAACACAAGTAATAAAATTTTTTACAGAAACTGGGAGAAAAAGACATCATCAAGGACATACACAGACAACATACTATCTTATTGACGAATATAACCATTTTAAAGTTTGAAAAAGTAAGCATAGCATGACACACTAACCCCGAGATCGCTGAGCAGGACCTTGAGGTCATTGAGGCGTTGCCTGCTGCGTACGTGCACGGTGTGCGCGAGCAGGCGCTCCATGGAAGGCGCGTGCGGCGTGAGCGCGGCCGCTACCCGCTCGCCGCCCGCCAGCGCCGGCACGTGCCACACGCACAGCGACTCGCCCTCCGCGCCGATGATCAGATGGTACCCGAGCTCGCACCCCAGCTCCCTGCCGCACAATACACGATAAGGATATATTACACAAATCGTAATAGCGCTCCAGAGCGTGTACAAACGCAGGAGACAATTGATTTTAAGCGAAGCTGGTGAAAGTAACCAGCTCGAAGGACCAAAAAATGTACACCACATTTATGTTTTATAATATCACATTTTTTTGATAAGATGATTATTGAGTGAAGGCTTAAGTATAGCTAAGTAAATAATACTGTTCATGTTGAGTAATGTTCTTACATTGATGCAAGTTTCGTCTAAGCCTACCTGGTGTTCCGGGGCAAATTTGTCGAACGATATCCCCTTCACCCCGACGATGAAAAAAATTAATTGCGATATATGGCGCCTTTCTTAAACTTAAGCGTCTCTTTTAACCTCGACGCCCAAAGGTGAGGCCTCACTATACTTACAAGTATTTTACTTATAAGAAAATCATAACAGTCAAAAAGTTTATACGATTTTTCTTAAATAGTAGAGAAATAGAAAATTTGTTTTTAAGAGTATGTTAATTAACAGTGCTTACCTCCAATATGAGACTTGCAGTTTTTGTCCAGGTATATATTTGTCAACTTGCAAATGCCGCGACAGGCGGTCTCGACATAATCTAAGCGTTTGTGTGTACAATAATTCCAGTGACAGAGAACGGCAAAAATATCTTAAAGCTGTCAGCGCACCACCGAGGCCCGCCGCTGCGAGTCGGGCTTGCGCTACGCCACGCAACCATGCCAGTTGTGAACTATGCACCAATGGCTTGCCCTCTAGAATTACCACAATACATATTTCAAGTGTCACCATTAAAAATGATTGCAGTATAATTCAATAACATTTATGATACACTCAGACCTTGTTTCATTAATCTCATTGATTTACATAATTTATTAATGCTTTTTACTGAAATTGGAATGTCAACTTTTTTTTTTAAGAAAATATAGGTTGAAAAACGACAAAAACAATTGGACGCTTAATATTAAAATATTATTATAACTATTTTTATTAGAAAGTTATGGTAAATCCATAAGTTTTTAATAAAAATGGTCTATTATACAATTTTATATTTTACCTCCAGTTTCATTATCTTGAATGAGAATTGCAATATCAAGTAGACGCCAAGGTAAATTCGGAGCATCACCCATCACTGTTAGAGATACACTGAATTCTTGTCCAACGGTAAAAGTTGCGCGACCATTTTCCACCTATAAAAATTTTAATATGATAATGAAGATGATAAGGATATTCACTACCATCAGGATATTAATTAAAGTTTTAAACAATAATTTCATAAATTTATAATAAAATGAATTATTTAGTTACCTTCAAATTCCTAACGTCATTTGGTAGAGAAGCGGTAGTGAGTCGTTGTCGCACTATATGTGCGAGTGCACGCAGGGTAGATCGCCGCTCGGCGGGCGTAAGCGATGGTGGTGGTACCAGCCGTTCGCGAATTACTGCTGGCAGTCTGCTGTAGGTGCCCAAAGTGAGAACTTCTACAGCAGCTGCCATGTGGAATGTAGGTAATCTGTTGATGATTTCAATCAATCATAATCTAGTTATATTTAGATCACAAGATCTAACATAATAATGTCTAACTCATCCAAAGCACACATGAACAGGATCTAGGGACTGTTCTGTCCAAGATTACTGCAATTTATTGTAGTTTTTTTATCATTATGATTCTTGTGATAGTCAATCCATTCTGGATACCTATATCTATACATTTTATTAAAACTTATAAAACTTTTGTTTGAAAAAGCAACAGTTGAATTTCTTGGCAGTTCATCTTCACTGAAATTGCTTTCTGAACTGATCCAATAAATAAAAAAATACTATTCAAAACTGATTTTAATTAAATGAAATAAAAATTATATTTATTTAACAATAATATTTTTATTATAATAAAACTGGAACTAGATTATGTCTGTATATCTGAGATATTTAAGAAAAATTAATATGAGAAGCTTAATAAAACCAATACATGCCAAAACAATAATTTTTTGAAATTTTGTCTTTTTGAGGTTGAATATTCTAGTTTATTTTTGTAAGATAAGGAAAGTTGGTGATAATTATTGACTAAGTTTTGGAGGTGTTCAAAATTATATTAAATCAGATATATGATCCAAATCAGCATTATCTAAAACAATATAAGTACCAATATTATTAAATGCAGCTTGCAAATAGATTTGAAGACCATGCATAAAGGTGGTAAGGAGAATGAAGTTGTTTGGTAATGGAATTAACAAATAATGCGAAGAGGAATGGAGATATATTGATCGAACCCTATGCATGCCAAAAGAATATCAATATTGATACAGTTAAGAGCATTACTAAAATCCAACAAAGTGAGCACTCTTACTTATGAATTTGCTATTCTATGCCAAATGTCATCAATGACTGTAACTAAAACAGTGGTCATACCATGACTAAAATGGAAATCTTGGATTAGGTTCAAAAGATAATATTTGTAAGGGATTTATAGTTGTTCATAGATGAGTCACTCTAGTGATTTTGAAATTTAGAGATCATTTGATCTCTGACAATAATCAGGAAAAGTTGTGGGTTGTGTTTTTAGGAAGAGGAATAATGTGAGCATCTTTTCAAATGGAAGAAAAGACAGTAGAGGACACTCAAGGATTGGGAGGATAATGTTACAACTGACACCATCAGCACACACAGCATGGAAAGTAATCAGCTGAAGGCTCTTTTAAATTTTCTTAACATTGATTTTGCTACTTTTAAAAACCACATATTCAAAGTACTGGACAAAAAACTGTTATTATCATAATAATATGATGAAAAGATTCTTAATTTTTTTTTATATTTGCATCCTTATAGTTAAATTAACTTATAATCATATCTTCCTGCTCCTATCACAATTATTTAAGGTCAACAAAAACAAAAGCTATAAAATTTGATGGAATCACTTGTTTGATTTAAGGCTTTTGTTTCTTCTAATTTTCTTTTCCATAACTGAGTTATGAAACTTAATTATTATATTTACAAAATTTCATTATAGTGGTTGAGTAAGAGTTTAGTGTGAATAAACAATGACACATAGGTTTTCTTTAAATAATTGAATATATTAGAAACACAATATCACCTATAGGAAGATAACTACTAATAGTTTAGTTTTTAGTTTCACAAAATCAGATACCAACCTAAGTAAATATCTTCATGTCAGTCCCTAAATTTAATTTAGGGACTGACATGAAGATATTTATATTAAGTACTTTGTGAACAATTATTATATAAAATATACCTAATCAGTTTTTAGTAAATTTATTAATATTAATAGTATTTGTAAATTTTATTATGTAATAATTTAATGACATACCACTGCTAAATAAAATTAATAGACAAAAAGTAATTACCGAGCATGTACAAGTGTTTCTCTAGCCACTCGAGCTAACACATCTGCAGTTTCAACAAACAACAGAGCTTGTTTATCTAAAAAAGCCATAATATGTGCAGAACGATCCACTTTTGTAGCACTGCTAGCCCATTTAACAAGAGCCAACAGACGAACAAATAGTTGTCGTGTACGAGCACTGAATTTATATATCTCAATTTTGCGCTCCATGTCCGTTTTGCGAGGTAATCTAAAAAAAAATGGGGTAAATTAAGAAATATTTTTTTATTGACGTAGTAATTTTGATTAATACTGTACATCTACTTACAGTTCTGCCAGCACAGTAAGTTCATCATAAGTTCTTTGGACAATAAAGTCTATCAGCAAAGCCAAAGAAATTGAACCACCACGAGCACCACCTCCTTCAGCACCCTGGGTGCAGCCTTCTATAGCAACTGGCACCATGATAGGAAGCAAATTTCACATATAAATTGAAAAGGTGTGAAATACAGGATCTATTTATCTTTTAGAAAATAACCGATTACATTTCAGGCTGGTAACTGAAAAGAATATAATTGTGTAAATTTAGCAAGCAAATATGTTGATTTATTTGCTTGCTAAATGTTAGCCATAGAATTTAATATATCCTTATTATGTTGTATGGACTTGGACAATATTTAAAACTTACTATACATAATTTAATAATTTCACTAAAGAACTAATATTTAGAATATACTTCCAACAAAATTATTATTAGAAGAAAAATAATTTTGATAATTAAACACCACGAACAAATTTATTTCAAAGATAGAGTAATTATGAGAAAAACTAAAAAGAAAGACTATTACTGTTATAAACTACTCTGTATAATGTACATACAATTCTATCTGCAAATTATGAGTCTATCATTCTATTATCTATTAGTCTATTATTATCACTTTCTCTATCGGTTGTTACCTATTTTCGTCTTATTCTTTGCCCTTAATTATCTTCTCTTTGCTACCAAAATGTTACATATTTTTTTACTTCAATGGCAATTAGTCGTTATTTTTATTTGTTACAATTTCTGCCAGCGTCCTTTATTTTAATTTTAGTTTCATTTATCAGAATAGCGACTTGCGTCTTCAGTAATTCAATTACTAATTACATTCCTTTAACCACCAATTTCATTCGACTACTATTTCCATCCTATAAATTTCATTCAGTTTACGTTTCTACTAATCGTTAAAGTTATTCTCGAGAAGCCTAGTGCATAGAAAATGTGTATGTCAAATTTTTGTTCATATTCAATTCTAATTCAAAGTCAATTATTTGTTAATACCAAATTTTACATTACTAGATTAAATATTCAACACAGTTTATATAAAAAGTATGCAAGCAGGTCTAAGAACGAGGAATTGCACAGAAGGAATGATAAAATAAAAACTGTAATTCCTTGTTCTTAGGCTACATCAGAGTTCTATCACAGACCAAGTATGCACTACTTTCCCATTTAGGGTAAAACTAGAAAAACGGAACAAAAGAATAACATACATTATACCTTAATCTATGGCTTCAATAGGTAGGTAAAATATAAACAGACACAGGTATACATATACGTTATATATATATTTAATGTGTCAGAAGTCAGATTCACAGAACACCTATATCAGAATTGTCATTTAATTTGATTGGATGTGAGTTTTGTACTTGCGATTACTATTTCACGACTCGAATTATTTTATACTGTCATAGATCCCAGTTTACTTCCTTCTTCCTATTATTCAAAGATCACTTTGTATAGATAACCATAATTTCTAATAATTAATATAACATCAGCACAATAAAATTTTATCACGATAATTTGTCGGTTAAAATTTATAATAATTACCATAAATATTTAGAATACAAATCAAATTTATGCAATTTAGGACATTTTACTTACCAGTGAAATTAGTTCATTACAGTGCAAAAATCGTAAAAAGTTTGTGTAAATCAAATAATAATTGGAGGTATCAAATAGCTAGCATGGGATTATTATCAGAGGGTAGTCCGCTGTCATGGGAAGAAACCAAAGCATTATCAGAGCATGTTCGTCAACACGGTATTGAACAGTTTATAAATCTATATAGCAAGCTGAGAGAACGCACTGGTGATGTCCTGAAATGGGGTGATGAGGTATTTATAAGCATACTGACTATATTAGGATAAACGAAATAAATATATTAGACAAATAAATATTATTAATTAAAATTATTTACAAACAAATATATAATTTGTCACTGATTAAAAAATGGTTTTCTTCAACTCTGTGGGAATATTTTTTTTAATAAATAGTTTGTGAATTATTAAAAAATGTTTGTAATAAACTTAATCTGTCTTTTATAGTCTTTTTTATGCAATATTGAATGCCAAATAAGCTGACCAACCATCTTATTAAATGTGGTGTTTGTGACCTACAGACATGAATAATGCCATAAATTTGCCAGAATATGCTGTGATACCCATAGTACCACTAATGTATTTTCATTCCTGAGAATATGATGTTATGTTTCTGTGCTATGTAATTTTACTACTATATTACACTCACCAAACTGAGACATAACTATACAAGCACAAATGGGTAGAAGCATCCAATCAGCTCTTTGATGCACTTCATAAAAAGAATTATATATATATATATATATATATATATATATATATATATATATATATATATATATATATATATATATATTTTTATTTATTTATTTCAAGTATTTTAATAGTTTAGTTTAATAATAATATAATTTTAATAATAATGTAATAATAAACAAAACAAGCAATAATACAACAAATTATCATAAAACTTTTTATTTTAACCATATATTTTTCTATTTATACTTATCATATTAAATATAAAAAAAGATTATACATTGTAATCATTAGAGATACTGGAGTTATTATATATGATTTGAATTTATTATAATTAATTAAATTAAAGAATATATAATTAATTAACATGAAGTATAAATGAAAACTATTGTCAGAGTCTATATATATATATAGTCTATCAGGGTAAATATAACCTACATATATACACATATAATGTGTATAATGAATAACTACATGACTTTATTTCGTTTACTTATTCATTATGACAAGGACATTAAATAATATTATTATGAGCCAAAATAATATATCACTGTTTAAGAAACAATAGATCGGAATAATATCTATTTATTGATTTGAAAACATAAGAACTATACCTACATTACTTGTTCAGTGTTATTATGTTACCTAACATGTCTTTATCATTACCTCCATCATATGTAATAGAATAGTGCTATTATATATAATTTAAAATGATGCCTTTTTGTTTATTGCAATTATTCAACAAGCAAGACAACCAAGCATACAAATGCTTGACTGTAATCAAGTTAATATGTATTGACAAAAATTTCAATAAATATGTAATAAATATATTAGGATTTTTTTTTATTTTGTAATTTACTATGAATGAACATATTACTTAAATCATGTTATTTAAAGTTTGACTCATTTACATGTTAAATTATGTGATTTTTTTCCATTCTGTATATAATGAAAGTTCCATATGTATAGGAATAAAAAAAAAATCTTTTAAATTTTGTTATAACTATTTCCTTGTGTGTGCTATGTATGTATTTATATGTGTATGTTTATGTATTTTGTATGTATGTTATATGTGTATATGTATGTATATATATATATATATATATATATATATATGTATTTGATGTTTTTGTGCATTACATGTTTTTGTATTTTATGCATGAAAATTATTAATTCACTCTTGCGCCACCTGCCCTTTTCTATCTGTTCTCCCTTAACTAAAGGTTGTCTGTAAGAGATTGCCCTAGCGATAAGACCGCCTTTTGTACCTTTATGTGTATATTTCAATCTGTATTTATGTTACTGTATTTCATTTGAATTATTCACTTGTCATTGTATATTTTTATTTATGGTGCAATAAAGAGTTAAATAAATAAATAAATAACTAGGGAGTTTTGATATATAGGTATCCATTCACATTCTGATGTACTATAAGCTTATCCATAGATATATGCTTGCCAGTAGTAAACCAGTATTAATATGTAACAGTTATCATTATTTGTGCTAGTCAACTACTCTTATATATATTAAGTTTACATTATTTTTATTGATATTCCATAAAACTTCAATTATTGGCATAATGAGTCTAATACCAGTTCTGTTAGTTAATTCAGAATCGAAGGAGATATTATATAACATATACACAAAAAATTATATTGTGAGGCAACTCTTCATTTTTAAAATTGGTTGAAAATAATTGTGAATGTATGACATTTTGTATCCTGTTTGTTGGTTTCATGTATTTAGCTAATCATTTTTATTTACTTTCAGGTGGAATACATAATAGTTAAATTTGATGATGAGAATCAACGAGCCACTGTTAGCCTGAGAGCTGATGAGCTCCTCCCTAAATTGCAAGAAAAGGAACTTGCAGATCCACAGAGTAACTATGTTTACAACTATTTGTGTTTTTATGAATATAGAAAAATGTCGATATCATTATGTGACAAATTAAGTTTTTAACAATTTAATCAGTACTTAGTAGTAGTAGTAGTAATATTAATTTATTCACAATGGCAAAGGTAAAGAAACTAACCCATACAGCCTGATCTTTCACAATTTAATCAGATTTTGCATTAAGATTTTTTTTAAATATCTTTTTAAAATCAGAGGTATGTAAATTGGCTAAAAATGGAGCTTTAGTTTTATGACTAAAATCAAAATTGAGTTATAATTTCCAATTTTAAATAAAGATGAATATAAATCAATATTCACCTGATTATGAACCTTAATAGGCCAGTCATAATAATTTGTTAGGGCAAATGATTACGACATCAGCATCATTTGATATTTCCACATTTTGCTGAACATATTGGAATTTAATGTGGTAAGGGACGAGTGTACAGCCATTGCTATAGATGTATTTAGGAGAGTGCTTAGGGAAATTGGCTGATGCCCACCCCAGTGAAAGTTTACAAAGACATGTCTAAGAGTACATATGCACCTTCTTTTAGGGGTCAGGCCCCTCAAGAAAATAAATATGCCAATTGCTATGTATATGCCATATATATTTAACCAGAGTTAGTTAAAATTTAAATTGACACAATTTTTTTGTGTTGGCTAGATTTTAACACACAACCTTTACAGCTTGTTAATTGGGGTAATATGCCACTGGACTACGACATTTTAACCAAATGTTTACCCTTACCCTTAATTACTTGATTTCGGTGATAAATTGTTATATTAATCATTCAAAAGCTAAAGAACTAAAATGTCACATAGGTATTTGAAAATGTTATTAGCTGGTCGTTTCTATGTATTTTTATGTTACGTCATAATGTGCCACTTTAACATCAATTATACGCTATAAATTTAAATAATAGACACAAAAAATATTGATTTTTATTTCTAAGAAATGTAATTGTTGTAGGTAATCTAGAGCATTTATAAATACATTATTTAGTCAGCTCATGGCCTTGACTATATACCATGACTTGCATTTTTATCTAGCTTTTGATAGGAATGAACCATTCTAGTGAGGTATGCGTAAATACAAGAATGTATTGCTCCTCACAAAATATTGTGAAATCGTTCATATCAACTGTGAAATAGTGTCTAAAATTATTTATCTTAACATTATTTTAACACTTAATTGTTGCGCAATATATCTATAGCTGAGACAATTTGGATATTTAAATGTCACTTTATACCTATCACAAGTTTTATCTATGAGTTACAGAATATATAATTATAATGGTATAGACACTTAGCTATTAACTATATCTACTAACAATAGTAAATAAATAAAAGGCATTACTTTATGCACATAATATGTAATCTAGGAGACAAAACTCAAGACATAATAATGAATGGAAAATGTGGGTGGCGATTATAGAAGATATGAGTAATAATAACTCAAAATAAATTGCCACTTACCTAAAAGTTAGTTTATAGATTTGTGTGCTTTATCTAGGCGCTTTATAGGTCAATTAATTATTATGTTAAAATCGTCAAGAAATTGACATAAACGTATTAATTCAATATTTGGGATAAAGAAATATAAGCTACTTTTTGTCCCAGTTAATATTATCCCATCGACGTGGTTAAGATTGCGGGTAGCTAAAGACTTGTATTGAAAACAATTATTTAAATATAAAAGACAGTTCATGTAAAGTAGCTAACTGTATAGTTATATAGACTATTCAGATTTATATATTGCTACCGCAAATAGTCCGCTGTACTGGAACAAAAGATTTGTGCCGCCCTATAAGACGATAACATGTCCTTTTACGATAATAATAAAGGCTACTTTTAAATAATCATAAGTGCTATAAGTCACTTTTAATCAATAAAAGTTATGATGTGTTCAATAATTTCAGTATATTTTTCTTTGTAATTAAATCTTATAAATATAATAAAATTATAACTAGATGATGACTGTACATGGGAGGATATTAATAAAAAAAAAAATTATAGAAGTCATAATAAGACCACTAGATGACAAAACAATAAATTATAGAAGTTTTGTCCATCTGTCTGTATGTTTGTTGCAGCATCACGCAAAAAACCAGATACTGCACTAAATTGGTTGCGGTATTCACAGTTGCAGTTAGTTTGCCTACTTCTAAACATACGCATACAAAGTAGCAATTTGCAGCTACCATATTTATTTTATATAGTTGTCATGTACTTATATAAATCGCAAAATCAAATTTAACTCATTTTTTATATGCAGTCCTACCGGTAGTTAATATCTATTGTAATTTTCTCGAATGCCGAAACGAAAAAAAGCACGCATTGCTGTTTTTTTTTTTTTTGTAAAGATCTATGATTATTTATGTTGGTTCAATATATTGCAACATAATTTTTTATAATCCATCTTCACGACATGAAAACGATCTTATTTAAATATTTGTTGAGCAACTAAGCGCGTAATTTTCTTGAGTTCTCCCTATGTTACATAAAACAAAGTCTTCAAATTATTATTAATTATAATAATTATAGATTCCAACTTTTCTAATAGGCATTTAGTAAAACAAAGATGTATGATGAAAAGATAGGTGTGCGTTTTACGGAAATCTCAAGTTGCGTGTTGTACAAACATGCGGTTGTGTTTGAATGGACGCCATTATTTCGATTGTTCCAACAACTATAGATATATGGTATATTGTCTTTTAAACTATATATATATATATATCGTCGTTTGTTCTTACATCATCACGATAATTCATCATAATTATCATCATCACAAGTCATAACTCTTACAATACGGTTGGGAAGGCGCGTGTTTCGCATTATAAAAGAAAGAGCTCACTATTGCCACGCTGACGGAACGCTCTCCTATAGTTTAATGTCTTCATCATCTTCTAGAAATAATCTAAATTATAATAAAAATATAATAACGTAATAAAGCCTGATTGATTTGTGCTTTTACACATGCAGACAAAATTTAATATTAGTACAGAGCTTCAAAAATTGGGAATTTGTAATTTAACGATTGGAAGCACCAGCTGAGTAAAATGATAAAATCGAGTCAATATCAGTTAATGTTTTATTGTTGACTTCGAATGAGAAACAGACTATGGGGTATTTTTAGGACGGCAAAGTTCTGGATGTATGTGTTGAAATTAAATATTGTATTAACATAAAAAGTACATTGCAGTTGTGCTTGTTTAAATTTTGTCGTATTTTATTAAGAGAGGGACTGGCTAAAAACTACAGCTGTGCAATTATACACATTGCACTCGCAATACTAATATGAGATATTATATTCTTATATATAATATTACTATATTTTCTGGTAATAAATATTTTTATATTCTATTCTAATATAAACCCCTCAACTCTGTCGTATGTATGAGATGAACGAAACGTAAAGACCAATTAATTCTTCTAATTATTATTATTCTGTTTTAGATGTTAAATCTTTATGGCGGCCAGAATATGGCGCTTACATGGTCGAAGGTACACCAGGAAAGCCATACGGGGGTCTCCTAGCACATTTTAATATCGTAGAAGCCAATATGCGATATCGTCGAGCTGAGGCTAGTACTTTGTTGAAGGATGGCGAAGTGATCATGAGCATTACTAATTTCCCAAGGTATGAGCTTGTGAGAATTAACACATGAATCAGTATAAAATATATCCTGTGGATTTGGGGTATTACTTATACCCAATATACTACACTTAATTTAAATCCATTCAGCTTTTCAAGCGCGATTGAGTAACAAACATAGAAATATCCATAAACTTTAACAATTATAATCTTAATAGGATTGGTACAAGCTATTAAATATACATTTATTAAAATGGTATTAATTTATGGATTGATATCCTTACTAATATTATTAAAATACAGAGTATGTGCTACTTTTTATCCCCAGAAAGACCTAAGAGGCTACTAGGGGTCGAGATGTAAATTTGATTAAACCACAATACATGAATACTGTACCTGAAAAAAAAATAGAGTCCTCCGTCTAGCGGGGTAAAGTAGTGGAGTAGATATCCTTCTCATAACAGAGAGACCTGAGTCCCAATTCTAGTGAAGAGTGTAAACAGTATTTAAAAATTATGTACCATCCTTTTTACCATTTTTTCAAACAAAATGAAGTTATTTGTATTTGAAACCTTTTTGCAGACTTGGATGTCCAAACTTTACAAGCCCACCATATGCACCGACACCAAAAGATGGTGTAACTAGGTCACTCTTCTTCCCCGATGAAGGAATATTTCCTGGACATCCACGTTTCAAGACATTATCCTCGAATATACGACGCAGAAGAGGGGAGAAGGTTGCTATTAATTTGCCAAGTATGTAATTAACGTTTTATCTTATTGGAAAGTAGGTTACCTATTACGCTACCTATACGAGTATCTATCTACCGAGACAAAGGAACATGGTAAATTTTAACATCAGTATATGAAGGCTTTTTTAAATAACCGTGTTTAAATTTCTCTACTGCTTTATCACTACATAGTATAAATGAAAGTCGCTGTCGCTATCTGTTCGTCCCTATGTATGCTTAAATCTTTAAAACTACGCAACGGATTTGGAAGCGGTGAATTTTTAATAGATAGAGTGATTCAAGAGGAAGTTTTATATATATAATACATGCATAATATTGTAGAGAAACACTGATAAATTTAGAGATTTCTAATGTGATGTCATAAATAAACACACTTTTTTGCACTTCCAAATGCAACCGCTGGCTGAACCCCACGAGATAAATCAAAATAATGTACTACAGTACATTTATTATTATTATACAGTATGTTTATATGCTCACTCTTCTCGCGACACATGCCTTCACACAATCTTTTCCTTTATTTCTAATCTTTTATTTCACTTCCTTATTTTATGTATCTGTCCTTACCAAATCTTTAGACAAATAAAGCAAAGTATGCTTCTTTGTTTGCTTTATTTAAATTGTGTATATTTATATACCGCATGAATTTTGTCGACGATCTACATACTCGGATCTCATGAGGTACAATAGACAACTAAATCACATGCGGGTGTTACCCTTACTAGATATATTTATATATGGATGAGAATACAATGTTAAAAGATGATAGATGGAGATAAAAGCAGGTCCATTAACCTATTGTGACGGATTCAACAAGTATTAATCGCAATGATTTCCAGAGGGAACCGCATGGAGGTCGACCTAACGGTATATTCCTACCAATGATGATTATTAGACCTTTGGACCTTTGTCCTCCTCCCACATCACCTTATCGATGACGAGCAAAAGATAGAATTAGATGTGCTACTATGACGTTCCTCTTGGGGCAGCCCCCTCCTTCCCCCTCCCCCACTAATCTTTGAATCATCTCATCCGCAGGTCCCACCTTCGCCCCCGCCCTTCCTTAAATGCAGATATTGTCTGGATTTTTACTGGGTCAAATCAATTTCATACACATTTAACATTATTTATTAGGGTTTATCGCTGTATACGGCAGTAGTAAAAGGCGACTAAGAGAACTTAATGCTTTAGGGATGTGCCGTATTGCTACCTTTAAACAACTCCAAAGCCTAACTGCGATTGCTTACCCGCCTGCCCAGCGTGGCAACTATAGGCAAAATCCCCTTATGGGGGGGCCTAGGTTCCGCAGTGGGGAGTAAACGGTTGATATAGTATGCTATGGTACTAGGTGTAGGCGTCATTTATTATTTATTGTTTTAGTATACCGTGATGTGAATACAAAGGTTCCCGTGGACGACTCGTATCAATTGGAGCCGAATGCTGCAAAGCCCGACTGCGTGTACATGGACGCTATGGGTTTCGGTATGGGCTGCTGCTGCCTTCAACTCACATTCCAGGCCTGCTGCATTGTCGAGGCACGAACATTATACGACCAACTAGCACCGTTGTGCCCTATCATGGTATAGTGTTTTACGTCTTTTTTATTATAATGAGTACACCTTTTTGTTCTCTCTTGCAGTCGTCTCCATAGACCTTTTGAAATAAATAACTAAAGATATTATACTTAGTCACGATATGAACAGATTCATATAGGTGGGTACTGCACTTTTTAGTAACTAGTAGTACTAGTAAATAGAGCTTTTTTATAACACAGGGGGCAAACGAGCATACGGTTCATCTGATGGTAAAGTGACTACCGCCGCCCATGATCACCCGCAACATCAGAGGTATCACAGGTGTGCTGCCGGCCTTTTAAAAAGGAATATGTTCTTTTCTTGAAGGTTATGACGTCGATATCGGTTCGGAAATACTGCTGCTGGAAGTTGATTCCAAAAAGTGATTGTGTGTGGAAGAAAATGCCTTGGAAAACGCTTCACATATTAGTTTTATGCACTACCATTTGTAAATTGGCAAACAATTTAAATCCAATCTCCTGTACCATCTAGAAAATTAGATTTTTGTTTACCATCAAAAATAAACATGGAATAAAGAGAACCGTTTTTCTAATAGTAGGTATATGGAAACGAATATGGACATTGTCTATTTTTTATCTCGGCTATTCGGACGAAGTTGCGAAAACAGCTGGTATATATAAAAGAAACTCGCAAATTCTATTTTTGTAATGAAATCATAGGTATTGTAGACAATGCATTCGACTTAATAAAAATTTATCCCAATTACTTGTCAATAAAACAACAATAACATTAATGGCACAGTATAAGTTCGGATGTAACTTTTTAATTTCACCAATATCTGGAACAAATTAAAAAACATTTTCTTAAGTACTTTTACCTCTAGGTATTTTGCTAGACCAGGATGGCAATACCCTTTTGGTTCTCCAAAATTGCGCCGTCCTAGGCTTGACCCTTGCTGCCTGTACCTTAATCTGCGCCTGTAAATGTGTGTAGCTGGCGCTCTCGGCCGCATCGCCCATCTACCGTGGCTTCTTGACCGATGTGGACTGCCGCTGGAACGTAATATCGGCGTCGGTGGACTGCCGCACGCGGGAGGAGCGGGGGCTCGAGCCGCTGCGTAACAGTAAATTCAACATACACAAGTCCCGGTACGACTCCATCGATTCGTACCTCTCCCCCGAGCACGAGAAGTGAGTACCTCCCTTTATCTTGTCATTTATATAATTGTTTTTTTCCTATAAATTTTTTATAATTATTATGTATATGTAACTAATATGTTTATGTGTGTTCTTGTATGCGTGTATGTGTACTGTAAAGGGATAAGTACGACTTAAAAAAAATAAAGAAATATCAGTTGATTTTTTTTTTATTTAATAGTAGGTATCCGTAACTATAACATAAAAAATATCTTTTGCATTATGAAATGCTTTTGCTTATATCTCATCACTATCTGAATACATTGTGCAGATACAATGACATTCCAATTGTGCACGATCCGGCGATTTACCGGCGACTACGCGAGGGAGGCATCGACCACCCGCTAGCGTTGCATGTGGCGCATCTCTTCATTCGTGATACGGTCTCACTCTTCTCCGAAAAAGTCCACCAGGATGACAAGAATGATACGGATCACTTCGAGGTCAGCTATTATATATTATGTAAAATATTGCATATTATTTCTTAGGCCCCAGGTTAGTTATATTTATGGATAAGATATTGCATATTGTATTATAGATTTCAGTCCGCTTTAAATTTAAAACCACTTAAATACATAAGATATCGCGACATTGGTTTGCTTAGTAACTATGGTCTTTTATGTGGAATTTACACGCGAAACAGTCTATATAGTTACGCGTACGTCCCCAATATCAATATTAGTGGCGTTAATTACACTATTGTAGGGTAAAACTAAACACTGTAATACTTTAATATAATACGCGTGATGTATACGTGTACAAAACTATACAAAAATTAAATGATTTTTTCAGTTGTCAGACAAACATCCGATGTACTGTAAAAACTTTACATTCATAGACGATCTAGCTACCTTTGTCATTAATAATTGTCACTGCTATTGTTTTAACAGAACATTCAGTCAACCAATTGGCAAACGATGCGTTTCAAGCCGCCGCCCCCCAACTCGCCGATCGGGTGGCGCGTGGAGTTCCGTCCATGCGAGGCGCAGCTCACAGACTTCGAGAACGCCGCCTACGTCTGTTTCGTCGTCCTACTCACCAGGGTCATACTATCTTATCATCTCAACTTCGTTATGCCCATCAGTAAAGTACGTACTTAACCAATGTTTTATGATTTTTACGATGATTTCAAACTATTTTATTCAGTTCAAATATTGTACTCTACGCATTATAGCATATATACGCAGCGATTGGTCTCTACAACGATAGAAAATAAAAAAAAAAAAAAAAACACTAATACAGAAATTACAGATTCAATAAAACGTAAATATCTCACTAAATACAATTTTACAGCCGTATCCGTCAAGCTGTTAGGCGCAGAATATGAATTCATTCTTCTTAATTATTAAGATTAGTTCTGTATATTTCAGTATGTCGTCCGAATGTAAAATGACATTTATTTATTTTTTTATTATTATTTGACAAAAAACACAAAGTTACAAATACAAGATACAATGGGGCCCCACACTAGGCGAACCTGTATCGTGGACACCCGACAAAGATTAACAAATCACAATGTGTTATAATAAAAAGTACACAGTGGGCGGGTATTAATATAAAAAGAAATATAAAATACATACATATATATATGTATGACAGTATAACGCCTTTTAAAATTATAATTATGTTATTTTAATTGAATAAAGAATATTTCACTGCATGGTAGGTGGACGAGAATATGCAGCGCGCGCAGCGTCGCGACGCGTGCCTGACGCAGAAGTTCTGGTGGCGGCGCGACGTCGGGGCGCCCAGCCACGCCGCGCCCACCACATACGCTGACCACGCGGACCAATATGCCGAAATGACCATAGACGAGATCGTCAATGGAAAGGTATTACAATTTCAATATATCGTATATATATTTCATATCAAACTAGCGACACGCCCCGACTTTGCACGGGTAGTAGAGCATATATGCTTATTTTGATCAGGTGGAGTGTAAACTCGCTTCAATAAGTATATGCCATTGCGTACTTTTTTTAAGACATATAAAAGGACCAATCTGATGGAATTTTTTTACTTTTTATTAAAGAAAAATAAATAACAGCTATAAAACTTTACCATAAAAAACAACATGAATGAATGATAAAAGCTCCCAAATAGCTATATAATTTTTTTCGACATCTTTTATGACATATATCAACCAAGCTCTCTGCCTTCTGAACTCCTTATCTATACTCCTCTACTCTTGCCTCGTTCAAAAGGCAGGTAAAATCTCATTATCTATCTAATTTGCCTTGATGTTTACTACTTGTTATTTACCTTGACCTATTTATTGTAGTATATTTATATTTATCTAATAATATTTATATTATATATGTATGTTTATATAATTTAGTCTTATTTTTATATAAATTATATTTAGAATAATATGCACTTTATGTGGTTACTTATTTTGTATTTACTGTGTCTGACTTGCTCAATCTACCTTTCTCTCTGAATTTATTTACTATTTATGCCAAGTTGTCTGTAAGAGTATATGCACATTCTGCTTACAATTTTGCGCATTAAAGAGTTTATTACAGTTGCCGTATGTATGTAATATACATATCGTTAAAAATGAACATGTTTTAAAAATATTCACGATTCTATGTAATATCATGCAGCAACGACAGTCGTATTTTTGTGTTTTAGAAGAAGACAAGCAGTGTCACATCCTTACTAAAACTTACTTTTATTGAAACTATGTTTCGATTGTAGGACGGTATATTCCCGGGCCTGGTGCCGCTGATAGAGTCATACCTGTCTGGCATGGATGTGGACGCGGACACCCACTGCTCGATACAGCAGTACCTCAAGCTTATACAGCGCCGCGCCTCCGGCGAGATATCCACTATGGCCACTTGGATGCGCAATTTCGTCACCTCGCATCCGCAATACAAGTAAGTGTCACTTTTCCATTTGGATGAGTTTGAAAGAAAGCGGTATAGTATGATACTAAATAAAAACTTATTATTTTACAGTAAAGACTCGGTAGTTACTGAAAAGATAAATTATGATCTACTAAAGACCGCCCACGGTATACAAACGGGCACGATCCCAGCGCCGACGTTACTCGGCACCAGCAACATTTCCAAAACCAACGAAGACATTCCCAAAGCATTCAGCAAGATGTTGAGTAAGGAGTGCCCGTAGCCGAGGCGCTTCAACTTCGCCAGTGCAGTCAGTGCCTTCAATTTCAAGTGCACTCAATTCTATTTAAGTATTTGTTATCGTAGTTACAACTGCCTTATGTAGTTTAATTTGATATTTGTATGAAAAAAGATTAGGTTGATCCATATGATGGAACTTTGCATATTATGATTATGAATTCTTTAACACTATTAGTTTGTAATGATGTTATTATAACTAGCTATACATAAAACGAATGGTAAATATTAATAACATTTTAAATATTCACAATGAATGCATGTGAATACAGCTGTCTTAGATTGTATTTTAATTGAACCGAACTATTTCTATATATATCTACCTAAATTTTTGTATATTACCCACATACTATTCTAATAATCTGTTTAAAGAAATTAATCATAAAAATATGTACTGTCCACCTAGTTGTATGTATATATCTATTCATTATAATTAAAATACTCTGTTCCCATTACAGACGAATATAGTACAAAAATAAATTACTATAAAAGGAATTTCAAGATGTGTACCACATACTAGCATTTACTCACAGTATTAATTATATAACATTTACAAATAGTTAACCAGAAGTAGTTTGGTTGTGATATATAAAAAAAAATTGTAGTTATATCTTGAGCTAGATATTATTTCATGTTTGACATGTTACTATCGGTAGTTATCTTAATTATTTAGTAAGTTCTTAGTTTATTTTTGAATATTATTGGGCTATTAAAAGTATGTTTTAATTTGGTACTTATTTTGTTAAATATAATGAATATGATATTTGTAATAAATAAAAAATATATATATAAAGATAACGGCTAAATGTCTATTGTATTAAGTAGAACAAATATAGTTGAATTCTGTGATACAAATGTAAACTAGAACTAACGTGGAAACGATATTGATTCAATAATGGGTCGGGGTGTTAGGGGAAATCACTGCACGAAACTTCAAAACAAATATTATAAAACTATGCGTTAATATTTTTTTTTTTTTATTACTATTTTACATTATCTTTTTTATTGTATACTATATTTATTAAGTACGTGCTTTCAGTTTATATGAAAGTTAAAAATTAATATACATTATTTACTTGATTGTCGAGTATATACTATTTTTATACATACTCTAATTACGTTAATTATTTATTGTGATCAGAACTAAGAGTAGCCAGAACAATAATACTTTTCATTTCAACAAAAAAATAAAATAGCGCTTAAATATTCTAAAGAAATTATTCTAGAAATCGTCCCTCTTTATATAGTATCACGGACTGAATTACCAATTCAAAAAATAGCAGTGTTTTCCCGTAAAGCCTATCTATATCCATAAAGCCACAAAGATTTGTCAATATCCTAAGTAGTTCACAAAAAAAAATTCTGTCACTTATCAACTAACTTTTGTGTAATAAGTAACCAACAAGTTATTTTTAAGCAGGGTACATTTTAATGAATAGAAAGTCTATAACAAGTTTGTGTTTTCTATTGCCCCATATATTTTTTAAATATTTTAGGCACTGGGATCAATTTTGAGACTAAACCCATCTCTAAAATTAAAATTTGATATTACAGCAAAACCTAATATTTTGAAGAAAAATTGTATAAATTTAGTTTATGTCCGTAAAACATTAATAATTTTGTAAAATTATCAAATTAAAATATTGGGTTAAAAGATAAGTACATAAACTAGGCGCTTGAGAATTGACCCTAGTGTCAACACAATTATAAATATAAGTAATTGTAATTAACATCACGAAAATAGTGTGATTCGGTTATAAACTTAGATCAATCAACACGGAAAGCGTTCCTATTTAAAAGCTTTTTTCCCTTCTGCTTTTAGGTTTCTTTAGACGGTCTAGCGACGACTTGATTTTTGCGTACATATTTTACCACTTGTAATAAAAACAACTCCATCTCTTAACGAACATGTGCTTGACTAAAGCCCTTCGTAGACATCTATACATTTCCCCTAAGTTCACGTAACTAGAGGACTAACGACATATCCACACTCCGAAAAAAGTAGTCGAACCAGAACCACCGAGAACAGTGGCTCATGTCGCCTACGTCTTACGCCGCCTCTAATCACAACTAGATGCTGCAAGTGCCTCAGTGTGCAGATACAGAACTAGGCGTGCTATATTTTTCCCTTACTTTGTTGTTAATTACAAGAACTAATTATAAATGACAAACCCTTCTGATTTAAGTTTTTATTAAATCATTCTTCAAAATTTAAAAGGCTTTTGACATTTGTCGGCATAAAGTAACGAAAAAACAGAGTTTTTGAGATTCAACTTGTAACTTGATTAAACAGTTAAAAATTTGGTACACGTTTTGATTTCTGAATTATATAGATGGACTTTTTTCTTAAAGATTATTAATATTAATTGAACCCATTTTTTTATTGCCAAAATCATTTTAAATTTTCTCATAAATACAGCAAAAGATTTTCGCATAAAAATACATAATAATAAAGTTAATATATTTATAAATCAGTATAATAAAAATAAACAAGTTTCTAGAAAATAAAAAAATAATATGTAAAGCTGTATAAATTTCGTTAGGCAACTCAATGTACCCGCCTAAGCTAAACTGAAGCAATATAATTTTGTAATAGTCCTCATAATCGAATTCAAATATACCATTTTCGTGTTCTTATGGCACAAAATGGAAAGGGCGATTGTAGCATTTAATTGCTACCTGGCAATTAATGGCATTTACTTATCTGTATAATTAGTACAGTGTAGCTGTATCTACTCAAATATACGAAGCACAAAATTATTAATTTAATGTGTTACCAGTGAAGTGGGTAATTTGTGTTATAATCCCACATCTTCGTAATTTGTTGCATAGGTTTTATAGTTTTATTATTATTATTTTTTAATACTTAAATTGTAATGTATCCAATAAAGTTATTTTTAATTGTTATTTGTTGTATGCCTTATAAATGATAGTGTGATCGAGTTAAAACATTTCACGCGTTTCAAAGAGAGTTTTTTTTTTTTTTAAGAATAAAATATACTCAAAAAGAGGGAGCAAAAGAAAATAATATTGCAGTATTATAATTTTATTTTACACAAGTCATTAAAATTTATCTACAAGTTGAAGTATGTGTTGCTGTTCTTGTTGACGCCATTCCTCGCTGCCATCGTCGCCGAGATTGCCAGCGTATTCTGTTAAATATGTACAATGCATTAAGAGAGGTAAACAAAAAAATACATATTGTGCATACTCTGTTTACAAATTTCTACATATAAGCTCTTTCAGTAAGGAAACTTTAAAAAGGGACTACCTACTTAAAAAATTCTATAGTCACATACATGGATAAGAAACAAATCCTTAAATATTACCTCTCATAACATGACGAATGATCTTCAAAGAACCACCTCGTAGTGACAAAACACGTTGCACTCTTTGCTTTACTGTTGCTGGACCCGCGGTGCATACCTAAAATAAATGAATACTTTATTAACTCAAAGATTAATTAAAAAGGCGGCCATTTTTAATTATTTCAAAACTAAAACATTTAACCAAATTACATCTATACTCAAATATAAATCAAAAGTACTAAGTAACGATGAGCATCTGTACAAATCATTATCGACTGTTTATCTACTTTTTTCAAATGTAAGAAAATTAGTACATAAATTTCTTTAAATAAAAATCACCTCCAAAATAATTCTGTCGATTAACTGTAACGTGAATAGACCGCCAGAAAGACGTTTCAAATATTGTGCGTCATCATCCAGGTCTTCTGACTCTTGCTGAAAAAAAAAAATGCGAAAATAGAATAGTGAAACTAACATACATAAAGATAAAAATAGAAACTGTTGAAATAAATAATACCTCCATATCTTTTTCAGTGCGATCAACTTTGTCCATATATTTAAAATGCAACTCCAAAAGTCTATCTACTTTTTCAAGATCATTTTCTGTGAATTTCGCTAGTAGTCTCTGCCTCTGACTACCTTGACAGTTGCGTAACATTGAAGCAATTATAGATACAACATGCTCTAAAAAATAAATAATATTTTTATTTACAATGGGAATTATGAATAGAATAACAGTAGGGACAGGCCCTAAAATATGGTTAAACGCAATGATGGCTGGCTCACCGTTATACTAGTGAACTGCTTGTGAGAATAGGTCTGCTCTTGTTTGCATGTTTATTTTATATTGAATAATGTAATAATATTATATGCATACACGGCTAATATGATAATCGTGATGAATGCATATAAATAGAAATCATTATAGTCATAATATTCATATAAATGTAAAGTTATCTTGTACATAAACGAATTGAAAAGAGTAACTGTTGTTTCTAGCGGGTTCTTAGTAGATAACAACATTCCAAATCAAGCAGTAGAACCTTAAAAAGTGATAATTTAAAAGAGCCTGTAAACTAGTCTACGTGAATAAAAATTATTTTTATTGTAATCATAACATATTATTAGATTTGTATGAAGCAAAACAGAGATGAGTAGAGTTAAAAAGATTTTATGGACAAACATGTCTAATGTTTTGCAGCTTTAGTGTGAAAAAAAAAGGAATATAAGAAACGGAATATTGCTATTTTTAAAAACAAACCTTCATGTTGATCAACAGTAAGTAATCTTTTTCTTTTTGGTGTTTTCATGAACAACGGAAACACGGTGCGCAGACCTAAAATATCCACAAATTTATTGCAGTTGTCACGTCCGTCTGGTCCCGCTAGAGCATGGTCGAGTACTTTTAATGAGCCATTTCTAGACATTTTCTTCTCCCTAAGAATATAAATTTAACATATATTTCTTCATTATATAATGTAACTAATTTATCATGAATTGATACATTTAATTGTTAGGATTTGGTCAATGTTTGAGTAAAAACATTTCTACTTCTTTTCAATTTAATTATGTATATCAATTATATTCTGACCGGTTTTGTCTTGCGCACGATATAAAAATAAAAATTGGAATCAATGTATCCTTTTATAATATAAAACGCAAATATGTTTTGTATGTGCTGAAGATAATAAATACCGCAGCATTAGGTTCATTAGTTGTAACCCCTCTCCCCGTAGGAAGCGGTCGCGGTTAGCTGGCTCCATTAGAGCGCAACACAGCGCATCAAACATGTTCTCCATTGCTTCTTGCTCTTCAGCGCCACTAGGATCGTGTCTTTTGTAAAACTGTAACAGAGAAATACTAAGTATATACATAACACATAATAGTATTTGGGAAATACTTTTGTTTTTATAGAATTTTATACAAATAAGCATTGCAGGAAGTTGGCAATTATTACTTATGGATATAAAGTTATTATTTATTTACACTTTATTGCAGCAGATAAAAACATAAGACAGTAAATTATAATACGAAGTGATACTAAAGGCGGCATTATCGCTAAGCAATCTCTTCCAGACAACCTTTGGGTAGAGGGCATTATTATTAACTAAGATATACTTCCATACTTTTTGTACAAAAACTAAAACATGTGAGGACCATATCCAAGTTACTGGCACCTAGATAACAGATATATAGAATAAACATAATTATTTTGAGAAGAAAAGACAATATCTTAGAAATATAGCTTACATCTAGGCCGTATTTTGTGTGTTGTAAGCACTTATTAAAAATTATTATTAAATTACTACTTACAACTTTTTTTTTTTTTCAGATATAAATTGAAAGAAAAAATAATTACCGCTAATTGTTGCAATAGCACATCAATTCCATCCAGTTCACCAAGCAACTTTCTGTTTTCTGGTGTATGTTGCAGTAGTATGGATAAAATTTCTGTAGCATACAGTTTATTACCATCAAAGGGCACTTTCAGCTGCAAGAATAATTCAAATTAATAAATAGTTATTTAATAATATGTACATTAGGGTCACAATTTTATTATTTACAAATTAAACCATAGATAAATGGTATAAAATAAAAATCTTTATTGGAACCTAAAAACTGTTTGTTATAATACAAATAAAAAATTAGTTGTAATAGCAAAATTTAGACTGGTTATGATTATAATATTGCTTCTTAAAAAATAAAATTAAAAATGTATTCTTTGTATGAGAAACTAATTTTAATTTCAATTCTATTAAATGAATTTGAATAAACTTTCACAGCAAGATCGCCTGAAGTTAAAATCCAAAGACAAATATAGAATATGAAAATAATATTCATTAAAGAAAAATAAAAATTAACAAAAATTGTTACATACTTTCAATCTTTTAAGAATCCACTGTAAAAATCCTTGTTTTGCCACTTCTGCACATAATTCTGGCCTGAATTCTGTGATGTTCTCTATAATTCCTGCAAAATATAAATCTATCTTTTATAGCATATACCTAGGGCTTAATCCAACCATGAAAATTATATAAAACAATTTAATACCCAGTGTATTATGCACTGCATCCCTCTCATCTGCAACTTGTTCGTCAAGACGAGCTAAGTTATGCAATAGAAGGGAAGGGCTTTCAGCTTCCGCCAATGCATTAATCAATTCTTCAGCCCCTTCCTCACTCTCATGTAAAATGTCTACATCAGTTAATTCCTGCAAAGAAATAAATCACATATAAAAGCTGCCAATAAAAATATATAAAAGAAGCATTTAAAACATGATAAAAAGAACATGTCCTAATTCCTGGCTTCAATAGGTATTGAGTAAAAATATCTTTACTCACCTTTATTTTTTATGGGGCATGCAGGACCAGATGACAACAGTCTCTAAGACAAACTAAATACTTAATCACCATCACTTCAGCCATTATCCGTCTGCTAAGAAACTATGAACTAATTAAATACTTAATAAGAATTATTTAATATCCACATAGAAGTTTTTCAATAAATACTAGAAATTAAATTAGAAATTTATTCATAGTTAAATAATCAATTTACCTGTAGAAGGTGTACAACTTTAGTTGAAATGTCTGTATTATCATGTGACAATAATTCTAGTAATGAATTAATACATTTCAATTCTACTAATAATGGGTATTGATCTGGAACTGTAGCTACTGCACTTAAATCCTGTTGAAAAATAAAAAGTTCAGTTTACTTAACAATATTTTTTTTATGAATATTGAACACTATACACCTAGTTAGCATAGTAATAGTAGAGTAATATTCTTTTATTACATGAAATTTTACCCATATCTGGTAGCAGAGTGGTTAAGATTATAAAACCATTGAATAGGTTTTAAAACCTTCATCAAATATACCTGCAAAGCTTCATGCAAGTCAATCTCACTGTCCATAAACTTCTCTGGTTGATCTGGAAACTTTATTCTCATCTCTCTATTTTTTAAAGCTTTCTTCTCAAAGTTTAACACTAACTTCTTTACAGCAGTGTCATCTAGAATTTCTCCCTAAAATAGAAAGAAAGAATATTTATTTGGTGCTTATGAATAATAATTACAACTAAAATATAAACAATTATAAACTTAAAAAAGAAATACATAAATAAACTTATACTTAATTAAAAATTATGCATTTAAAATGGTCTACTAAGTGTTTAAGCATTCATACATAACACCTAAACACTGATTTTCTGTACAACCAATAGAAGTAGTTCATGGCACTACCGAGTCAACATTTTACTATTTGAGTATACATATAATGGTTTATTCATGTATAACAATATAAAGATCAGATATTATGTCCTATTTATGTTGAAAAAAGAACAGGAAGTTGATATTATTTATAAGACAGAGGGATAAGACTATATCTTTCACAATCTCAAATAGTATAGGATACCAAATTTCATAATGATTTATTAAGTTGTTAAGGAATCAAGGTGTAACAAAAAAGTCAAATTTATAGTACGAATTAATGAATTCCTATTGATAATTTTTCTATAGTTAATCACCAAAGCAAAGTATTAAAATACTGACCTCTGTTGCTTCCGTTTCTACAAAACGAAGAATATCTTCTCTTTCTTTATCTGTTAAGGTTGGTTCTTTTGGTAATGTTTTACTCAATTGATGTAGTGAAGTATCAGGTTTAGATTTAGCTAAACGTCTTAATTTTATAGACCGTGCATGGTCGTCATCAGAATCACCGCTATCGTCTTCATTTGGTCTTTTTGGTGTTGGAGTTGGCTATTAAACACACATATCATAATTAAATACAAATATATAATTCCTTCCTTGTAGAGATTTGAGATAGGTGCAAAATAGGTAGATATTTAACACACCAACATTACTACAATCAAAATAAACATACCTTAAATGATAGTAGTTCACCGACATCCATCTTCTGTATACAACCAACAAAATTTGCAAATTTCTGATGATATTCGAATGGGCGAAAATGTAGTGTAAGTATACAAAGAATGTAACTATATTTTAAATTTTAATTTCACTTTAAAGAATTCGTAGAAGAGGAATTTCTTTAATTATTTTGAAAAACCACCAGAAATAAAAACATAACAGATTAAAGAAATTTTCATAACAGATTAGAGACTATAATTACAGAATTAGAGACTATAATTACAGAATTTAATCTAGTTATAACCTAACTCTTTGATTTTGTCCTAAATACAGTCTATGGTTACGAGTTACAGATGACAGACTGACATAGATATTGTAAAACGGGGTGAATAGGAACACATTTAAAATAATTTCCAAAGTTAATTGATAATTCGGTATACATTCCGGGATCATAATCTTTAAAATTTGGCTATTTAAGAGATGTAGGGCACAGCGAGACTTTTCGCTCATAAATAGAACCGCCCGCTTACAAAAGGGCCTCCTCTTTGCAGAAGTTCGCAGCCAAATAACACTTTTAATGGCGTTATGTTCCTGTGGGGACTTAGTTTTCCAGTTCCATCTTGGGGAGGAGTTGAGCTGCTATTATACGGACTCGCTTGTTTCTAATTATGTCTTCATTCTAGGCAAGCGTGACATGCCGCCCTAATGTTTAAAGAGACCCGGTAAGACGGTTGCTCGCTAGCCACACGCAAGTTGTGTTTCCTAACCCAGGGATCACTTATTCTCCGCCCTGACAAACTGAACTGCTGCCTACGCATATATCCGGTTTGAAGGATGGAATATGGCAGTGAATTTACAGGGTACAGAGGGATAACACCTGAGTCCTCAGGAATGGCAACGCATAGGGGGTATCATGAGCGAAACAATATCATCAGGTAGGCCGTCAGCTTTGATAGAAATTTGAAATAAGAATAAGATTAAAATTTTATATTACAATTAACGACAGTATTATTTTATTTTTTACGTCTATTATCATTAAAAATTATTTAAATCGCTCTAATATACAAGTATAATAAGTAATATATACATACATTATATTTTCTGTCTCATATATTATCAATCTATATACTTTATAATCTAAGGTTTTGACTATAATTTAAGGTTTTGATTTAAATTGAATTGTTTGACATTCGATAATTATTATCTATAATTAAAAAGATAAAAATGTTTACTTTACTAAAATATTATTTGTATTATAGAAGCATGATAGATATAGAAAAAGGCATTAAAATTTTCCCCGATTTTTTTCTATTTTTTTTTATTTATTATCACAATAATACAGAAATTATGTTCCCGCGAAATTCATCCCGCACATTCTATTAATCCCGTTTTTCGGTTATATACTTATCACAAACATATAACAATGACATTATTATGTCTGTGGTACTCATATATTATTAGTACATTATCTGTGATTGTATCTTTGTTTTTCGATTAGAAAAAACTTTTAAAATAAGGCGCGAAAGTTTTATTTTAAATAGATATGTGTGTGTACTCGCGTGTTTATTTATTTAATTAATTTACTGCTACTTGTATAATTAAACGAATGGTATATAGTAGGTACCGACTACATATATCATGATAGGAAAGTGACAGTTATCAGTAATTATCGGTTCATTACTGTATATTTGCTATTAGATCGAATGATTATTTGATTCCATAATAAGACCCAAAAGTTCATATAGTGCTCAATGGTAAATAAAAGCTAATAATTTAATTAATGATAAAGAATATTTTGTGCTTGCACAAATTTATTATAAAGGATTCTACATATTTGTATATTCAAATTGAGAAATTTTATTCTCTATGATAAATTAGCTAAATTTTTTCTTTAAAATGTAGAGTCAGAAATATTATATATAGTAATTCATTCTATTTATTTTAGTCTAGAATTTATCTTACTAAGTATTTTTTATATATCCTATATTGTATAATGCAAATAAAATATATTCATTCATTCATTTTAGGATGCTTTAACTTCAGTACAACGTGCTACAAAAGCTGATTTTGAAAAATTTCTGGAGATCATAAACAATACCAATGAAATTGAAATACAAGTCAAATTATTTTCGGTTATTGCATTTCACTTGGTGTCGTATGTATGATCATTTGATTTGTTATTAACTAATTTTACGAGTATTAAATACAAATGGAAAAATAAATTTTCACGAATATAGTCCTTATAAGATAATCAAAGATATTTGTTGATACCTTGTTGCTGTAAACATAACACTCATGTTCAAGTTAGGAGTAATTTATTTTTATTAATTTTTTAATAACGTTAAATTGAATTTGCCGAATTAACTGTGACCATTGACTAGTTCTATCGCTGTACCTATTATATTTACACCTATTCTTATCCTTTACATATATTGTTTAAAAAAACGACTTAAACCTTGACAAAATTAGTATAAAATTCACTTTCGACTGAAATAAAAAAAAAAAATTAAAATTAATTTGGAAAAAAAACCGCATAATAAATACATACTCGTACCCAAAAAAAAGTCGAATTTATAATTTCTCCCTTTTTAAATTCAGTTGAAAAGTGACTTTCAAACCTTATATACCTAGTCCAGCCATAAGTTCTGTTACAAATGAAAATGTATTTTTTTATGAAATCATGTAATATTACAAAAAATTACATATTTATTAAATACCTACATATTAATTAAAGTCTCAGCAAAAAATAAAAAAAATATACTATTCGAAATGGCCACTTTTGGCTTTTATACAGGCTAATCTCCATCATTAAGGCCATCGATTTACGCACTGTTTTTAAAAGAAATTTCGCTACTGCTTGCTTCAAAGATTTTTTAAGAGACACAATATCGCCGTGTCGTTTGGAGCAGGCCATATCTTCTAAATCTGACCATAATTTGAAGTCTAAAGGGTAAAGATCTAGGCTAGATGAGGGCCACTCTTCAGCTCTTATAAAGTCTGGAACGTTGGTTTCAAGTCAGGCTTGGGTAGTTCGTGCCTTGTAACCAGGTGCAGAGTCTTGCTAGAAAGTGCACAGTATATTTTTAAAAAGTGTATTGCAGAAAGATTTCACAACACGATCCAAGACTATCTTGATACACTTCGGCACAAAAATTTTTTACAAAAAAGTCCTTTTGTAAGTCCTTGATAAGACACGCCCCACCAAACCATCACTGACGCAGAATGATCACGTTGTACCTTTCCAAACATTTGAGCAGCTTCTTTAGAACTGTGAGCGTACACTTTATCATTTTGCTTATTGTAGTGTTCTTCAATCGTGAAAATTTAACATAAAGATAAATGCAATGTTGGACACCCCTCTATCACACTCCACTAGATGGAGCAACGACCACAAATACATTGCAGGGAGCTGGTGGATGCAGATGGCTTGGGACCGTCCTTTGTGACAATCTGTAGGGAAGGCCTATGTTCAGCAGTGGACAATTAGCGGCTGATATGTGGATAATGATGTAAATTTGTTATTAACCTACCCTCATTCGTCAACTTATAACAGACCATTGAATTAAATAGTTGAGTCCGCCCTGTCGACCGTGAACTACTAATGAGGGGCCGTAGAGTTTTGTGTTTATGAAGGTTATGGTAATCGCCCTGTACCTAATTTGTTAAAATCTCCTGAGCTACTCAATATTATCTACTAATCATTCCCGTTTAATGTAATTTTATAGTGTCGGGCACCGTTATGACCTGCTGAAACTCGGTAGCTCCTGTGATCATATCGCGTATTTTAAACATATAGCCGAGCCAAAACAATTAAGCAAATTAATTAATAGAACCTAAAAACTAGGGCTCAGTTTATGTCCCATCATCATTATTATCACTTCCACACACGCCTAATAATTTTATATGTTTTCAGGGTACCCATAGTGAAGTTATTATCACAAGTAACATTATTTATGACAAAATATACAACGTACTGACCAGGTGTTTACCTAGTATGACAACCGTAACATTAAATTTCATGTCGGCATTGCTTTACGACTCCAACGATGGTCGTTTAACCAAACGGCAGAGCATGCTTCAATATGCTCGAAATATGATTCGGTTGAGCGGTTGCCTGTCGTTTATGTGTCATCTCTTTGTCAGTTGTATGATGGTAAGTATATGATGGTTATGTGGAGGTACGCCACGCAATATATTCGCTAACTCTGAACAAATTTTAATTATTATTTTTCCAATCAATAGGGTTTATTTTCGACCTTTTCTGTAGTCCATATTTATTTTGTTACAATTATACCTAAAATTTTTTTTGTGAATCAAAAATTTTAAGTAGGTCTGAAGATTCTTCTTAGTCAAAAGTGTTTTCATTTTTATCCTTTAATAATCTTGTAATGATTGATCTTTTTGAAGGATCTTAAATCATTTTATATAGGAAAAACAATTGCTTTATAGTATGGTAATAGACCAATTCCATCTACTACAGTAGAAACACTTATAAGATGTAGTACCGCCAAGTCATATTATTAAGCAATTATGAAAATTGATATGATATGTTGTACAATAAATAAATAGTTACTTACTTAATAGAATTATTTCATACTCGTGTAAGATGGTTGCTTTTAAGAACTGAGGTTTAACTTTAGTTGCAATTTTTTAATACTAGACAACAGTCAAATTTCTTAATTGGTTACGGCTAAAACGATTTCAAAATTACGATATATCGACGTACACATTACATACATTCAATTCAATGTACACAACATTGATTTGAATGTATCTATACTTACAGCATCAAGAGACTTGGAGAGCTCTATGTCGATGTCTCGCAGAAGTTTGTCAAAACTCGCATGAAAATAAAAACTATTGCTCGCACCTTATTTCAACTGTAAGTCCATATGAAATAAAACATACTAATATTATTAACTATCCTTTTTCTGTTTTAAAAACTATAATTTGTCCAGGGTGTACGGAGATGTTGTGATGGCGACATGGAAGCTGCATTAGTACTTCAAAGCTTGTTGCATAACCATGAGCGTAATGTGCAGCTCTTCATCGGATGTAGTGGGTTAACAATGTTTAATAGGTTCGTAATAACAATAATAATTTCATGTTATCTTATTAAAAAATATAATAAAATATGACCACCATAGTTGTGTACAATTATACTGATTTTAAAAGGTCGGGTCACTTTAACATAATCTAATGATAAGGAAAATATCGAGTAGCATTTTAGCTTTTAACTAAACTACATTAAACAACATTCGAAATTTTAGGGAATATTAGGGGGGTTTAGGATGTCTAGAATTTTACAAAAACTAATTATTAATAATAAACTTGTAATAATAATAATTTATGTGCTATAAGTGATACAAATCAATTATATATCCCAAATATCTAATAAATAACAGTTGCGATAATATTTTATACCACTTTCAGACTTTTTTGTAGACTTGTTTTTGAAAAATATAAGGATTCTTAACCTTTATATATATATATATATATATATATATATATATATATATATATATATATATATATATATATATATATATATATATATATATATATATATATATATATATATATATATATATATATATATATAGGTCAATAATCCTTATATTTTTCAGGACTAAAATACATTGTAATTAGATTTTTATAGGCTTTTTCAATTTCTAAAATAATATAATCAAATATTTTATACAGAAATTTTAAATTTATTAGGTATAAGAATATTTTTTACGATTGTAGGCAGTTATTACAATCGAGCGCAAGCCTTCATCTGTTGTACACAGTTTCACAAAACTCGGATGCGATAATATTAATTAAAGACAATGATAATGTTATAAATATACTGCGGGATTTCTTAAAATTATATGGTACGGACTCTTGGGTATGTATCCGTTTAATTAATTAAATTAACGAAACGAAGACCCTCAACCGACACTCGCTAGGTAGTTGGATCACGAGTCAGATTCAGAAGACTGTAGGTACCTACTTGACGCTGCAGCCTTGAATATTGATGGCTTGCCAGCCATCGAAACCGCTCAACAGAAATTTTATGAAATGTATATTGTATGCTCCAAATTAAAAGGTAGTTCTTATCCCAGTAATAAAAAATTAACACAGTAGATAGCAGTAGGAGGCACAACAACGTTTATCGGGTCAACTTGCTGTAGATTTGAAGCTGTATCTTAAAGTGTTGTTTTAGAAATAAAATAAAAATCATTTTTTCAAATGAATACTAAATAATGATATAATGAATAATACGAAATAATGAGACTAAATAATAATACTATTTAATAATAATAATAATCAAAATAAGCCTGATACTATCGTAACTCCTAATAACCTAACAAATTCCTTTTTACAGGTTGGCCAGTGGTCGATCCTGATTCTCCATAATGTTAATAGACATAGAAACGGTTTGTAAACTTAAATAAACATTCTTAACTTAAATAAATTTTCAAAAATGTATTATGATGTACAATCAAAATATTTTTAGGTTTAGATAAAAACATAGAAAAAGATGACAATTTGGATGATTTAAAACTACAAACTCAACAACAACAAAACGATAAAGATTTAAATGTCATTGATGAGGCCAATGATAAGTGTAATAAAATGGAGTCTAATTATATAGATACGACAAGGTTATTCTACAATATTCATAAGGAATTACATTGGAAACCAAATAACAACAGGGATATAGGTTTTGAAAACCTTAATAGAAGGGGCTACTCGCCTGTGATTACAATGAAGGGCCATAACAAAGTCAAAAGTACTGGAAAATATACTATGTCACAGAATGTTAGTTCTTCGAATAGTTATGTTAATGACATATCTTTTTCATTTTTGTTAAAGCACAACTTTCGTGAATCTACTATAGAATATGTAAATAAAGAAAAAATACATAATAATAGGAACCCAAATAGTAATAAGGAAAATACTATCACTACCTTTGCTGACCATATACTAACTAATAATGCAAATTCATACAAAGAGTATGCAAATGAAGTTCATAAAATTTCCGAAAGTTATTTTAACAAGTACAATATAAATGTCCAAAATGATGAAGAAAACATAATGAATTTTAAACCAACTATTGTATCAACACCAAAAAAGAATAATTTAAATGTTAATACAAATACATCCCAATGTCTCGATACTGAATTAAAAAGAATTAAACATAATCACATAGTTAAGAGAAGACATCGCAGGCAAATCAAACCAAAAAAGCTAGAAAAAGATATTAAGCACAAAACTGTTGGTGGTATGAAGAGTTTCTTTAGTGCTATTAATGATTCATGTACAACATTTGTTAAAACAGTAAAAAATATATTTAAGCCTAAAAAGAATACTGATGTTATAAAGGACACAGTAGAAGAATTCTCTAGTAATAATATCACTACTACAAAAGAACCATGTACCTACAGCTTTACAAATTATATGAGGCAAAGAGATACTATTCTCGGGAATAAATGGCCTAACAATGGAAATATAACACATAGTGTTAATACAGACATTACAAGCAAGAAGTCATGCGAAACATGTAACAATACCGTTGTATTAAAACAGAAGCTAGTTAATGACGATAATTTAAGACAAACTGTAAAAAAACTCAAGTTAGGCATTAATTTATATGGATGTGATTTTAAAGTAAGTTTAAATTTAGCGATAATAAATAATCCAACCATATAGACAAGATGCCTAGTGCCTATTATAACTGTCTACGGAACAGCGAAATTTCCAGTTGGTACATCTATGATTCTGATATGAATGCAAATATGTCTACCCGTTCTAATAAATACATTCATCCATTACTTTTAATATACAATATTTATTTATTCGTTACATTTTGTTGAACACAAAACTAATTTAATTAACAATTAACGGCCTAGAGGCTGTCGGTGTACACAATATCATTTACTACTTACTGTACTTGAAATCTGGTCAAGTTTCATTTCTAACTTATTGCTTATTTTCTTTTAAAACATAATACATAAATATATGAAAATAAAATTAATAGATATTATATTTATTTCAGAAAATTTCTGCCGCACTGTGGCCACGAGAAAAATACATGACACCTGATGTCCTCTATAATCTTTATCGAAAATTAATATTGAAATAAAATTTTAATTGTTATTAATTATTTAGTTTTATTAATAAATATATGCGTATTTTACAATCTTTACAATATTTCAATTCAAATTATTAATATGGTTGCATAACTGGCTAACTTCTTTAACACTATAGTTTAGAATAAGCTGATTCATGGCGAACCATATCTTTTGTGATATCAGCAACGGTAGGAGTCCCTGAAAAGGAAAATTTTCAAAATCAAAAACCCGAATCGCCCTGCATTGTACGCCGTCCAAAAGAAGTAGTATCGCGTTGCTCCAGTCCAGAAGTAAAAACAGTATTCTATGTGTGCCCGCCGGAGCTTTATATAATTGTAAGCGATGAGCCGGCTTTTCTTTATAACAGGAAACCAACAAGCATGCGGCTCATACCTCATAGTAAGTGACTACCGCCACTCACGAGATAAATGGACGCAAATTTATCTTATAAAGATAAAATTATTACTATTACTATTATTTATTTTAAATAATCAATATATATATTTCGTTTATTGGTGTTCCTGTACAAAAGATACATATCTACATTTAGTTAGAACCAATAAACCTTAGCTGTTGAAATTGTTCTATTTAATAATAAATGAAATTGAATTGGCTCTCCATTCAATTCAATAGTACCAACCTGCTATTTGGAAAGTATGTTCAAGTTCATTACGTAATATGCTTAACATCCTCTGCACACCTGCTTGACCACCTACTGCTAGGCCCCACAGCGCAGGACGTCCGACAAAAACCTAAAGGGATAGAAAACATTCTGTACGAGTTTATGTATACGTACTTAAGTTATTTAAAAAAAGTCTGACACACCTAAGTACCTACGTGTATAATGACCAAATTTAATGAGAAATCATAAGGTCCTTATTTGTTTATATAGGCTCTTTTAATGTGATTTTTATTATTTATTTATTTAATACTTTATTCTACCAATATTACAAGACTTGTTATTCTAAATGTACGAAAAGTACACTAATGCTTTCACCAAACAAAAGTATTCGCTCGCTTACATACAATTCATCGATTTAAAATTGATTTCAATGGTGACAACCATTTTGAATATGTTTAGCAATAAAAAAATATTTTACCATTTTCGCTCCAAGTGCTAGTGCTTTATACACATCTGTACCCGTCGTAACACCTCCATCTAAGTACACTTCGACGTTGTAGTCTTTTACAGCTTCAACAATTTCAGGTAAAACTTCAATCTGAAAAAAAAAAGTATTTATTCACACACAAAATAAGCCCTGAAAATATATTTAACAATCTATTAAATAATAAAGGTATTGAAATATTATGCTTTCAGTTGAAAGAATAAATTATGTCAAGAAACTAAAAAAATACCGTTGCTGGCACTCCATCTAGTTGTCTCGCACCGTGATTTGAAACCAGAATAGCAGAGCATCCAGCTTCGATAGCTTTTATAGCATCGTCACCTCGCAAAATACCTTTAGCTATTATAGGTAGCTTAGTAATGCTGAGAACAAAATGTAATATGAATGTACAATAAAGCTTATACAATAAGGAACAACGCAGAAACTTTTAAGAATTTAAGAATTAATCCAAGATTTGAAACTATAATTAATTTATATATTTAATAATCCTCTAACCACTTAAACATTAAAATTCACAGTTACTTACATAAGACAGAAATAATAACCTATGTAAATGCATAAGTTATATAATTATAGGTAGATATTAAGAATTCGTTGAGCAATATATCTTTTTTTCTCACGGATAGATATTGTGTACCTGATTTCTATACGGCAATATGTCGCAATCTAAAGTGATATATTGAAACATTTTAAATTTGAATACTATTTCGATTTTCAAATCATTGAAATGCGCTAACAATTACATTGATTTTTACAACACATACAACAACATACCTTCTTAACCATTTTATTTCATTCCATGTTAAGGATTTATCAAATAAATTTTTAACATACTCTGTTAAACCGCTTCCACTGTCTGATCTATTTATTTTATTTGCTAGTTCACCCTCAAAATTTGCAAGTCTGTAAAATAAATATTTAATATATAATTTCATATACAAATTATACACCTATATTTTTTTATTATTATTTATAAGTACCTACTTTAAATGTGGAGGTAAAGTAAATCGATTTCGAACATCAGCTCTTCGAATCCCAAATAACGGAGTATCCACAGTTAGGGCGATTGCTTTGTACCCTGCCTTTTCCGCTCGTAACACCAATTTTTTTGTAACATCTCTAAAATCCAATTGATATTTTAGTGCTTTTATGAAATCAGTAAATAAAATTAATTATTATCTGGTTAGTAATATTACTGTTTTTATAAATTAATATTAATATTAGTTAATACTTATTTAGTATCTATAGGTAAAGTTATATTTCAAGTATAAAAAGACATGTAGATTGACTCAGCTTAAAAAGTGTTTTATCTGAATCTAATCAGCTACTTTTATTATTATTTCAGCCGCTAACTGACTACTGCTGTATATAAGCCTTCCCCACAAGGAGAGCTTCCTCACACGGGAAAGGATGGAGTGGCCCATTCTATGCCGGGGCACACACGACGAATGGACAAACAGCTAAATTAAATAAAAATTTAAGAAACTACCAAACTTGATTATAATAATACAAACATAAACGACTACCAACCTATCATTATAAATGTATAATTGAAACCATTTAATTCCATGGGGGGCAGCTTCTGCAACTTCTTCTATGGAACTTGTAGCTATTGTACTAAGTGTATAAATCGTTTTCTCCGCTTGTGCAGCTGAAAACAAAACTCAGAGTAATTTACACACACATATTGACTGTGAAATTAATTACGCTATATGATAAATATAATATAATAAAAAAAATACTATTAAACCTTTAACATTAGCAAGCTCTCCATCAGGATGTGCCATTCGTTGCATAGCAGTAGGAGATATGCCTACAGGCATAGAAACTTCATGTCCCAACACGGTGGTGCGTAGATCTGTACTATCTACCCCTATTAAACATTTTGGCCGTATACGTAACCTGTAACATTACAGGTATTATATTTATGCTACTGAAGTCAGAACCGTCTTAACATTATATTATGAACTACAACCTTTGAAAAGCTTTTCTGTTTTCGGTTAATGTCTGTTCCTCGGTTGCACCACTCTTATAGTAATCTCTTGCCGTTTTAGGCAGCAACTCAATAGCTGCATTTTCTAAATCTTTCACGCTTAAATATTTCTCCATCTTTACAAGATAAACAGAAAACTGAGACTAAAACACACATTACTGTATGTGTATTGTCTTATAGATAAAATATTGTTTATCAATGTAATGGATATCAAGTATGTATTATGGATATTTATTGAAATAGGTTATAGGTCAAGTTATATCTTTTATAACAATTGTATTTAATATATATTTATTATTACGTTAGTACTTAACATTCTTATGTTGGGTTATGTGTTTTTTATTTATTTCTTTATTTATAAGAAATAAATATATAGATGTTAACAATAATCCACATATTTCGCCTGCAAGGCATGCAAAATTTAAAACCCAAAAAATATAACTTTGTTTGGATTGAGTATTAAAACAATTAGTAATAACAATTTTTATTAAAAAATATACAAACACTAGCTGACCCCGCGAACTTCGTACCGCCTAACAGTCGATTCTTTATTTTTTTAGTTTTTTTTTTATACTTATTCTCCTATTAAGGGCGCCGGGTCAGCTAGTAAGATAAATTAAGATAAAAAAAGTTAATAAGTCAATAATTACATTATGTTAAAAAATAAAAATTATAAAACACGCCGTGTCACTTCACTTAATTGTTTTACCGTCCAGGAAGCTCTCCACTAACACTTGAACTTTATAATATAGTATTAAAGTTCAAATTGATTTTTAAGTATTATTACAAATCAAAATATGGGAGTATATATCCCATACAAACGATTCGTAATTATACTTAAAAATAAATTTTCTTATCGATTCTCGTACTTCAAGGAATATTTTAAAAAAGAATTAGCGTAATCGGTTCAGCTGTTCTCGAGATTTTCGCATAGCAACACATTCAGCGATTCATTTTTATGTTATAGGTATCAAATATAATTTCATGTCAATATGCTGTCTATAACTCCTGGGCAGGATTAGGATGGATTTTAATATTTTTTTCATTTCTAGTGTTTTCTATTTCGATAGATATTATATATTTATTTTGACATAGTATGGAGAAGGAACATTAATTACTTGTTTTTATTTTGCACCATCTTCTGACCTACTATTACATCAATCAATATGCTGTAACTCAATTTATTTATTCGTTAAATATTCATTTATAATATAGAAAAATTTTTGAAATAACCACTTTTTAAACATTATCTTAATTTTTTTTATTGCATGATAATGGATTGGTTACCCCGCCTGCGCTATCGGTATACATTAGCGGGATACCAGTGAGGATTAAAAAAGAACTTTTTTTTTTAATTAATAAACAAATAATTGGCATACATAATAGGTACGTAGCGGAAATATATATTGCCTGAATGCCTGAATGTGACAGAAAGTGACCTCTGACTACTCCTCATTTAATGGTATCTGTTATTTATTTAGAATATAATATCAAATAGAGGCAAATGTAATGGCACACAATGCATTTTATTCATATTTCTTTTTATTATTATTTTTAATAAGGAATTTCGCGACTGACTCTTGGCCACAGCAGAATATCAGTGTTTTGCTCTTTTAAGGGCAAAGCAATAAACTGAGTTGTGACCATTTTGTGTTAGTAGTATGGCACACGCATGAAGGAAAAAAAAGAAAGTAAATTGTTTTATATATTTAGCTTTTTTTTGTTGCCTTTTATTTTTATTCCTTTATCTCTATTACTGTGTATTGTGTGTATGTTTGCATTGTAATTTGTGTGTTGTAAGTAATGTAAATAAATTATCTATCTATCCATTGCGACAAATTGAACGATAACTTAGTCACGATGGTTTCAAAAGAGAGCACATGAAAGTCGACCTGATAGGGTATATTGATAGCAATGGGGACTAATCTCCCCATTAGGGACATTTAGGGACTTCTTTTAAATATTTCATTGAACTACGTTGTTGTTTTACGGGTCCATATCACTGGTTAGCTGAATAAACCTAGCCAGTTATTTTTTTTAACTTATAATGGTAAATAAGCTGATGGCCCACCTGATGGAAAGTGGTAACCGTCGCCTATTGACGTAAGCAGTACCATAGACATAACAGAGTATACTGTTTCGCCCATGATACGCCTCCCCCCCCCCCCCCCATGTGTTGATGATTTTAAAAAAAATCCAGCCTCGAGTATATATATTGAAACTAAGGTAGAAGTTTTTTAAAGAGTGGCTTACATGACTGTAAAGGATTCGCTTCACAAATGGCTCTTATGCAGTTTTTGTGTTATAAATGCCTTAGTTACATCTGTGGTTTCCCCATAACAAAAGACTATACTGGAATACAAAGCCGACATAACCAGACACCGCGTAGAGGTCGATTTAGTATATTGCTAGCAATGGGGGTGTTAATCCCAGTTACTAACCTCACCTCACGCTATATTACTAACATTCCTGTGGTCGATAATAATACATTGTTGCGATGACGTAATGCTGCTTTGCAAGCTAAATCAGTTGGTGCTTATTAGCAATAGACACTTCTGGTAGAGCTTGTATATCAGTCACTCGAACATGAGATGTTGTAAATGAGAATAAATCTTGATAATCTAATTTAATCTATGCGAAGTCTCTTTAGACTTATCACTTTACCCAATTTATTCTTATAGTACCATAATATTCTTATAATAATAACATTATAATTTCAGCCGTTAACAGTCCACTGTAGGATTCTTCAAAAGACTGCCATAAAGATGAATGCAAATGATTCTGAACCATCTGCATTCATTGACTCCATTGATCGCAATGCATTTGAAATCGTTGCTCCATCTAGTGGGCGGTCGTCCTATATTGGGTTTGCCTGCACGAGGTCACTAGTCTAGAACCTTTCTCCGCCATCAAAATAATAACTATAAAAATTAAAATGAGTAGTATTATAAATTAACACCAAATAAAACTCTTAATAAATAATTTGCATAGCAAGAGCTGACAGGCGAGTAGCAGAACAATGAAACACAAAATGCAAATTTTTCCAATTTATTTTTTGATTTTATTATTATAATATCTGTATGAATGCTACTCTGTGAGCATTCCTGTATAATGTCAAATGCCATTCATCATTATATTTGCCATAGAATGTCACACAAATCTTAACTGATCTAGTAGTTACCATGAAACATTTTATACATTTGCAGATGATTTTCATTGCGATGCATTTCATCATAATCGTCTGAACGCAAAATGTTCCCGAACTTTCTATTATTTCGTTTTAGACAATTTTATTACAAAGACTTGTATTTTTATGTACCGAATTGATAAGCAAACTAAGAATTCCCGAGTTTCATATGAAAGTTGCAGTTACCTTAATATTCATTTTCTATTTGATACTCGCGAATACCAAGTCTGCCAATTTATTTAATTCTTATATGGTAACGCTTTTCTATAAATTTGCTTGAACATTTTTTCTTCCATGACTTTAATCTAAGCCTAAGATCAATCACATTTTCTTTCTTCAACAAAATATTTTTAACTTTTGCATTTTATAAAAGATACAAAACATTTCAATTACTAAGCTATAAGAAAAAGGGCTACCATAATTCCCTCATCTTTAACTCCATCTTTGGTAATAACTATAACAACGACGATAGCGGTTAATTATTTCGATTTCTAATTTAATAATTAAACCTGCTTTCTTCATGTATTTATGAATTATTTTAAATATTTGAAAGCCAAAATGTAAAATTTATAATAAAGACTTAGTAAAAATTAAAATTGAATAATAGATCAATGTGCAGACTATCAGGTTGAAGCAAATTGAGCAAATAAAATTAAAATAAGGCACAAGGTCTTTGCGACCAAAATTTTAAGAATTACCTTATTATCATTTAGTGCTACAAAATAACAAAGAAAAGCTGACAAATATTACGGTGGTTACATTTGAAAAACACGCGCGTCACAAACAAATTGCATTGGTTATCTACTTTACAGAACAATTTGAATTACAGAAGTGGCATACAGTTTCGTTCATTGATTATGTACGTGCCATGTGCATTGCCTGATAGCCTGGATGTAATTAACATTTAACCACTAGATAAAGGAAAATATTATACAACCGTTATGAAATATAAAAAATAAATATTAACATATATTACAAAGCAGAACGTTGAAATAGTGGCAACATTTTCCTGTTAGACTAGTCATTAATACCTATATCTACAACTTTTGTTAAATTAAAAACTATGTTTGTATCATATAACATCTATTAAGTTAAAATAAAGATTAAAAATGTTGATAAGCAATATCTCTCTTAGGCCAGTCTGTCCTATGGCCTTATGTAATAAATTAATATTATGTACATACCATTTATTGGACAACTTATACTGACCTAATTTTTGATCACTATTACTTGTTAAAATGCAATATTTGATAGAATCGACGCTTTTTCACGTTAAATTCATAACGTAGTATATTGATTTAACAGTTATGTATATATGTTTAATACAATGGAGAATAACTTTTTAAAGTTGAAACTAGCATAATCACATTTATATAAATGGCAAAAAAGTAAAAATTTTACTATTTAAATATTTTAATTAAATGCATACATACATTTTTTTATATATCACACATCTTGACATACTCAACATTGCGTATCAATAATTCAGATTAATAAGAAACCGTTATATAAATTTTCATCATAATGAAGGGTTAAGTTACCCTGAATTCCATAGAGAATTGAATAGATGACATCATGATAAGAGTATATATTTAAATTATTTCAGTTACGTATTGAAAAGATAATATTTTTCTTCCATTGATTTCCTTTCTTATAATTAGATGTACAAATTATGTTGAAAAGAGAAACTGAACTGAGACTAAGGACAATGACATTATAACTACATAAAGTCGTCATTTACATTTTAATGTGTACCATGTGGACACGCAAATGCAATAGGGCATACAAGTCATGTATCAGATAAATTAACTTTGATATGTACATAACCATGTACAAGAAATGTTCGTTGTTTTATCATTACAAAATCACAGCCTCTTATAGAAAATCGGCATAGATTTTTTCTTCCACTTCTAATTATAAAAAGCATTAACTCTTTCATAAAAAGCATTTTCATCGAAGAAACAAAACATAGCTTAATGTTATTATGTCAAATCATCATACATAATAGACCATGATACAATATAAATCATGGCACGATATTATAAAACTAGCTTTTTGTAATCTTCCAAATCAAATACTCAAATAATTAATTTGGGAGTTACATTATTTGTCATCAAATATATGCTCTTGTTGTGGACTAGAAGGGAAGAAAAGGGTTTGTCTATGTTCAAAGTTCGAATTCACAGCTACAATTTACACGGTACTTGCTTACAGCAAGTAACAAGCTTGCAGGTAAGGGTTGCTTTCCTCTCTTCGCGCGTTCAGCTTATAAAAATAATTAAAATCAATACCGGTCCTAGTAATGTATGATCTTTTGGATTAAAATAATAACAATAAGCACATTTATTTTGGATTATATTAATTTTTAGATATTTATAATACAAGATTTGTTTGACTCCTAATTGTTTTGTAAAAGTTTCTAATTATAGGTTATTTAATAAATAAAAATAATAGCAAAGAAATTTGGTGACGAATAATTGAAAAATCTATTATTCATGTATTTGGTTTGGCAGAATTTTATAACAAATATACTTTATAAAAGCTATCAATAACTGTTTTGTTCTTGTCACATACTCGTACACATTAAAAAAGAATCTAAAGTTATTTATTGACTACTTATAAATCACGTATGATCAAAACCAATCTGGTAACTTTTGTTGCTTTAGAATTAAAAAAATTTGTAAAATCTTTTACAGCACAAATAAGGATTTAATTTTTGGCTGTTTGAATAAAATTACTAGCGACAAAAAATTTTATGAGTCACTATAACCTTTTATAATCATAAAAAAAAAATACTAACAATCAAAATAAATCCTGTATCTTCTACTAAGTCTATAGAATGATAACCAAGGGTACACAATACTGCGTTATGCAGAAATATGACTGAACATTATTAAATTTGTATTTAACCAATTTGTATAGACCTATCGTTTATTATAATGTCATTGCTGATGAAAATATTAAATAAATCGCATCTGTATACGATAATGTAACAAAGTCCAATCACGATAATTATTTATAACAAATAAAGCAGAATATTATAGTTTCTAAATACCCTAATCTTATACATAGTTACTTTAGCTCATCAAAGTGGCAATCCTTAGATAGCACCCACACAGCATTATCAACTAACATCTATAATACCAATTGTCCTGTGTTTCGACAAGTTGTAATAAAATACATGCAAATTACAAGTTATTCACACAAAAAGGAGACAGAACTTTTTAGTGCCATTTTTATCAAAATGCATACAGTGATCTGGTAAGGAATACTTTAAAATTCGATTATTATAACTGTGTATCTGGAGACTCCACATTGGAATTGGAGCTGCATTGAGTTCACCCTCTACATCTTTGCTAACGGGATACTGCCATTTTGTTAAAATTTTACCACTGACGCAAAATTATAATAATATTACATTATTATACATCTTGACTAAATAAATAAATAGCGTAATCCATGTCTGGTAATGTTAAAACAATGAAATGATTATTTTTCTATTTGAAAACTAATTAACTCAAACTGTATTTTCCAATTTATAAATGCATGTAATTACGCATATTGCATCTCTGGGTGGGGAAAACAAATTAATAATAGAAAGTAAAATAAATACTATAACAACCGACATGTAAAAATGGATAACACAATATACATGCAGGTAATAATATATAACGAGATTTAATCAAAAGCGATTATATATCTTCAAGATATTTTGTTGGCAAAATATACAAATCTGCGGAACTAATATAACAATAGTGACAAAAAAAAGCGAGTGAACTCAAAGCAAATTGTCTAGTTGTATCTATTCTGGCAAACCGCCATGTTACGTCAAATTCATTGTTTTAATTTTTTACATACATTTAAGTGTGAATTTATAGTTTCAACAAATGTTAGGCTCGAGTCCGTTCTTCTAACTTAAACATTTTCGTAAATATGCCTAAAACAAATAGACTTGATAATCATTTAAGATATATAATTATAGTTCTTAAAAATATACGTACGCCATACGGTGGTATTGGCGCGTAATTGATAAAATATTTTCACTAATTCAATATACAGGCAGTTGCAATAGAAAAACAGGCCCAAGCCAACACAATTACCATTATATAAAACTAATATATAAGTCTATTCTAAAATCTCACTGTTTATACAATGTACAAAAACATAATTACGGGAACAGCGATTTGTAAGTAAACAACGCGTTCAAAAAGCGAATCCTATTGAATCTTGTAAAGATGTGAATTAACCTTAATTAAAAAATAAATAAATACTATGGTAATTTAAAGCGGAGCTTAATTTACAAGTAACTAATTAAAATGTATGTATAAATTAAGTCATGGATTCCGCGTCGCGGCGCTCGAGATCCCGACGCGGAAAACGCGGCGGTCGTCATAAACGTGCGAGGAAGCAAACAGCACTTATTTAAGCGCTAACAACTTCATCACGAACTCGCATATTCATCACAGAATAAAACTATGGCCAAGTATCGACTTGGCGACACCCACGGGCGCAATTATAATTCTGCGAGCGCTGTGGGAGCAAGCTGTAGTTTTCGACAACGTGTAAAGCTAGTACGGCAAAATAAAAATGGAAAATGGAGACGCAACGACGACGGCTGCGATGATGGACTAGAGGCACGGCGGGCGACAGCGACGACTCAGGGGTCGCGTGGCGCAGTTTGTGTAGGATGTACGGGAGAAGACGCGGGCACACCACCCGGATTAGTGGTAGCGGTGTGAGCGACAGAGGGCGTGGGCACTGTTGTGGCTGCGGAGGCGGGAGCAGCTGCGGGCGTGGGGGGCGCCAACTGAAGACGTCGAGCAGGCGGTTCATCCTCGTCCACAGCGTCATCATCGTCACCGCTGTCGTCACCGGCTTCGCCTGACGCCGAACCCTCTGTCGTTTCGCGAGTGTCCTCCTCTTCATCCTCTTCCTCCGGGCACAACTGGTACGCTCTGAAAATTTTTTTTTTTACAACACAGGGGGCAAACGAGCATGCGGCTCACCTGATGGTAAGTGACTACCGCCGCCCATAATCACCCACAACACCAGCGGCATTGCAGGTGTGCTGCCGGCCTTTTAAAAAGGAATATACTCTTTTCTTGAAGGTTATGTTGTCGTATCGGTTCGGAAATACTGCTGCTGGAAGTTGATTCTAAAGAATGGTTGTGCGTGGAAGAAAGTGCCTTGAAAAAACGCACGGTGGAAGACCGCCACTTGTCCAGATGATTGGGATGAAACTTTAGTTTGTGGCGGGTTGTACGGTGGTGAAAATCAGCAGCAGGTATCAATCCGAACAATTCCTCAGAACACTCCCCATGATAAATTCGGTAGAAGATGCACAGATATTTACATAATGTTTGGTTTATTTTTCATTTCCAATTATGACATGGAAAAAATTCAGTTAGCAAACTCTTCAATCAATTTTTTCAATGCCCTAAAACATTGATGGATTACAGTGGTAATAATTTTGAAAAAATATAGTGATTTTCACTTACTTTTCGAGTGTTTTACGAGCAGAGTTGCTTCGTTCTAGAAAGTAGCCACTTGACGTTTCATTGGACGTGCCAGGGGGAGACCATGTGCCGTATGAACCATAGCTACCGGGCCCATACTTCTAGAAGCATGTAATAAAAATCAGAATGATGGAAATATTTATTAAAATTTATATGACTTTACAGAAAGGGAAACTACTAACAATTATCGTTATAAACCTTTTTAAAACAAAAGGTGTTAAAATTATATTAAAAAAAATAGGTATTTTTAAGAAAAAAATATGTTGTAAGACTTTCATATCAGCAAAAAGAAAAATTATGTCATAATTTGAATGTGAAACTTACACATTTCAACACAATTTTTAATTCAATTAAAGCTAGCATATTTTCATGTTCAAAACTCCAGTTGATGTAACATTGAAAACGGACTGAGCCGAGAGACGGTATAGGGGAAATGTGACAAGGAAAGGTGATAGGTACTGTGAGATTAAAGGTGAAGTGTGAAATAAGATGAGAGGGAGCACAGAGGTAGAGTGAGGAAGGACGCGAGGTACTGTGAGAGAAGTGATGACTCACGCGGTCGAGCTCCTCCTGCAGCCAGACGAGCAGTTGCCGCCAGCGGCGGCGGGCGTCGGGCTGCGCGTGCACGGCGCGCACGGCCGCGGGCACGCGCGTCATCACGCCCACCACCAGCTTCACGCATGCGTACGCACGCTTTTGATAGTGAACGCGTGCGCGAGATGCCGTTTCCAGCAATCCTGGTCGCTCTTCCGATACACCCTGTACACGCAAAACACCACTATATAGGTTAATTCATACCTATCAAGCGTCTTTTAGGTTCCGCAGTCTAATAAATCTATACTTATATGTATTTGCTACAATTTGGTCCATCTACTGCAATTGATATTATGTAGTACCTTGATAACATTGTGTATACGGTGATGTTGCCAGCTATCCTCCATGAGTAACAGCGCAGCGAGAGCGTCCGCGTGGCGACGCAGCTCGTGGCAGTAGGCGTAGGCCATCTGCCACAGGAGCTCGGCCAACGCTATACGCGACCAGCCAGCGTGCTCCCAGCATAGGAACTGAAGCAGCCTTATACCTTCCTCGCAACCGCAACAGTCTTCTGTTAACTTTTTCATGTATGCCCTAGACAAAAATACTATAATGTTTGACATGAACAAATTATATATAGAATCACAAAACATCTTTATTCAAATAGAGCACAAGCTCTTTTAAGTGGTTAATTTTTTACGATTCTACTACTCAATTCAGAATACTGTTATTTGGTGAGAAAAAGCCGCACGAAACTCAACAATTACTCTGCTCTCTGTAATATGCGCTGTTTTATACATAAATTAATTTTCTTAGAAAAGTGAAATTAATAAAATAATAAGTGAATTTAAAAATAATATATGTATATATGGCTTTAAACAGAACGATACCCGGTCTTGTTGTAGAGTACATCGGCGGCAACGGGCGAGAGCGTGGGGCGGGCGAGGTTGTTGGCGGGGGCGGGGGCGGGGGCGGGCGGATCCGCGTACGGGTTGGGCAGCGGCAGCGCCCCGTCCGGCGCGTTCGCCGAGTGGCAGCGCGCGCTCACGTCGCAGCAGCGCGCCAGCACCGACACCACCTGCACGCGGATACCGTATTCTCATGTCTTTCGCCGCAGTACAGACTATAAACACACTATGCTCTTTTCCAATAAAACCTATTTACACAATTAAGATTTCTTATTTATTTTCATTAGCTACATTATTCAGCTTATTTGCCATTCTAAGTTGTATAAAAATATATATATATTATACTCATTAAAACATAATAATCCAACTTACTTGATGTATCTTGGCTGATTCCGGGTACTGGTACTTTCCAAGTGATGACGATGAATCATCCATACATACTGTTAATACTATCTCCAAGATTTTTAACTGAAATAAAATATAATTTATTTAAAAATATTAATACATAAGATGCTAAAAAAGGTAATACATAATGCAGTTCATTGTAAAGTTTAGCGTTGTTTACACATATATAAATTAACAATTTAGACTCAACATGACGCGATCACAGGTAAATCGTACTATAGGTGTAAGTTTTAGAGGAGGGCCGTCCAAGGATTTCTGCCCTACACTTAGTGCTGATTTAATATTAATAGTTTGGGAATAATAATTGATAATAAAACGTTCCAACTTGGGTGTTCAATGACACAGATTAATCTATTTAACATTTTTTATCGTCGCATGTGTACAAATAGCTGCATCAGCGGTTTACTATACTACGCTGATATGCTGACCGTGCACTCTTTGTCTAATAATAATAAACTACATCATAAAAAATCTAATAAATAACTGTTACAAAGCAACTTTCAATTACTGATTAAAGGGGTAGAATAGACTCGTTATTAAAACACTAACCCTGAGCAACTGGTGTTTTTCGCTGAGGCCGAGCATCGCGTAGGTATGGAAGAGGTTGAACAGCAGCGGCAGGTGTCGGTGATGGATGGCATCGGAGGCAGAGTGGGTTCCGTGCGAGGCGACGGGCGTGGGCGGGGTCGCGAGTGCGCGGGCGCAACACAGCACCTGGTCCGACAGCGACGTGGCCTCCTCGCGGGAACACCACGCGCCGTACCCGCTGCTCACTGTGACCGCATGCGATACGACAGTCGTGAACGGACTTATACACAAAACCCATCGTCTCCACAAAAATACTTGTAGCAAATATATTGTTTACGACATGTATATTGGAGACGGTTGCCGAGATATCTACACTAGCATATAAGCTGTTTGTTAAATGGAAACGTAGTATTCGTATGTAACCAGATATAACTATTTCATCTTATCGCAACATTGTTACAATTCTACAATGGGTTATAAATGACGATTCCGCTAATTCAATTCACAATAATTATAAACATGTCACGTTTTGTTAACCAGATGGTTCAATGTTCCAAACATTAAATAAATTAAAGAAGCAACTGTGTCAGCTTTAAATTCAACTTATCTTTTTATAACTATTACTTTAAATAGGTTAATAAAAAATAAAGTACTATACCTGGTGGATCTTGTATTGAAAAGTCAGCCAAAAATACTATTATCTTCATAAAAACTATTCGTACTTCAGCAGAGGGACATGACAATAGATAATCGCATAATCTGAAATGAAAAAATAAATATATTAAAACTTTATTATTTTAAGTCAATTCTTTATTCTAATAAAATACTAACATTAACAGGCTATTAGTTTTACAGATAAATTTCCACTTACCTATGTGAATGTCTAAAGAGATCAGTCGCAAACCACGCTCTAACAGACTGTGAACATCTTAGATGCTGGCATAAAATATCATGCCTGTAATGGAAACAACCGAATAGTTTTAAAATACAATGTGAGTGGATTACAATAATCATACTTTTAGTCATACAATAATTTCAAAGACTTCATTACATGATCATATCACAGATAGATCATCATACATAACACTAGGATATATTAAAAATAAAACATTTTATAGAGAATAGTATGCCTTATAATTAGAGACGTCATGACTACTACCCCGGGAGCGGTTCTAAACGTATTACTGAACTTAACACCCTATTCATAAAAGAAAAAGGTAAAGTCAGCATGCTTCGAAAAATATACTAAACAAAAAAATATACTAAATATATAATATATAATAAAATAGGTAACAGCAATATTTACCAATCCGCTGCAGGTCCCCTTAATGCTTTTTTTGTACGAAAACCAACTTGAAATAAAAATTTCGTTGCTAATTGTACTGCTAACATTGACATTTCCTCTTGTTCTGGACTCTGTAATATTACGTACAAATATTTAACAATTTATACAAAAGGTTCCTTCTAAAGAGGTTTTTCCAGGATCGACAACGCTTATAATACCCCTGGTATTATAAGCGTTCATAGGCCACGGTAACAGTTTACCATCAGGTGGACCATACGGTCCACGGCTTGTGTGCCACCTATAGTATTATATATAAATATATATATCCTATAGAATATAACTTAAATAAATTGAATGTTGGTCTTATTCAAACTTTGTTAGATGAACTTAAAACAGAAATTTTTGAACATCTGTGTAAATTATTGAAGCCCATTAATTCTTTCTTTCCGCGTCTAGGGAAGGTAGATAAAGTTTTGTTGGAGAAAGAAGACTGATATACCTGAAGAAGGTAAAAGCCCTTAAGATATTAATATATATATATATATATATATATATATATATATATATATATATATATATATATACTTAATGGTCGAGGGAACTTAATGGTCGAGGAATATGCAGCAGCGTTTCTCTTTAAACATCATCAAAGCCTAACTGCGGTTGACAATTCGCGGGTCAAGCGTAGCAACTATTATATATAGGCAATATATATTATATAGGCAAAACCGGTTATACGAAACGAATCACCCTCAGACTAAAAAACTGGGTAACGCTATTTAAGGCAACTGACGTCTAAAGTGCATGATTTAAATTATTAAGTTTATCTTTAATTCTACGGTTATTATCCTTATACATTCTACAGTTTTCTTTCAGCTTCTCAAAGGTTGACTGTAAGAGATCCCTTTATGGGATAAGTCCGCCATTGTATATTAAATCATTTATCAGTGTTCAATCTGAATTATGTACAATAAAGATTTTACAATACAATACAATATATTTTTTTTTCAATTGTAACGTATAATCTAATACATACCCAAACCGCGCTCTGTGAACCAGGTACCATTTGGAAACGCATGTAACACAGCTTCTTCATAAAATTGAAATGCTCCAAACTAAATTGGTCCTGATTATGAGAGAATGCTATATTACTTCGATGAACTGAAAGCCAGATTGGTCGAGGTATAGCACTATCCCTAAAAAGCAAAACATACATTTTTTAATACAAACATTTTTACCACAAGACGACAAATATTTAATCTTTATTAATATTACAAATGCGAAAGTGAGTTTGTTTGTTACCGTACAACGCTGTTAAGGCTTAACCAATCACTATGAAAATTGGTATACACATACTTTATGGGATGGAGAAGGATATAGACTATATTATAATCCAGTCAATAAACATATCCTAGTCACGAAGATGAAGTCGCGCGTAAAAGCTAGTCGTTAAATAAAGATATATTTCATACGTAATATTTAACTTACTTCAAAGTCATATTCTTCATTGTTTGTTCGAGATTTTCTGTCTCTATTGTGTCTATTCTTGTATAAAACAGCATGTATGCGTTCCACCATCTTTTCTGACGTTTGTACACCCTCTTGAGCATTTGATCGAATACCTGAAAGTGTTACTTTTGATTGGGTTTTATATCAATAGCACAATGTGTTAAGTATTTTTAACCCAATAACCCAAGCATTTTAAAGCCTTTAAAATTTAATGTTTTTATTTACAAATATCGAGGAATCAGACATTGCTTTTAGCGCGCTGATTAGTCTCTCTGAGTTATGGGGTTAAAAAATTTAAAAGGTTATTTAGAATTAATAATATGCTTTTTGTGTTTAATTTAACAAAAAGCGTATAGTCATGGAATATTACTGTTATCAGGAAAAAGTAGTGCCCCCCGCCCCTACCATACCGCGGTGTCTGAAGACCACTGGTTAAGCTACTGCTCTGTGAGAGTCACCATCTCACAATTTACCAATAAATTATAAAAACTATCGATACTATAACAATTACAGTATAATAAGAGCTGCAGATATAAATTAAATTTACTATAAAGTGTAAGCATTCCAACATCTTTAAATAAAAAATCAAATGAAGGAAAAGAAAAACATATGAATGTATTATAATTATATGTAATTCACCTCGCCCATATATTCTCCGCCAAAGCACTGCGCTTTCATTTCCTCGTCATCGTGCATCGCACACTCCGTTACGTCACCATCATCCAATTTTACCCACCGCCCCGTTTCACTGCCGTTATCTCTAAAAAATAAATATAAAATTCACATTTATGGACAATACTAAATTATAATACTGGCCCTGCTTTATGTCGAATTTTATTATATATAAATATTATTTTTCAATAGGAGCTATAAAATTTTGGGATCTCACCCATGACAAAATACTACAGTTCAATGTCTGATGTCAACCTCGTCAGGCATCAACATGTAATTCTTTTTGTCGTTTGCAAAATGACGTACCTATGTATTTAAGAGCTTTGATATTACATAAATCAAGATATCAGTTATCATTTATAGACGAGAATGATTTTAAGGTTTGTGTAAAATGTACTCATACAAATACAGGATAGACGTTAATTTATTTTAATTTTTATTCAATATACAAGTGAAATGAAAATTGTTAGTATCTTTGAAAGGAGCATTCGAGTTTCCATGAAACCAAATATACCAAATAAAATTGCCAAAGAAAAATGTGGCGATAAACGATGAAGCAATTTTTCTTCCGTACTAAGACAGCGTTTTAAGATGTTGGGCTAGAATGTGGGTTCATGGTTTTATCGTTTTTGTCTCATGAAATTTTGTCCTAATATATATTTCATGAGTAGATTCATAGTGTTACATTCCGTTAACAATAACGATTTCAGTTTTACCATGTATATTGCCATAGGTCCGACAACAGTGATTCTAATGTATTTTTAACACTTATAATCATGACTAATGAAATCATGCTCATTTATAAAGACTCTGTCGCTAAAATTATAACTGGCCAGTTTCATTATATGTGTTCATCACTAGACAGTATAAGCCAGCGAGTGATGGTTTGAAAGATGGTCAAGTTCACCTGAGCAGCACGTAAGAGTAGTAGTGTCCGCCAGAGGCCTGTCCCGAGTGCACGACGATGCCGCTGAGCCTGTAGTGCGTCTCGGGCGCGGCGCCCGTGCCGTCCCACAGCGTCGCGTCGCCCTCCGCCCGCGCCAGCCCCCACGCTGCCACACGCGACACGTAAACAATTATACCATTATCTCACACTAAACCCGAATGTGAATCCTACTACTAACATAAATGCGGAATTGTGCGAGGATGTATGAATATTTGTTAATCTTTCACGCAATGGTTACTGAATGTTATTTCGATGAAAATTGAGGTTAGGCAAAGCCGCGGGACACATGCTTCATGCGACACTTAGTCGTGACGATTGCTAACCAAGAGATGATCATGACGTCTACAGTGTAAGATGAGTTGATTATTCTACCTTCTTTATAGTCATTTGATATAATATTTTTGTAGCAATGTAGCCAAATATCTATAATCAATTAAATTTCATAATCATTTCTATTATCACTCGATTTTCTATAGGATGCTACCAAATTAACTGTCTTCGAAATGACAATGATATAATTTCGATTGGGATTTAACTTTACTGCCTTTATAGCGTCGTATGAAGGACTTAGTTAATGGCAAAACCGGACATGACCCTTCAAATGTGGACCGATTAAAATTGCACATCACGCATACATTTAACAGAATTAAGACTGAAACGTTCACGTTATTTATGTGCAAAGAAAATACATAAACACGCGTACATTTGCAATAAAAAACAAGGTGGATTATTGCAACAATTTGTTTAATGGATATAAAGAAAAGTGTTGTAAATAAGGCGGTGAACTTTCAAACACACCAAGTTGTTATAAAACACATTGAATTTTTAGTAGCTGACATAAGACCTTATTTTTAAGACAACTAAACAAACAAAGAAAAAAAGATATAACATTAACTTGACAGTCCAAAACTTAATTGAAGTGTGATGGGAAATTTATCACCTTTTTTGAGTGATTAAACACTTATTTTTACGTCGGTAAGAGTGATTAAACACATTGGTGCAACATATACGCTAGAATTGACAGAGCGAGTGCGAGCAACAATGTGATAAAGAAAAAGATAGATATAAAGACCTTTTATTTACATACAATGAAGAAATTTAAGTATTTTATATATATATATTTTTAAATAATTTCATGCTACTTAGACATGAAATTCCTTATCTATCGTAATGTATATATCTAGCACTATGGCCCGTAGCAGGCAATGCAGATCATTTAGTAACACCTTATATTATCAGTATATCACGACTCTTACTAATATTGAAATTCTTACCAGTGTATGGTTCAACATCCAATTCTCGGGGAAATTCAAAGTAATCATTAAATTTTATTGCACACACTTTTTCAAAGTCATATTCAAATCTTTTAAGTTGTATAACTAATACTGGAGGTAGTTTATTTAAACATAATCGTTTCACTGTCACCACCTGCAACACAAATAATAAATAAACAGATCTGGATGTTAGCACACCACACTATCTAGCCCTAAACTAAGCAAAATATAGAATTTATATATATAGTGCTCCTAATTACTGAGGAATGAGAAATTTAATGTTTATTTAATAAAAAAAATATTGAAGTATCTTCTTAAATTGACTTTAATTTAAGAATTCGCGAAATTAAATTCCTACGGTTAAAAATTGGTATTAATTAATGCTTGGCAATGCAATAAATGAAACTTATCTTTGCATATTCTAAAACCCAAAAAACGGAGGATGATATTTTCTTAGAAAATAATATTTTCTGAGTAAAATTTACTTGTAACTTAATATTAATGCTCATCAATACTATTAATTAAACATGTATCGTCATATACAATAACATTTAATATCATCTGCTGTTACAGACATGGAATACATATCATCAGCCTTAAACAAAACTGGTACTAATATACAATACAATAGATATTACAAACCTTTTTATTGCACTTATCGCAATGATAGGCGTCGGCCCCTTCTAATAATTCTCCACGAACATACGCTTCTAAAGATTCCTGCAGACGCGACATGTTCCTTATGTCTAATGACACGACACTGAATGGTTCTTCTTTACAATATCTAATAAATAAATAAAAATAAACCACACTGTAAAAAATGTATTACAGAAGGATTTTTCAAGTAACTTCAAACAAAAGGGCGTCATAATTCGGTTGCATTTTTTATTTGTTACCTCATAATTCTAAAGTTATAAACCGAATTGGTAATTTCTTTATCTGAAAGGACATATAGATTGGCCCCATAGAAATTTTATCAAAATCGGATTAGTTGGTTTTGCCACAACTGAAATCGCTTTTTTTTTGGAACACAATTATAAAAATTTTAATAAATAACGAACAGTTACTCTTTTTCGTTCTTTTTATAACACTAGGGACATACGATCATGCGGCTCTCCTAATGGTAAGCGACTACCACTGCCCATGAGCACCCGCAACACTGGAGGAATTGCAGGATGTGCTGCCGGCCTTTTAAAAAGGAATATGTTCTTTTCTTGCAAGTTACGATATTGTATCATGTCTAACTTTACTTGATATTTATTTAAGACTCGATAGTGAAAAAATATTTACAAATTAGAATTACTTTTTCATTTAATATTATGAAAAGAAAAAACTTCATAAAACACAAATGTCAACTGTTGCCGTTGTAACGTAACACACTTACCTATGGGGACAGCCTTTACATATTTTTTGGTCCGAATATGTTCCTCCCATGGTTTTGGCCATTAGCTGTTCTTGACCTAATGATTTCAATGCTTCATCTAAAGACTCAACCAAAGACATAAAAAATTCTACTGCATCCTGCTGCTCTCGCAAGTTTACTGGCTCACCTTGTAGCCTAAAAATACAATTTTATTATTTTTAGATTTTCTTGAAGTTTATGTTACAAATAGTTTAAAGACGTTTGTTACACAATCATATATATAAGACTAGGGGAAGTTAATATAAAAATTGTAAACTACAACGTGCTGTTAATCAAACATTGCAGTTGGTCGCCAACGAACAAACAGAAAAATAATTCGAAACATTACAAACTCCCCCCCCCCCCCCCCCCCCCTCACCACTTTTCTTCTAGGCGAATATGACGATATTATAAACCAAGTTGACAATGCACAACACTAATATACAAAACGGAAGTTTCTTTGTTAGAACGCGCTAATCTCTCTAACTACCAGTCAGATTTGAAAAATTCTTTCTGTATTTAATGAGCTCATTTTTTGTGGAAAGTTATATGCCATGCAACATCACCATACAACCACGGATCGTGATAGCTAACACAGCTAGTAAACAATTTAACAACACAATATATCGCAATAACTTTAAATAATTCTAACTGCAGTAATAGCCTAATCACTCTCCTCTGACTGAGATTACCACCTGGGATCATGTAAGTATGCATGGTGTCGCATGCGCATTTGCACACATAGTCTACATCTAAACCGAAGTATGCATGAAATGGACAAACTTAATTTGCAATAATTTAGTAATAATTGCAAACTCACCTAAAATGTGCCCATAAGCCTCTAGGAACGTAATATTGCAGCTTACTATAATGTAAATGTGCAAATATTGCTTGAACTTGTTTTAAAATTGTGATGTTGTAATCACTATTATTCTGAAAGATACATAAAACATATTAAATAAATAAGTTTATGAAAATAATATAATAACAGAAGGTAAATATTCTATATACTTGAATAAACTTACCTCGATGTTATTTTCTACAATATTGTGATGTTGACTTTCTCCAGAAAAATCTTCATTAAGATCTGTTGCAGCTCCTATAAAAAAAAAAAAATATATATAATAAAAATAACAGTTTTATTGGGATATTTTTTAATTAAACAAGTTAAAATATATATACTATATGTTAATTAATGTAACGCATTACTTACACTAGTGTTAGTTTTCATTAATAAGGTCTCAGAAAAAAAATTATACTAGAAAAACTCTCTATACTATCCAAAAACCAAAAAAAGAAATTATAAGTCTATAATAAAAAATAAAAAAAAGTCGAGGTTTTCCCAGAGACTACAGCATGGGGTTCTTCAAAAGGGGGGAAAAGAGGTTTCTTCAAGGTCGGCAACGCGCGCGTTATTGGTATTGCAGACGTTCATAGGCTACGGTAACCGCTTACCATCAGGTGGGCCGTATGCTTGTTTGCCATCTCAGTAGTATATATATATATTACTCTATTTCAAATACATGATTAACGTGGGTGAATAATGAAAAAGATAACTCATTATTAGCCATATAATTATATTGGGATTGGGATGATGGTGTAGGCTTTATGGTAGGGTATACGTGCCTTCTACAGCAAGCAGCGCGTCGCGTACGGCACGCACACAGTATAGTTGCTGTAGTACAGAGTTCATGTAGCAAGTAGCGCCAGCGTTCTTAAGGCCCACGAGGCCGGCCATCGGCCGCGGGCCCACACACGGCATGTACTCCCACTCTGACAGCGGCATGCTCTTCTCTACACAAAGTGATAAAGGAATCATCGCTCAAGTCCAATTACTAACCTAACTAGTAGCATGAAATTAGTTTTACAATATTAATATTTATACAAAACAAAATGAGTTTCTTAATTTATTAATGAAACTAATAATATGAATATTAACAATGAAAATAAATATATTCAGTTAACATAGGATATAGGCCTGATACACTTCCTCTACATATGATTGATTTATATGTATTTACGTGAAGCAGTCTTCTTTTATTACAATGCCCAACAAGAGCCAGTATAACCATGCCCATCCCAGGATCCGAGCGAAGCTCCACAAAGACATGTCAAGAGTATATATACGCAAATGAGAGTCAGTTCGAATATTTATCAAACACTCACCACTGTAGAACATCTGCTCGAGCAAGTTAGCGAGCGCGGCCATGTTGGGCACGCAGCCGTGCACGAGCGAAAGCAGCAAATCAGTGGCGGCGGCGGCGGCGCCCGGCGTGCGGCACAGCGGCGCCGCCGGCTCACCCTCCTCGCCCTCGCCGCCCTCCGCCGACATGCCACCGCGGCACCAAGCCCACGAATACGGCCATAGAAACTCCGTCGTTACCTCCTGCCGTGCACCAAACATCCTTGTTTTGTTTGTTACCTCTTACAGTCTTAATGGGTTAATCAATAATTATATAATTTGATATATACATATCATATGGGGCGGAGGACAAAAGCTATTTTTTATCGCAGTGAGTCTAAATATTCCAGTTCCATGAACGAAATCGAGAATAGAAGCTAGTGAAATTGTTATATGACCCATAATCATTACCACCCCTTTAATATACCGTAATGTCTATATCCACCTTTACCTCACTTCCGTACAGAATAAACATAACATTTTTAGTAAAAGCTTAGTATAAAATCATAAATTATACCTTTATTAAACCGGAATCCTTGTGGTCGGGGTGTGCACCATACTGGTACTTGATCTGCGCCGGAACGTGATTAAACAATTCTTTGGTAAGATTGAGATGACCTTCCAGGAGAGTGTCGTCAAGTGTTTCCGGATTTTTACGAACAGCCCTCAACCATGCCACCTATGCATAAATTGTATTTATTAATTCGAGGTAGCGCAAATAACTGATTATCTAATCTATTTTATTATCATCGGCATATTTTGGTCCTTAATAAAGTTAATATATGTTTAGAAAATATTTACAAAACTATGGGGTTGATTCTGAGGGACCATTTCTCTAAATCTATGTCTTAACATAATGTTTTAAATTTGATAGTTTCGCGAAATTACTATTTATTGCTTCTTGTTCTTTTATTTAGAACAATGTCAACTTAAATCTATTAGAAATTTAATTTATGTTGATCTTCAGAATAAAGGTTTCCCTGTAATATCATAGGTAAGATACATTTTTAAAAATAAGTTTATAAACACGGTGGCCCAAAATCGACTCCATTGTCGCTACAAATTAGACACCTTATATCTATGTTTTACGTTTTCGGCCAAAAAGATGATTTTTATATTTAAAAGAAAATAAATTTCATAACATTAAATTTAGATACATTAACAAGTTGCAATAATTATAAAAAAATACCGCTCGTCTGTGAGACGTGTCAAATTTTATATGACACTGCATTTAGATATGTTTTTTTTTTTGATGGATGAAAATGGTATGGTAACCCCGCCTGCGCTAATGGGATACGCTGGCGGAGCACCAGTAAAGGGTGATAGATGAGAATGAAAACAGGCCAAGTTAGCCCATCATGATAATGATGATCAAGAATTAACCATGATAGTTTCCAGGGGGAACCGCGAGGAAGTCGACCTGGTTGAGTATTTTGCTAGCAATGGAATTCTCAATCTCCATTACTAACAATCCCTTTTCCCCCTTTTAGACATGTGTTGTAATTCAGATATAAAATTACTCGGAAGTTCCGACTTTCAGAGATCCGTAACATACTTAGTATGTACGGCTTAGTAATGATGTCTAACAGTTCTTTTATCTTATCAGATCGACCTCTACGCAGTTCCCCCTGAAACCATCGTAGTTATTTCTTGTTGAATTCGTCACGAGTTAACTGACCAGCTCCATCCTCACCTATCTATACCGATAGCGCAAACGAGGAGCCGTCACTCAATTTAGCCGCGCACACTAAGTACTCGTAGTAAGCACGTACCTCGAAGACGAGGTCGTGCAGCGTGCGCTCGGTGGGCCCGGCGAGCGCGACGAGCCGGCACAGCAGCTGCAGGAACTGCATGGCGTGCGCGGCGTGGCGCTGCAGGCGCGCGGAGGCCGCCAGCGCGGCCAGCGCGGCCAGCGCGTCGCGCGCGCCGCCGCCGCCGCCCCACGCGCACGCCGCCAGCAGCTGCTCCGCGCACGACACGCGCACCTGCACACCGCACGCACACTCACACGCACACTCACACACTGCTACCACACAACTTTATTAACATGACGTAAACAAACCAACCACTGACCCCATCGTCAAAATATGAACCATCAAATGTTTCGATCTGTTACTAAATTCGTTTAGAGTGAGTTATATAATGTGAAAAACTTAATTTTTGTTTGATAAAAAGCAACATTTTAATTTTTGCCCACTCTTCACAACTGAACTTGCAATCCAAATTGGGTAGTAATTAAAAGTGACTATTCATAATGCTTATATTAGAATAAAAAAAAAATATTTTTATTTTATTTAGTTAGAATACAGCCCATGTGATGATGGCTGATAATGTGGTATTTTTTAAGTTTAGCTGTTAAAAACAAAAAATGTTTACTCTTTATGAGATCAGATTGATTATATTAGCCAATAATTAATAACCTATAAGATTCATAACTATTAATACATGCATAAAAATACTAGTATAAAAGTAAACAAACTTACTTGTGGATTGGGACAATCAATCATCAAGTAAAGTGCAGTGTCTTGCCACCAGCTCTCTTGGAGAAGTGTCTTTAGGTGAAGCCCACCAAGAGCCATGCATATAGTGACCACTTCCATACATTCACGAACCACTACAACAAGAAAAATAAAGTAAATGTGATGTTTAAGAATGTTATGGACTATGTCTGAGCCCGGTCAAAATCCAAAAAAATATCCAAAGTATATTCATTTTCAATTTTTTTTAGCATTTCACTTTGTTTCCTGTTTAAGAAATTTATATTTATGGATAGTAATTTTTTATTTACTGTTTATACATTTATTATGATTTTGACATTTATGATCATAAAACCTATTAATTGAATTATATGACGATAAACGATACGAACGATATGGAATCCCATAAGACTAACCATAAATATGTTATATAAACAGTACCACATCTATCACAATAAAAGTTTATATCTATGGGGTAAATCTGTAAATATATCTTTTTAGATAAAAAAAAAAATTTCTAAATTGATTTACACCTGATGGAGTTATGAAGTAACAAACAACAAAAAAAAATCCCATCGAATTGGAAGCCTTTTTGAAATTGGTTGAAAAAACAATTATGCTTAGATACAAAAAGTGGCAAAAATACTAAAGTATTGACAAGAGGAAATAAAAAAATAAAATTACGTGTAACATCGTCGGGGTGGAGCATGGCATCGGGCGGGGCGCAGGGCGTGGAGGAGGCGATGGGTACGGGCGGCTGTGCGACCCGGTAGGCGAGTGCGTAGAGCGCACGCACCGTGGCCGCTGTCGGAATGCGCCACCACACCAGCGTCGACACCGACTCGCTGTCCTCGCCGCTAGTCACCACCTCCCATAAAATATCACCATATATCATCACTTATATAGTATATCACAATATATATTATTAAATGTTAGCTACTTCCCGCAACTTTCACCAAGTGAATAAGTACATAAAGTATGTAAAATTAGGGAATAACCTACCCATGTAAGAATTTTCATTCAAGTCAGTTCAGCCGTTTCAGTGTGGTTAAGTAGAAATATACAAACATCTTTACAAGCTTTCATATTTATAATAATAGTAGGATAAACTGGTTTTTTTACATGTAACGGTTAATATTTGTGTTTTGTATTATTTAATATGTATTACTTTTTACTCATTTCAAAAAAATTTAGTACATGTAAAAACATGTAATATGAAATTAGACTGGTGTACTCTGAATTTACTAAGTTGTTTTGAAATCAGTAATATATTGTAAACAAACTGCTAAATTAAATAAAGGGTAATTGAAACAATATTTTAAATAAAATAAGATTTAAAGTAAGCTGCTAAACTAATAAAAACATAGAATAAAGAAATTTACTCTTCTGTGTTCTGCAGTCATTATGAATTTAGTAAATTTCATTTACCATCCCATATGAAACGCAGCAAATCGTAAAAAGTATATACATGTATATAATTTTTATGATTTGCATACCCTTCTAGTTGAAAATGATATACATTGTTCAAAACATATAATAGAAAAATAGAGAAAAATCGATAACATACTTGTTCGCCTAAGGTGTTTGCTAACTTCTCAGCAAGTGCTTTTACAATTAATTCACAGCTATGATTGGGGACTGTCTGCAACGCTTCTCTTAAAATGGTAACATCCATTCTGAAAAAGAAAATAATAAACCTTATTTTAATAAAATACATGTTAGATTCAAAGTAATAAAAATATTTTTTATAGTTTATCGAAGCACGACTCGGCACAATATATCATGACATAGGATGGTTTTATAATTTTCTAGCGATCCCGTCAGGCTTCGCACGGGTAGATAGAATTTTCGAAAACAAAGTCCATAGATGTAATTTAACGTACTACGTATTGACAAACTACCAATGCAAACACAAAAACGAGACAAGAAATTTGTTACACTAGTGTGTATGTGTTTTATAAATGTGTGCATGTAACGAGTCTGAATTTATATGGAATTGAAGTTACAAAAGTAGCAAAAATCCATGTATTTATTATATTTTTCATTTCAGTTCGTGGACATTAAGAACTTTATTTGGATTAAATTAGATATATTTTTCTATCAGATTTTGTACCAAATATTTTTGATTATTCTATGGTATTACATTTAAAAAGTAAAATGTTTAAAGCGTAATTAAAGTGCATAAAAATGTGCAATTTTATGGTTCTTTTTTGTAATTTATGTTATATTCATGTACAGCTATTACTTCTAAATACATTAATTATAAATTAATTATTTTTATTAATTCTACTTCAAAACATAAAAATAATGAAAACTTGTTTTGTTATGAACTATGTATTATTAATATGTATACAAGTAAAAACAGCGCCTTAAAACCTTATTAAAAATTAATACGGGACCAACACGGTAGTAAACCATACATACTACTAATATACAACCATAGTAAATCATAAAAAAATGTGAAAATTGGTTCAGAACCAATTTTTTTATGAGACGTAATCGAATAAAACAACTACTAAAAATAGAGATGAATTTACAACCTGCAAATTCTAAAAAGAATTTGCTTTACAAAATGACAAAACATATACTCACTCACCTAAACTCTTTGTCGATAGTTGAATCTGAACCATCTGGTGCTAATATTTCAAATAAATGCCCTAATGTATATAAGGCAAGTTTAGCCAATCTGACCAAAGCCAAATAACCAACCCTGTAAAAAAAAATATAAAAAATATATCACTATTATATACTCCTTAACTATACGTCACAAAATAAGGAAATTAACGGAAAATTGATTTATCATTACCTAATTAACCAATTACTAACCTTCTAGTGTGTGGAGCTGCACCCTGAAGAAATTCTTTATCAGACAAACATTGTACCAACAGTGGCGCCTTTTTCACACAAGCTACCTGATAACTACGACTACGATCCAGTCTCGTGTCGTTTGATGACATTATCATACTATATAATACCTAAAACGCAATAATTATTAGTGATACAAATATTTAACATTACATATTTCTATATCACTGTTAAAACAACAAATTTACCTTTATTAAATGCCTAATAAACATGACTGATTATGAAAATTACCATTTTTTTTTATACAACTTAGAATGGCAAACAAGCTGACGGCGCACCTGATGAAAAGTGGTAACCGTCGCCTATAGACATGAGCAGTGCCATGGACAACAGAGTATACTGTTTCGCCCATGATACCCCTCATGCGTTGCCATTCCTGAGGACTCAGGTGTTATTCCTCTGTACCCAGTAAATTCACGTCATTTCCCACCCTTCAAACCGAAATACAGCCATGCAAACACAACTGCTTCACGGTTGAAACACGAATGGGTCAGAGGTACCCAAGCAATCGACTTTTCTACAAAGTCTCCCTCTGGTAATCAGTCATGTTTTTTTCTAAATATAAAATACTATATTCTATTAAATTATATAGATGAATCATACCTGTATATTATATGCTACAGTAGGCGGCGTCGGATCATACAGCAAGGCCCTCAATTTGGAATCGTCACGGCACAACAACGCTTCTGTCAATTTTTCTACCTAAACATTATAATAACAATTATTTACAAATGTTTATAATTGGAAAATAATGCAATCAGGTTGTATATATTAATACATACAGTTTGTTTATGCGCCGGACAAATTTGTGACAGTAAATGTGCGGCCTCTGTCAACTGTATATGTCCTTTTGTTATACCGACATGTTCTAGTTCTAAAATGAATGGCAAGTACCATGATCCTTGCGCAAAAAGCTGAAAATAAATCAAAGATTGTTATACATCAACTAACCTTTTGTGCATTAAAGAATAAAAATGAATTATGTACGTACTACACCAGGTAACGCGTGTTCTGGAGTGGGTGGTAAAGGTGGAGATGATGTGCTAGAGTCACTACTCGACTCATTTGAAGACCCACAGCCTCCGCTTCCACAAACTGGTCCATCATATACCTAAATATGTTATTTATTAATATATATACACTTAAATGTTTCTGTTTCTCGTAAAATCAATGACAATTTATGATTTTGTTCTACAAAAAAAAACTGACTTCAGTTGTAGCAAAATGAATTATTTTTATTTCTTTCTGTGTGATCAATTTGTTTGAGAACATAATTACTAACAATAGCAACTAGCGGCCCCTTTGGTAGCAATATACTATTAATACATATAAAACTAATATATAATTGTGAGGTCGACTTCCACGCGATTTCTCCCAGAAACCACCGTGATTAATTTTCTTGGAATTCTATACGAGGGGCTAACTGATCTGTTTTCTTCTTCACCTATCATTTCTCACTAGTGCCCAGCCAGCGTATACCGATAGCACAAGCGAATTAGCATCTCATAGAAAAAATCTGTAAATATATCCAATCAAATAAAAAAAGAAGAATTTTCTAAATTGATTTCAGTTCATAAATGACGGACTCATGAGGTAACAAAAATACAAAAAAAAAATACATTTAATTGAAAGCCTCCTTTTTTTGAAGTTTGTTTACCTATAATGATAATAATGTCTTTCATTGAATTGAAAGCAAGTTTATTTGTTTGTTACGTTTCAAGTCTAAACCACTGAATCGATTATAGTGAATTTTGGTAAAGATAGATGGGATCTTGGAGACTTTCTCCGGGTCAATGAACATATCTTGGTCACGCGGATGAAGTCGCTAGTAACAGCTAGTATAAAATAAATTATACACCATATTACATAGACTTGTATCTTTTGACTTATTAAATTATAATTACCTTAGCAACAATCACAGTTTTATCACGTAGAGGTATTTGCGCGAGAATTTTACGATCATGACTTGAGTCTAATAGCTCTCCATTTACATACAGTTCTAGCTTATTTACATATAATTTTATATTACTATCTGGTGCACACTTTAGTCTGCAATAAATAAAAGATTTTGTTTTTTAATTATTAGGATTTTTAAAATCATGTTAAAGATATTTCAATATATGTTCAAAAATTAACTGTACCTCCTTTGGATAGCTGAACGTAATGAATGCAGTGTTTCGTTTGAGTGAGAAATTAGTTCTATATCTTCAATTTGTCTTTGGCCAGTTTGAAAATTAAATCTGACTATAATGGTACACTGCCTTCCTCGTCCCGACCTGTACATAGGCAGTATCTGTCTATCAGCTGAAAACCTTCTATCACATTCGTTTACATATTCTTGTATGGCACGAATCACTCTACACATTCTTGTGCAACTCTCTGTGGGATCTGAAAGAATTACACTGAATAACATTGTATATTTTAAAACATTATTATTATCATTATATCACTGTTTTTTTACACAGTAGGATTTACAATCTAAAAACTTGCCAGTGTTATAAAATTAAGTAAGCTGTTAGCCCAAGATTCCACAGCTGTCTTTTGCAAGTATCACGCTGTTTAAATGCATTTAGTGAAATATGAGCGACAATATAATACAATCCGGATTACCTAGCCTCTAATGATTGCCTTTAAGTATAGCATAATAAAATTTTGGTGACAAATTGCATATATAACTTTTAGGTCAATAAACGGCATTCATATGGAAATTTTGTGTCAGACGCAAAAAAAAAACAAGGGTTGCCTGCTCCTCTCAGTTACGTTAAGTTGCGGCTACATTTGTCAGGTAAAAATCGCATATCGCATCGGTGCCATAATTTTAGCAAATTCATCCTCATCATACAATTTAATAAAAAGATAGTATCTAGTAGTAGATATCTATAAACATGTATGAAAGATTCACTATTATTAATTAGGGACCATTCAAAATTACGTCATACGTTAAGTGGAGAGATCACATGTTAAAACAAGAGATGGGATAAATTAAAAGATTCGTGATGTTATATTACAAAATGTAAGTCTAAGTATTAAAAAGCGAAGTTGTAACTATTAATAAAAACTTAAAAATATTCCCAACTATCTGTAAATAACGAACTGCTATTTTAATTACGTACGTGACGTATCTTCCGCGTAGTATGATAGTAAGTAACAAATTATACGCATTTTGATGTATTGGCGTTTTATTGCAAATAATTGCTGACCGAAAATCGGTCTAAAGTAGCGGTTATATAAATATAAATTAAATAATTTAAATTAAATCGGCCCAAATAATTACAAGATTATATTAAGTAGGAAACCGAAAGGGAAAGTGGGAAGGAAAACGACTAACAGAAGATGAAAAGGAGAACGTGCACCTTTGAAACGTGCTATGAAATCTGGCAATGATTATTTTAAAAGAAAGTAATGAAACTGTTGACATAAAGTATGTATACTATATTTGTATAACCATATTTTTGTTTTTATACTTAAAAATTAAATGATAATAATATTGATTGTATAAATATTCATTTATTAACATTTTAAGTAATATACTGTACAATTGTATATCATTCCAAATAAAGTGAAAATAAATGGGAAAAGAAGAAAAATAAGTAGAACTTCCTACCTGCATGCAGCTCCATGTCCTTCTGCATGCGTTGCGTGCGCGCGCAACAGTGCGTGAGGAAATCTTCGTGGTGTAGCGCAGCCGACAGTGCCGGGCCTACGCACGTGCATACTTCACGCAACAGCTCGATACCGCGAGCTGAGATTTCATCCGAGCAGTCAGTTATCACCTACACAATAATTATAAAATTGTATCTATATATAGGGTAAAAACAGATCGATGGAGTAGCAACGAAAATAATAAGTCGTTAAACATACGTCTGAAATTAATATAACAAAATTAACGAGCGACGTTCTCATTAGTACAGAAGGATTTAGCGAGAGGTGTGTGAGAGAGATGTAATTATTATGCGATTGTTATTAGGAAAAACAAAACTTACCCTCCATAAATAATCTAAACCTATGAGATCAGCGTCATTAATTAAAAAACTTCTTCGTTTAGTTTTAAGTTTCCCTTCTTTAGAGTTTACTGCTTTAAAGAACCTGCAATAAATAAAATAGTTTAGTAAATTTCTTCTTAATATAAAGAACGTATTATCTATAGCTGCAAAATTACCTTTCAAAGCATTTGATACCAGCATGAGTTAATAAATTTGGAGGTAATGTCATGATATTCCGTCGAAAAAAATGAAGATTGATGTTTGGATCTAAGTCAGGTTCGTCGCCCATTAATTTGCTGAACCACCGAAAGCACGCCTCCCGATCACCCAGGTGCGCCGGTCTTTCTGCTAGACATACCCATATCTGTTTTGCCTGTATAAAAAAAAAATTATTTAATACATTTACCTCGTCTTAAAAACTGTACCTCAAAATTGCTTTTACAGGCAGGGTTACTGTAATAATAATAGCTCTAAATTCATACAAGTACTAAGTTTATACTCACTTGTTCTGCACACAGCCACAATTGTCCATCTTTTAAAAGAAACCTAAGAAAGCTAAGTCGTTCGTGCACTTGAGCTGAATGAGGATACCTGCCATCCGGAAGCCAATTTTCCCAATCTATTTCTTTTTCCTCTGGAAGTAAGTCGTAAATGTTACTCACAGCTTTACAACTGATTAAAGAATAATAAATAGATTATAAATAATAATGATAATAATATCGTCATCAAAATTAGCAGAAAATAAAGTAGAACGGCCCTAAACTAACCTGCTAGCTTGTTTCGAACTCCGTCCATGTAGTGCGTGAGTGAGTCGGTGACGAGTATGACGAGCGAGTGCTGCGTCTGCAGGCGGTCGATGAGCTCCTGGCGGGTGACGTGGGGCCGCACGCCCGTGCCGCCGCCCGCCTCATAGAGGCAGCAGATCTCGCGCATCACCTTTAGCGCTGGCAGTACCCACTTTTCGTTTGTTTTCAATTCTTCTACACACCTGTTTATTTAAAGTCTTTACTGCAATCTTCAGTATTGAAATAATATCCCATTGCATATAAAGTAAGAAAGAGAATGTGAGAGAATAAAGTGCCACCATCAAAAACAAACTAGCATGTGCAAAACCACTTTTTACACATTTCATTATTGTTGATAAGTACCTAAATGAATAATTATAAAATTGTTTCTAAAACTTACTTGTCCAGCCAGAGGGTTTTTTGAGCATCACGATCTTGACTGCAGCTGTAGTCCAATATTTTAATGAGATTAGCGAGTGCAACATCCATAATCTCAGTACAGACTTCATCTGAATGAGCTAAATTCCAAAATAGAATTAATACCTGCAATAATTAACCAAATTTATATCATCATCATTACTATATAGTATAAAACAAAGTCGCTGTCGCTGTTTGTCCGTTCCAAGGTATGCTTAAATCTTTAAAACTACGCAACGAATTTTAAAGAAAAAATTGATGTGATGTAAATGAACACATTTTTTTGCGGTTACTTTACAAATGCTGGCTGAACCTCACGAGATAAATCAAAATAATGTACTACAGTATTGTACACTTTAAAAAGGTCAACAAAAAAGTCCACGATAGTATATGTCTACCTCTTAAGGATAATCCACAATAACCATTTTTTATCCTTTACATTTTACGAGAAAAAAAAAGCTCATTTACGAAGTGACTAAGCAATACAGCATTAATTTTTATCGAATTAAGTATCTTAAATACATTGTCCATTTAATATAGACCAATATGGCCCTGTACAGCATGTAATTTAAATGAATATTTCCGAAGATATAACAGATTTAAAACGCAAGGACATAGCTAAACGGCGGTACCGGCCCGGCCGACGGCGCGTGCCTATATATTAGCGAGCACTTTGTCATGTTTTTATTATCAAATGACAAAAAAAGCTGTAAACGTTGTTTATAAGGACATTCTGTAGTAGGTATATTTAGTATCAGCATTGCACCCATGCGAAGCCGGGGCGGGTTGCTAGTATTATATATAGTAAGAAGACATATCAATACTTTTTATTCATAAAAATTAACCATTGCAAATGGTTCAAATCATAAATAGTCCATTAAAATTAATTTTTCAGACTGCAGCCCATAAAACTAAATACATTAAATTGTTATTAAAATATGAATAAGTTATTGGAATATAATTATTGGACGTTTTTTATGCAACTTAGAATGGCAAATAAGCTGAGGGCCCATCTGATGGAAAATGGTAACCGTGAAACATTTCGAAGCGAGTGGGATTTTACAATAGTTATTTTTTTTGTTTGAGAGATAGCATATTATTTTTAGTTTGTGAATTAATTTTCTTGTTTTTGCTATTTTAGGGAGAGGAAATCGTAATATATATATATAAATAACTATATCACTGAAATGTTGATATCCTTCGATTACTTTTAGTAGCTGTAAGCTGTCCGTATGTACTTGTATTCCTTTATTAGGCATCACACAAGTCAATGCTTGTTCTTCTCTTTCTTAACAAAAGCTAAGTAGGCAAAACATTTAAACAATAGGCAGATCAATATAGTTGTTCTTAAATATTACCTTGTTTGCCATTACACCGTCCTTGTCATCTTCTGCTAACCGTCTAATGACTTCCAACAATTTATCACTTTGTTTCTTACTGGATGTAGCCCAACTGGCCTGTAACACAAATTTGGTTACTTTATAATTTTAAAGGCTACTTACAAGTAGTTATACGATGTTTTAATGATTACCTTGAAACAGTCAAAGAGATGATCAAGTTGATCAGGAGTGAAGTCCCATGCAAGCTTCGCCAGTAAGTCATGCAGATTTTTCACAATGGCCTCATGTTTCCCATGTTGAGCTTTCCATATAGCATCCAAATCATCTCTTGTAAGCGAATTTTCTTTAATCATAAACCTAAGCATTTTCTCCAACCTGTCTACATACTGGGGCTGATGTAGAGAATCGCGTAAGACAATGTCAACAACTTTATTCTCTCGTATCCAATTCTAAAAGGAACACATTCATATTATTATTAAATATGGTATATAATTAAACTGGCATATGAATTTTGTGTTCTAAAGTAACATAAAACAATGGTTGCTTACTTACTGTCATAACAGCTGGTGTAAGCCACTCTGGCTTCGGTTGTTGAGAGATCGTACTGATAAGCTGATTTATCTCATTCAATGCCGACATTTTGCCATTAAACGACGACATTTGTAGCAGCCGTAAAATCATTTTTAGTCGAAACATTTCAAGGGCTGAAAAACAAAAAAGGACTTTTAATTTCTAATATGTGAAGACAAAAAATTAATGTAAAATATTTTACATGAAAATACACATATTACAACCATGCAAATGAACAGAGAATGTGACATCACAGTGATGGTGTATCGATGGGATGAGTATGCGGGTTGTGATCACATACAATGTAGCAGCGTAGGGGAGGAATATGCACTGCGCCCCTAAGCAGCTACAGGGTGTGCGACCGCCCCCTTGTGCTGGCCGCTCTGCTTGCAGATGTTTCATAACAACACATAAATGCTGACACAAATTATATTTATGACGATATATTTTAATACATTTCTTGCTACTCATTTTGTAGATATAACATGTTATAGGGTATAATGGTAAACTATAACAATATAAACAATCTCAATTCAAATATTTAGTTATCAAGAGATGTTGGAACAAAAAAATACATGATTATGAGTGAAGGAGCATTTTATTAAACAAAACATTAAATACATAATAATATAACCTATGAACATTAACCACAGTAGTTTAACAACACTCAGTAATGTACACAAAGGGTCACTAAGACATCGACATAAAAATAACACTGATGTAATAATATGAAATGAACAGCTATCATAAAAACTTACATTTCAGAAGACTATGAGGGTGGGGTGTTTTAGCTGAAACATATTTACAGGCACGTATCAAACACGATACAGTATCTGTCTTATTTTCACTACCACGAGCTTCCCGCTTTAGTTCTTCATCAGTCAAGCTTTCCAGTAGAGTTGGTATACATTCCTACAAAACAGTAGTTGGTTATGCATATTTATTTGATCCACATCACATACAAATAATTTTACCAATAACTTTTTAAACACAGTGTATTGAATAGTAATACTTGACACATTACAGTCATGAATCACATACAAATCATGAATGGTTGTGAGAGAAAATATCCTGCTTCCGCTAACGGCAGTACTAGTATATATATTAAGATTTTTTTTTCACTGAAAATCACTATTAATTTAATCACTCAATAACAGAAATTATTTCCGAACGATTAGCTAATAGGGAATGCCCATTATAAAATAAAAAAATATTCATAGCCCATTTCATTGGTCAACAATCCTAAATACAAAATTGATTACACTCACAAGTTAATAGAATGAAAATACACACCAGTACTGGCAGAAGATATGTTGTGACTGTGTGTGGAGTCAAAAGATCGTGACACAGGCCAAGTGGTCTCAATAATTGCCAAACAGCAGCTACTCTCGTCTCACCAGTTAAAGACTGTTCCAATGACGATGGCTGTTCATTGTGTGATGATGATGTAGAAAGCTGAAACAATATTCAATAAATATTAAAAAATATGTATTAGGTAATTGCTTTATTTTGGGCTCGGTTGTACAGTATCTAAAAAAGCATGATAAAAATACGAGGATGACCTAAGAAATTTATCAATATTAATTTAATAAATAGTTCCTTGGCACAACAATTATTGATTACGTATATATTTTTTGTTTGTTACCTCATGTTATGTTGGATATAAAACTAAAAATGAGAGTTATAAAGCCATATCTAAATAGGCAAACTACGGCATATATAAAAAAATTACAGTCTAAAAATATTGTTTAATTGTTTCAATGATGTAAATTTCCAAACTAAAACAACATAATTAGAAAATGCCACATATACTACCTCAAAAGAATATTTTAGTTTTTTTAAGTAGTCAAAATTTGGTTTCGATTCTGAAATCATGTTTTGAGTGAAACTAATAATTAGTTAATAAAAAAAATTGTAGTACATACATCACTGCTTTCAGAAATCATTGATGGTTGTTCATTGTTGTCCAATTTGTTAACTTTTGTTTCATCAATCTCTTTTTCAGTTACTTCTGTTGTAATTTTTTCTTCTGAATTAATAGATGATGTCAAATCAGGTTTATGAAAACCCATTATGATTTCAAATCGTTCTCTTAACTTTATAAATCCTCCAGCTTGTCCAAATCTGTATATAAAATTATAAAATTGTACATTTTTTGACACCAATTTGGAATCCAATATTTTTATGCAAATAGGACTGACAAATAAGCTATCAGAATATGTAATGAAAAGTGGTAACCATTGTCTATAGCCATGAACCGTGCTATAAATATTATAACATACATGATATCACTCATGCATTATCATTCCTGAGGACTATTTTGTTACACCTCTTTATCCTGCAATTTCATTTAAGAATCAAATCTAAAATAAATTTATGCCCTTTACCATTTTTACCAAAAGTATAAAAGTTAGGAAAGGGTATAATAAAATAGATTTACATTTAAATTTACAAATGATCTGAAAATAAATTATAAATTAATTTTAAACTTTAGCGTTATTTACACATATTTTAAATATACAATCAGGATTACATCAATTGTGTATTTAAAATAAATAAATAATTACATACACATTAATAAGATGGACCAGCCATCCTCTGGGTGTCCTATGATCCTGTGATTTAGCAAAGACTTCAAGTTCTTGTGTGGAACCTTGACCAATAGAAGTTGAATTAGTAGTCACTGAAAGACCCTCACAAGTTCGGGATGCATTGAAAGTATGAAATCTAAAACAATAATATTTTGTTAGTAGAATATTAATCTATAAATTGCAAAGAAATTAGCTATATATAATTTGTTACTTACTTATTATTAGGATTGAAAGCCATAGATAATAAATGCAAAAATCTTGGATCATCCAATTTCATTGTACAGAGTTTCACAAGCTTTTCACAGTTGGACCTTACACATTGCTGTATGTTATTTTTCCATGATGACACAGCGTCATCTGTTAGTATCTTAGTAAAAGATATTGTGAGAGCATCATTATAGAATCGTTGGCAGGCTACATGGTTTATATCTTCACCTATTTTGGAGAACAAATATAAAATGTTTATAACTTTGCACATTACAAAATGTTTTAAAGTAGACTCTAACAGGTAAGTAGACCTCATGTTGTCACTTTAAATTCTAATAGTATGAAAATTATCAACTTTACTAGAAAGTAAAATTATATAATTATAAATTGTTTTCTTATCATGATCATTTTTTGTAATTGTTTGTATCTGTAATAAAAATACTTTATATATAATAGCATTAATTTGCATATAGTTAAGCTGCCTTATAAAGTACAATGCAAAATACCCATTCCCATTATTTTGGATTGGTGAGTATTTGATACTAACCCTTTTCAATCTAAACATTTTATTACAATAATATTACTAATCCTATGGGTATAGTAACGATTTACTGTTAGATAGCTCACATTTTGCTAATTTGTAACCATAATAGTATAAAAAAAATATAGTATACAGGATATTTTAATTTCTAAAAATATTTCTACTGATGTGACAAATTTTACAAATATTTAAGAAAATTGTGCATGCTACAGAATTCTTTTTATGTAACGAGGTAAATACATAATGTGACTTACCAGTGAAAATGTTTGCTTAGAAATTTCCTACTGTTACTTTAAAAAAGTTTTTGTAAAAAATTTAAAATTGAATAATTTTTAGTATGAAATTTGAACAAAGCCTGTCTAAAAAAATTTACTAATAAAAATTTATAAAAATTTCTACATTTCCTGTTAATTATAAAAATGTACAATATTGTGATTTTAAATAAATACAAATGTCATTATACAGGAAAAATTTTTTAATGTAATGGTAGGAAAATTCTAAACAAACATTTTCACCAGAAAGACATATTAGGCCCTTTTACATAAAAAGAATTCTGTGTAATGCACAATTTTATTAAATATTTATAAGTCATGTCAGTAAAAATATTTTTTAATTATTAGTTTAATTAATTTTCTTTGATAGAGTGTGACCCACCCTATTGCCAGAATCTGTCTGATTCATGACTTATGGGACATCATGTAGATGAATTTTCTTTTATTACCACTAGAGTATAACAATGATTTTATTGTTATCTTTGAGAATCATATTCCCTTACTCACCTTTTGTTGCAAGCTCAGTAGCAGCATTAAGAAGGGCTTCCAATTCTTGTTCTGGTAAAACTGGCACCACCCACCGAGAATGTGAAATTTTCTCCTCTAATGCTTTCAGTTTAGCCTCAGGGAATACCATCTGGTTGAATTTAAGAAAAAATGGCTAAATATAATCTGAAACTTTTATATTATAGTATTGGTCATGACACTCATGAAACATTGGCATTACTAACAATTGCACTATGCTTTCTGAGTCACAAACAGAATAAACAAAACTGATCACCACATGAATTGCTGCATGGCAGATATTGCTCAAATCAAAATATTTCTTCATAAGTATTTTGAATTTATTCATAATTCACATATATCAGTCATTAACTGTCCACTGTTGAACATACCTTAGCCATAAGGGGTATTTTGCCAGTAGTTGACACATTTGGCAGGTGGGTTGGCAACCACAGTCAGGCTTTTGGTACTGGTCTAAGAGAAATACTCATCCCTCAACCTCTTACAACATACACAAAAAGGGAAAGGATGACCCATTCTATCCTGAGGCCACATGGCAGTATTTGGAATATGTATTTAAAATAGTCACTTATCACTTTCTATTTATAATTCTAGGGCAATTAGTTTGTTTTGCATTCTAGGTAGCATAAGTAAATCTAAGTTAGTAAACCTTGTAAAAAATTCTTGTAATTAAGTATTAGTTACTCTTTTTCGTAATATGCAGCCATAGATAATATATCAGTTGTATGCATGTACACTCACCCTGACTACAAATGTATTGTATAGTTTTCCAAATTGCAACCAATTTAATAGTAAAGATTATGCTACTGTAAAGTGTATATGTGTGTCCTCTTTTATTTTAATGCAATGTATTCTGTAATTATTTTGTTAACATAAAATATTTAGTTTCTATGTTAATTAACCTTTGACAATAGAATCTAAAAATGTTTATATAATTATTGTTGTTTATGATTATAAAACATGTTTTAAGTACTTAACTTTTTTTGCAAATTTTGTCACTGAGATACCATAACACTCTAATCCACAGATAAAAGGACAAATTAAATATAATAATAAGGCTTCCTTTAAGCAATTTGGCTACAGAATTTGAAAACTGATATACCACATGATTAGTTGCTTGAATTTATTTTAGGAATAAATAATTTTATTTATAGAATATAAATAATAACAATTATAAATGAAGTGTTAACAATACACATAATTTGGTATATTACATTTCTTAGCCACATTACTGTGAGTTTTGATTTCATATTTACACTAGATGAAATTTCTTTGAACAAAAATGGATTGTGAATCCCTCTACATGAATACTCTGAAACTTTTGTCAAAGACACTAAAAAGATTTTAGTGATCAACAACTCTACAATACTTTATATTGAATACCTTAAGTAAACCAGTCCTCATAGGAAAAGAAATATGTTCTATTATATTGGCTATGATACAACTACAAAAACCATTAATTAATACTTGTTTTCTTTTGTTCTATGATGTAGCCATAGTTTTTACAAAATTGTATTAGTTTCAGAAATCTCATATTATTGATAATATTTATTACAATGTAGTATACAAAAGAAAAGAATATTATTATACATACTTTATGTAAATAGATCTTACCTCCCCAGGCATTTGCTCTTGTTCCTTCATTGATATTGTCATTATGTTAACATGAACTTATTCATTGCATTCTCTGAAATAAATATAATAATGATATTAATGTTAATTCTATAAATTAAAAAATGTGTTCAATTTATATAATGCATATGCATAATATTTAAGAATTATTTTTAAATTCTAATCAGTTAAATTTGAAGGTAGTACCATTTTATAAATTAATATTAATTACCACATACCTACCTAACAATTATTTATTTCATAATGAAACTAATTTAATATAAAACTAAGAACAGAAGATAAAATAAAGACGTAGTTTTGTAAATGTGGGAAGTTAATATGTACGAATATATTATTCACTACGTTTCATAAGTAGGTACAATATTATTCGATATAATCAATTTTGGGTGTCCCTTTTTACGCTGTTTTTATGTGATCAATATTTTAAAAAATATAATAGAAATTACTGTAGTAAAGCATATACTTGATATCAAATATAAATTAGAATGGAATAATAAATGTTAACACCACTAATCCAAATAATAAGAGACAAAAATTTGAAAATACTAATTCATACGATCAGCCGGCGCGACAAAATGGCGTCATAATCCTAAACAAGACAAAGCAAAAAATAAAAAGATATTCATATTAATAGTCCTTAATTTAGATGCGTAATAAGAAAAAATGGTAGTAAATTACCTTTAACGTCAACATATAATCAAATTAGAGAAAAAAAATCTCGAACTAAATCACAAATAGAATTCACTACACCTTTTTGACGTAAAGAACGAAAATAGATGAAAAATACCTACTGTCAAAGTATTTTATTATACACATATTTCAAGTAAACGATTTTCTAATGTTGATAAGTAAGAGAATATTTTATTTATACAGTTTTCCTCATTATATAAAAATATTAATAAAAAATAGAAATTTAAAATGTTGAAAATATATAAATTCGTAATTTTAACTATATATAATATCTAAAATGTACAAATATATTTCATTATAAAATACCTAAATACGAAATAAAGGCATACGTAGACTATCCATTAAAAAATTATATATAATAATAAAGTAAAAAGAACAGCATGATAGCAGCACAGAATTAATTTGTTCTGTAATAATATAGTACTTATATTAGCAATGTAAAAAATATAAAATATAATAACATATATGTTAGAGAAGGATAGACAAGTAGGACACTCCCTCAGATAATATAAGCTCGAAGCTGATTTGATAAAGTGGTGAAGCCGTTCTATTATAGTTTAATTTTTAATATAAATAAATAAATAGATATATCATATAGATTTCCATATAAAGCACTCAAATTATAAAAATAAATAATATATTTCTATATAATAAATAATTATAAATATATTTGAATCCCAAAGGCATCATTTACAAATGACCACTGGCGCTATCTGGATCTAATTGTGATACTTGCTGTCTTTGTGGCTCGGCTAAGGGCATTATGTTAATATTTTTTTTAAATAATTAATTATTTATAAAATTTAATAAATAAATGAAGAATTATATTCGTAATATGCAGTATCACGTTAATATGTCACCTTTTGAGTGACAATAATAAGTAGGGATATATATTTATATTATTACATGTATCACATCTCCATATTTAAAACTAACAGAATTTTTCATCATGCCTCACACCAAATTGTTTATAATTTATATATATTTATAATCCAAAGGTTGTCTGAAAGAGATCGCTTTTAGCGATAAGGTCGCCCATTGTTTTCTTATTGTGATTATTTCTTGTAATTATTAATACCTATAATAACTTTACTATTGTAATCTTTTGGAGAAAACAATAAAGAGTATCTATCTATCTTTTAACATAAAAACAATTTTAGTCATATTATATGTAATTATAATAATGTTATAATTATAAATTGGGCTACTTTTCTTATATGCATATAATATAGTACGTATATACGAGGTTTGTCCGGAAAGTACGTATAAAAGTTTTTTAAAAATTTTATTTTACAATTATTCAGGTAAATCAATTTTATCCCCTTCAAAGTACTCCCCCTGTGACATAATGCACTTGTGCCAACGCCGTTTCCACTGTGAGAAGGCTCCTTGAAAGTCCTCTGGTTGTAGGTTTCTCAGCTGCCCCGTCGTAGCTTTTTTATCTCATTTATGTCCCCCAAATGCCGCCCCCGAAGTACCAATTTGGTTTTTGGGAACAAGAAGAAGTCACACGGGGCCAAATCCGGCGAATAGGGGGTGTTCGGTCACCGTAATGGAATTTTTACTCAAAAACTCACGGACAACAAGAGAGGTGTGGGCAGGGGCATTGTCGTGGTGAAGAATCCAACGCCCCTCTCGCGCCAATTCTGGACGAACTCGTGCCACACGAGCTTTGAGGCGTCTGAGCACATCGACGTAGAATTTTCCATCAACTGTCTGGCCTGGAGGGACGAATTCTTGATGGACAATCCCCCGAACATCGAAAAAAACAATCAACATTGTCTTGACATTTGAGCGGGATTTTCTTGATTTTTTTGTTCGTGGTTCCCCGGATGTCTTCCACTCTTTGCTTTCACGGCCATTCTTGCCGAGTTTCGAGAGAAACTTGATTACGACGCGCTGCTCTTCAACAGAAGCGGGCTCCATGCCGACGGGGTTTCGTTAAGAGGTAACTTCACAGATGGCGTGACAAGCCAGTTCGCACCGCACGGCGGTCAGACCAGAACTGAAGCATTGTTAGGGACATAAGGAAGGGGTCCTGCGCTTACCTGGCCTCTCCACTCCTCTTTCTCGCATTCCAGAACACTTTTATACGAACTTTCCGGACAGACCTCGTACGTTCTTTAGATATGAATACGTGATTTTATTTATATGCTGTTCAATTCGGCACAATACATCCAACTATCGTATCGTCGTCTCAAAAATAAATAACATTACTCATCAGTAAAAAAAAAATTGACTTAAATATAGTAGCTAAACATAAGTACTTGTACTTAAAATAAGACCAATAAGATTGTCTAATAGTAAACACATTTTTAAAAAAAAACTTAAAATCTTTTTAATTAATAAACAAAAAATTGGAATACCCAATAGGTACGTAGCCGAAATATTTATTGCCTGAATATCTGAATGTGACAGAAAGTGATCTCTGACTACCCCTCATCTAATGGTATCTGTTATTTATTTATTTATGTAGAATATAATGTCAAGTGGAGGCAAATATAATGGACACATACAATGCAGTTTATTTATATGTGTATGTGTGTGTGTGTGTATATATGTGTGTGTGTGTGTATGTATGTATGTATATGTATGTATATGTATGTATATGTATGTATATATGTATGTATGTATGTATATATGTATATATATTTATATTGTAAATTTTTAATGAAATGTTTCGCGACTGACTCTTGGCCACAGCAGAATATCAGTGTTTTGCTCTTTTAAGGGCAAAGCAATAAACTGAGCTGTGACCATTTTGTGTTACTATGGCACACGCATGAAGGAATGTTAACAAAGGAGATTGTTAGATTATGTATTTTGTTTTTGTATTTTTGTTTTTGTATTTTTGTTTTTTTATTTGTGCTTTTTTTTATTTTTATTCTTTTGTCTCTTTTGCTGTGTATTACATGTATGTTTTTTTTTATTGTAATTTGTGTGCTGTAAGTAATGCAAATAAATTGTCTATCTATCTATCTATCTAAAACAACAAATTGGTACTTGTTATATTATTTTACTATTACTACATAATATAAAACAATGTCGCATCGCGCTGCCTATCCCTATGTATGCTTAGATCTTTAAAACTACACAACGGATCATAAAACTCGGACGCAAAAAAATCATATCAAATATGATTTTTTAATAGGTAGAGTAATTCATGAGGAAGGTTTATATTATATATACAAGCATAACATAGTAGAGAAACACTGATAATTTTAGAGGTTTCTAGTGTGATGTCGTAAATAAACCCATTTATTTGCTGTTACATTGCAAATGCTGACTGAACCCTTCGAGATAAATCAAAATAATGTACTACAGTAATATACACCTTAATAAGGTTGAATTGGACCCATGCGAAGCCGGGTCGCTAGTTGTCTATATTATTAGTAAGATATTAAAATTTTATATTTTGTAATGGCTGGGCTATTTTTTATAGCAATTATCCATTTCGATATATTGAATGTGGGTATATGTAGTAGCGATAGAATGCTATAGATATTCAGTTATTTTTCTTTATTTTTTAATTTTTATTGTATTATTACTTCGAAAAACTAATTCACTTCTATTTTTTTAAAGGCTGTTTTTGTTTTTATAAAGCCGGTGCCAAACAAAGAGTGCCAACTCTTATAACATAGTAATTACTTGCTCTGTCACTAGTGTCATTTTCTATACACTACCAGCTATGAATTGACAAAAATAGCAACTGATGTTATATCTTTCGTCCTCTTTTTACTATAATTATACTTGCATAAGAAGAAATGAGACAGCCATATGATTTTCAGTTTTTATTTTATCATTCCTTCTCTCTCTAATTGCTTGTTCTTAGACCTTTACACTTTGTCTTTACCTTTTTCAGTATAGACTGATTTACATATAAATATAGACAATCGCGAAAGGTCGTGTAAAAGGGCAATTTTGGCGCTGACAAATAAAATAATAGGGCAGATAAATGAATAAATTATGTCAGACATGACAGGGATGATTTGAGTACCTCTCAGTAGTCAATGTTATAAACACTGAACAATCATATCGTTCTCTATAGAGTTTCACAATTCTTTAAAATTATCAGGAGTGCTTTCCCATAAGTTGAAGTTGAAAGTTGGTGTTCCGTTTCTGTTGATGAGAAATGTCGATGCATCAACGCTATGTAATGGTACACGACTACAAATTATTGGGATGCAACATTATAAAAGCTACGATTATGACTGGAATGGCAAAAAGAGAAAATGTTTTAATTCCCCGTATTCCGATAATTCCAACCGATTTGCCATTTCAATTCAAAAGAGTGCACTTTCCCTTAAAAGTAGTATTTGCAATAACAATAAACAAATCTCAGATGCTTAAAGTTGCAGATGTTCATTTAGAAAAAAAAATGTTTTTCCCATTGCTTACGAGTGTCAAATCTGCAAAATCTTCATGTAGGATGGAAATACAAAAAATGTAATTTACAAAAATGTATTTATATAGCTATTTATTACAACAGTTTGCAAATATTATATATTCGCAAAATAAATAACAAAAAAGAAATTAAAAATCTGTCCAAAGTAACTATTCCACATAGATGAAGTCGCGGGCAAAAGCTAATACATAATAATAACGTAATATATGTTCTTTAAAATTCAACAAGTTTTTTTCAGGTGCTGTTTGACTCGGTACAAAGCTATTTAACTATTGTTTAATGCGCTAAAGAGAATATACAATACTCCCCTGTCAAAAAAATTGATTTATAAATTGTAGTACAGTAAAATAAAGTAACTAAATATAGGTACTTGATTTATTGTCCATGATTTTTGTAAAACTTAAAAATTCTATATTATAAATTAGCTAGGTTTTATATGGCAATTGTAGATATGGATATATTGTATAAAGGCATACCTATACAATGGTAAACATTGGATTGCTTTTTTTTTATATAATTTTGGTTGTGTTGGTACTTCTATAAGGTAACATGTACTAAAATTTTTTTTTCGTTTTCTTTCATATAATGTTGATGCCAAGTTTTATAATGTAGTGATTACTCGCTGTATCATGTTTATGGAATTAAAGTTTTTCTAACTTATGTACTAAAATATTCCATAATATACATTTCATTTATGTTCAGATAGAAGAAAAAAACATTAACTATATTAAGAAGTGTAATCCCTGTTCATAAATGAACCTAAATTTAGATATGCTTCTTAAAAATGTGTGGTCTGAGTTCGAAATGAAACAGTTTACTGTAGTTTGAAAATCTTTTAATGTTTTAATAACATTTCATTTTTGTTGACAAATCAATTCGATATGAATCCAAAAAGCTTGGAAGCACGAAACAGTGACGACAGACCCTTTGAAGGAATGGACATAAGCAGTTCTATGCAGCTTGATACTTTGGAAAGTCGAAGTCCATGTACAGGCTGTGGTAAATCACGCATGTATTTTTGTTACAATTGTTACATTCCGGTTTCTAAACTTGCAGGAAGGATTCCCATTTGCAGAGTATGTACTCGTTGCTTATAAAATGTATACCTAGTGAATTAATTTATTGTACCATGATTTAGGCAAAAATGTGTATGTGTATCTATAATTTCAGTTGCCGATAAAAGTTGATATCATCAAACATCAACGCGAAATCGATGGTAAAAGTACAGCTGCACATGCAGCTGTATTAGCTCCTCAAGATGTAACTGTTTATACCTATCCTGAAGTGCCTGACTATGAGCTTGATAAAACTGTATTATTATACCCTGGAACAGATGCTAAAACTGTACAAGAGTTTTATACGAGTGAAACAAATACTATGTCATATACAGAACATTTACTGGCTGAATTACCTCCAGGTTACAATGTAGGTACATTAAGAACTAAAATTGTAAATAATGGTAACAATTTTAACATACATCATGTGGAAAAGTTTCCTATAGATCGTGTGGTATTAATAGATAGTACTTGGAATCAAAGTCGAGGTATTTATGCAGATGAAAGATTACAGAAAATCCCAAAAGTAGTTCTGCAAAACAGAGCCTCACAGTTTTGGCGTCACCAAAAAGGTAGTCCACGTTGGTACCTTTCTACTATTGAGGCCTTACATCAGTTACTGTTGGAATTACATTTATGTGCATGGGGACGCAGTGAACATTATAAGTCTAACCTCACTTTGCCATACCCAATACATAGTCATGAAGACCATCCACAATGTAAACCTTACTCAGGGCAATATGATAATTTATTATTCTTTTTTAAGTTTATGTATGAAAAGCTACACAAATTATACAAACATGAAGACCTTTTATCATACAAAAGACCCATGTTGTAAATAAATGAAATAATTTAAGTTGGTCATTTTATTATTACCTCTCATTGAGAACAAGAATTATTAAACAATGTTAGTACATCAATCCATTTAGATAGAATAATTTTGCTTTTAAGAAGGCATGACAAACATTGGGAAGCAGTAGTATCTAGCAAGGTGAGAAGATCTTCACCTATCAGTAGGACTCTATAGGTTACATAGAAAATACATGAAAGTTACTAGGATACTGAGTTGGTAAATGTATTCATAGCATGGTTTAGTGGCTCCATTACAAGTAATATATCCTGTCAGATTGATCTTCAGCTGAACCAACTTTAAAACCACCATGGTTAATAAATACCTTGTGAATTTGTCATGATGTTACATCATCGTCACCTATTATCAGCGATGCTATTCCGTCAGTATTTACCAATAGCGCAGGCGAGATTACAATTCGATTTTCATCTCGTAAAAAAAACAGTATTACTAGATTGCGCTGCTTTTTTGTTTAATTTTTTTTGCTTTTTTGTGAAGTAAAATCTAGAGGCAAATATTTACAATTTACCCTACATTGTAAATATTGCATATTTACACAACAAGTAAATTTTGTTCCATAAAAACTACAAAGGCGATTTGGTGAAATTTCTATGGACCCAATCTGAAAGATTTTGTTCTGAGACTAAAAAATTACAATTAAAAACTTCCTTTTTTTAAGTAGGATGAAAACGGGTTAAGCTTAGGCATATGGTATGATTGATACTATATTAATAGTATCTTTAAATCGGAAATATCGATCACAACGAGAAGTTCGTCTTAGGTTGGACGACAATATGGAAAAATTAATTTGATTAGGAATAAAAAGCCAAATATCAATATATCAATTTAATAATTCTTTTAATTAAAGTTATTCTATTACACCTATCTATGCACATTAATATACTTTTAGAAGACAATATGACAGCTCTAAGACTTTCGTGATGAGAGTTGAGTCTGCATCTAAAACGTTCTAATCTTGCAATAAGAATCTTATTAATCTATTACCGCAATTTTGGCTTTGATGAAAAAAAGTTATTAGGATTTTTAAAGCAAATATATAAAGTAGTAGCTAAATATTTAAAGATAGATTTCTGTGCATATAATTTCTATAATTTTCATTTTAACTTGACATCAGAGCATATTTTAAATAACCATTCAGGAATAATGTTTATGTACTTTTGAGAAATTTACAGATATAAGCAAATGCAAAAGACGTTCATATACATAGATATTGTCACACATTGATATGAACGTCTTTAATAAAATAAAAATGGGTAAACGAATCTAATATTAACAAATTATTTCTGAGTTGTATATCTACTTCACCAAAAATTTAACGCCGGCCCTTGGAGTAAAGCGAGAGGAGAGGTTGCTGTAGGCATCAATATCGTCATAGTCGTAGAATACTGACGGATCTTATAAAGATTACATATAAAGATCCGTCAGTATTCTACGACTATGACGATATAATGATAACAAAGTGGCGCCAAACTTCCAAATGCAAACAATTTCCAGCGCAAAATAAATTTTTGATGGCATCTTTTTAGAGGCGCGGGAGCAAATTTTGATATTAGTAACATGGGTTGATTTTTAAAAATTTAGGAAATTTGAAATTATTCGTTTGACATTAAACTGAATTCTAATTTTCGTGAAGTAAAAGCGTAAACCAAAAGGCGTCGAAAGAGACGATCTCGCTTTACCCTAATCAAGAACTAGGACCGCCGCACCTTGGCGACTCTATGTAAATAGCATAAGTATCTAATTCTGCGGATAGTAATGAACAGGAACAATAATTGTTAAAGTTGTGTTGAAGTAGCAATATATATTTATATGAATACTTGACAACATCTGCATGTATTAACTATTTGTATATCAATTAAAAAAATCCCTTAACTATCACTGTGGCCAGCTAAGTTAGGTCTTACTGTTGTTGCAGTGTAAGTTAAAAAAAATACATTAAACTTGCGACAGCTAGTCAATACTGTACAATTAATTAACAATCTAAAATTAATAATAATCCAAAATGTTTTAGACAGGTACATATCTGAACCATTGTTAGTAATTATTTAAGACTGTATTATACCCTGTATAAAGTGCTATTCACAATGAACCAGGGCTTCACGGAATTATGTGATCATATTTTATTTATTTATTTACAAGAAACATGGTAAGTGTATAGATGTTACAATAATATATATATATATACAATACAAAATATTTATACAAAATACACTGTTCGGACCTGGAGATGTGTGAATGGAGCTTTACCATGAATCTGATAAATAAAGACTATCTACTCCACAGCAGATATATTTTAAAAGTCGTAAATAAGGATGGTGTTCGATTAGGTCAATATTTTTGTAATATACTCGTATATAAAATCAATAATGTAATATATATTACGAGATACTTATTATTGAAACTGTATAAAGGACTATTTAATTTGGGTTCGGATGGGCCGTCCCCACCATAGAATCAGGAGCGAAACTTTCAGTTATGGGTAAAGACACATCTGAAAGTACAACCTATGCGTTTCCTTTAAGGGACCAGGCGCTCCTGGAAATTAATCTTAAATACGCCAATGATAACAGGCGAGTTCAACGGATGTTTCCTATAAATCAGGCACGAAGTTTATAAAAATATATAAGTACGTAACGTACTTTATTTATTTACATATATTTCACCTTTTTGGTGACCTGTGTTTCATATCTTTTCATCCACAAAATGTCATAAGAAAAAAAACTAAAGAAACAAAGTGCAATGCACCAGGATAAGACAAGAAAATCTCTAATCAAAACACAACCCATTTGTCCAGCGTGCCAAATAGGCAAATATCCTTCATAAGAAGAGAGACATGTGGTCAATAATGTTTTATTAGTTTGTATTAAGGGCGTTCATATTGAAGTGTGTTTGGGTGTGAATACACAAATTGCATTTGTAGATTTGGAGAAAGCATTCGACAAATAAATTGTGCAAAAAAAATGATGCAGGTTTTGAAGGATACGGGATTGGATTACAGAGATAGGAGGATTATGTGTCAAATTTATAAGTACCAGGAAATTGTAATTGAAATACGTGAAAAAAAAAATGCTAGAATTAAACAAGGTGTAAGGCAAACATGTCCACTCTCACTATTCATATTTAATATTTTTTTATAAAAGAAGCAATAAAAGAAATAATAGAATTAAATAAAGGGGTATTAAAATAATTGGTCAAAAGTTATCCTTTATTAGATTCGCAGATGATATATAGCAGCACTCGCAGAGGACTCCAAACAGCTACACTAACTGCTATTGATCATGAATACAACCTTTAATGAATATGGTCTCAAAATTAATAGTAAGAAAACTAAAACAATAACAACAGCTAAAATTTACCCCCAATACAATAATACTATAAAAATTAACAATACTCAATTAGAACAGGTATAACATTTAAATATGTAGGTAGTTTAATTACAAGTGACTCCAGATTTAATCTGGATGTAGTTGCGAGAATAGCTATGGCCAACAAGCCTTTAATAACAAAAAACGTTTTTATACAGGCTGAGATAACAAAAGATATTAAAAAGCGGCTTATAAAGCCTATATCTGAAGTATAGCTTTGTATGGATGTGAGACGTGGACTCGTGTTACTCAGAAAGAAATTAATAAACATAGAGCCTTTAAAATGTGGTACTGGAGAAAGATGGAGAAAATTAGCTGGAGAGATCGATGTAGTTATTAAGGAGGTCCTGCTTAGGGTTAAATAAAAGAGGCAAATTATAAGAACTATTAAGGTCATAAGGGAAAAACGTTGGGACACTTGATATGACACGACGAACTTATGAACATTATTATAGAAAATAGTAAGATACACTCTCGAGTGTATCGAGATTTATAGGTTTTTTTTAAATGACCCGGATTCATTGCTCGATAGTATGATGAGCTTAATGAACACGTTGGGCCTTTTGTGGTCAATTTGGGTAAGGATGCTATTTTTATGCATAACAATGCCCGACCTCATACACGTTTTATTGTGAATGACTACCTACAAGAGATGAACATTACTAGTAAGGAGTGGCCAGCACACAGCCCGGATATCAACCCGATCGAGCATGCATGGGACGAGCTAGCAAGATGCGTAAAACAAAGAAACCCTCCCCCAATCGCGCTTCGTGAGCTCAAAATTACTCTCACAGAGGAATAGGAGAATATTTGCCAAAATTATATAAGAAACTTGGTGTACAGCATGCCAAACCGCGTAAACGCAGTAATGGAAGCACGAGAAGGCAATATAAAGTATTAAAATTCAAGAAAATCATATTGTTGTACAAAAATGTCATGTTTCCTATTTTTAAGGCGAGATCAGCACTTTTTTTTCTTTATGTAATTTTTAATAAATAAAATGTAGTGACTTATACATTTTATTACTTTCATTTAAGGTGTATTATATTGTCTATTAAACACCGTTTATTATATTAAGCTAGTAATCTTAGTTTTCAAAATTTATAGGTTTCTTTAGGTATTCATTATTCCGTATTCATTATTCTCGAGTGTAGGAGGGGAAGAGGGAGACCAAGGCATAGATACATTAGGCAGATCAAGGAAAAAGTTGGTGTCGTGTCGTATCAAGAGGTGAAGAGACTTGCAGAAAATTGTAGTGAGTGGCAAGAGCTCCACGGACAAGAGCGCAGCTCTTAAATAGGATAGATAGACACATATTGAAGTGTGGTAATGACACAATTATCTATCAACTTTCAAAATCAATTAACAAATTGTCAATGTTTTTGATACATTTATATAAAAAGTGTTCTGCCTATGAACTAAAAAATTAATCAGTCAACAATATTCTTACTGAAAATTTGTTTTTTATTTATTGAATACAAAGATCTTTTATGACAGATTTATATGTAACATATTTTACGATAAACGTTTTAGATCGCTGACAGAGCACTTTAATAATGGGTTCGATCCTGAGCTGCCATTTCTCTAAACTTATCTTTAAAAATGAAACAATTTGATATCATTAAACAAAATCTTTATTATGAGAACCAATAAGAACTAATTTTCTAATAGATTTAAGCCAAACTTATTTTAAATTTAGCTTATGATGAACTATAAAATAATTTCGCGAAATTATCAAATAAATCATCTATATAAGGTTAAGAAATAAGTTTAGAGAATTTGTTCCACAGAATCAGCCCCAATGAGTTTTTAAAATTGACAGATAATTTTGTATTTGAAATGTCACAAAGCGAAAGAGAACGCCTTTAATAGTAATTTTTAAATGTATATAATACCAATTATTCGGTGGTGAGAGGGGGTTGTTGGCAATAGTGACGTCGATGATTAGCAATATATTCAGTAAGGTCGACCTCCACATGGCCCCTACCGAAAACCATCGTATTTAATTTTTTTTTTTTTTTTTTTTTTTTTTTTTTTTTTTTTTTTTTTTTTATAGAACTTAGAATGGCAAACAAGCTGACGGCCCACCTGATGGAAAGTGGTATCCGTCGCCTATAGACATGAGCAGTACCATGGACATAACAGAGTATACTGTTTCGCCCATGATACCCCCATGCGTTGCCATTCCTGAGGACTCAGGTGTTATACCCAGTAAATTCACGCCATATCCCACCCTTCAAACCGAAACACAGCCATGCAAACACAACTGCTTCACGGTTGAAACACGAATGGGACAGAGGTACCCAAGCAATCGACTTTTGTACAAAGTCTCCCTCTTAATTTCCTAGTGTACCAACTGACCTAACTTCGTCCTCATATATCATTCCATTGATAGCGTAAGCGGTTTTCATTTCTATTTTTGTCCATAAAAAATAGCAATTATTCTAATTCTCCGCTTTTACAGCTTTATTTCTAAAATAGATGAAACATTTAGTTTTTTTTTATTATCTTAATTTACTTTTATATTTGCTCCAACAAAAAATCCTTCTTTTCCTTGAAGGTTGCTAAATTTAATTAAAAAAACTTTCATAAATAAAAATATTAGTGGGATAATTCACATTAAGATTCTACACGAACATACATTCAACGTAAGGGCCGGATAATTATTTTTATATCATGGACATACCCATACTACCTATGGATACAAATTTCTTCACAAGAATCATGTAGTAATTGTATGATGTACCTACCAAAGCATGTAAGTACAGTTTATTCTAATAAATTTCTACGTAATCGATTCATGATTACATTAAAGGTGAAATTGAAATTATCAACATCCTTTTATTATAACACTCTACCAATGAAATAGAAAACGAGGTTAGAGAAATATTGAGCCTTCCATAACTTATTTTTTCGTTTTTATTTCTCAAAATGTTCAATTTCCTTGTCAGAACAATACATACTGAATTACTGTATCTGTCAAGCAATTTCAATCTTTGCATTTTTGAAGTGCTTAAATGTATAATTATTGTCAAGAGACTTGTTCCTGTACACACAACTTTAAGCACTGTGTTAGAACTGCATAAATTATTGTAATATTTGGATTTACAAAAACAAGTCTTTATACACATTAATCATAAGTATCAGTAAAACTGCTATATTGTTAGGCATATAAGTATAAATGTAGTCATCTACATTCATCTGAGTCCTTGAAATCAGCCTTGCAATATATTATTAAAGTTTCACTTTTTATCTTATAATTTACGTAAATCCAAAACAAATACACTACCATCACTGGCACTAGCGCCAACTTTCGTGCCGCGTGAATTCCAGCATACTTCAAAAATGCCACCTGTGCCTTTATAGGAATGTACAAGTCCACCAGTTTGTGTCGACCATATGTGTACACATTTGTCAAATGAACCACTGGCAAGAAACTTACCATCTGGAGAGAATGCAACACTATAGACAGGCTCTGTATGTTTTGTTAATGTGTGTATACAAACACCTCTTTCAACATCCCATAGACGTACAGTGGAATCAAAAGAAGCACTAGCTAAAATCAAGTTCATATTTGGATTTTGTGTTCCTGGACCTGTTGGAGACCACTTGATGGTATAAATTTCCTTTGAATGAGCTTGTAAGTCATGAACACAGGTATCTTGTTTCATTGACCAAATTTTCAGTGTCATATCATCTGAACATGAGGCAAGTAATTGCCCCTGTGGATCCCATTTAATGGCATTGACTTCATTCTAAAATATATAATATTCAATTAATACATTTCTACATTCCATGACTAGAAGATAAGTAATATGAATACTTAACTAAAGCATTGAGTAATCAGTAATACGATCAAATTATTGTAACTATGCTGAAATAGGAAAAGTCGTTTAGTTTTATAAATACTAAACTTTGAATTGATACACTCTTGTCAAAATGAGTTGAATACATTTATTACTATTTTAAATTATCAACATCATATCAGTCTTTAACTGTCAACTGCTGAACATAAGTTACCCTTGAGGGATTTTGTCAGTAGTTGCTACACTTAGCAGGCGGATTAGCAACTGCAGTCAGGCTTTAGAGGTGTTCTAAGAGGGATGTTGCTGCCCGTCCCTCGCCCTCCCTTAGTCTTCATCTAATATATATACTATAGAATTAAGATTTACGTAAATAAATATTCTATGCCGGGACCACATGGCCAATCATTTATAAATATAAATAACAAAAAAATGTTCTTCCCAATAAACCCTACATGAATATATTTTATTGTATTCGAGACCCTCGTACAATAAAATTTCTATCGACACTATCTCTATAGACATATAAATTACTTACAGTGTGTCCCTGAAAACTCTTAATAGGTTTATCAGCATTGAGCTTGCATACATGTATGCATTGATCAGTAGAGCAGGATGCAAATGATGTATTTGTCTGCCAGTCAACATCGAGTGCTGGTGCCAAATGAAAGGAGAATTGTTGCGTGCATTGACCAGTAGCAGCATCCCATATAATAGTTGTTTTATCGACCTGAAATTAAGTATGTAAATTATATATAGTATTATTCAAAGTATGAACCCATATTAATCAGAATTAAGTACTGCTATAGTAAATATTTACCCCAGCACTCAATATGTAATTTCCTCTTTTATTCCACTTCAAAGCAAATATTGGTCCCTTGTGTTGCCCTAATGTAGATGCTAAAGTTCCATCTGTGGTCCAAATGCGCGCGTAACCATCATATGATCCTGTTGCTAAGAGATTGCCATCACACTAAAAAAGACCAAAATGTTTTTTGTGTATTAATATACAGGGTGGAAGAGACAGGCTGGCCAAAATTAAAACAGCCGATTCTGATGAATGGTCTGAATCAGATGGCAGATTATTTTTCCACCAGAAATGCACCACAGGCATATAATTAACGATTCTTAGTTTTGACGCCACACAACATATTTGAAATTTTTCGTCCCACATGACACGTGATACGTAGGTATTGCCTAGTCAATAGCAGTTCTCATAGATAGTTTCATATGTTTGTGGTTGTACCTTAAACAGCTGATTATCGAGGTAGGATTATAATATGTATATTACATGGTTGTTTTTATGGTTTTTTTAATAGTATTTCATTGCAAAAAATTTAATTTTTATTTATATTATGACATAATATCATAGATTATATGATGTTAAATGTGAAAACCAGAAAAAAAATTGAATTTTTTTTGAAAATATTCCCACTAGTTTTCAGTTTATAAAAATAGTCTGAATTCACCATTTGTGTTTTTGCCAACTTGCCCCTTATATCCTGTATAGAGTATTTAGGAGAAATAATTATTTTAATGTTATGAATCAATCATAATATTGTAAAGTTTACTATGCTACTATTATTGTTAATAATCTATAATTTCTTCAAATCTAAAACTGTAAATACTAACATTCCAATCTAATGATGTAACATCTTTATTACTTGGTACTTCTGTTCCACCTTTTTGTATACAATGCCGAAGTACTAATTGATTTGGAGTAGTTGCTGGATTGTCGGACATATCCCATATTCTGAAATGTTATTAAAACATTAAGTAATAAATAATATTATAAAAACTTTTCGACTTTTTGTAATTGAAAAGTTTTACTAATCTTAATAATTTATTTTATAAAACTGTGTAGCAGTTTTATAAAATAAATTGAGGATTCCAATTGCACCAATTTCAATCAATTTTGATTTAATCTTTAATGTAAATTGTTAGCATGTTTGTTATATCAATATGATAATAATATTAATAATATAGGTATGTAATTTTGGAAGTAGGCCCATTGTATGTAACTTTTCAAGAAGGTTTTGATTGCTATAAATTTCAATGAAAAACATCACATAACACTATAAAACATATTCACCTTGCAGTACTATCTCCAGAACCACTAGCCAACAAGTCTGTACTTGGGTTCCAAGCACATATGAACACTTCTGACTCATGACCTCTGAGTACAGTAGCTTTGCTTGCAGGTATTTCTATAGACTGATCAACATCCATATTATCTGGAGCACTAGGTGTTGCAGCACCCCCTGTGGTTGAGCCTGTTGTGCAAGTTGTACCCTGAAATAATAATATTCATATATGAATCTCAGATTAACATTTTATCAATCAATAATATAAAAGAGATAAAACATAGTAAGATTTATGTTAGAACTTGATAATTAGGCAGGCAAATTCATGTGCTCAGTAACTGCTTTTAAAGTGTTAGTGAAGGTTACAAACAAAACAGATGTTCATTATTTTCAGATTTGGCTTATTTGGATGTATAAAAAAATTATTGTTTTCAGCATAAATAATTTGACTATAGAATATAATTAGATTGGTTAATGTTCAGGCAATACATACATCTACACCATTCTGTTCACCACCTGACCCTGGTTCCGTCTTAGTAGCTTGCTTCTGAGCATTATGAGCATTTTGTCGAGCTGCCACAATATCTGGTGTGACAGCATCTATTAAACTAAGGCTCTCAGTGAGACGTGTTTCTGTACCTGAAATACAATTAAATAAAATTATAGATACATATTTACATTCTCAATATATGTGACAAATTAATAAGTGTCAAATGAATGTATATGACCATGGTCCATAAATATTTTAATTTACAGCACAAGTAGCAGTGTTGCAACTGTTTCAGATTAAAGGGTATATATAAAGAAATTACTAACTATAGAAGTAAACACTAGATTCTCAGAGATAGCAATAAGTAAGGGCTACCATAAGTAACACCTTGTTTGCCATTCTAAATTATAAAAATAAGAATTCGTTTCCTACAGTTTTTACCTGTATGATAGTCAGTTTACCTTACCAAATCTCTTCACTGTAAAGACATAAGAATTATCTCTTTGTTTTCATTCAAACATGTGATGATGAATATGGTGGTCAAGTCCATATAATGTGTTATTTACACCTCTCAAAGATTACCTCTCAACATAGTCTAACAGTTTTAAAAGGATTTCATTACACAGCAGAAATTAAGGAATAACCTAAACTGTTTTTTTTTTTCTATTAATTATTTGTTGAAAAATCTTCAAATTAGGCCAATTATATATTTTAAACGAAATGCATAATATGTAGAAGTAAAAGACAATTACATCTATGAATTTCAATTTTATAACTTACCATCTTCACCAATCGTAATTTCAGCTTCAGTATATTGTAAACCTTTTTGAAGTATGTTTAGTAGGGCAGCCGGCGGCACTAATGCTCCGTTTATATTACTCTGAGATATGTGAGACTCTATACCAAAAGTATAAGCAGAATGGTGAAATCCTGTAAAAATTTATAAATAATATAAACACTGTACTTATTGAAATAAGAAAACATTTAAAATATTGGTTCTGTTACAGACATAGCGTCGCGAAGTTCAATGAACCTTACCAGACTCCTGTAAATATCGGTATACTAGAAAATTCACTTCATCACTAGAAAAACTCATCTTGTAGAATTTCTACAAATGATTCTGAAAGAGTAATATATTTTATCGCATAAAGATTTTTTATTAAAAATCTATCATGCAGTAAATAAGTACCACAGACTACAAAAAGTCAGAGATTTTCACAGATTAGAGATATTATGTCTAAAGAGAGATTTTAATATAAGTACTCTATATAATTGTGAATACATTTTTTTTTCGTTTCAAAAACATAGAAAATGGCTTGTATTTTAATAAATACATATATGTATATTAATTTGTAGCCATTACGAACATATGTTTATTATGTTATATAAGAAGAAATGGTTCCCAATTTAATAATAAAAAAATCATTTTGTAGTGGAAAATTTTTATGTCTAATTAGTAGTAACACGACAAAAAGTTTTGATTGAAAAAAAAAACATCAGATTGAGTTAACCAAATGTTAATTTAACTGAAATGTCAGCTTTAACAAAGATTTCGGATGCTCTTAGAGCTATTGATAGGGAAACAAAAAAATGCCAGAACTACTTTAGACGTAGGCTCTCTAATTAGTCTAAACGTATCAACTTTCTAAATCTTTAATCTGTGGTAAAATATACCTATCTAAGTATATGTAATGTTTTTAAAAGGCTGCTTTACATTTCTATATTGTTCATGATTTTTAAGCGCTTATCTCAACTTTATAATTTAAATTATCAGTTTATAAAAAAATATCTTGAATTGTGTTAACGCAAATATATGTTGCCGTTTGATTATTTGACGTCTAAAATATTAATTCAATGTTTTGCATGAAAACTATATATTCTAGGAAACGGGCTTTAATCGCTTAAATGTACAATGGATTTTAATTCAACTAATCTAGCCGCACAGCTTCACAAATTATGTTCGAGTTTATCATCTAATCCAGGTAAGTAAAATGTTAGAACTATTAAAGATTATCACTACCCGTCAGAGTAGTGTTTTACATTATTAATATAAACTATTTAAGATTATTTACTATCAGAAACTCTCGTTCCTGACCCTGATAAATAATATTTATTCTCAGATATGTTTTTGCTTATAGTTAAAAGCTCGTATCCTGGGTAGGTACCAGACATTTCTGGGCTGGGTTTCAAAGTAATTGATACTTGTTACTTGGTTAAAAATTATAAATTGCTAATTTTTAATATAAAATAATTCCCAAATGAACTCTTCGGGATTTTGCTTGTTGTTGTTGTGTCAGCCGTTAACTGTCCACTGCTGCACATAGGCTCACTCATAAGGGGTGTTTTGCCGGTTGGCAATTGGTTAGTAGATTAGGCTTGTAATGTCAGAAAATTGTTTGTTCTATATTTCTAACTTTGTAATTGTCATTGATAGATACATAAAAAAAAATTTGCATATATACTACATTAGACTTTCTCCTATGGTGAGAAATTTAAGTTTAAATTTAAGTTTCCGCAGCGCATGCAATGAAAGATATTTTATAGGATATTTTTTACACCTTGAGTTACGTTACTAAAGTTTTAGTAAGGGTCACTAGTCTTTTCTAGCAATAAATATAGCCTATGTTATTTAGGGTGAATGTAGCTTTCTAATGGTGAAAGAATTTTTGAAATCGGTTAAGTAGTTTTTGAGTTTATTAATTACAAACATAAACACAAAAGTACAAATCTTTCCTCTTTATAATATTAGTGTTAATGTAGATATACAGACAGTGACCAGTTATTATTTTATTTTATGTATTGATTTATGTTAATCCTGAATAACAATAAAGTTTATTATCAAAATTATTGTTAGAAGCCTGGCTGGTAACAATTTAAAAAGCAACAGTTGTCAATGAAATTGATTTTTATATTTGTGATTTTTATACTTGAAGTATAGTTTTGTTTATTAATTTTCATGAATATTATTCAAGATTACTTTAAAGACTTAGTATCTAAGTTTAAAAAAGGTTCTTATATAATGAAATTTAATAATTAATAGCAATTAGAAACTGAACTGAAGAAAAAATATCAGGAACTTTTATTAACAAATTACTAGGTTGCACTGTTACATTTATTTTTGTCCTGGCTTACAATTTAGGGTAACCTGGTATCAGCCAGTTCCTTCCAACATACAAGAACTAGTACTTAGTATTTGTACATGCAAAATTAACAATATTCAGTTATAATACAAACATAATGGGGGAAAGGGATTGATAGTAATGGGGGCAGATAAGCACCATTATTAGCAATGTCGTTCTCGTGGTTCCCTCTGGGAACCATCATGACTAATTCTAGTTGAATTCGTCAGGATGGGCTAACTGACCTGCTTTCATCTTCATCAGTCATCTATCACTGGTGTCCTGCCAACTTATCCTGATAGCGCGGGCAGGGTTACCATTCCATTATCATCCATTAAAAAAAATACAAACAATAAAATCTGTAACATTCAGTGTGTGGTGTGAGAGGAGATGAACAGTTTGAATATGTGTCTGTTTGAAGTAAGAACAGCCTCGAACCTCTTATTTCTGTTAACATCTTGTAACATGTTTGAGGTTATCACTCCATCTAGTCGGGGTTTGGTTCACTTGGGAATAGTTCTTCCCTGGGGAAAAAGGGATTGTTAGTTATGGGTCAGTCCCATTGCTAGCAATCTACCCTATTAGATCGACCTTTACATTGTCCACCTGTTAACCGACATAGTTAACGGCTGAATGAAACACAAATTTGATGTTAAAATACATGTTAAGGATAATAATAATGTTAATACATGTTACATAGCATTTAAAAATGTTAAAATAATGTTCCTTTTAATTTTTATGGTAGGATTTATGACGTACAAAATGTTAAGCTCTGTTTACGACGCCGATTTCGGGAAGTTGTTCATACCGAAATCTAATCCAATTAATATCAAACAGGAAATTGAGTACGAAAATTCGGATTTTCATTTCATGGTAGACTGCCTGATTTCATCCTCACCTATAATCACTCACTGGTACCCCGCCCGCGTATAACGATACCGCAGGCGGGTGTGTCCTCTCCATTCTCACCCATTAAAAAAACTTTTCTTTCCTATTGCCTATTTATATTATATCAACTTACTATATGAATACATATAATGACAATTTTCACTAGGTTTATAGTTTTATGGATAGTTTTTATACATTTTAATATCTTCTATTATTTTCGAGAGACTTCTAAAAGAGAAAATTTGTCTGAATTCTTTGTTATATAGTTACATTGTCAATTAAATTGAGTTTTATCATTCTTTTTGTAATTGATAGAGTTGACTGTCATGTTTGTTCATGTTATTTTTGCGATAATTGACGTTTTTTAAAAACAAAAAACTGCTTGTTTCTAAGCAAAATCTAATTACACAAATTTTCACGTTCATAATTAAAGTATTTACAATTATTTACCAAACTTTGTTTATTATACTAGTATATGGCTTCTATTGTGGCAAAGCCAGAAAACTAAAGTATTGAATAGATTTTGTTAAAATTTCAAATAAAAAGATAAATTTCCTAATCGGTTTACAGCTGATGAAATTATGAGACAAATGCAATCGAAATGAGTCTCTTTTTTTAACTCCTTCTTTTTGAAGTCGCTTGAAAATAAAGTATTCCATCTATTATTCACGAAAGGCTCGGGGAGGGGTTCGGAAAAATCACGAAATATCACAAGGGAGATGTAGTAAGGAATCACGTGTATTTTTTCGTTGATCGCTTGCTCTCGACTTGCCTTTGCTACCTTAATGTCTGTCTGTACATTTTTATCATAGTGCTTAATTTTTCGTAGTTAAATTAGACAACATAACCTTTAAGTAAAGAGCATATCCCCTTTTAAAAGGCCGGCAGCATACCTGTAATGCCGTTGGTGTTATAGGTGATCATGGGCGGCGGTAGTCACTTACCATTAGGTGAGCCGCATGCTCGTTTGCCCCCTGTGTTGTAAAAAAAGACTATACCTACCTGTATTTAAAGATAATACTCTGAATTTTTTAACATTACTTGGTCTAAAACAGCATATTACAGAGGGAGATGTGATCACGTGATTAATGAATGATTATCTGTCTGTACGGGCTAATTTTAGAAACTACTTTAGGGATTTTAATACGGTTTATATTATTTGATCCAAACAATGACTATTTTTGTAATGCTTCGATTTGATATTATGAATCTTAGTTAAAGCAAGAATTGATATGATGCTAAGAAAAGAAATACATCCTCCTAAAAGATATTGACATTAAAAATAAATATACTATTTTTTTTATAACAAAAACATTAATAATAAGAATATGTGGAAAGTTTAAATAATTTTTTTCTACCTCATTCATTCCCATCGATCATTACTTTATGGAATTTATTTTTTAACTGTTTTAGATGGCGCGTATGAATTGGCCGTCTCATACTTATCTTCTACTGCTGAAAAGAGTAGAACTTTGCAAGATGAAAGATTGCTTTGCCAGAAAATTTTGTCACGACTCAGTCATTCAACTAGAGATGTGGAGAAGTTCAATGAATGCTATGGAAAACTAAAGAATTCCGTTAGTAATCTTGCCCTCGATAAAGCAGTGTCAAATATATTGATAAAATCTAAACTTTCTAGAGATCATACTAAAGATGCTAAACAAAGAAATTATTATAATAACTTTGACTTTGTTTGTTATATTTTGGCGCTATGGAATTTGGCGATATGAATCGCTTTCACGACGCGGTCATCAATTATCACTATACAATTTGTTACAGTTTATATTGAAGCAGCGAGTGTCAGTATTGTCGCTACTCTTAGCACTTTCGGAGACTGCACCTCAGACTGAATCAACTCACCTGCTCTTTCCGATACCGCAACTCGCAACTGCTGTAAGTATCTATAACAATTTTGTACTAATTATATTGTCCTCGGATTTTCGGTGCCTGACTTCTCATAAGACTGTATATTCCAGTCCTCGTATTTATTATATATGTGTCATTGAGAAATACTTTTTAACCCCCGATGCAAAAAGAGGCTGTTAAAACTTTGACACGTCTGTCTATTTGTGGCATCTAACTCATAAAGGAATGGACCGATTATAATACGATTTTTTTTAACTAAAGTGATCGAGATGGTTCTTAGCTGCAGTTTATGAAGATTTGTTCAGACATTGCAGGGGTTACTTAAAATTTTTAATTTTATTAAAAATATAATATCTTTAAGATTGCATACCTTAGAATCTCAATTACTTGTAGTTATCTCTTACCAATATTTTGTTTCATTTTTAATAGAAATCAACCATTGGTTTATCTGGTGGTCCAGCCAGTTCCAGCAAAAGCACAATAGGCTCAGTGAGTTGGGGCAGCAATTTACATAAACAGCAAGCTTCCAATCAAAGTCTTCAATCCAATAATAGCAACATGCCTATTGCCTTGCAGCCAACTGGTATGATTTTTAAATTTGTTTAAACAGAATAATTAGGTATTAAAAAAAAACTTGTTTTTAAAGATGATATTATAATGCTAATAGAACAAAATTATAAGAGTATATTAATAAATAACATATCTATTGCATGTGTACATTAGTGGTATTTATTTGTTATTAGAACTTTCAAATGAGCGCGCATGCGTCAGAGATGCAGTACTAGCGGCGACTGGTGTAAAAGCGAAGGGTGCGGGAGGAGGGCCGCGACCCCAACAAATTTTGTATTCGCGCATAGCACACCTTGGTTTTCTGCATGATCGATTGAAGGAATTTATCGATCCTGCATCAGGATTAATGCCTCAAGGTTAGTGAATAGATGATTCTATGATTAACAATTCCAACTAAGTAATGCCCATCCATCGCCTAAAAAAACTATTTAGCGAATAATCCCTCACAATGCGAATTCCTGTTTTTAATAATTAAATACTGCGCGTTATTATTTGCAATTGTAAAATGTAAGTGCAAAGCTTAAATGTTTTCACACCTTTTTGTATATAATATTCAATTAAACTATACCATATTAAAATTCTGTTTACTGAAGTCTTTTTTTATAGGTACAACGGTAATAATCAGTTCTGTATAAAATATGTTGCTATTTACTTCAATATATACAATACCTACAAGCCCGAAATATATATTAATATTGCTTATTCTCATATTACTCGGACAGGTAATGTATTCTAGTTTGACCGATATAAAAAACTTTATCCATCTTTTAAAATTTTTCAAATTAATCTTAGAGATGGTGTCAAGTTCACATATTAATTTAATAATGGACAGTAAAATGAGCGCATGTCGAATGTTATGTTTACTACAAAGGCTGACAAATACCTGTGACTAACCCATCTGGGATTGCAGTTATATTTATCTTTTAATTAGTTTTATCATCAATATTGTAAATTATAATTTACTTTTGTGTAGGTTTAATGGGAGAAGGATTAGTGGCTTCAATAAGAGAGGAACTCACAGAATATTATAGGAGCGTTGCTCTTCTCCAGTCTCAGGTAAGGAAACAATACTCTGGCTCTGTACAGATAGGGGATATTATTATCATCATTAAATTAAGTATTTTATTAGGCCTGCGAGGGTGACGGTGGCGGTGGCACCCTGCGGCGAGTCTGTGTGTGGGCTCAAGAACCACTACATCGACTCACATGGCTTGCTAATATAGCTCATACAGCCCATCATAAGAAAGGTTTGTGCTGTGCTATATCATTAACTAACGACCTACATCATTAAAAACAGCCCATGTTAGCCCTCGTTTATAATTTTTCTATAGGTGAAAGAATTTTTTAAGTCGTTTATTTTTTATTTTATATTTATAAATTACAGAAGATAAAACGTACTGCGCCGATTATAAATAATGGAATACAGAGCAGAAGCACAGACATGGCATGGTCATACATATGTAAAAGGTAGTCATGAAATAATGATAGACCTTCTCTAATCCTGTAATTTCACTGTCATATGCAAACACTTCAAACCTAAACATAGCAAATAAGTCAGCTGTTTGGCGGCAGAAACATACCATAAGTGCTACCAAGTTTTTTGCAACTTCAATCCCATATAAATTTAATACTGTTTCAATTCTTGTTTTTGACATTCAAACCTTTGAGTAAATTTCTTTTTCTACCAATTCTTGTACAAAATATCTTTGATGGTTCTATATTTTTAACTTATAGAATTTAAAAAGGTAAGTATTCAAAATGTAGGTATTATGATATATTTTTTTTTATTTATGTTATATTGGATGTTATTTTGGGTTCTATTGCGTTCATAAAGCCCCCCTACAATAGTTTTTCCAATATATCTTCCATGTACAGGCAGCAACCAGTTACGATTTTATTATATTTATTGATCTGTGGATATGGTAGTATCGGTGTTGTGTTTATTACGTGCAGGCGGCGAGCTAGCGTCGTGCGTGCACCGGTTCGTACGGCACGGTGACGAGCGCGTGTCCGCCTTGGCGCGGCGGCTGCTCACCGCGCTCACGTACCCGCTGCTGCTCATGCTTACGCGCTGGCTGCTGCACGGTTATATATTTTTTTCTACTAGTGATTCGGCCCGGTTTCGCACGGATAGATAGAATTTTCATAAATATTATTATCTATCTCTTCTCTATTACGCTCTCTCTCTTAGCCTCTATTGCTTGCTGGTAATGTAGCTTTTTATAGGTGAAATAATTTTTAAAATTGGTTAAGTTGTTTTTGAGTTTATTCATTACAAACATGTCTAAAGATAACGTCTACTCTATACACTTATTAATATTGTTTTTTTTTATTATTATAATTACTACTACTTATATAATTATGAGCTAGATATATTACGAATATAATTGTTACGAGATTTTAACCCTTAGATAGTAAAATTATAGTTTATATTTCTTTCTAATATTTAGACGTCTTTAATGCGCATAACATATTTTTTCCATCTTTTCAAGTCAGTATAGTAAAATATAGTTATATTTCGACAGGAGAAATCGATGACCCATTCAATGAGTTTTTCATTGAAAGCAGGAGTGGCGTACCGATAGATAGAATGTGGCACGATAAATATCGTGTAAGGTATGTCACCTTTTCTTATATCCATTTAAATGTATTGTATAAATAGTATACGTTATACTGCCTACATAACGTAATTTCAATTGACTGACATCTGTAAATTATTAGTAATAATTCGCAAAATAAAGGTGAAAATGTTATTTCCCGAATATTAATTAGAGATGTTATTATTTAAACTAATATTTTTTAAGTGAGTCTGTGTTTTCGTCACAACATAAATTATCCTTTGTTCCAAAAAAAAACACTGACTTCAATCATGGTAAAAAGAGCTGTTTTGATTTGAAAACTAAATTACTGTATCGATTTTGATAAAATTTCTGTGGGACCAATCTAAAAGTATATAGTTTCGGATAAAAAGTATTTTCAAATCGGTTTATTAATTACGGTGTTATAAGGTAACAAAATAAAAAAAAAATACAACCGAATTGCAAACCTGCTTCTTTGAAGTTTATTGAAGAAGGGTCAAATATGTTCGAGTATGTAGTAGTAGTAACGCAGAAAATTACAACACATTTAGCTACTCTTACTATACGAGGTCTGTCCGGAAAGTTCGTATAAAAGTGTTCTGGAATGCGAGAAAGAGGAGTGGGGAGGCCAGGTAAGCGCAGGACCCCTTCCTTATGTCCCTAACAATGCTTCAGTTCTGGTCTGACCGCCGTGCGGTGCGAACTGGCTTGTCACGCCATCTGTGAAGTTACCTCTTAACGAAACCCCGTCGGCATGGAGCCCGCTTCCGTTGAAGAGCAGCGCGTCGTAATCAAGTTTCTCTCGAAACTCGGCAAGAATGGCCGTGAAAGCAAAGAGTGGAAGACATCCGGGGAACCACGAACAAAAAAATCAAGAAAATCCCGCTCAAATGTCAAGACAATGTTGATTGTTTTTTTCGATGTTCGGGGGATTGTCCATCAAGAATTCGTCCCTCCAGGCCAGACAGTTGATGGAAAATTCTACGTCGATGTGCTCAGACGCCTCAAAGCTCGTGTGGCACGAGTTCGTCCAGAATTGGCGCGAGAGGGGCGTTGGATTCTTCACCACGACAATGCCCCTGCCCACACCTCTCTTGTTGTCCGTGAGTTTTTGAGTAAAAATTCCATTACGGTGACCGAACACCCCCCCTATTCGCCGGATTTGGCCCCGTGTGACTTCTTCTTGTTCCCAAAAACCAAATTGGTACTTCGGGGGCGGCATTTGGGGGACATAAATGAGATAAAAAAAGCTACGACGGGGCAGCTGAGAAACCTACAACCAGAGGACTTTCAAGGAGCCTTCTCACAGTGGAAACGGCGTTGGCACAAGTGCATTATGTCACAGGGGGAGTACTTTGAAGGGGATAAAATTGATTTACCTGAATAATTGTAAAATAAAATTTTTAAAAAACTTTTATACGTACTTTCCGGACAAACCTCGTAATTTATATTTTATCATTATAATTTTATTAGAGAATGGATGGTACCGTCGTTCATGTCGCGCGAGCAGGCGGCCCAGATTCTAGCGACGGGAAAGAGTGTTGTGTTCATGCGTGAGGCGTGCGCCGACGAGCCCGGCCCTAGCGACCACGCACATCACCTGGAGGCACTTCTCAAATCTCACACTGGTATAATAACATATTTTAATATATGTAATAGTTACTTAAATCTTACCAGTAAATATTTGAAATATTAAAAATTGTATTTTGCGGCAAGTGAGTACTCTTTTATGAGATGAGAATTCATGATTGAAATACATGTGAATGTGAATGTGAATGTGAAAGGGACTCCATTTTCCGCACTTAGCCTCTCATTTGGGCCATTGTGCGTATGAGTCGTGGCTAGTGCAGCCAACCTAGCTCCGTCCAGAAGCGCAGAAGCTTCCTGGGTTCTTCACAGGCCTCACGGAGCGACCTCACCGTTCCGAGGATTTCTAAACGTTGATGGGCCACAGCCTCACATTCCAGGATTACGTGAGTTGCCGTTTCTTCGGCGTTGAAACAGCCTCGACATAGAGGGCTGTCTGTGGCTCCTATTGTGTATAGATGTTTGTTTAATGGACAATGACCCGTTATTGTCCCTATCATTGTTTTGAGGTTTTTTCTGTCTAGATGTAATAAACGTTTTGATAGTCGTTGATTCAACATAGGTACGGCCAATTTTGATTGTCTGCAATCAGTAGCCTGTATCCATCTTTGGTTTTGTATGTCAGAGGATCTTTGACGAATCCACATTCGAAATTGTGAGAATGGAAGAGGAAGGAGTGGATACGGGCCTACCACCCTCGTTCCTGAGCCTTTCCTAGCTAGTTCGTCTGCGGCATCATTACCATAAGATCCACTGTGCCCTCTTATCCATTGGAGGATAATACGGTTATTGGAAGATATCCTATCCAGTGAATGGTGGCATTCAATTATTAGTTTGTTGTTTGTCTTGTTGTTTCTTAATGTTTTTAGTACTGCTGCGTTGTCGGAAATACATGTATATGTTATTATTATAATATATTATGTTGTATTATATATGTTATCCGACTCTACCTATTCTCCACCGTGCATTTTTCAAGGCACCTTCTTCCACGCACAACCATTCTTTGGAATCGACTTCCAGCAGCAGTATTTCCGAACCGATACGACATCATAACCTTCATAAAAAGAGCGTATTCCTTTTTAAAAGGCCGGCAGCACACCTGCTATGGCTCTGGTGTTACTGGTAATCATGGGCGGCGGTAGTCACTTACCGTCAGATGAGCCGCATGCTCGTTTGCCCCCTCTGTTATAAAAAAAAGTTAGCTTATTTAAGATAAATTTTCAGTAGCGGGCGTAGTTTCTAAAAGTCGGACATATCTTTGCGCATAGGTAAAATCTCCGCTCGCATCCCGGCATACCTCTCTTTCCATTTCCCCCCAATTATACATAGTACATAGAGGATGTGTGACAGCGCTGACTAGAGACGGCCTTTTGCAATTAAAAGTCATTGGGGGGAAGGTGGAGGGGGTGGGGTGAGGTTGAATCGAGAGAGCGGCGGAGAGTGTCCATACTGTACTGTTACACTGCAAGGAACAATGCGCAGGCGAGCGATGCGAGTCGCGCGGGTGCGCGTGGTGGGAGGCGGCGGGGCTGAGCGCGGGCGTGGCGGGCGCGCACGGCGCGGCGGCGCAGCGGCTGGTGGCGGCGCTCACCACGCACCACCACCTGCTCGACCACCTCGCCGCGCACCGCCGCTACCTGCTGCTCGCGCAGGGCGACTTCGTGCATCACCTCATGACCTTGCTGCAGTACGACACGCGCACACGCACACGCTACGTTTGTGCAGGGCCGGCCTTACACTAGCTGGCGCCCCTGGTCCGGTTTTATTGACGTGGTGACTTTGAGTCAAATGTTGAGTGCGCCGCACGCACCCGATGGTGGAGAAAAGTTGCGGCTTTTTACTAAATTGTCTTAAAAAGTTAACAGCGCCCGGTGCCTCTTAACAACGATGATCGACCAAAAAAGGATCTCATTTGGTCTTTGGCACTCACCTTAAATCTCAGCATCCCTGGGCGCTACTCGACCGCGGCGCACCTGTTTAAGGCCGGTACTGCATTTGTATGAAATGTATACAACCACATTATAATTGAATTGGAAAATTTTACGCTATATGTTAGCTACGTATTATGAGACTTATCGATATAAATAAATTGGATAAAAGCATATTATAAACATTTGTATGACACCATGAATATTCATCTAATTTGTTGTGTTGATACTTCCTCATGATTGCATAGATTATTTTTATTTTAATTATTAGGGAAGTGTCGATTATTAAATGAGTGAGTGTCACTTATGCTGTGACTCTGTAAAGAACATCATGCTAAGAATTTCTTAAAATTAAAAAAATGTATCTAATTGACTAAGCCAAATGTCAATTTAGCTAACTGAATGTTGACCCGTTTTTATACTCGATGCTCTATCTACCTGTTACATATATACCTAATCTAAGGCTATGCTATACTAAGATCAATTAATAAAACTAATAAGAGCTTTTATTTAGGGATGAATTGAACAAACCGGCCACATCTCTGTACGTGCACAACCTTACGTGCACACTGGAAGCAGCGGTGCGAGCGACCAACGCGCAGTTCGAGCCGCCGCACGTCCTGGCACGCTTGCACGTTAACTTATATCCAAACTGTAAGTTATTTATTGTGTTACACATTTGGTTATTACTAATTAAAAGTATTTTTTTGATTACACTATAATACTTTTATCTGGTAAGCTACATTAGAAGCTTTCGTATATAAGAAAGGAGGTCAAGAAACTCGACACTAGAGGATAACATCGTTAAGCCATTTGTCACTGCCGTCACCGGGACATCATTAAGAACGAGATGACAGTGTTAGCGATTTACTATAGCCGCGTGCCTATTGCATGCTCGTCACCTGAGCGCCGTCATTCCGTCCGCTAAGGATAGGAAAGTGTAATTCAGCGCGACCGCTAGAACTCGACCCGAGATTGTGGACTGGTCGATGTGCCAACAATAGAAAAAACATTTGATCTTGTACACTCTACACTGCTGTCACACCGTGCCGTTGGAACGGTTAAATATGATATACGTCATGGTGGTATAAAAGTCATGAACCTTGAAAATATTATACTTCTTTTTTGAGCAGTTATGTAAAAAGACAATATTATACAGGTGATGGGCGCGACGACTGCGGCTGGGACGTGTTCGCGTTACAGTACCGCGTGGACGGCCCGCTGGGCACACTGTTCCCGGCGACGTGCGCCGCGCGGTACCGCGCGCTCTTCACGCAGCTGTGGCGGGTCAAGCGCATCGAGTACAGCCTGCACGACGCCTGGCGCGAGCACACCATATTGCAAAAGCGGCTCAAGTTTATGCCAGGCAAGTGATAAATTGTAAAGGTGCATGCAAAATATTAATTACATATTAATATTTTGCATCCATCTTTAGAAATGTATTTATTTGAGCATGTGTGCGTTGGTTTGCCCTTGCCGATTGGGTAGCTCCAAGTTTATTTTACTAGATTTGCAGTAATAACGAATTCGTTGTTGTTTATGATATGATTTTAATATGTGAGCAATTGAACTATATTAATTTACAATAATTTGAATACATATGAAACGAAGAGGTGACGGTATATATAACGCAATTAAATTATAACGAATGACGTGAATGTGGCTGCTGATTAGTTGGTCGTCGCAATTTGCTTCGCACTTCACGATCCTTTCAGCAACCATAAATTACACAGTTTAATTATTAATTTGTTGAATATACATTTCATGTTATACTGCTACACTATAATAATGAACAACGTCCCGCTACTGAGCACCACTCTTTCCTTATAAAAGGAAAATGTCAATCTGTTAATACCACGGCGATTATGCTACTTGAAATAATTTGGAGATATTGAATTTGATGTTGTTTCCTTTGTACTGTCTTATATGTACTATTCTATAACATTTTATTAATTATTATATACTATTGTGGTTCATTTCTAGTGAACTCCTCGCCTATCATCATTCACTGATGTTTTGACAACGTATAAAGATAGTGCAAGTGATTTCTTGTTCATCTCAGAAAAAGAACTATAGGACAGACATAACATCTTAAGGTGCTATCTCCTGTCGGAGCTTGGCGACCATCATGGCGATCTTTACTTAGTCCACCGCCATCCTGAAAAGGGACCCGGTGCTCATTCCGAGCCGTATTCTTTTTTAATCAGGAAGTTCGGCGTCTTTCCGGTCTTCAGCAACTTTGGATCATTCTCTGTATTATAAGCTGCAAAAGACTGTCTTTTCTCTTATACAATGTCCCAGGTACATCAACTTAAGGTATTTTATAACGTTTAATATTTCTATCTTTTTGTGTATTCTTTGCAGAACTGTCTCATTACGCGCCCTATTTCTCCATGATATTTTTAACATTCTCCTGTAAACCCACATCTCGAATGTTTGTAGGTGTCCACCCTTGAACACCATACAGGAAAATGGCAATGGCATAGCAGCGCGTTATGCGTTTTTTGTGTTAATATTAATACTATGATCTGCGCTTACACATTCTACGTGGTTTATCTGTAACTGCAAATCTTTTAGACTTACAGCCAAGAGTATAGTATCCTCTGCATACCTAGTATTATTCTGATGTTTATCATTAATGACTGATCTCATTCGCATTCTCCAAAGCTTCTGGGAAAATAAGTTCTGCATAGATGTTTAATGGTGAAAGTATACAACCTTGTCGGACTCTATGAGCAATATCAATGCCTGCGGAGAGCTCTCGATCTGCTCAGATATTTGCCTTTTATTTCCAATACAGATGATCGCAATGTCACTTGCATCGAAAGCGTCTCGAATATCAGGGTGAGCTTAAAATGTTAAACATTATTAAAGGCTTTCTCATAATCATCAACGAACTGGTTCATAATATACGTATCGAATTTGTTTGTGTATTGCAGAAGTATGGGGCCTCATGCGACGCGTGTCGTGCTTGCGTGCGGAGGCGCTGCGCCTGTGCGGCGCCATGCAGGAGGCGAGCTGCGTGGGCGCGGAGCCCGCATGGGCCGAGCTGCTGGCCGCCGCGGCCGCGCGCCGCGACCTCGACACGCTGCTGCGCCTGCACCACAACGCACTCGAGCGCCACTCCATACACGCCATGATACACCACACCACGCAGGTATGCCTGCCGGCGACGGCTGCAGTATTGCGGAAATCAGCATGTGATTCTTATTTGACGACCCTATAATAGTCACCACTTTCCATCAGGTGGGCCGTCAGCTTGTTTGCCATTTTAAGTTATATAAAAAAAAATGGGAGTATACTTTCTTTTTTTTTTATTATATTATCAATTAACCACCAATGTTGAATTGAATATCAGCTCAGCTCTCATGATTCGGTTCAAAGACGAGCTATGAGAATTGTAGACGATGCCAAAACTCGCAGGCGATGTTGATTCTTTAAGTCTTAGGCAAGACTTTGCCTGTGCATTCTACTGCTTATAAGGTATTGTGTTTTGAGGAATTGTTCGAAATGATGCCCACAGCCTCTTTTTATCATCGTATCGCTCACCAATAATAGGGAAATTCATTCTCTCACTCTAGATGGTAGTGTACAGTCCGATTTCAGAGGGATTTCCCCTGCAAACGCTCCGTGCAGATTGTCCTTCCAAAGTTTTCCCTAAAGACTAATGTGAAGTTTTTCAAAAAGGGTGCATTAAGACTTCTTCAGGATTAGCAACGCGTATGTGGCATTCCTGATGTTGCAAAGGTGCATAGGCTACAGCGACCGTTTACCATCTGACGGGCTGTATGCTTGATTGCTACCATATTGCTATACAAAATTGAAACTGAAGTTGTAATTTAGTTTGTTATTTTATAATACTTGTAATTTCTTTATTTAGCAATTAGCGACCCGCCTCGGCTTCAATAAACTAAATTCCGAAAGTTTTATGTTGTTGTTTTTTTAGGAGCTACAATCATATTTAGGCAATGTGTTGAATGAAACACTTGCACTACGTAGTTTCGAAGCGACGTTGCACACTGGTATCATCGCGGAACTCGAACGTCGGGAAGGCATTGAACAGATGAAAGCAGAACGTGTAGCAAGAGGTAAGCACAACTGTATTCTAACTCACAATTTATAATCGAATTTAGATGGGGATTTTCATGAACATTATATTTTTAATGTATTGTCATATAAATAGCGGTTTGGTGTGAGTGAAGCAGGCCAAAGAAGGGAACGTCAATAACTATCATCATCATCATCATATCAGGTTTTAACTGTCCACTACTGAACATTAGCCTTCTTCTAGGAGGGTTTTAGCAATTGATAGATTGCACTGTTGCCAAATGTCAAGATTGACATATTTAACGATCGCTATTTTGCCTGCGAAAACTATTAAGCACTAATATTTGCAGAACGCACACATTAATAAGATCTCTAAATGAACGCTTAATGTATTTATGTTAAAATGTATTTTAAATCTATAAGTATTTAAAATGCTAACTACAAAATACCTTAGCGGTCAGATATTTGAAATACGAATTACATTTTTAGGAAGTAATTGAAATACAAATACCAAAAAAAATTTTTTTTTTTTTTTTTTCGGTCGGAGGTAGTTGTGCGAACATTGTTAAAAACTGCTCCAATTCGATTTTCGTTTTATAAATAGATAAAGTGGTAAAACAGTATATTTTAATGAAAATATATAAACTATAATCACTTCACTTCACTTGCCGGAATAAATTACACTTTTACCTCTACTACAACAACAAAAATGTCTGTGGAAAAGTTGAGCTTACAGCAGACTAGAGACGAATTTGTCAAAAGGATGCAGGACTTTGAAGGACGACTGCAGAAGGCAACTCTTACAAGCCCAGGAGTAGCGGATATTGCTTCAGAGTTTGCCATTTTTAAACATATGACGCTGAAGAGTCTACAATCATTGCAACACCAAGTTGACCTGCTGGCAAAAGAAGTTGATTTACAGGAAATGCGTGGTCGAAGGAAAATATTGCTTCTTCATGGTGTCTCAGAGAGTGATCGGGAAGATGTTAACTCAGTGGTATGCAGTGTCCTTGTTGATCAATTGAAATTGGTGGAGTTTTCAACAGAACACATTAGCCGGTGTCACAGAATGGGACGCATAACAACCAATGAAAAGGCTCGTCCACTTTTGGTTAAGTTTCGAGATATCAACACTCGCGACATGATCTGGTCCAATAAAACAAAGCTGAAGGGCACAAATGTTTCCATTTCCGAGTTCTTGACAAAAACTCGGCACGATACATTTATGGCGGCCAGACAACGGTTTGGTGTCAGAAAATGTTGGACACGTGATGGGTTTGTTCACGTCCTTGGATCCGATGGGGTACGGCATCGTATTAGTAGCATGACTGAACTGGGTAGAATTGCAGTACCAGGATCCCAACAGCCAGCTCCAGTTGCGGCTAAGGTGGACGTCGGCGTCAGCAGAACGAAACGGGCTCAAACCAGCAAGAAATAAGTCTTGTTAGCTTTGAATATTATATTCTACGGTTTGGTGAGTGAGTTTGGTCTGTATTAACATTAATATCGTTTTACCCACTTTTATTTATATCAAATAATATCATTTTTAATATCATTTCATTCGCTTTTTCTATTTATAATTCAACTGTAATGCGACCTACTTATTAAATGTAAAATAGACGGTAGATTGATTGGTTAGTAGTAGAAGTTTAATTTATCCCACTCAGGGAAAGGCAAAGGTATTGAGCCATACAGCCTAATCTCCAGTAATGTAATTATTAATTAATTTATTAAAGCAAGTAATTATTCTAATTTACATAGATCAATGTCAATATGTTGGTTGACAGTTATCAGATAACATCTGAATATTGGCTACATATCAAAGTTGTATATAATCTATGTTTCTATATTTTAAAAAAGATATGAACTGTTACCATCCTTAATCTATGCTCATTACAGCTCCGGCACAGATAATACTAGTAATGAATGGATGTAAAGGGGAATACTCAGTACTCAGTACTATTTTTAATGTATTTTTAACAATTTTTAATTATTAATATTCAAGTTTTATTATTATTATATTTTTTGTATTCAAGTTTATATTTAGATTTTCTTTTTATTGTACTTTATGATTAAGTCAAACTTATAAATTTTCTGTGCCGGGATAGCTGTAGCTGTTTTCATTCATTTTCTATCTCCTTTTTCAGTTACATTTACCCTAACCATTTACCATATTATTGTAACCTTTTAATATATCTTTACTACCTGTATGTATTGACAGGCTCACTCACCAAACCTGTGGACGAGTTATTAAGCGAAGTAGTATTATTTTTTTTATTTTCTTTCCTGATAACCGGCAGGTGGAGTATGCATGTACTCGTATTATTTTTAGTAATTTAAATTATATAATATATATTTATATATATTATTATTATTCTAATATATTATTATAACTAGTGTATTTAATTTTTTATATTATATTCTATTTTTTAAGATATTCATTTAGTATTTATTAGATTATTTATTTATTTTTCTCAAAGTATGCACAATTTATTTTGCAATAGTGACGAGGACATTGATAATGATGATTACTTCTCTGTTTCTACACATAATTCCTCTTGCAGCACTAACAACAGTTTCAATAGTTTGCCATGCCTATCGGATTCTTTGGCTGCACTGTTTTCAGATGTACCTAATAATCTCAACATAATTCACATTAATGCCCAAAGTATTCCAGCACACCATTCTGACTTGATTGTTTCTCTTAATCAACATAACATACACGCTATATTAGTTTCTGAATCTTGGTTAAAACCATGTCTCTCCTCTGCTTCCTACTCCCTCCCAGGCTTCCAACTTATACGAAATGATCGAACTGGCGGTGGCGGTGGCGGTGTAGCTATTTATCTCCGTTCTCATTTCACTTACTCTGTAGTTAGTATATCTGCACAGCCGCCCCCAAAGAATGCTGGTGAGCACCTTTTTATTGAAATCTCTCTCTCCCATTCAAAATTACTTCTCGGAGTCTACTACAGTCCTTCCATGCGCAATGACTATTTTTCATCTTTTGAAAAAACTCTCGAATCCCTCACTCCTTCCTACAATCACACAATCATAATGGGCGATTTTAATACTTGTCTCCTAAAAAAAAATTCACGTGCTTCCACTCTCGTATCTACTGTAAAAGCTTGTAATTTAAATATACTCCCGCTATCTGCGACACATCATTTTCCCGACTCTACTCCTTCACTCCTCGACCTAATTATGATCTCATCCCTGCAAAATGTCGCGAGGCATGGTCAGTGCGCAGCGGACTGTTTTTCTTATCATGATCTGATTTATTTGTCTTACAAAATACGTTCCCCAAAAGCAAAATCTAAAACTGTTTTCCAGCGTAGTTTTGGCAGTATAAATGTGGAGAGACTACGTAGTGACGCAAAAACAATTGACTGGACACCTGTTAAAGACGCAATATCCGTAGACGAGCAGGTCGTACAGTTTAACAAATTGATTGTTCAACTGTACGATGTGCATGCTCCCATTAAGGCCATAAAAATTAAACACACTCCGGCTCCATGGATTAATAATGAAATTAGGATATTGATGCACAGAAGGGATGTAGCAAAGACTCGTTACAAGCATCGTCCCAGTGACGATAATAAGACCAAATATTTAAAACATCGAAATCGCTGCAATAGAGTGTGTAGGGATGCACAACGACGCTACATTCATGATTCTATTGCAGAACGAGATTCCGGCAAAGTCTGGAAGTTTCTTAGGACATTAGGAGTCGGTAATACCCAACCGAATAACATATATACTAACTTAGATGTTAATTCTCTCAACTTGCATTTTTCAACATCTCCTATAGTTGATGTTAATAATAAGACCAAAACATTATCAGATCTTTCCTTGCTTCCGACTCCTAATTATTCGCCGTTTGTTTTTAATCGACTTACAGAGTGTGACGTTAAGAGCAGCATTAATTCAATAACATCGAATGCAGTAGGTACCGATTGTATCAGTCGTAATATGATTATTCTAATTCTCGATGAGATATTGTCTGTAATTTGTTTAATCCTGAACCGCTCTATTGAAACTTGTGTTTTTCCAAAGTGTTGGAAAGAAGCACAAATTATCCCCATTCCAAAAAAAAACAATCCTATCTCTTTCTCTGACTTGCGACCTATCTCAATCCTACCATTCCTCTCTAAAGTGCTTGAACGCCTTATTCATACTCAACTGACAAAATTCCTTACCCAAAACAACCTATTGAATCCTTTTCAGTCTGGCTACCGACCCGGTCATAGCACAGTAACAGCACTAGTTAAGATCACTGATGATATTCGATCGGGAATGGAACACGGCCAACTGACCATCCTAACACTCCTAGATTTTAGTAATGCATTCAATACCGTCGACTTTGACATCTTACTAGAACTGTTACACTCTCTTAACGTATCTCCGCCTGTAGTTGAGTGGTTTCGTGATTACTTGTGTGGACGTCGGCAGCGAGTTCGAATTAACGATGTGTCTTCATCTTGGTGCGATACGTTTGCTGGCGTTCCGCAAGGTGGCGTCTTGTCTCCTCTCCTTTTTTCAGTTCTTATAAATACTATATCAAACCAACTAACTTCTCTCTACCATCTATATGCAGACGATTTACAAATGTATACTCAGGCTCCTTTAGACGACTTGAACGATGCTATTGCATTAACTAACCAAGATCTCAAACATATAAGTAAATGGAGTAAAGCTTTTGGCCTTAAAGTAAATCCTTCCAAATCTCAGGTAGTACTGGTAGGTAGTCCTAAGCTAATCCAAAAGGTAGATTATTCAACGCTTATACCTATAACTTTTGGTGATGTGGTTATCCCCTTCAGTGTATCGGTAAAGGATCTAGGTGTAATTATTGATAGTTCTCTTACTTGGCGGCCACAAATAGAATTTGTCAGCAGAAAAGTTTTCGGATCAGTATGCTCACTTCGTAGACTACGTAATTTCCTTCCTACTGCTACCAAAATTACGCTATCCCAATCTCTTTTACTTCCAATTCTTGATTATGCCGATACTTGTTATCTGGATCTTACGGAGGACCAGCTTAACAAACTTGAGCGCCTTCAAAATGTTTGTATCAGGTTTATTTTCGGTCTTAGAAAATATGATCATATTTCCCAGTTTCGCGCTAAGCTCAAGTGGCTTCCTATTCGTTTTCGCCGGAATACTCACATTCTTTCACTGCTCCACAATGTCCTTTTCAACTCTTCTTCCCCTCACTATCTGAAGGAGCGGTTTGAATTCCTGCATACCGTCAATTCTTTTAATCTTAGGTCTTCTGAGGGCCTCCAGCTGAAGACTCCGGTACATTTCTCAAACTTTTATGACAAATCGTTTACGGTGCAAGCTGTACGGCTTTGGAATGCTCTACCAGTTTCCATACGAAGTATAAAATGTCTGGTTACTTTTAAAACAAAAGTTAAGGACTTTTATTTAAGCAAGTTGTCATCTCCTTAATATGTTTATATGTCTGCTTAGCATACTTATTTCTTGCATATTTTTCGTGAACGTTTATATGCATGTATGTATATGTGTGTATGTATGTGTATGTGTATATGTATGTATATGTGTGTGTATGTATATGTATGTGTATATGTATATATATGTATATATAATAATAAGTAAGGATAATTTTTATATTATTATATGTATTACATATCCCATATCTAGAACTAACAAATTTTTTTATCATGCCTCCTACCAAATTGTTTATAATTACTCCTCTCCATCCAAAGGTTGCCTGGAAGAGATCGCTCTTAGCGATAAGGTCGCCCATTGTTTTCTCATTGTGATTATTTCTTGTGATTGTTTGTATTTATAATAAGTTTACTGTTGTAATCTTTTGGAGGAAACAATAAAGAGTATCTATCTATCAAATATGTATATTTATATTCCAATTACGTATTTTAATTACAAGTAATTCAAATGTACTTTTCTTTTTTTGCGCTGACCAATTTTGTACTTTTAGAATAATAAGAAACCTGTTATTAGCCTTAATATTTTAAATACTAGTATGTAAATCTTAACTGTAATACTGTTGGTTTCCAATAAATAAATAAATACTGCCCAGCTCGGGGAACGAAATTGCAGAGAAGTGCAAACATATTTTTCAAGTGACATACAATATTTGCATTATTGTATATATATTTTAATTGTACATATACTGATGGTTGCGATAACTGCATCAACATTGAAACTACAAATAGTCAAAACAAATTATTTGATAAATACTTATTTTCAGGTGAATATGCCTTTACTGCAGCAGACGAGGTTCAAGATAAAGAAAAACGGAAAATCTTTCATCAATTCTTAGCCAGTAGGAAAGCCGATTTAAATGTTTGGGCTCGCACATATAGGTAATATAATATAAAGTTTTACCACATTTTTATTGTATTTTAAATTTATCTCAATATAATATCTTTACTTGGAAAACTTGAATACAGTGTAACTACAAGAGTGCCACGGTATCCTTACAATCTATTTAAAAGTGCAGCTTGCAGAACAAACTTGGGTTGCGAATCACCTATTGTCCGCACAAGGCACCTTAATATTCACTTTGACAGTCACTGTGTTTATATCTAAATTAAAAAGTTGATGTACCTCGCCATTATGTTTTGTTTTATTTTTAATTTAATTTAAATTTCGTTATTTGACTTTGAATTGTTGGATGTCATCAAATGAATGAAAATTATTAAAATTTTACTTTATTTGATGACATTTAATAAGTTAATACTGTTTTTATATTTTTTAAACACAAAGCATGCTGTGGTTGCCTCTAAATGTAACAGTTAGCCGTAATCCACTAGTGTATTGTATCGAAATGTTTCGCTGTATTGTCTGTGTTGTTGATCCTAAATAAATAAATAATATTTATCTTACGATTTTATATCAATATTTTCTTCACTTTTTTGTACGAGGTTTGTCCGGAAAGTACGTATAAAAGTTTTTTAAAAATTTTATTTTACAATTATTCAGGTAAATCAATTTTATCCCCTTCAAAGTACTCCCCCTGTGACATAATGCACTTGTGCCAACGCCGTTTCCACTGTGAGAAGGCTCCTTGAAAGTCCTCTGGTTGTAGGTTTCTCAGCTGCCCCGTCGTAGCTTTTTTTATCTCATTTATGTCCCCCAAATGCCGCCCCCGAAGTACCAATTTGGTTTTTGGGAACAAGAAGAAGTCACACGGGGCCAAATCCGGCGAATAGGGGGTGTTCGGTCACCGTAATGGAATTTTTACTCAAAAACTCACGGACAACAAGAGAGGTGTGGGCAGGGGCATTGTCGTGGTGAAGAATCCAACGCCCCTCTCGCGCCAATTCTGGACGAACTCGTGCCACACGAGCTTTGAGGCGTCTGAGCACATCGACGTAGAATTTTCCATCAACTGTCTGGCCTGGAGGGACGAATTCTTGATGGACAATCCCCCGAACATCGAAAAAAACAATCAACATTGTCTTGACATTTGAGCGGGATTTTCTTGATTTTTTTGTTCGTGGTTCCCCGGATGTCTTCCACTCTTTGCTTTCACGGCCATTCTTGCCGAGTTTCGAGAGAAACTTGATTACGACGCGCTGCTCTTCAACGGAAGCGGGCTCCATGCCGACGGGGTTTCGTTAAGAGGTAACTTCACAGATGGCGTGACAAGCCAGTTCGCACCGCACGGCGGTCAGACCAGAACTGAAGCATTGTTAGGGACATAAGGAAGGGGTCCTGCGCTTACCTGGCCTCCCCACTCCTCTTTCTCGCATTCCAGAACACTTTTATACGAACTTTCCGGACAGACCTCGTATAGGCTAAATTAATCAATCAAAATTTATAAAAAAAATTATTGATTAATTAATATGTATAATATTTGTACAGGGGTCACGTGACAACATTAATACTGAAGCTCGCGCTACACACTGAAGTGTCACTCCAAACTCTTGCTTTCCGACTGGACTACAGTGATTTCTATAAACGCGGTGATGCCAAGCTACATGAACCGCTCACCTACCAACATAAGCGACTTAGTGAGATCGGACTTAATTTAGCAAAGGTAACTAAATTTATTCCAGATGTTATTAATAATAAATCTATAAAATTATGATTGTTAAATTGGAATTAATAATGTTTGTAGTAGTAACAGAAACACAGTTTAAAAATTTATTTCCTCTTGCTTGTAGTGAAAAACCATTTCAGAAACAGAACAGAACAATAAATATTAAAAATCTTGCCTCTATTAATATTATATTTTCCATCTTAATAACAATAACTTGATAAAATATTATTTCTATTATTAAAAGAAATAGGAAATACGGTTGAGTGCTGTACACAAATTGTGCCACAAGATAAAACGTAGTAAACATCTATGAATTAACTGAATCTGGTTTTTACGTTGTAATCAAATTGCTTTCTCCTTCAGAATAAATTGGTCGATCGTTCGAGAAAGAAGTGACAACGTTGGTGTACGGTACCAGTCAACACAATCGACTGCGCGCCGTGCTTGGGCTTCGTCTGCATATGCGCCACATAACTTCTACAAAATTGTATTTAACTTCACCGATTTATAAAGATGTACATCTTTATACCACACATATATACATTTTAATGTTTTTAAGCTACCATAACTAAGTATCATATAGATTTATAAGTTGTAGTAACACATTAAATAATAACTGCTCTCTATAGTGCCATGGAATATGTCGAACAACTTCCTAATGTTGATAAATAAAATGTATTTTGTATCACAGTGCTTTAATTAATATACAATGTTGTCGATGCTGGAAGAGCAATATCGAAAATTACATTAATCATAGATAAAAATACAATTTTCTATAGACCATAATTGCCACTTCTCTGCAAATTAGGGCGCAATTTGATAGGAAGTGGCAATTGTCGTATATAGACATTAAAAGCAAGAATGATCATTACTATTTCTGAGGGCTATGTTATATATCTTCATGCCCTGTAATTTCACTGTCATATTTTACCTTGAGAAAACGTCCCCTAGTCCTTGTCTACTCCATTGCTCCTAATCATGGTAACCTCAAATTATATTAAATATTGTAGGAAATCAGTGGATACAGGTGGCTAAGGACCGTTCCTTATGGCAGTCTATGGGAGAGGTCGAGCAGTGTCCAGCAGTGGACAGATAATAGCTGAAATGATGATGATAATTCTACCTTTCGAACTGAAACAACCACGTAAGCATAGCTGCTACATGGAAGAAATAGTTGGGACCAAGATGCTCATGCAGACGATTTTATTAATCTCTAATAAAAAAGGCAAAGCAAGCTTTGCCAAGAGCAATATATTTGTTGCGTTTTTGTTTCGTTACGCATGTGTTAAAAAGCGATCAGTAATAGAAAATTTATTAAACCATACGTGTAATTTGATTGGTTATATATCCAGCCCCCTGATTACGTAGGTATCTTATAGTTTGTGATAGGACGATAGCCAAAATTTGCTTGATATTTGCTGTTGATTTTAATTTATATATAGTCAGCAAATACCAGGTCACTCAGAAAGTATTGCGAGAAAAAGTTTTTATGTATGTGAGACTGGCCAATTATAATTTATTTAAAAATATGCTTACTTATAAATGAAAATAGGTACGTTCTAAATACAAAACTTCCCTCCACATTTTTTGCGGGCTAATTAAAATTACCGTGTCTCATTGAAAAATGGATTTACGTAGAGAATATTTTCGCGCTATGATTTTTTACGATTTTTAAGTGTCGCCTGAAACCGGACGAATCGTACGATAGACTTCAAATGGCATTCATGAATGAAGGCCCTTCTAAGGCAACCGTGTATCATTGGTATAATGAATTTAAGCGCGGTCGACTAACTTTGGGGAATGAAGAAAGAAGTGGTCGCCCTTTGACGGCTGTTACGGAAGAAAACGTGCTAGTAATGAAAAATTTTATCCAAGACAATAGACAAATTACATACCAAGAGATTCAGCATATACTGCAGATTGAATCAGGAAGCCTTCACGAGATTCTACACGTGCATAGTGCGGAGGATAGTTTCACGCTGGATGCCGCACAACCACACCGATGTTCAGAAACAGGCAAGGGTGGAATGGTGCCATGATATGATAAACAAATTTGAAGCAAGCTCGTCTCGGCGTGTTTACGACATCGTTACAGGTGATGAATCCTGGATTTATCAATACGATCCAGAAACAAAGCGCCAATTGACAGTTTGGGTGTTTCAAAACGAATCAACGCCTACGAAAGTAAAGCGACCCAGAAGCAGAGGGAAGATTTTGATCGCGACCTTTTTCAATTTGACTGGTTACTTCAATTCCTTTACGAAACCAAAGAAGCATTTACGCCTAATGGTATACTACCAAATGCTTGGCAGAAGTTTTCTTTGTTGTGAGCAACAAGCGACCAAACACGGAGCCCTGTGTTTGGTCGCGGGCTAACTGCTCCACCACGATAATGCGCCCGCCCACACCGCAATCAATACAAGGGACTTCTTAGACAGCACACCGGTCAAACTCCTGGGTCACCCTCCTTACAGCCCTGACCTAGCACCGTGTGACTTCTTCTTATTCCCAAAAATAAAAAATCAGCTCAAAGGGATACAGATTTCGTCGTCGAATGATGCGCTCTCAGGTAAACGAGGTGTCTGCGGCGGACTGAAAAAAGTGTTTCGAAAACTGGTTTAGACGCATGAAACTTTGTATGGAGGTTAGCGGAGAGTATTTTAAAAAGATGTAATAAAAATATATTTACCTATAGAACATTTTTTTTAGTGTCGCAAAACTTTCTGAGTGTCCCACGTACTTAAAACGGTATTGTTGCCTTCTGCCTTGCAGAACAATTTCGGAATTAATAGAGGTCTTCTTAACATTCCAAAAAAGGGCTCAGGTGGAAGTCTTATGATGATCATTTTTGTGCCAGCTTCATCACCGAGGGCGACTACCACCGGGTTGCTGGGTTCTGTGCCTTGGCCCTTGATTGCTGGCATCATCACTAAAACAGTAGGGGGAGGGAAAAGATTGTTAATACGAACTACTAGTTCTATTGCTAGCAATTTATTCTTGCAGAACGACCTCCACGTGATCCCACATGGAAACAATCGTACTGAATTTCAAGTGGGGGCTAACTGACCTGCCTTCTCATTCTTACCTATCATCTCTCACTGATGCCCCACCAAGGTTAACGCAGGCATGGTTACCATTCTTTTATTACCATTAAAAGATGACAGTTATTTCTTCTCTGCTGATGACGTTGTTTATTACAGTTAAGTATAAAGTCTGCTAATTGACCGTTTGCGGAGTCATAATGGCTTCCACTGTTTCTTTTCTTTCTCGATTTTAAGTAGAACATAAAAATATTTTCGTAACACTTATAAGTAATGCCGATATTTTTAACAATGTGATTATTTGTATATTAACATAATTACCTGCAACTATCTACGTAGGTAGTAAAACAAGACCCTTGTCACTAAATATATAAAATCCTTTTATGAAACTATGCAACCCTTTTTATATGTCAAAAAGTAGTATTCCGTCAATCATACAAGCACAAAGGTGGGATTACCATTTCATTACCATCTATTAAAAAAAAAAATCACTTTCATATGTTTTTTTTTAGTAATTTCAATTGTTACTTTGAGAAGGTAATATACACTTCATTTTCCAGGTATCGTGGATGTAAGGCCGCTGTCAACTCTTATAACGTAATTATTGCTTGCTCTGTGTTACCTATCTACTACCCACACACACACATTTACTTAAGTTTTGTGTCTTTGGATAAATGTGAAGGCAAAGCCAATAAAAAAATACATAACGAAATTTTTCAATTCGAATTCAGAATTGTGTTTGAATAGAATTAGCGTTATATTCTTGAATTGTTTTCTAAATAAACTTAAGTTTTATTTCTTTTGTTTTTAATATTGGAAGTTAACGAAATTTACGTATTTTTACGATGAATGAATTTGAATGTTTGGAAGAAGAAGTAAAAGAACTTCTACAAAATTATAAACATAAAAAAGCAACAGTTTATGAGCCATGTACTCCGAATAATATTAAAGAGTGTCTAATTGGGTTAAGTGAAGTATGTATTTTCATAAATAAATTAATAAACGTATAACAATTGTTTGATGATCTAATTTAAATCGTTTTTTTTTTTTTTTCAGGAATTAGGGCTATGTAATGTTAATTATAATTTCAAGCCTCATATTGATATAGAAAATGGAATATTGGAGCCAGAAGCTCTTATAAAATTGATTAATGCCGTATGGGCATTATTACATTATCATAAAAACACACTGGAAAAGACTAATAGATTAGAAGAACAAAATCACATTTTTGAAAATAACAATAAACAACTAACAGTATGTAGTTTAATGTTTTTATTTCGCTTTACTCATATCATTTAAAGGTTCCTTGCTTAGAGCCTATGAAAACTTACATGTCTGCTTGCTTATTAAAAGCATCTCAGATAATGTTTAAAAGACATAAAATTTAAAATAAAGTTATAACATACTTAACAGTATCTATGTTTGAAAAATAGCCAAAGGTACCCATTGACCATAAGGTCAGTGTGTACTGACTATAATGTGCATTATAATAAGTATGGTTAAAAGAAAAGTAATTAAAGTTTAGGTATTTTGTGGAGTTTAATATGAATTAAAATTGTGGGAATCGTTTTTTATTAACATTAGATATTAGTTATATTCTGTGGCTTTATCTATGTTTTATCAACTAATATAATTTATTTTGTCTGAGATATATTGATTGACAAAAATGAAAATCTTCCTCTATCTCAGATACTATTATTATACTATTACTATATTATAGGTGTCAAAAACTAACAAATTATCTTTCTTGTTTATAATATTAGTAAGGATTTAAATATGTCTGCCTCTCCTAAAATTGTATGTATTTATACTCATGTTTTACAAATAATCTTGAATCTTGAAATATCTTTTAAATTAAACTTTTATATAATTTTGAGTCTGTTTGATTCAATCTATACTTCCTTTTTCTGTGTAGTGTTTGCTATAAACATGAAAAAAATGGAATATTTTGATTGGTTTATAAACAATTTCACTAATTGTTTTAATTTTTGTTATAAAACTTTAGTGCTTATAACTTTAATCCTTCTCTTGTTAGTAACAATAATGTATATATATTTCACTTGAAGTCGCATCATTGTTATAAAATACTCCTTAAATTATTTATTGTAAAGCTAATAATTATTGTGTATAAATGAATTTATATTATGTTCAGGGAAGTATAAGCAAACTTAAAGATAAACTAAATATAGAAAAGAATGAGTCTAGAGCTTGTGTTGCAACAGCACAAAGAGTTTCTGATCGTTCAGATGAGTTATTACAATCACTCATGGAAACAAGAGCAAAATTGCTTAGACTCACAAAACAAAAAGAAGCTAATGAAAAGAGCTTCCGTAATGAAATAACTAAACTTAAAAAAGAGAATGAGAAACTGTTGGACAGGTTAAGAAGTAAATCAGGTAAGAAATTTTTTATGCTATTATTTTAATGGTTGAAATTTTTCTACACAATGTATTGTAATTATAAGTGTGTCTCCTTGTATAGCTTTTGGTGTTTTAATACATATTATCAATCTATTTATAAAAAAATATTTAAAGATTTTATCCATTCAGTTATCTAGTACCCAAATTAAATATAGGCTCTATTCAGTTTGAAACCAGCAAGAGAGGTCCATATCATATGTACAATGATATTTACTATTTGTTTTATTATTATTCTGTAGCTCTTTTCTAATGAAAAAGATAAAGAGTTTCTTGGTTTTAAATAGTCTATTTATATAACAAATTCCATTTGAATTTGTTTACCTATTTAAATATGATTGGGTAGAGACATTCATTTATCATAGATTAAGGATACTTTGTACCCCTTAAATAAATATACTTAAGTAATTAAAGTATAGGAAATAAAATAATGGCAAATAATTTATTATGAAAATAAAAAATTGTTTATTTATATTGAGGAGTATTGTAGATATAGATGGTTTTACTATAAATAGAATCTTTGTTGGGGACATTTCGTGCTATGATTTTTTACCATATCAAGTGTCATTTAAAACTGATGACTCATTTGATAGGCTTCAAATGGTATTTATGTTAGCTCTACCTGTCCACTGGCTGGCATAACGAATTTAAACGCGGTCGACTAACTTTGAGAGATGTAGGTACCTTAAATGGTGGTTGTTGGTTTTGATAGTTGTTATGAAAGGAAGCCTATTTTTTTTTTATGGGTACAAATGAAATGGTCCTCCGCCTGCGATATCGGTGTACACTGATAGGACATCAGAGAGAGATAATAAGCGAGAATTAAAACAGGGGTCAGTTGGTCCATCGTGATGAATTCCACAAGAATTGACCAAGATGTTTTCCAACGAAAACCTGCATGGAGGTCGATCTGATAGAGTGCATTGCTAGAAATAAGTCTGTTAAACCTTATTACTAACAAACACTTTCCCGTCAGTAGCATACAAAAGCGAAATACGTATAGGACAGCACTGCATTATATACTTTGTAGTACGCAATATATGCTTTTATTCGCATAACCACGATAAATGTCCGCCTATATCTTTCTCCATTTCACATAGTTCGTGTATACGTTGGCATATTTAGGATTCTTTTCAATTTTTTTTATTGTTAAAAGTTAGCATCCTTTTATTTTGTTTTCGCTGTCGTTATGTGTCAGTCTTGTGATTTTTAGGTAAAAATCGTCGCTAAGGTGTTCGTAACGTTTAGAGAGGGGGACATGGGGGGTTTTAAACTTCAAAAATTGCATTCCGTAATATTTGAACACCACCTATACGTGTGTACTAAATATCCATGAGGATTAGTTCAACCGTTAAGGCACCAAGATGTAACAAACACACTTTCACATTTATAATATTAGTAAGAATTTCTTGTTTTTCTCTAAAAAACTGAGCTCAAAGAAGACCGTAATAGTGTTCGGGTGGGCTTTAGAAGAGACATCTGACGCGAAATGTGAAGAGAGTTTTGAAATTTAGATGGTGTAAAATTCTTTGTAAAAATTTAAAGACAAAAATTTAGCTCAAAGAGTACGTTCTCAGTTAGATGGTTTTTTTTTTGTGCTATATGCACATGATTGTGTATATGTTCAATATCGCGATATTCTTAACCAATTCCATATTTAATTGAATAATGATGTTACTACTGATAGGGTTTACTCCCGTGTTGGTCCGGTATTAGTTTTGTCACATTTAAAAATTTATTAATTACCATAAATAGGGATACTTTAAATTTTTAGTGGGCAAATGTACACAAGTTATGTTTAATAGGTACTCGTGCATCATGTGGGGAAGTGTGTGACTCCACCTTATTACATCTGAAGGAGCGTGAGAGGAAACACCAAGCAGTTATAACACAACTTCAGACTAACAACCAGGAATTATTGGAGGAAGTATTAGCTTTGAAAGAAGAAATTCTCCTTGGTGGATTTGGAAATCTCGAAATAGAAAACAATAAAAAATAATATATTATTTTTCTACTTTTGATTTTTAATATTCGATTGTATTGCAAATATTTAATAACAGTTCCAAAGCTGATTATGGCCTTTACAATGTTACAATGCTTGGAAAGGATAGATAATGAAAATTTAGCATCTTTGACATATATTAATAATTTATTGTATTATATAGAACTAATTAATTTAACTTTATTAACAAAGTATACTGTATTTGTTTTGCTATAATTATTATGATCTCTTAACAATTGTGATTCTATAATTTGTTAATATTTTAATAATTAATATTATAGATGAATGAATGTATAAATAAATTCTTGTTATAAGAGTAGAGTCCTCTTGAATTGAAGCAGTCAAGATTTTCATTGTTTCAGCCTGCCCAATGGAGGGGGCTGTGACGTGATATGTAAGCATGCATGTACAGTAATATTAAAAAAAATAAACATTATCAGTATTATCTCATTATTTGTGACACTTGACATCAATTCGTTAATTAGTATGATAAGAAGATTTTTTTTTATATAAATTGATTAATATAGTTTTGTTAACATTGTTGATATTAATTAAAAGAATAAATTTTTAAAAATGTTTACAGAATTTTTTACAACTTCGTAGTAAGTTTATCATTTTACGATTCACACACGACTATATTATCTGTATTTAATATTGTAATTAGTGGTAATAAGACTTTAAATGAACCCATTATTTGTAAATGCAAATTAAGATAACGACATTTATACACAAATTGGAATTTAACGAGTGTTGTCCCTTTGGATTACAGAATAGTGCCTATTATTTCTCAGTGTGTCGATTGTCGAATAGTAAACACGGTCGTGTGACGTCGCTCATTTGTTGTCGAGGCTGAGCAGCATACGTCTCTAGAATTAATTACAAGCAACACCAGTTGCCGAACAGTGTGAGCACAATATTTTATGACGCCACGAAAACCACAACCACAACATTTGGCGTAACTAACCAATCGACGCTTCCTTCTATTGAATCATTCTGCATTCGACCGCTACAGTGTGCGCCCGCGCTTTGTTTCCATTTTAAACGTGGCTCTATCGCGAGTGTTTCTACAAGTCTGATAAGATTATTACATCAGAGTGATAACAATCTTCAAGGGAACAAATTTTTCCTCGTTCAAAGATTAATTTTTAGTTTGCGAAATGCATCAACTGTAACAATAGGTTTAGTAAATAATAGACTGCAGTGTTACAGTGAATAGTTAGTGATAGTTTGTCGGATGTCCCGTACACTATGGGTACGAAGAAAACACTGAAGATAACAGTGGTCGGAGACGGTATGGTGGGCAAGACTTGCCTACTCTACGTGTACACAAAAAATGAATTTCCCAAAGAATACGTGCCTACAGTGTAAGTATTTTTCTAGTCTTTTTGGTTATGGAGGCTTGATGAGAGGTCAATAGGGCGGGTGCACGACACTGCGGTCCGCTAGCCGCTACGTGAGTCCGAGCCATAAAGTTAGCGGATAAATGGTGTAACATCGTTATCATTACGCGGGTATATGACGTCACTATATCACATTCCGTAAATTTGTGCAGACATTATTGTGAGCAATGAGTGTACCGACTGGATTTTACAGTTTACCTTTTATGAAGTCATAATAAGTAATATCCTACTGAGTTACTTTAATGAATCATAGTTCAAATAAATATACATATAAACATTTGCTTGACAGAAAGTTTAGTTCCTATGTAGTTATTTTAAACTAATGCTCTTTTTACGTATATTAAACGCTTGTTACTTTGTGTATTTAAGTAAATATCGAACTATTATACCTAGGTAATATTTAAAAAAAATGTTATATGTAACTTATGGAATGTGTAGGTACCTATTATGGGGCATTCGATTTCTCATGGGATTTTACTTCGTTCACTCATAGTAGTTTTTAGTTTTGTAAATTCTAATATTACGTTTTGTAGATCATACCTTTTTTGAAGATTTCGTTATTTCGTGAATTAATTTTAATTCATGATTGACATTAATATGGTCCTGGCATAGAATGGACTACCCAGGCCTTTCTCGTGGGTGTCGTAAGAGGCGGTAAGGGAACTAATTGCGGTTGTCTACCCGCCTGCCAAGCATGGCAATTATTGGCAAAAACTTCCAATATGTTTACCAATGGACAATTAACGGCTTATATATGAATACATTTTAGTGCCTCACATTTACGATGTCAATTTTAAGGGTTCATTACAATAGAACATTTATGGTTCCGTAACCGTCTTTTCGTCTGTCACAGCGTTTTATCTCGGGGACTACTGCTATCGTTTTGAAATTTGAATTATTTTTACATATATGCTCATCAAACTGCCACCCGTGCTGCATAATGAGTAATTGAATTTTCATAAACAAATCACTATTATTATATGTTAGAGAAACTGTGGCGTGTGAATTCAACATAATGTGTGAAGAGTAGTCAGGCACCTAATTTACTATTAAAATGAGGAATATAATATAGGCACAGATATAGGGCATCAACTACATTGTTTAGGTATAATACAACAAATAAATGTACCAAATCAATAAGTACGTATACATAATGTTATTATACTATCGATGACTAACAATTATACATATATCAATGGTGTCATGACTAAATATGTACTTGTTTAGTAGCGGCATTGGTGATCAGATAGATGACGAAGACGTTCGTGTGTAAAGACCGGATGATATGACCCAAACATTCAACAAATAGGTACCTGTTTAACTTGATCGTACGTAATAATATTTGTACAAATGATAAGCGAAACTACCTATAAGGTCAAGGCTAAATAGGTACTAAACTGTTACACATTCTAATAGCGAATACGCTGTGTTCATTGCACAAATCTTTACGTAGAGTATTATTACCAAGTATCTGTGTCTGTACTTTTATGATATATTTATATTAATAACTAACGACCCGCCCTGGCTTCGCACGGATAGTTAAAATATAATACAAAACCTATCTTATTCGCTGATAATGTAACTTACTATAAGAAGAATAAGATGTAAGAATTTTTTAAATCGGTTAAGACGTTTTTGACTTTATCGAATACTAGCCAATAATCTAATATGTCTTCTTTATAATACTAACCATAGATATTTATTCTATTTGGTAGAAACATCTAATAATTTTCAAAGTTGACTGCAATAATTCCATTCAATTGGTAATTCCAAGTACTTACTTATGTATTTTGTAATATTTTTTGAAATTGCTTTCTTATTTCGAATAAGAATTAACAATAAAGCTTATACAAATTGACATAATTTATTCGTTCACTAATTAGTTGCAGTAATGTTAAATAACAGTAAATGCTAATAATTGGGTTGTTATTATTAAGCATTGGGTAGTACGACTTTTATATATATGAAAGATAATTATTATTTTGAGTACTATAAGTATTATAAATTAATATTGGCTTTAATCACTTTGGGGTTAACCGACTTGTTTGAGCCACTGCCACCGACCGCATGCGCGCAGAAAAAAAATCTGCTCGCGCAATGCTACTCAAACTGTAACTATGTTGAATTAGCTCTATCATGCGGCTCAACAGTACATAAAGTCCTATGTGCCAAGTTAAGATATAACTTATCCATTTACTAAATTTCATTCAAATACGTTCAATAGTTGCATGAAAAAGTAACAAAATCCATCTATCCTTAAATGTTTGTGTTTACAATGAGTAGTATGTAGTAATAGTAATCATATAAAATTTCTTTTTATTTAAATAGATTTTTTCTAGTTATGTTAAATCCTTAGATTGAAAAATTACGTTGTACTAAGTGTATGCGTCAAGTGTATGCGTCAGAACAGCATATCTACTTTAATATATAAAAACATCTCAACGGATGTTAGATTAAAATCTGTTAAACAGACCGCGTGATTAGAATACAGAAAAATTGTAAATATATAAAGAGATAAATATATAAATTACATTAACGATGATCGTGTGAAAATTATTAAAGGTTTTCAATTTATCTATATTTTTTATGTCTATGTTAGGCTCATAGATTATATGGATAGAGCGTCTCCATAGAAATGCTCGAGAAAAGCGTTTCAACTTCTCCATACAATTTTGCATGGTAAATAATTATGAGTGATTCTTTTGTAATGTAATGTAATGTAAGAAAGACTCTGTTTTCCGCACTTAGCCTCCCATTTGGGCCGTTGTGCGTGTGAGTCGTGGCTAGTACAGCCAACCTAGCTCCGCCCAGAAGCGCAGAAGCTTCCTGGGTTCTTCACAGGCTTCACGGAGCGACCTCACCGTTCCGAGGATTTCTAAACGTTGATGGGCCACAGCCTCACATTCCAGGATTACGTGAGCAGCCGTTTCTTCAGCGTCGAAACAGCCTCGACATAGAGGGCTGTCTGTGGCTCCTATTGTGTATAAATGTTTGTTTAATGGACAATGACCCGTTATTGTCCCTATCATTATTTTGAGGTTTTTTCTATCTAGATGTAATAAACGTTTTGATAGTCGTTGATTCAACGTAGGTACGGCCAATTTTGATTGTCTGCAATCAGTAGCCTGTATCCATCTTTGGTTTTGTATGTCAGCGGATCTTTGACGAATCCACATTCGAAATTGCGAGAACGGAAGAGGAAGAAGTGGATACGGGCCTACCACCCTCGTTCCTGAGCCTCTTCTAGCCAGTTCGTCTGCGGCATCGTTACCATAAGATCCACTGTGCCCTCTTATCCATTGGAGGATAACTCGGTTATTGGAAGATATCCTATCCAGTGAATGGTGGCATTCAATTATCAATTTGTTGTTTGTCTTGTTGTTTCGTAATGCTTTTAGTACTGCTGCGCTGTCAGATAAGAATCTAATGCTAAAACCATTTATTCCTAGCTTATGTACAGCTGCAGCAGCCTCGGTTATTGCAACACATTCGCATTGGAATATTGAGCTGTGTACGCCAAGCGGTATGTGCACGTTTATATTCAGGTCTAAGGAAAAGACTCCGGCTCCTGAACCGTTCTCGGTTTTGGAGCCATCGGTGTATATGCGTAATTCATGTACACCGGATTGGTCCTTTTCCTCTTCTTGAATTTGTATTTGGTATTTTTTGTTAAATATATAATGATTATGAGTCCTGTCACACGGAGCCGCAATCAAAGGTTCATATTCGATTGCCTGGTTCAGAATAGAAGTGTGGGGACTGTAGTGATTTTTACCCCATAGATCCAGATGCATTAGTCGGATAGCGGCTAACGCCGCTTCCTGCTGTATGTGCAGGTCTAGGGGTGTTATGTTGAGGGCCAACTCTATTGCTGTTGTAGGAGCTGTTTTCATGCAGCCGCTGACAGAAGAGCAAAACAGTCTCTGAAAGCTTTTTAGTTTGGCGGCGGTGGTCGATAGTTTTGTCCTCGGCCACCAAACCAGTGCACCATAGACCAACATTGGCCTGATTACAGCTCTGTACAGCCATAGAGTTATTTTTGGCGAAAGACCCCATTTGTTTCCTAGCATCTTTTTGCACTGGTAGAATGCAATTGTGCTTTTGTTAAGTTTGTAGTCAAGATGTTTATTCCAAAGCAATTTACTGTCTAGTATTATGCCAAGGTACTTGACTTCTTCCTTAAGTTTCAGTTCCGTATTGAAGAGTTTTGGTAGTCTGTAAGGACATGTAACTCTTCTATTTGTGAACATGATTAATTCTGTTTTTGTAGGATTAACCGAGAGTTCATGCTGTGCGCACCATCTCTCAATTATTTCAAAAGCTACTCTCATGCGATCACACAGAGTACCTTCGAAGCTTCCTGTTAAAAGTACAGCTATATCATCCGCATAACCTACCGTGTAGAGGCTGTTATCGTTAAGCTCTATTATGAGCTCATTTACGACTATATTCCACAATAGTGGTGACAGTACACCGCCTTGTGGACAGCCCCTACCGACGATTCCTCGTGTGGTAGTATTTACAGTAAATTGTATAGCTCGTTGTTTAAGCATGTTATGTATCCATTCTCTAAGTGTTATTTCTACTCCATGTGTAGCTAGTGCCCGACCTATACTGGCAAAGTTTGTTTTGTCGAATGCCCCTTCGATGTCTATAAATGCACCTAAGGTTGGCTGCTTCGATTGCAATGCATTGCCTATTCGGGATACTACGTTATGAAGTGCTGATTCAGTTGACTTGCCTTCACTGTAAGCATGTTGGTTAGGATGTAAAGGTTTGCACAGGGAGACTTGACATCTAATCTCTTTGTCACATAGTCTCTCCAAAGTTTCCAAAAAGAACGAGGTGAGACTGATGGGTCGAAAGGATTTGGCCACAGTGTAATCTCCTCTACCTGGTTTAGGAATAAATATAATTTTTACCTCACGCCATTTCAAAGGTATGTAACGGTGAGCTATGCACGC